TACCTATATCTGCAATAATCAATCATTATTTAGTGATTTTTATAAATTATCTATATCAATTTCTATAAAAAATACACAGATATTAATTAAAGGTTTCAGAACAGTTAATTTAAAACCTTTAAACCCCTATAAAGATAAAATATCATTTAAATTATATTATTATGCCTAGATTTTATAATTTTATATTAATATTTTATCTGCCTTAAAGGCAAGATAATTAGGTATTTACTTTAATTTTAGGGCTATGTGCCTAGAAAGCCCTAATTACCGCCTGATTTATAAAATCTTTGAGATTGTAGGCATTTATTTGATCAAATAGAATATTACTGATCAAATTTAATAATTACCTGAATTAACTCCTGAAGATAATTATATTCACTATCTGAATTTATTATAAAATTTATTATTAAATATTAAAGTAAATAAATTAGAGGCCTATTTAACAAGAAATTCAAATAAACCAGTCATTTCCTATAAAATAGCTGAATTATAGTATTCAAGATTAGGGCACCTAAATTCTAAAGCCCTAAAACACCTTAATTCAGTAGTTAACAGAGTAAAAATTAATAATAAATTAATTAAAATTAAAGATTATTATCTAATTTATTAATTGTTAATTTTAAAATGTCAAATTTCTTGAATTCTGATTTAATTAGGGACTAAACTATTTAAAACTATTTATTAGGACCTTATTTATTTAAATTAGGGAATCTACTAAAAACAATATATTAGCTATATATATTATTTTTCTTCAAAGTTTTATATGGTTAAGGCAATTTTATTAAAAGATCACATAAGCAATTTAATTATTAAAATAATTTAATTCATTAAATATTAATATTACGTGACTATTAAACGATTTTACTCAGATTAAAATAGAAATCTAGCTTATTTCTATAATTACGCGAGATCTGAAAGAGTAATCTATAGTACTAGCCTGATTAAATAACTTGAGCAGAACCTATTTACAGAGTATTTAGGTGTTTTAATTATATAAAAAATATAAATTTTATTTATTAATTTAGGATTACTGCTATATTTATAGCCAGAATTATTAAATGCAGCAATATATATATTAAATTGTACCCCTACTTATTTATTAAAGTAGAGTATCTTGCATAAAACCTTATTTAAATATCTTAATCAGCCTCTATCATATATAATACCACTACTAAACCTCTCTAACCTAAAACGATATAGTTCCCGAGCCTATATAAGGATTTTAAATATCCCTAGGCTTAATAAGCTCAAACCGAGAGCTCTAATTGGCTATCTAATAGGGTACGTTACCCTAAATATATGGAGAATATAGATACCCGGTTAAAATAAGGTTATTTCAGCATGTGATTACATCTTTAATAAAACAAAGGTCTATAAAAATGAACAAAATGTTCAAATATTTAAACTAGACCTAATTAGGTTAGAAAACCCCGAACCGCTCAATTTTAAAGAAATTAATGATTTAATCTCTTTAATTTTGATTGATTTACCTGAAATTACTGAATTAGGGTTTACCAAAGATAAAATTATTAATGATATTTATTCTGAACCCGAACAAGGTAAATCAGAACTATCTAGTGAATATAATCCTATTTACTATGAATCTGAATATAAAAATCGAATTATTGAATTAAATAATCAAAATAATCAAAATAATTAAAATAATTTAATTCAATCAAATACTTAAAGTGATGAGATTTTAGGAGACTAACCTCCTACCCCACATTCTTAATCACCTGAAGTCATTATTAATAATTCACTATTTAATTTTAATAATTATAACAATTTTCATAAACCACTATCCCTAAAAAGGAATAGGTTAGAATTACCTGACCCAGGACCTTCAAAAATGCCTCAAAATTTTGCATTAGCTTAAATTAGCAATAATAAATTGCATCGAAATGATTTGCCTATTGAGCCAACTAATTGGAATAAAATAATAAATTTGCCTTTTCGCGATAAATGGCTAAATACATGCAAAATTGAATATGATTATGTCAATTGGGGTCACCTGACATCACCTGATTCATCAGAATCACCTGATTTATCCCCACAACCGAAATTTACTGCGACTTTATTCTCACTTTATTGAACTCTCACTTCCACCACCAAATTGTATGGAAGAAGTGAGGTGAAACTGAGCTCAATAAAATTACCAGTTGCTAGAATCCTATGGAAATCAGAAAACATAATTTAATAAATTTTCTATTTAGGAAATTAAAAGTTTGTTTTAACTACTACGATTAATGGCTTTGTTCAGATGATTAATACAAAGGGTCTAGAATGTCTCGCCTATTTATTTTATAAACTATAAAGTAAATATTGCTACTTTGGTTATTCTGATATTATTTAAATAATTTTATTATAATTTATATGTTGAATCTTGATTATTCTGATTATTTTAATTATGAAATCTTGATCATTTGATTATTTAAGATAATTAAATATTAATTTAATAATAATCTATGAGGTTGATTTTGAAGGCCTAGATTAATAATATGACTTATAAGTAAAGGCCTAAAAAAATCTAATGATTTTATGTTTGTAATATTTATTTAGGGCCAGATTAAATTAGCCTTGATTTAATTATTTATAAATATGCAGTTAATAACCTATATTAATTTATTCTTTTTAATAAGTTAATTTACCTACTTAATTTATTTAATTGAATTTTATTTATTTATTTAATTAATTTTACCTATTTACATATATAGCGAATAATAGGACCTCTGGTTTGTCTATTTCAGATCTAGGTAGTCTAGGTGAACTGTTTACTTCATCTGACTGATCGATTTTCCTTATTCTATCTAGCCAGTTGAAATTTCTATTCAACCCACGTGACCTACCTACCCCATCTGACAAATATAAATAATAAAGTTATAAAGTTAAATACCTTAGTATCTTAGGAATAAGATAGTATAAAAGTAATTAGCTAAAAATCTTAAATATATAGTATATTCTGCTTAAGATATTATTGCTAGGATTTAGGGGAATCCTACAAGAATATATTTTCATTATATGTTCGCTAGGCTATAACTAAGCACCTGTTCTGACTAAGCATCCTTAGAAGGTTCCTATATGGATCCTTACATATAAGATATATTCACGAAGAATTATAAAACTAATTATAATAAATTTTATAAATAGGTTATCTTAAATAAAGTACGCCTTTATAAGAATTATTTATATTATACTATATTAGGGGTTCATCAGGCAGTTAATACTTATAAATCTAAAAAAAAAATAACTTATAAAATAGTATTTTTTATAAGATTATAAAAAAAGGTAAACTAAGTATTAGTATCTAAGGACTATTAAATAAAAAGTTCCCGCAGGATAAAGAGGATTAGTTAATAGCTATATTTAGCTATATTTATAAAAAAAGTTTATATAATATAATAATCTTATAAGATAATAACCTTTATAAGAAGAGTAACCTTATAAAGCTTAATAATATTAACTAGTTAATTTTATAAGATACCTTAGGGACTAAGGCCTTTAAAAAAAATAATTATAAAAATCTATATAAGAATCTTTTAAGGATACTTAGTCAGAATAGGTGCTTAGTTATAGCCTAGCAAATATATAATAAAAATATATTCTTATAAGGTTTCCCTAAACCCTAGTAACAACACCTTAAGCAGAATATACCATATATTTAAGATCTTTAGCCAATTGCTTTCACGCTGCCTTACCCCTAAGGCACTAAGGTATTCAACCTTATAATAATTCGGGTATAATCCTGGATAAGAGGATTTAAAATATAAATATCTTTAAATTCTAGTAAGTATTTTAGGTATAATCCTATTTTATATTATAGGATAAAAAAGTTTAGAATCTTTATAATATTTATAATATCTAATTTTATTATATTTATAAGAACAGGCCTAAACTTAAGTAGATTTAAATATTATACCTGCCTACTGTAATAAATAAAAAGGAATCTTTTTTATTTTATTTATTAAATTTATTCTATATTATATTTAAAAAATATTAAGTTTAAGTTTAAATAAAGTATAATATAAAATAAAATAATACTTATTTTAAATATTTTTTTATTATAAATTTAATCTGTGTCCTGTTATATTAGGTTTAGTATTAAAAATAGATTTATATAATATATAAAATAAATAATACTAACATTATTATCCTTTATATTAGAATATTTTAGTAAGGTTAAATAATTTTGAACCTTATTAATAATAATTTTTTAATAATTATTTATACTAATGATAACCTCTGTATCTAATATATAACTTATAGCTAAAGGAATCTAAAAATAATTTTAAAGAAAAAATTAAAAATTTTCTAAATTATAATTAGAAGATTAATTATTAATATTTAAAATATAGTTATTATTATTAAAAAAAATATCTTAATTTATATCTTTAATATTTTAATAAGATAAAAAAAAGTTAGTTTAATTTATAATTATTAAATAAAAAAGAAAAAAAAAGATAATACCTTATTAAAAGAAATACTATTTATAAATTAAATAATTTCTTAAGTAATTTCTTAATTAGTCATGGCATTAAAATAAAGCTTATATATAATATATTATATTTAAACTCAGTTAGAACTTTACAGATTTATAGTTTAAGCTATACTTTAAGGGCTAAAAAAGAAGGATTTATAAAGTTATATAATTAAGCTAAGTTAATATAAGAAAATTTAATCTAATATAAAAAAAATTTATTTAGTATTAAAAAAATTAAACCAGTATAAGAAAATTTAAGTTAATCTAGTATAAGATTATATAATTAAACTGAGCTAGTATAAGAAGGCTTTCTTGGTATTTATATACCGGATAAGATAACATATCTTAATTGATTTTTATACCGCGCGAGAAATTTCATACACCGCGCCAACTGTATACCCTATTCTTAGCTGTACTGGTCTATTTCAGGTAGATTTCACTCTCTTTCCTTCTTACTATTGTCCTGCTAACAGAAATATTAACTTAGTTCTCCAAAACATCCTACATCTAATCTAATCTATCACTAATCCACCCGAATGCAAACCTTCCCAACATGCTGCCCCGATCTCAAATACTCATAAGCAGCAATGACCTCGTCCCGACTGAACCCAAACTCCTTCTCGACCGGCATCCGCAGCTCCTTGCGATACACAAACGTCACCAGGTCCTCCAACATACACTTCGGACCGATCAGCACGCCACGCACCACACAAGTCTTCAACAGCGCCTGCAGCGGCACATCAACCACCTTGTCGCTGCCCGCCAGGTACCCGATCACGCTGATGACACCACCAGGGGTGATGGCCTTGATGCTCTGCTCGATGGTCCCCAGACCGCCGATCTCGAGGATATGATCGACGCCCTTGCCGCCGGTGATCTTGATCGCTTCGGCGGCCCAGTCCGGCGTCTTCTTGTAGTTGATCGTGTAGTCGGGCTGGAACTTCGATTTGATCTGCGCCAGCTTCTCGTCGCTGGACGAGGTCATGATCGTCGTTGCGCCGGCTGCTTTCGCGAGGATGAGGCCCGTCACGGCCACGCCTCCGGTGCCTACACTCTATATTAGCATCTCATCCTCAACCAACCCCAGAGAAAGAGCAGGGAAAGAAAAGGGAAATAAACCCTGCAGCAAAACCACCTGCCCCGGCTTCAACGGCACATTGCCATACAACCCATTCCACGCGGTGACACCCGTACAGACCAAACTCGCCAGCTCCGCATACGAATGCGGCGCTCCCTCCGGCACCTTCACGACCCCCGTCGCGGGGCGGGCCACATACTGCGCCAACGTGCCATCCGCCGCACCACCCTGGCAGCTCAAAAAGTCCTTCTGCGGCCCATACTGATGCATGGGGTCGAACGAGATGACGACGCGGTCGCCCTCCTTCAGATCCTTGACTTCGGAGCCGACGGACACGATGTCGCCGGCGCCGTCGGAGCACGGGATCAGCTCGTTCTTGGTCGCCGCAGGGTAGGTGTTTGTCGCGACTTGGAGGTCCCGCGAGTTGAGGGCGACCGAGCGGATGCGGATTAGCACCTCGTGCTTGGAGATGGTGGGGAGGGGCTCGGTTTGGCGGGTGAGGTTGGTGATGGCGCCGAGGGAGGGGAGGCGGAAGACGGTGTGGGTGGTCATTTTGATTTGATTGCGATTGCGCAGGTAGATTGGTGTTGGTTTGAATGTTTGTAGGTCGGGGAGAATGGAGGGCTAGGATGCAGGGATATCGGCTCCTTTAAATATTCTTCGTCTGGGAGCTCAACTTCCTGAGGTTATCGTAGATCCATTACGTGCCATAGTATATCCTCTATAGAAGCAACCAATCGGAATAACTGGGTGTGGACGTTTCAGGAATCTGCATTGGAAATCAAGTGGCAGTTTGACGTAATTTAAAACCGACCGCCACCTCTAATTCAATTACCCTCTGGATTGTTTACAAAATGCTATTTTCGTAGTTGAAGTTGGGGTGGAAGAGCTCGCTCGATTCGGTGGGCTCCGGGCTTTCCTATTGGTTGGGAAGACGATGTGGGGCGAGAATATCCGAATGCATCATGATGGACTGCGTAGGAAAGATTGTCTCCGAAATGCCAAGGTTTGGTCTGACGGGGTATTAGAGTAGTTGTAGTCTGGATTTATCAGCTATGGAGTGTGCACTAGTTTAGGAAATAAAGTATTCAATTGGTTTCGTGAGTTTATGTTGGACTTTTGTCATTGTTCGGGAATATATATTCTGCAAAACATCGGCATTTGTGGGAACTCCCGGTATCCTAGGTAGACATACCGGAATGTTCCCGCCAAGATAAGGTCATCCGCAACAATTTACCGGAGACCTCCTAAATTGAATAGGAACCCCCAGCAAGATTATAAGATATAAAATAGGGTCCTCTAGTATATCTAAACCTTCCCTTTATTATTATCTTAATCATTAAAAATTAAATATTTTATTTAAGATAAATACAATATCTTACCTTATAATTCCTACAGGTTATAAGCCCGGAGACTTAATCAACTAAGTCCTTTACCCAGACCCCCAGAACCCTTATTTAAGGCCCTTAAAACAGATTTTAAAGCAATTAACTATCTTTAAAATGAATAGAATACTTTAATAAAGTAGTTATAGCACCCGGAAAATATACTGTGTCTTAACTTATATTAATAAAGAACTACTAGGATTAGATTAAAGGTCTTAATATAAAATTATAAATTAAAAATATATTTCGTGTAATTAATAATAAGTTCCCTCGCCTTAAGGCCCCGGTATCAACTTTAAAAAGATTAATACTATTTAATATAGCCTAGAAAGCTCAGGATAAGCTTTTTAAATAAAAAAATAATAATACTAAAATAATAGATATTATTTTTGTTTTATTATCTAAAGCTATCTACTATAAGTTTATCCATTTCTATACTATTATAGACCTTATAAAAGCCCTATCTAAAAAATATAAAGTTATATATAATATCTAATCTTTTAAAAGACTTTAATTAATAATAATAATAATTTATTTATACTACAAAAATATAAATAAATATATCAAGAAAATATCCTTAGTATTAAATTATTTTAATAAAAGTCTAAAGAAAGGAGTCACCCTTAATAAGTTAGTTTATATTTAGTTTTTTTTCTATAATTTGGGAGAAATATGGCAGACCTTTTTAATTTCTTATTTTAACTTATACTTTAATAAAGATACTACAACTTATATAAAAGTATCTTAGGTCCTGATTTAAGAAAAGATGCGTGTAAAATTTAACTAAAAATTAATAAATCTTATTAAAGCTAGAACTAGTAAAAAGCTTAGTAAAAACAAGGATAAAAACTAAAAAAATAAAAAAAAAAAAAGAAGAACTCTAAAAATTAAAAGAATAATAATAATCTAAAATTATCTTTAAAATATTTTTATTATAAAAAATCAGACTATAAAAAAAAGAACTATTAAAAAAATACTTTAAAAAAGTCCCTTAATAAATAAAAAACTAATTAAAAAAGCAGAAGCAGCAAAAAAAAAATAAAGTCCTTTAATACTTTATTTAATAATAATATTATTTATATAGTCTTTAAAAGAGGTAACCCTAATAATTTAGAAAAAAAAATAATTAAAATTAATATTAAAAAAGTCTGTTATATAAGCTAAAATAACTAAATTATTAATTTAGGGTTAACCTACTACCTTACTAATAATCCCAGTAACTTTATTACAGGGACCGCGCAGCCATCCTATTATAAGATTTATATAATAACAGGTTATTTAATTTATTTAATACTTATTAGAGATATTAAGTTACTTTTTTAACATTTTATAAAAATCTAAAAAATAATTCTTACTAATATTTTTTATCTCCTAAAGGTAAGAGTTAACTTAATAAGAATTATTAAGATAAACCAGAAAAGTCTTAATATTAACTTCTTCCTAAATAAAGTTATCTTTACAAAAATATTAAATAAATCAATTATTAAATACAGAGATATTTAGAGAGATATTTATATTATAAAATTAATTAAAAATTATAATTTAAATTAGACCTTATTTTAGCAAAATAAAATCTTTTTTATAAAAGAAATAGTTAAAATTCAGCACGCGAATTATCGATTAAAACCTTACTATATTCGAATGATAAAGAAAACGCGTGTTAACTTTAGAATATAGTACTATCAACTTATTTACTTTTTAATTAGAAATATAAAGTGTCTAAACAAAATAGTTAATAGATTAAATATTAAAGGCCTTTTTATACTAAAATATATTTATAAGCCTTACTAAAAGACCTTAATAATAATAAAGAATAGATAAGAAGTGATAACCTCTGTAAAGAGATATAAAAATTATGTTTTTATAAATTTAAAGAGTAATTATTTTAATATACTACTTACCTATAAAAATAAAGCAAAGTATTAAATCTTATTTTATAATTAGTATAGTGGATTTGCTTTAGTCAAATTCTTAAAAATAAAAGATCAAGTATACTTAGTAATTTAGGCGTATACTAATTTTAAAAGAACTACAAAATACCTAATTTAATACTTTTATTCTAATAATAGTAAGGAATTTACTAATTATAAGATATTAAAGTAGGCAGAAGGGTAAAAGATCAAATAAAAATTTACTTTTATATATACTTATAGCCAGAATTTGCCTATTAAGCACTTTTTAAAAACTATTCTTATAAAAGTCCGTACTATTTTAATTAATAGTAATTTATCCTGTTATTTGTGAGCCAAAATAATAAAAATAATTATTTTTATTTATAATATTTTACCTATTCGCGATAAAGAATTAACTTTATATAAAATTAGAAATAATTAGAGGCCTAATATTAAAAGATTAAAGATTATTAGTTATAAAATTACAATTATTATTTCCCTTAAGATCTAGTCTTATAAAAAAATAATAAAAATTAATCTTAAAATATTTAATATAAAACTTATTAAATATATATCTTTAAGTAAGCAGTATATTATCTGGATCTTTTTAATAGAGGAGTTAAAGTAAGTCTGTAATATATAATTTAATAAAAGATCAGACCCAGACCTATATAAAATACCTAATAATAATTATAGGAATTAAAAGGCACCTTTATTAATTAATTTATTATCCCGAAACCCCTATAAAATTAAATTAGATAATAATTTTAAAGATAAGCTTACTTAATGCCTTTTTTTCTAAATTAGTGCTTACTAATTATATTTTTTTTTTATTTTTAAGTTACTAGTGACAGACTAACTGCTAGCTATCTATCTTTTTTATAATAGTATCCTTTTGATTAGCAATTATCGCAGAGATTATAATAGAATAATTAAACTCTTTTTATTTAATAAAACTATTGCCTCTCTACATAAAGATAAATAATAAAAGGCTATAAAATTGGAATTTAACAGCCTAATTAAGTAAAAATTATAAAAATTTATAGATCTTCTTTTTAGCTATAAAGCGCTTCGCGGTTATTAGATCTATAAGCTAAAATTAGATATTAATAATTAAATTTTATATTTTAAAGTTAGATAAATTACTTAAGGCTTTATATAGCAATATAGAGTAGATTTTTAAGATACTTTTTTACTTATAGCGCGCCTAGTGACTATCCGATTATTCTTTATTTTAATAATAGTTATAGATCTTAAATGCCTTTAGGGAGATATTCTATTTATATTCTTATAAAATAATTTTTTTAATAATAAGATTATTTATATAAAATAGCTAAAAGGATTCAAAGATAATTCTAGATATATTTATTAATTACTTTAACTACTTTATAGCTTAAAATAGGCCGTGTGAGTGTAATATCTTACTTTATAATAGAATTTAGCTAAAATAGGTTTCTTTTTAACCTTTATAAATAAATATTTCTTTATTAACTTAAATAGGACTTTCTTAATTATCTATATTAATAATATCTTGACAATTAGTAATCGTAAAACTATTAAGGAAATAATAGTGGCTATCTGAGATACTTTTAATGATACTTACTTTTAAAAAGCTACCTACTACTTAAAAATAAAGATAGAAAAAAATAAAAAGAAAAAAATACTTAAATTAACTTAATTTATATATATATAATATGTTTTTGATAACTTTGATTAAGATTTAAATAAAATCTTATTTACTCCGGCCTATAAAAGTATTAAATTAACTAAATTAACCATAAAAGAACTAAATTTTGATCTTCTAAAGTAATATTAGAAATTACTTAATTTAATTATATATATTACTCTACAGATTTGTCCCGATACCTTATTTAAAACTAAATAACTTATACGATTTATTTTAAACCCTAATAACTTATATATAAGAGATCTAATCTATTTCTTTTAATTTTTTTAATTAATAATTAATTATAGCATTGTTTTCCGCTCTTAAATTAAAGATAAAGAGGCAAAAATAATAAAATAATTAAAAATAATAAAAAAATATATGGATACAGATTTTACCAGTAATCTTAATATACAGAGATCTATTATTAGCTTTATTTTTATATTAGCTAGCAGACCTATTTCCTAGACCTTAAAGCTATAGATTATAATAAGCTTATTAATTTATAAAATTAAATATATTATAATTAGTATAGCGGGCAGAAAAATAATTTAAATTATCTAGATATTTAAATTAATCAGCTTTAATAACATAAAGCTAATAATCATCTATACTAACTTAAAACCCGCTTTAAAACTTGTAAAGAATGCCTAGATATATACCCAAAGTAAACATATTAATATTTAAACCTATTAAATTTGTGAGGCGATTTAGCGCGGTAATATTAAACTTTAATATTTAACTATAAACAAAATAATCGCGAATATATTAATAAAGGTGCTCCCGCGTGTTAAATTTAAATAATACGCTAAATCAATAAGTATTAAATAATTATAACTAAATAAAAATATCTAGATAAAACACTTTAGCTTCAAGATAACCGTTATTTTAAGGGGGTATATAGGAACTCCCGGTATCCTAAGTAGGCATACCGGAATATTCCTATTAAAATAAGGTCATCCGCAGTAATTTACCAGAAACCTCCTAAATTGAATGGGAACCCCCAGCGAGATCATGAGATATAAAATGGGGTCCTCTGGTGTATTTAGACCTTCCCTTTATCATCATCTTGATCATCAGAAATTGAACGTTTTATTTAAGATGAATACAGCGTCTTACCTCGTAATTCCTACAGCATTCAATGCATACGAGATGTTAAGTACGCCAGATATATTCCCAACTCACCTTAACACTACCCGGACAAATCGGACAAATCGAAAGAATCAGAAGTCAATCTCCAGAATCATTTACCCGTAGATAGACTGTACCGCAGATTGTTTAAGGCGGCGACGAAGCTGCGGAGGGTGTATAAAGTGGAGACTGATAACCCGGTACGTTCAAGTCTTGCCTATCTCATGCCTATTGCTATATGTATGTGGCCGACTAATATCCCCAGACCTGGCCCGTCTGCCACATAGCCGACACGGCAGATCTATATCTCCAGATCCTGCGAGGATCCTGCAAGGCGAGGACATTGGGCACGGCAAGAACGGCTACTTCCTGGCTGCGTCTGGCCACGTGCACTGGAACGATGTGTACCAGGCCATGGCGAGCGCTCTGGCCAAGCGCAACGCGATTGATGACGACGTGATCACGCAGGCGGATGAGGACGCGATGGCGAGAATGGGCGAGGCGCTGGGTGTCTCGCCGTCTGCGGTGCCGGTGCTATTGGGTGGGATGTAGGTTTGCTTTCAATTTTATATGGTGAGCATGACGCTGATTTATTTCAAGGTGTCGGTTTACAGCGGATCATGGGGGGCGGATCGGTTGGACGCCAAAGTATGGCCCCAGTCATATTCTGGAGGCGGCGGATGAAGAGGTGGAGTTGATTTTGGGCAGTCTGGATAGCGGCGAGAAGCAGCCTATTCGGTAGGAGGTTGTGATTTCAGGATGGAGTGAATGGAATATGGTGGATACAGGAAGGTTTGTTTCAGGCGCTACGGATTGTATCAGGAGATATATTAGGAGTCAAAACAAACTTCAGATAGAAGAACGAACAACCGATATAAAGAAAAATGTAAAAAACAAAAAGATTGACCGACGCAGGGGTCGAACCTGCAATCTCTTGATTCGTAGTCAAGCGCCTTGCCATTGGGCCAGCCGGCCTTGTTGTGATAGAAACGTTCATAATCTACTTACATATTCCTGCACGTAGAACTACTTACCAAATAGACACAATTGGCACTGCATGCTGGAGCGAGTATCAAGAGTTAGCTCAAACACAGCCTATGTGCCCTCTAATTGATATCCTAGTCGTGCTGGTAGTGCCGCGTGGTGGACCAGTTCATATTTGGCCAGCTCCGATCATTCCTATTGGACGGAACCCGAAACGGGTCTCTCCCGCCCATCCGATTGGCTGGTTTCGCCTCAACATCAATCTCTCAAGATGCAGAACGAGCATCCAACAATCTCATAGACAAGGCATCGGAATGTTCCACAATTTTGAAAGTCAACGTCCGCTGCCGAAGCGTCGCAAGGTCAGCCGCGCCTGTGACTTCTGTCGAGCCCAGCGCGTGCGATGTGACGCTTTCACTCCGTGCTCGCAATGCGTGGCAAACAAAGTCTCCTGCAGTCGCCTTCAATCTTCCGAGAGGCCTTCAGGAGAAGACTCCTTTTCGCATCAGGCGGGTCCAGTCCCTGACAGGGCTGATGACGGTGGAGCCCAGGCCTTGACGACACCCCAGGAGACGCCCGTCCCCGGCCACGAGGATGGCAAAGCAGCCCGAGATGACGCCGCACTGAACAGTCGGCTGGAATCAATGCTCGGATTCATCTCGCGTCTGAATAACTTCTGCTCGGGAATGTCGCAGCTCTCGCAGACGTCACCTACAGATGATCCCCCGCCAGCCTACACTTCGCCGTTTGGCTCGGAGATCCTGGCAGGTGCGAATCCGACGGAATGCGACCTCTCCCCTGCACAGGTTGAGCGTCTTATCCAAATATTCTGGGACCGCCTGCATCCGATGATCCCTATTATCTGCTCCGAGGACTTGAAAACACAATCCCCACTCCGGGATGCGGTGACAGCGTACACAATGCAGTACGTTTTCTACTCAGGTCTTCATTCCCGACTCCTTGGGCTGCAATGGAAGCAGTTTGCAAAAGGAAACCGATGCTCCAGAGTCATCGGCATGGCATACCTGCAACGTTGTCTCTCCAGCGCCACACAATACTCCGTATTCTCAGAGCCCTCCCTCCCCATCCTGCAATGCTACTGCATCATGACGCTCTACCTCCTCGACGCCGGCCAGCACCAAGCAGCGTATAACATGATCGGCCTAGCCGTTCGAATGGCCCGATCCCTGAACTTCGACAGCGATGCCCCCGTCGGCGTCTCCCCAGACGAAATGGACCTCACATCTCGCATCTGGTGGACCCTCGTGCACCTCGACTTTCGATGCTCCAGACACCTCGGGAAGCCATTCAGCGCCCAACTCCCCGTAATCCGATCCACGCCCCCATGCCGTCTCTCAGACAGTCCACCCGGCTCAGACTACTTCCCATATCACACCCAATCCATCCAACTCACCTACCTCGCCCTGGGCGTCATCGAGTCCGTCGCCCGCGACAAAGACCCCCACCGACGCTACGACGTAGAAGCCCAAGCCCAAGCCCTGACCCGACATCTCGGCCGGCTCGATAAATGGCGCACCGCACTCCGCCAACACTCCTGGTTCCAGCACCTCTGTCTCGACGTGCCTGAAATGCCACAGTTCCCTGGCCCTGGCCCCGTCCCAGACCCCAACACCACCACCACAACAACCTACATGACCCAACCCCCCCTCCAACACCAACTCTCCACTCTCCTCTCCCTCCAATACCACGACATCATCATCAGCCTCCACCGCGTCTTCATCCAATTCCCCACCCAACCACTCATCCCACGCAGCAGCCCCCAAGCGGAAGCGCACGCCGCCACAGCCCTCAAACACGGCCTCGCGATCATCGAAACCGTGCACCGCTGCATGTCCAACACAGACCTCTTCTTCGGCTCCTGCGAACTCTACCAGTACCAGTGGAACGCGGCCCTCACGCTGATGGGCTTCATGCTGGCGTATCCCTTCTGCTATCGTTGTCCTACTGCCCGGGGATATATTGATCTCGCGCTGGAGACGTTTGAGTTCGCGGGGCCGAAGAATGATGTCGCGATGAGGGCGGCGTGCTTGACGAGGCATTTGCGTGCGAAGGTTGATAAGTTGATGATGATTTTGAATATTGATCATGGGAAGGGGACGGGTGGGAAGGAGGATGTTCCTGTGGCGCAGGTTGGGGGTAATGAGGTGGTGGTGGAGAGTACGGGGTTGACGCCGGATTTAGGGGATGGGAATGCGCTTTGGTCGTGGGTGGATTTGATTGATCCGGCGGCTTGGCCGAGTTATTGTGATGAGGTTAATGAGGCGTTTACGGGGACTTCGGATGCGGATTCGTTTCAGAATGCGTTTTATACTTGAGGTGTTTTGGAGGTGGGTTATTATGATCTATAGAATTGGAATGTTGATGTAGAGATATTAAGGAATGATCATGACCCAATGAATATAAAGTCGTTACGGGCATAGAAAGGACTTTGACTTTCGGCATGAAGATGGTCTTAGATATCCTGTTGAAAAGCGAAAGAGAGTTGTAACCTGTCTATGAGCCCCTGTCTTTCTGAGCCCCTATGTGTAGAGAGTAAGAATATTCGTTTGAATCCAATTCCATCTATCAATTCACTCTATGATAGACAGTGACTGATATCCATTCATTTGTTAAAGTTAATACATCAATCTTCAACAAAGAGATTCCCATCGTACTTATTCACTTAGCTGCTTAATTCGATTATATCAAGGTCTTCTTCCCCCTTCATCTTCCCATCTTCAGCTCTACTCTACATCTCTCCATCCTACATATTGCAGCCACATAACTTCATTGTATACTGTCTTTCGTCAGTAACGTTCGTCGTTCATACTGTTCCCGAACTGTTTACCGTCAGCACAGTTCGTTGCTCATCTGCAGGCCAAGACAGAGTATCATAGTGACTCGATACCACAGGTATTCTGGAAGCCAGATCAAATCGACAAATGGCGTCACGATATTGTCGGGCCCGAAAGTACAGAGGTACCCTAAAACCTCTTACGCATGTCGAACATCGTGCACGAGCTTTGGGGTAAGGCACGCCTCGCGCTTGAATCGGTAGCAACGGCGTATAAAGGCCAGCAACGAAGCGCTCGGGTATAAAACAGCATTACTTGACAGGATTCCTCCAAGAAGTGAAGGCAGAATATCTTATTTCACATCTATCAATCGGTCCATGTCAAATGGTCATCATGGCGAAGATGGACAAGGCAAACCTGAGTCCCCAACACACTCTTTAACATGTAATAAATCCATTCCGTTGCAACTTATTTAATCGGTGCTAATCGAGCTAGATAAACGCAGGTTTGGCGATATACGCAGCAGCCAAAAGGGCGAATCCCTGACCATAGCCTACTAAAGGAGCATGTCTACGTCGGGGACGAGACGGGGGTACACGGACATTTTAATAACGACATTGACCAGGCTGTCTGTTCCCATGCTTGTCGGCCCAGGCTCGATATTCCTTTCGCGAACTACAATGCGAGAGATACCACCCGGAATCGCAATAAGCCATAAGTGATAAGAAAAAGCGCGATTTGCGCTGAAACCTCTATCCCTGAGCAAGGATAGAATGGCTCCTCCGCTGCAATTCTTTTGCCTTCGTCACTCGAGCTATCAGTAGTCGACAAAATACTGAGTCTCCATCATGGAAATCTATCACGGAGCCGCTGAAAAGTTGCCAGTGCTTTGAAGGCTCTATTGTTGACGTATTCTGCTTTTTAGCTGTATTTCGCTGTACGAGCTACAAAGAAGATATGTACCCTGCAGTTTTGTATCGCGATGTACATACCATCATGGTATAGAAGCTTGGGGGCTTAAGTACAGCCCCCTTTATATATTCTTTGCGGGTCTCTCTACTCTTACACTTGATCGAACAATCTGATTATCTTGGATCTCCCGCTCTCACCTTCGTCTTATTACTTCAAAGGCGATGGATCACCCTCGAATATCCAGTCCTGCAAACGAAGCATTTTCCACTACCCGCCTTCGTGAGATCCCCAAGGCCCGTGGGTTGACCCTCGTCTCTCGCAAAGACGATCATGCTCGTATGCGGTCATGGGACCCTTGTGACCTCGTTAAAGAGGCGAAATAGTTGTGTAGTGATCGAGACTGTGCTCGGATAATCGCTGGAACCCCTAAAATATCTATGAGGGACCGAGGGGCTTGGTATGCAGTTGATTTCACCTCTAATGGTGACCTGAAAAAGAAACGCGTACCGCATGGAGATCCGGTCATCCTGCAAGGAAAAGATGGCCATTCATACATTGCTGTTGCACGCTTTTGGTATGCCTTGATTGGTCAAGACATGGCTCAGAAGGTGCAATGGATAATAAATGGAACGGTCACCCGCAACGCCCAGCTCAACCAACATCTCTGGAACGACCTGTTGCGATACGACGGAGGCTTAGAGCCAAATTTCTCTACAGATACACGTTCCTATGTCTGGGGTGGTCGAATTGCTTTTAGGGACGTACTTTAGAATGCGTCATCCCGGATGATAAAGAATTGCCTCTTGCCGCCATCGTCCGTTCCATCGACGAGGATGGTGTCATGAGCCCGATGCCCACCCTCACAACACTGTTGTGCCGATTCCCGTCCGCGTCCGTTGAGATCGGCCGATGAACTCTTGGCGGACGACGAGCCTCGTGCACCTGCGTGATTCGACTTTTTCCCTAGGTGTCAACTCTAGTGCGCCGTGGTGTAATAGACCCGATACTGGTGTTTACATGCTTGAGAGGGGACCACGACAGTACGGAGGGGGGCTCGCTGCAGGCCCTGGCTGACGCCAATCCTGGTGGGCTACCAGGCCCCGTACATGCGATCCTCCTGAACCAAGTGAACGTCATGCTTGTTAATAAAGCTAAAGAGGATGATGTCAAGATCCACCCGGTCTCTAATCCCATGGTGCAGAGAAAATGTTAACGGCCACTGAAAAGCTCTCTGAGCACTAGAGGGAAGAAGGTTTTGACACGATATGCAGGGAGTCTAAAGATCTCGAGGCCAATCCTCCCGATAATGACAAGAAATATCTCCCGCTCTCAATGTTCCTGCCCTCCACTCCCCGGGTAAATACCCACGACCTGTTGAATGCCACCCTGGAGCTTACCAAACTGGCAGATCACCGAGGCGCAGACCAAAGCAGCTACTCAGTTGCTGACAAGTACCTTTTTCCTTGTGGTTGGATCGTAGCCGGTATGCCCGGGCGCCATTCAGAGACAAGAGGCAGTGATGCGGCGGCGAAGAATGAAGCAGCGGAAATATGATTTGATGAAGTTTGGAAAACTAAGCCGATCGATGAGCGGCCGAGTCTCAGACTCAGTTTGCATGACGACGCAAGGAGAGCTTCGGATTGCAGGAGAGGTAAAGGTGCCCTGGAACTGGTATCTTGACCAAGGAAAAGACCAGACTCGAAAACGCAAGAGGACATACTGCCCACCTGGAGAATGGATTAGCTCGCAGCTACAAGCCAAATCCTGTTAGAAACCTGGCCCACGAAAGAACGTCCACTTCGAACCTACAGAAGCTGCACGCAATTCTCTGTGGCGAGCACTAGGCCGACACCACCCACCGAGAAAGACTCCACCAACGCCGAGCAGACCTTCACTACCACGAAAGAGCGCATCCTCAGCAGTGTCTGTAGACTCGCCCTGCAACCTGACGTCGGCGATGGCGAGCATTCTACCACCACTCATGATGGAGCGATGACCGTCATACTATCCAATCTGATCAATGAGATCCACCCCATCGAAACTTGTCTCTTTCCATTCCGCGTGACAGGACTATAACGCCATAAAGTCGGGCGTAGTTAACCATCTAAAGAAGATTGGAATCACACGTCCAGACTGCGGCCAGAAAAAGAGCCCAGAAGAGTTGTGGTCTCTGGAAAGCAGAAATCCCGAAAGCCGAGAGCCTTGATGAATGCCCCAGTTTGTGTCATCACAGAGAGCGAAACGGACATAAAGATTATCGCCCGAATTAAGAAAGACGATGTCTAGGTCCATCTGCAGATATCACCACGGGCCAGGCTGTTCCGGCTAAGATGGGCGAATTTCGATGATCGTTCGAAATCCGCTAACTCATTGACTGAGAGACCATGACGACCATGAAAATAAGAACCACCACGACCCAAAAGTTACAACCTAAGACTTCAAGTCAGTTTCAATGGCAAAAGAAATTTGCTCTTGATACATATCGTTGGTCCGGACTGACTCATGTCTTGAATGATTGTTGGATAGCCACCGAATGCTGTGGTAATTACTCAATTCTCGTCTGTATTATGACTGCGGGAATGAAATACTCTCTTGGATGAGAGAGAGAACAAGGAATGTTCCAGATAGGGACAATGGCCGGAGTTTGATCGTCATGGAAGGCGTTATGAACAGACAACAGAACATTAGTCTTCCAAAGCTTCTAGTTCATTTTGAGTGGACTCGAATCTTCATATAGTGCAATAATATTAACGTCGAACTGGGTCGGTGACACTGTGAAATAGGTTGCAGGGCAGTTTAGGATTGAAAGCTACCTTACTATGGAAGCTGTCCTGATGACTCGATGCTTACATTATGCAAGTAGATCATAATTCCAATATTAACCTTATATCTCATTATGTAGATAGTTCAAAGAACTAGTAATAAACGGCATTAATATACTATAACATCAGACATGAACATGAAACGTTCGCAGCTATCCAGTCATCCCAACCATCGCCCACGGGTATCCATCACCGACAATGCGTGCATCAAGAAAGCAACGAAGAACCACCCAACCGATCGCGAAAAGAGTATCTTAAGCTGAAAGCTGAGGCTGAACACCGATCAAACGTTGGAATCCACACCCACAACCTCGCTGTGGTGGACCATGCCCGCCTTCGCGGAAACGTCCTTCTCGGTGAGACCCATCTCGTCCGCGAAGGTGCCGTGAGGCTTCCACTTGGCCGACGTCCGCGGCGTGGTCTCCTCCATCATCTTGTCGACCTGCTCCAGGGTAAGACCCTTGGTCTCGGGGATCAGGAAGTAAGTGTACACGAAGGCGCAGGCGCAGAGCGAGCCCCAGATGAAGAAGACCTTGGCCTTCAGGTCGCCCCTGTCCTTGTCGACCATGTAGGGGGTGATGACGGCGATGATCTATTGGGCGTTAGTAAGGAAGCGAAAGGGGAGTTTCCGGGAAACTTACGCAGTTCCAGAGCCAGTTAGAAGCGGTCGACAGAGCAACACCGCGAGAACGGATCGGCAGGGGGTAGATTTCTCCAATGACAACCCACGCGCCGGGGCCCCAGGTGGAGGCGAAGAAGAAAATGTAGATACAGATGAAAGAGATCTCGGCGCTGACGGCGTTCTTGTTGCTGCCGTCCACGGTGCCGACGATGGCGACGATGAACTGGCAGATAACCATGCCAAGAGCACCCCAGAGGAGCAAGGTGCGGCGACCGAGCTTCTCCATGGTGTAGAAGGAGATGGGGGTGGAGCAGACGTTGACGATGGTGGTAATCATGCTGATCAGGAACGGGTCACTGATGGTGCCGAGCTATCGCAGTGATTAGTTCTGAGCGATGACGAAAGACAAGAGAGACATACCGATTGGAAGAAGGTAGTTCCAAAGTAAAAGACAAAGTTCACACCGGTCCACTGCTGCATCATCTGAAGCGAGGTTCCGAGCACAGTACGACGGAGGTTGCTGTTAGGCGAGAAGATGCTGCCCTTGAAGCAGCTCATCCAGGTGGTGAAGTATCCGCCCTGAGGCATGGCCTGCATTTCATACTCGTTGTTGGCAACGATCTCGGCAAGCTCCTGCTTGATGTAATCCGAGTCCTGGGCCTGACCACGAACACGGGCGAGCACATGGGCGGCCTTGTCGAGCTGGTTCTTGCGCACAAAGTAACGCGGTGACTCCGGCAGGATAAACAAACCGATGGCAAGAATCAAGGCCCAGGCAATCTGGAGCGCGATGGGAATACGGTAGGAGCCAGAGTCCGTGCGGTCCTGAGTAGCGTAGTCGACGCAAGAAGCCAGCATCAGACCGATAGTGATGCAGAACTGGTAGCCCGAGACGATGGCACCACGGACCTTGCGGGGAGCAATCTCCGACATGTACAGGATGATGATGGCAGAGACGAAACCGACACCGAAACCGGCGACCAGGCGACCGACGACCAGCAAGGCGACGGAGCTCGAGGCAGTCTGAAGAACAACACCGACGATGAAAATCCCGCATCCGGTAATGATGGTTGTCCGACGACCGAACCAATCGGCCAGATCACCAGCAATGAGAGCACCGAAGAATGTACCGGCCGACAGGATGGACGTGATCAGAGATTTCTTCCAGGAGGGGATAACGAAGGCGTCCTCGGGGGTAGTGTTGTAATCCTAGTGGAGGAGCAGATCAGTCGACGATCTAGGCAGATCATCCGTGCAGGATTTCTTACCAGTCCTTCAAACTCTTCAATGAAGTATCTCATACCCATGACACCGTTGATATAACCGGAGTCATACCCGAAGAAGATACCACCGAATGCCGCAAAGGCACACATGAGGTAGGTCTTCATGGTGACGGGTGCCTCGACACGCGAAGCATCTATTGTGTCGGCCATGGTGGCAGGTGTCGCGGTGAAGTCTTACAATAACAATGCTTCCACCAAGAAGTCAAGGGAGATCCACGGGCGAACTGCTGTGGGCCTGACTGCAAGATCAATGAGGACGAGAAAAGGAATTGGGATCTCGGGGATGTGGGAGGGAATGCAGTTGGTTTTATAATCTGGCGACGGACAGCCCGTCCGTCGGCTCAGAACCGGGCCCGGGGAAGTTTGCCCACGGGGATGCCAGCTGCATGCCACTCGGCTCCCACAGAAATTGGCCCCATATGGGTTGACCACCCCCATGGAAAAGCCGCGTGAAAATTCCGTTGTCATACTCCAGGTGTCCTGGGGAAGGAGGCTAATCTCGGAAGCAGCATAGATCAAACCGACCGCGTACGGCTAGACCTGATGAGGGCTAGCGACAAAGACTGGCACCGGAGCGAGAGCCAATCAACCACGGCCCGGACAGCTGGAGTCATGTTTTACGTAGCATCGGGGTGGTAGAAAACCCGTTATTGCCTGCGGTTCGTACCACCACCTCAGGCTGACTAGCAGGTCTAACCCTGACGGGCCGGCCATGTGCTCTCCCACGCTATCCCCAGACTGGAGAGTGTTGGTGGCGGCATCAAACCAGCGGGCATCTGGCCAAACAGAAGCTCGGGTCTAGGCCGGGCGACCATCGGGCTGCTGGCCATCTGGAAATAAGTCAGGAGCCGCTAAGCCCGGCCTGGAAACAGGTGCGGGCGAGAAAAACTTTGCCTGTCAGCCCATCCTGCTTTGGCCAAGTGGCCGACGACCCCCGGGGCTGATTGGACGGGGTCGACCGGGGTCGGAGATTCCAGCCTACCACGTGTCATTTCCCCATGGACGCCCCACACACACCAGTGCCTGGATGAGGATGCAGTGTGCCACACCTGGCTGGATCCGGTTAGGCTGGAGGTGCAGATTACTGTCTGCCATGGCCTCCGTCTGCTTCCCGTCAGGGCACTCCCCAGGCCGTGGATGTCTCTGGAACCTGGAAGATGCTGGTGGAAAGCATCGTCTCAGGATGGTTGGACAATGTCTGGGGCAACGGACACCTTTCCGCAAAAAGAACAACCATTGGCTGAGGTGTCTCATGTGTAAACGGGGAAGTCAGGCATCGGCGGAATGTAACCCTCATCGCAACCTCTTCCTCCAGAGTCCTCCAGAGCCAAGTCCGCGTATTCGGACGCCACTACGACAATAAGCGTTGACGGTTGCACCGATTCCTGCGCCCTCAGCCTAGCACCAAATCGGCACCCTTCTCGACTGGCGTGTATCCGAGACATTATTCGCTCGGTGGCGTCGCCGTATTGATCTTATTCTTTTATTTGATCTGATTTTTTCATTTCTATCCCCCAACGATGGAGTGGAAGACGGAGCGGGGGAATCAGATCGGACTCCCCGAGGCACACCCCCCAGTTACGATCCCAATCGACCTCAGCTTCCATTACACAGCAAACGCAACTAGAAAAAGATTCCGTCGTACACCCTCCCAAGGACCCCCCAACCCTATCCCGAAAACCTCACAAGAACAACACGCTGGTGCGGGCTGAGAGATGCCAAGGACTTGGCATACGCCGGCGCCCATGGCCTGTACGGGCGTGGTATCAATACCACCCTCGGGGAACTCTGACGGGTGAGATGGCTTGGAATTCCCGATCACAAATGACCGGTCTCCCTCTCTGGTCTTCCGTCTGGCGGCGTTTGGAGTCCTGACTGGATTTGACAGGCCGCCACCCAGTAGGCCTTCTCCGAGCCCGGTCCCGTCCCACAGGGCAAGGTTTGCCTCGCTTACCCAAATATCCTGGGGTCGGCTTACAAAGGAGACCGGTCCTGGACGCGGGGATCCCCAGAATCGCGCCACGGCTCCGATCCGGTGAGACGTTTTGCGTTAGCACTCGGGATCGTGGAGGCGTCAGGATCTTTGCCCTTGTCGTTGCTCGTGGGTGAATGTCCTTCTCCTAGTCTCAAATGGTCTTGCTAATCAAAAAGCTCAGCTTCAGTCTACAAATGGCTATGATCCTGTCAGACACCTAGCCGTCGGAATAGATGGAGGCTCGTGCCACGTCGGAGAATAAGGCACGGGTTCTATTCGCTGGTTCGTCCGTGCCTAGTGAATCAGTATCGCAATAATCTCCGCGCCGTATTGCGTTGGATGCTGCGTCTGACCCCTTTCGCGGCTCCTCGGCTCTGCGGCATTGCGCGCACTTCTAGTCGCGGAATTACCGACCTTCTGACCTTGATTGGTGGGTTCTCGGTCTTGACTCGGGAATCTGTTGCTCTTGCCTATGTGCATAAGCATCTTGGAATGGGTGCAAGCGTTCAACGTGAACAAACCGTTGTCTTGACATCCTGGTGGCTTGTTCACTTGTTCTAATTGACGCCCTCGTACGGTGGACAGAACCCGATGTCCAGTCATAGCTCGTAACACATAGCCGGGATCGATGATACGCCACATGGCAAAGGATTTGAGTGACCGATAGCGTGCCACATGAGCAGTCACGGGGCCTCCTTGAGGCGATTCTGGAGTCCAGGAACTTAAGTCCCACGGCGTACGCAGGCTGTGTAATCTTTGTGGACGCAATGATAGGCTGGAAAGACTTTCTGGAGCTGACCAGTAGGATTGTTTTGGTGTTGACTGTCTTCGGCACTACTCCATATCCGCAGTCCGAGAAGTGCCCGTCCAAACAACGGAGGATTTGCACTAAGCACACATATGGAAGGACTAGCATTCGCCCCATTCTCTGACGTAGTTAAACATCGGTGCAGTTCGCCATATGGCGAGTGGGTGTTACTCCAGAGTAGGGCGCTCGGAAATGCGGGGTAAAATGTGGAGACGACATCAAGTGATGCATGAGTGGGGATGGCTTCATCTCGCTCTTGTGAGCCATCACGCCGATGGCCTGACACACCAGTGGACTCGCAATCATGAAATCAAACGGCGACCGTTATATGCATCCGAGAGATAATGAATGGTCGCCCAAGAACTGAGTAGGCCAATTCCGCTCTTCGTTCTGCCTGCGGGATGCCACTCGACATGCGTTCCATCATTTTTGACTGCGAGGTTTAATAAGGAACGTTGCCGACTTTTTGCTGTTCTACTCGTACTCGTGTTTGTTTCTCAAGACCGCCAAGTTGATGCGTTGCGGAACTAACCGAATCGGGTTCAATCAGCCCATCGGTCCTTGATGGTAGGGCCATTTAGGTGGACAACTCCAACGCTCGGGGTCTGATTCACCGAAGATCAGGCATCTCCAAGCGCTCATGGCGAGACAATTGAGTATTAATGCTGATTCAAGCGTGAAGAACCCCGCAATCGTTCCGCTGCAGGGGTCGTCATTCCTGAGCAGCTACTCGTACTCGTATCCGAATTCCATCCTCGGTTGAATATGTCAGGCTTTTCAAATCTATCGACATCCTCATTGGTTGGTGTTGTTTGCCATGGAATTCTCGAGTGCTGGTGAAGTGATCAACATGCGAATCTTGCAAGGCGCCACTCAAGCCGAAATGCGTCCCTTCTTGCAATTCGCGAGACTTCCAGCGGGGTGAGGAGATGGGTGTTGATCGACAAAGGCTATAAAAGCCTTCCACGGAAGTATCTCAAGATGCAAAGTGACAGGTTAACTGAGAAGCCACTTCCAGAATGGGGGTCAAACAGGCAACTCTTCTTTCCACTCTCTTTTCCGCGGTCATTGCTAGCCCTGCTCAGCAGGTCTCCAGCATTCAACATGTACCCTCGACGCCTTCTTACCTGAGTAAGTCCGACGCTCCTTCAAAATTTCTCGCACTCACGCGACACAGCTCCCGCAATCGACACGGCAAAATGGAACGCTGCGACCGAGCAAGCAAACGCTCTCATAGAGCAAATGAACCTGACTGAGAAGTCTACCATTGTCACTGGAAACTTGGGAGTCGGCTGCATTGGCAATGTTAAGCCCATTGAGCGCATTGGCTTCCCGGGACTGTGCATGCTCGACGGACCGACTGCAGTGCACACCGGAGATCTGGCCAGTGTGTTCCCGGCGGGAGTAACAGTGGCGTCTGCCTGGGACAAGGATCTTTTCTATCAGAGAGGGTTCCTACTTGCGACCGAATTCCGAGGAAAGGGCGCAAATGTTTTTTTGGGGTAAGTGGTGTGTCTTATCAAGCTTCGTATCATTCTGACCAAGCCTTAGGCCCGTTGCTGGACCGTTGGGTCGGAACCCCCTAGGTGGACGCAACTGGGAAGGCTTCTCGCCTGACCCGTATCTCACAGGAATTGCCATGGATCTCACTATCCGTGGAAACCAGGATGCAGGTGTGCAGGTGTCCGCAAAGCACTACGTTGGTAATGAGCAGGAGACTCAGCGTTCCAATACTCCTCACGACGGCAAACCCGTGGACGGAATATCGTCCAATATTGATGACAGAACGATGCATGAGCTGTATGTCTGGCCTTTTGCTCATGCAGTTCGAGCCGGGGCATCGTCGATCATGTGCAGCTATAACCGGCTGAACTTCACATATACTTGCGAGAATCCCAGAGCCTTGAACCAGATTCTGAAGCAGGAGCTGGGATTCGATGGATACGTTGTCTCGGATTGGTTCGCTACTCACTCCGGAGTCAAAGCCATTACTGCCGGATTGGACATGACTATGCCGGGTCCGATTGATCCGTCAGATTTCAGTAAATCCTACTTCGGGGGAAATCTCACCGCGGCTGTCAAGAACGGGACCGTTTCCGAGACACGGGTGAACGATATGGTTAAACGGGTCTTGACGCCGTATTTCTATCTCGGCCAGGATAAGGACTACCCTACGCCCGACCCATCAGTTGCAGGGGTGATGGCGCAGACATATGGCCGAGACTTCCCAGACAGTCCACAAGGCAGAGACGTCCGAGGTGATCATGCAAAATTCATCCGTCAAACGGCCGCGGAGGCTACCGTGCTCCTGAAGAACACCAACTCTTTATTACCGCTCAAGAAACCCATGCCTTCGGTGATCGGGGTATTCGGAAACGATGCCGCAGATCTGACCCAAGGTATGGTGTACGACGGACCTCGCCTTGACGTTCCTGATTTCGGATTCGACATCGGAACTTTAGTGATTGGCGGAGGTTCAGGCGGTGGTCGAAACAGCTATATCGTCAGCCCTCTGGAGGCGATGAAAGCTCGAGCCAAGAAACACGATTGTCGGCTGCAATATATCACCGACAACGCGGTGATCGCCAAGAATGATTTCGTGGGCATCTACCCCATCCCGGATGTTTGTCTCGTCTTCCTCAAGACGTGGGCTCGAGAAGCGGTTGATCGGCTGGCGTTCGAAGCCGATCATAACTCCACTCAGGTCGTGAACAACGTTGCCAGGAAATGCAACCAGACCGTGGTCATCACGCATTCTGCCGGCATCAACACTATGCCATGGGCTAATAACCCGAATGTCAGTGCCATCCTGGTGGCACACTACCCGGGCCAAGAGACGGGCAATAGCATCGCCGATGTCATATTCGGAGACGTGAACCCATCCGGAAGACTCCCGTACACCATCGCCAAGAAAGAAGAAGATTACAACACGGGTATCTTTAACCTCACCGGGCCTTCGCGGACGGATTCCTCTGCCTGGAAGGTTGACTTTGACGAGGGACTGTTCATCGACTACCGACACTTTGATCGGAAGAACGTCACTCCGCTCTATGAATTCGGATACGGTCTGAGCTACACCACTTTCGATTTTTCCAAGAAGGCTTCCTTATCCAAGAAAAAGCTCAACATTCCCCAGCTTCCACCCAAAGCCAGTCAGAACCGCCCGGGCGGGAACCCAGAGCTATGGAAGGAAGTGCTCCGCGCGAGCACCTCTGTGAAGAACACGGGATCCATCTCCGGAGCGACAGTGGCCCAGCTGTATCTTGCCTTTCCGCAAGACTCGGTCCCAGCGGGAACGCCTAAACGGGTTCTGCGAGGATTCGAGAAAGTTCGCCTGCGCCCGGGAGAGAGCAAGAAGGTTAGCTTCCCGCTGACTCGGCGGGATCTCAGTTATTGGGATGTCACTGCTCAGGAATGGAGGATGCCGAGGGGAGAGTTCACTGTTCATATTGGGTTCAGTTCGAGGGATCTGCCGCAGGAAGTTGGTTTCCGGGTTGGATAGGTTCCATCTTCGCCGAGACGATTCGCAGCCCAAGCGAGAATCGAAAGACTAGTGGGGGGTCGATATGGTGATTAGTAGCCAGACATGTCGAGCAGAACATCGTGAATAAACCATCTCATCCCATCAATCCCATCATAGGCTGTGTCAAACAACGTAAACCACCAACATCGCAACCACCACCCCCACAACCGCCCCAAAAACAACCAAATTCCTCACAGCCCTCCGATGATGCCCCTCCATGGTCCTGGCAATCCTCTCCACCCACTCCCTCGGCGGATTCCCACTCGGAAACTCCCGACTCGGCACCTCCTTTCCCAAGAACTTACACAGCGGCTCCCACCCATCCTCCACCGACCACTCCAGCAACCTGTCCTCCCCCAACCCCAACCCCCTCACCATCGCAACATGCCCCTCATACACCCACTTCCCATTCGATCGAAAACTCCCCCGAAAGAACCTAGGCATCAGCGTGCGACACATGGCGTGCCGGGTCCAGAACAAGTCCGCGTCGAACCAGCTCTTCACCCAGTCCCAGTCCACCGGGTTGGCGTCGAAGTACCCCATCGTCTGCTCCATGCTGCGGTACCAGGCGTCGAGATCGCGACGCGTGTTCAGGATGACTTTCGCCTCGGGGTATGCTGCTATCAGCTCGGGAGCGAACTCGGCAGCGGGGAGGTCGCTGATTCCGACGCAGTGGCCGAAGACGGTGTCGAAGTCTGAGGTGGTTAGTTTCATGTTTGTGCCCTGGGAAGAGGTGGGCGATGTGGTGTATTTCTTCTGCAAGAGACGGTAGGTTGCTTCGAGTGATGATGGAGGCAGGATGGAGTCGAAGCCGTGGTAGGTGTGCTTGTATCCGAGGATGTGGAGGGCCTCGCGCAGGGAATCGGTCCCTGATCTGGAGATTCCGACGGCCAGGACTTGCATTGGTTCATGGCGTTTGGTGGAGGGAGCAGGGAGGCCGTAGACCCAGTGGAGGAGCCGGTCTGGGAGGAAGCTCATGATGGAGTATGTGTAGGGTCTGGGTTGTGGTTCTTTAGGAGGTCTAGTAGATGTCAATGCACTTGTTTCAAGAGCATAGTGTCATCCCGGGAATATTTTAAGAACTGACCAGCCCCACGTGGCCCAATGAATTGCAGCCCGCCTCATCATGAAAGTCCGGATGGGAACGTCAGGCAGAAGAATGTCGCCCCCCCGGAAATTCCCTCTTCGGGGATGCCACTAGCCCGATCGGGACGCATGTGCCGCTGGTGGGCGCCAAGAGATCGGCGTCATGCCAAGCCTTCCCTTGACTTGTCCATTGCATCTCGTCTTCTTGTCTTCTTGTTGTCAAGGACATCTCGTATTCAGCTGCGATGATGCAATTCGAAACTGAACTCATCGAGGCGGAGATCAAATGCGCCGCGTGTCACTCCTTCGGGAGTAGATCGTTACCCCCTTGGGACTTTGACTGGTTCCTACTGGTTTATTGCGGTTTTGGCCCATAGAAACGTCGAGATGGGATGCCTGACGTATGCCGAGCTGGGCGCTGCCTTACCGTGTCTGGTAGCTGATGCCGCTGTGTTGGACATATCGAATCGACGAGGCTGAGTCGATGAATAGGGTCATGGTTGTCTATATAAACGCCTTGTTCTCCGCGATGTGGGGGATTCAACAACCCAAGTTAACTCAATTCGACCAATATGAGGTACATTACCACTGCTCTTTTACTATTTTCTCACAGCCTTGTGGAGGCTCTGCCTCATGAATCCAACCATGAGCAAACCTTGCACTGGGCCCCTTGCGATCTCGACTTCCCGAACGCAACGGCGGAGTTGATTAAAACGCCAGTCGACTGTGCCAAACTCCGCGTGCCATTGGACTACACCTATGTCGATTCTGGGGAAACAATCGAGCTGCAATTGGTGAAGATCAACGCGACAAAAAAGCCCGTCGAGGGCAGCATCATCTTCAATCCCGGTGGGCCTGGAGGCTCCGGGGTTGAGGAGGTGTCTACAAAAGGGCCTATGTACAGGGAGTAAGTTTGAAGACCATTCTCTCCGATCGGTGTTAATTGGATTAGGGTTTTTGGTGGACACTTCAACGTGATCGGATTCGATCCTCGGTATGTCTTCGCCCGACTCATCACGACATGGCTAATTAAGCAGTGGCACTGGGAAAACCCTCCCCTTTTCCTGCGACCTGAAGCATCTGGGAAATGCAAAGCTGTCTCGTCGACTCGCCAATTCAACCCTCCCCCAAGCCGACCTTTGGGGCCTGCTGAAGTCCAAAGCCTGGAGCGACGGCGGCTGGTTCGCCGACGCCTGCTACGACAGCCAGAAAGATACCGGCCGATACCTCAGCACGGCCTTCACGGCGCGCGACCTGCTCAACATCGTCGACGCCCTCAACGAAGACGGCCAGCTGCGATTCTGGGGCCGCTCCTACAGCACGACCCTCGGCCAGACCTTCGCCGCCATGTTCCCCGACCGCGTCGGCCGCCTCCTTCTCGACAGCGTGCAAGACCCCCGCGACTACCACAGCGGCCAATGGCTGGACTCCACGCGCGACACGCACATCTCATTACTCAACTTCTTCACGGAATGCATCCGCGGCGGTCCCTCGGTGTGCCCCTTCGCCAACTTCTCCGGCCCCTCCACCACGCCCCAATCTCTGCTGTCCGAACTCACCACCGTCTTTCAAGAGCTCGTCGACAACCCCGTCTACCTTCACGAGGACTACCACTCCCTCTTTTCCCAGCCCTGGTGGCGCCCCGGCCCGCGCCCCCTCCTCCCCGAACTCAAATACTTCTTCTTCAACTTCCTCTACCAACCCGCCTCCTTCGCCCAGCTCTCCCTTGTCACCTCCGTCGCCCTCTCCCGCAACTGGACCAGCTTCACCTCGCCGACGCCCGAGGTCCCCGTCCCGCCGAAATGGAGCGAAGGATCGCAAGCCTTCCACGGCATCGCCTGCGCTGACATGTCCCTGCGCGCGCAGTCACCCGATGATCTCTACTCGTTGGTGCAGGCGGAGCTCGAAACAGGCGGGTTCTCAGACGCCTTCATGCCGCAGCTCTGGCCGTGCTACCAGTGGCGCATGCAAGCGGTTGAGCAATTTAAGGGCGAGTTCAAGAACATTAACACGAGCTATCCGCCGCTGTTTGTGAACGGCGCGTATGACCCTGTCACGCCGCTTAGTGGGGCGTGGCGTGCCGCGTCGGCGTTCAAGGGCAGTCGGTTGTTGGTGCATAAGGGGCATGGGGTAAGTCTTCCTCTCTTTTTCCCTCCATCTCACTTCACCCGATTTCGAAATGTCAATTGGTCTTTGAGGCAATGCTGACGGATGATGTAGCACGGGGTGATGAATCATCCGTCCGAGTGTACGATCAAGGCGATTGGAGCTTATTTTGCGAATGGGACGCTGCCGGAGCATGGGACGGTTTGTGAGCCGATTCAGCCGGCGTATGAGCTTTGGGAGGAGGCGAATGAGGCGTTGGAGGAGCAGCTTGAGCAGGCGGATACTACTGTTTAGGCACTACTGTTTAAGGGGAAAGGGGGCTTACAGGGGGTGGTTGTTAATAGATCGATAGTTTGTTTTTATGTAATTTTATTTTCGTTTTCATTTTGCATGGTATTTCTTTCCATGAGTATATTTTCGTGCCATGTAGGTACGCTCCATTGAGAGGTGGGTCATTAAGTAAAGAGCCAGTGACCATGACTGGATCAGCTTTATCGTAAGACATCCTGACAGCAGGTAATAACTATCCCCCCAGTCCAATAATGCAGATTCCTCAGGCCAACGAGGTCACGTCGTGCCAAGACAGAGCCAGCCCTAAGTCTGACACTGCATCAACCTCACACAACCAGCAACGACGACCCTTTCAGTCTAGATCTACGAGAATTTCTAATTGTCAAGAGAGAATCTACGAAGTGGGAGTCTGGGTGAGTGGGAACTATTCAATTTCTAGCAATCTGGATAAACATCTGGGTTCCCAATCCCTTTTCTTTTTCAAAACAAACAAGCAACAAGAAGACAATCCAAGCCAGCTTGCGTACTGAATCAAACCATTGACTCAATCCAGCATAAAGCACAAGTACAGACAAGGTGTCTCAACAAAGCAAACCCAAGGGTATCGAGAAACAATTTGGACAAGATCATCAAGATCAAGGAGAGAAAAGAAAGGGTATCAAGAAACTTTTGGCGATCTTTCGATCAAGAGAAGAGAAGGGAAGGAGGATCGTATCAAGAGGAATAATTCCGGACAGATCGAGTCAATCACCGAAATATCCCTTCACACAGGCATCAGCCGGACAAATCAGTGCCGTCGCTGCTGCCCATGCCCATGGCCTTCGTACGATTCATACCGCGGCGCCTGGCCAGCACCACCAGCAGAACCAGCAGCACCACCCCCAGCAGCACCCCCAGCCCCAGAAGCAGGACCATACCTATACGACGCCACCTCACCACTCCCAAACCCACCCCCCTGGCGCTCCATGCGCTGATAATTGCCCAACTGCGTGCGACACTGCGCAACCAGATTATCATGCACGAACGACCTCTGCGCCGGATCGGTGAGGGGCCGATTAGCATAGCACCGCACCTGGACCATAAAGCCGTTCAGGCCCGGGTGGCGCGGCAGGTTCGGGTCGTTGGGCAGGTAGAGCGAGTACATGCAGTTGAGGGCGCAGTTGTAGGCGCGGTCGTAGACGGTGCTCATTGGGTAGGGGTGCCCTTCGTCGTCGATACGGCTGCAGGGGAGGTGCGCGTAGACGGTCCCGTAGGTTTGGTTTTGGATTTGGGATTGCGTGGAGAGGGGCGTTGTGAAGCCGTGGGGGTTGGTTTGGTTGCTGTTGTCGCCCTGGCCATGGCTGGAGGTAGATGCCTGGCTTTGGCTCTGGCTGTGACGGCTGGAGGTCTCGCGAGTAGGCCTCTCATTGCCGGGGGTGCGGCGTCCACTGAATGGCGACATTCTGATGGTGGGTTGGTTTTGGTTGGAGGTGAAGATGGAGGTTAGGGCTTGAGGATTGGAATTCGCTCAGAGCAGAGGAGTAGAGGAGAGGAGAGTAGATGTCGAAGGTGGTGAGAGGAATCATGATGGGCTGATTTTGAGGCCATATTTATGCACATTTGGAAGGGATTGGACGGTTTGGATATCGGAGTCTGCCATTACCGTGGTCGAGGATGATCTGCTTCATCTCTGGAGAGATCCGTTTCAGAGGATCATCACCGATAGATTCATAGCGATAGTATATTGTGCGTTGAGGTGAAAGTACCGGTAAACAACGTGATTTGCCATGTTGCCATGATGGAAATAACAGAATTGTGCAGATTGGAGGCCACTTGGTTAACCTACTTGCTTTTAGCGGAATTATTCAATATGATGATCGTGGGTAGGTTTGGAAAGGGAGAAGAGTTGATGTCTAAGAGAACTTGCGCACATAGCTTCATGCTCCAAATATCATTTCTTATTTCTGATGCGATGAACAAAAGCACTGGGCATACTGGTACTCGGTGCTAATATTCCAGGGAATGCAAAATCTCACAAAGAGGAAGACATAGTCCGTTACCGAGTGAGAGTGCATGAAGACTGCCTATATTGACATCATTGTGTTGGCAGAGACGGAGTATATAAGTCAGCAGGTAAGTAATAGCTCTGAATGACCTCAAACCAAGGACCAGCGTCCTACGCTTTATCAGTATCACAATCAGTTGAGCCGGACTGGGTCAGGGCACAGGTTTCATCACTCCCTACCTGATACACTCACGGCATCCCGAATTAAACCAGAGAGCCGACAGCAATGCTACAATCAGACAACATTCCAAATTCAAGCCCATTCATTAGGTCATTCAAATTCATACGAGTCCGTCATCACAACTTCCAACAACTAAACCCTCTCCAAGCTCAAAACCTTACTACTATACTCCCCCTCAAACTCAATCACCAGTCCCATATTCATCAACGTCTTCCCACTCAGCTCTCCGAGCCCCTCAACCCGATACGTCGCCTCCTCGTCCAACCCCTGCAACCGCACCCTCGGGAACGCATGGTTAATCGACGGGTTGACCTGAAACACAAACAATACTCCCTTGTCCCCCTCCTCGCTCACAAACAGCACCGCCGGCCAATTCGACTCCTCTGGCAGCCTCAACCTATACATATCTCCCTTCAGGATCAGTGGCGCGATCTCCTCCGCCTGCTTAATCAGCCCGGGGACCGCGGCGCTCTCGTCCTCCGTCAGCTCGTCAGGGTTCAGCTCTAGACCAAATGAGCCGCCCATCATCGCGACATGAGCACGGAAGAGCACGGGGATGGTCCTTCCAGTCTGGTGATTCGGGACGGCAGAGATGTGCGCGCCCATGGCGCTGGGCGGATACGCCAGCGACGTCCCCAGCTGGATGGAGATGCGCTCGACGGCGTCGGTATCGTCGGAGGTCCAGATCTGCGGGAAGTACTGCAACACGCCGGGGTCGAAGCGGCCGCCGCCCGAGGCGCAGCCTTCCCACAGGACGTCGGGGAAGCGGGACGTCAGGGTGTCGAAGACGTGGTAGATGCCGAGCATGTAGGCGTGGTTGGCGGCGGGGGAGGCGGACTCGTGCATGCCGCGGTTATGGTCCCACTTGACGTAGGTGATGTCCGCGCTGTTGAGGATGCTGGAGACCGTGTCGATGATGAAGGTCTGGACTTCGGGCAGGGCGAGGTTGAGCAGGAGCTGGTTGCGGCGCTCGGTGCGAGGGTAGGGCCCGGCGTGCATGACCCAGTCCGGGTGTTTCTCGTACAGCGACGAGTTGGGGTTCACCATTTCGGGCTCGAGCCAGATGCCGAAGCGCAGGTTGGTGGAGGAGTTGGCGGCCTTGAGGTCGGTGACGTTGGAGACGAGAGGGCCCAGGCCGTTGGGGAATCGGTCAGGGTTGGGTGTCCAGTCACCCAGGCCGGCGTTGTCGGCGATTCGTGGGTGTTCGTCGCCGAACCAGCCGTCGTCCATGACGAAGAGCTTGGTGCCCAGGGCGGCGGAGCGCTCGGCGAGCGTGTACATGCTGCTTTCGTTGTAGTTGAAGTACACGCCCTCCCAGCTGTTGAGCAGCACGGGACGGTTCTCGGTGGCGAACTGGCTCTTGATGAGGTGGTTGCGGTAGAGCCGGTGCAGAGAGCGAGACATGCCGCCGATGCCGTTGTTCGAGTATACAGAGACGCACTCGGGCGAGGTGAGAGACTCGCCGGGGGCAAGGGGCCAGGAGAGCTGGTTGCGGTTGAAGCCGAGCAGAGCACGCGTGAATCCCTGCGAGCCTTTCTCGACGTCCACGGCGAAGGAGCCTGTGTAGACGAGAGAGAAGCCCCATGCTTCGCCTTGCGACTCGGTGGTAGATGGATGGACCAGCGCAAGGAAGGGATTGTGCAGGTGAGATGAGAATCCGGTTGTACTTCCAAATCTGTTGCCGTTAACATCATAATCAACAATATCAGAATGCAAGCTTACCCCTGAGTGCCGTACGCAACTCTGCGTCTCTCGCGACGAGCTTCCCTCGCCCAATCACCCCGGAGACCGATCATGTCGAGATCCTCAAAGGGCAAGTCAACACTCAAGCTAGCGAGCGCCTCGACCGTAATATCTCCCTCCCCTTTGTTCGTGACATTGGCACTGCGCACAATGGCATCATACTTAGGAAAGATGGAGTACGACAGGTCAGCCGCAACGGAGCTATAGTTATCATACAAATGCACCACCAGCGTGGTCACATCGTCCTCACTACCAAACGTAGCCGGCAGCCCAGGTAATTCCGGCTTGCCCTTGATCACCTCGTGCGACTGATACTGCAGATCGCTAATAGCGTATCCTGCAGTCTGTCGAATGCGGATGGCAGGAACGCGAAAGTCGCCTCGTCCTTGGTCGGGGAATTCACGCCTCAGACGACCGATATCGACCCAGCCATTGATTTCGGGCCATGGATCAGTCGGGATCTCTCCGGAGATGCTGCCACCGAAATGATCGGACAGGAGATCCCCAGTGGTATCATTCACATGGAATCGATAAGAGACATTATCACCGTTCAGGGTGAACGTCTTGTCGTCGACGACGATGGCTTTAACAATTAGCACCTAGCCAAATAACAAACCAAAAAAGAACTCACCATCCGAAGCATAATCCTTCGCCATAACGCCCTGCCAGCGACCACAAACAGTCAGAAACGACACCACAGCGCTCGAAAACCTTAACATCTTGCCTGAGATCCTGGAACAGAGAGCGAATTGCCCCGCGACGGCAGCGGACCGACCATACCTTTTATAATCGAGAACGTGGGACCGGTGAAAGACGGTGGAGAAGACAAGACTGGGGATAGGCATTTATATTACCCCGAGCGAGGCAGCCAAGATGCGCGGAGCCCCGGACGATGGACTTTACGAGGCCAGAAATGTGGGCCAGTCAAGACTCCCCCCCGCATCGTGCAGCGTCCAAGGCGGAGGAATGTCGGCGAATCTCCACGAACCAGTCGCTGGTTGGCAGGGGGCAGTGAGTCCTTGCAGGTGGGCAGTGCATTTATTGGCCGGTTTAATGCTAGTTTAGGCTATTCGCTGTTTAGTCGGTTTAGGGGCTACGAGGGTACGTCGTACGATATGCGTGTAGATTAAGAACAAATCAACTTTTTTTTTCTTTTTTCTTTTCTAAGGAGAATACAATCCCTTGACTGCGTAAGAAACAACACTTCAGAGAGACAGAAAAATCATCAAGACAATAAATCATCAAAAGACATGAGAGTCATAGCTGAGTCTTCCTAAGGGCTAAGGGGAAGGAGCCTTCATCGGTTCAAGAGTCGTACTGTACCAGTCCTTGGAATCAACCTCCCCCGGATGCAGCAAGATCCTCCTCTCCGTAATCCTCCACCCACCCTTATCCTTGACAAAATCATCCTCAAACCACAGCGTCCGGGGCATCAGAGGCTTCCCCAGACGCGACAACGTCGAGGCCGCAGTTGCACTGGTGATTTCAATCGAGTGGATGGCCGATTCGTCCCAGAAGTTGCCTTCCCAGCGCATGTTTTTCAGCTCGGCGCTGATCGCGGGAAGGCCCTTAATAATGGGGGAGGAGTGACCTGGGAGAACCAAGACCGCGTCGGAGGTGAAGACGCTGTCGAGGAAGTCGAAGTTCTTGTGGTCAAGGTATTTGCCGAGGAGGACGAGCACGTCGGAGATCTGCTCGCTGTCAGTGGCGGCGGACATGATGTCGGAGGATATTGTGGTGGAGGAGTTTGTATGGGTGCTGTGAGCAATGGAGTAGGAGGAATCGGTTCTTCCTTGGGATGGTTAGAAGGGATGGGAGTTGATGTGCAAGGCGATGCTTTTATAGTTACAGGAAGTATAGGAGAATTACGTTTGCCGGAGAGTTCCTTTTGATTACTCTATACATAAAGTGAAGGAATTGCACTCCAGGTACTATCCATGACGTCCGTTTTGACCTCAACAGATAGCTGGGCTGATGAAGCTGAATCATCCCGTTCTGATATTTCATAGAAGCAAGAGACTATGTCAATAATATCACTTATCGAATACACTTTCATCTTGGACGGTATATATGTCTATTGTGAGCAAGCAAGCCGATGAGTAGGCTAACAACAACAACCAGGGCTTATACACATGAAGCCCTAAGTCATGCTACACTACAGGAGGCCCCATGTCTTGCTGAATGCATGTACAACCACAATTCATCAGCCTCATTGACAGCTCCGGAAGTCTCCTGCTTTTTCTTTGTCTCTTCTTTAGCGTCACAGGCAACAGTTTGGGAATACGGTTCATTGTGCTCAGAGTCTGACATATAAAGGCCTCAGATACAGGGATCAAGAAACAAGAACAAAACTCTTGCTTTCAACAGTATTCCACCGACAATAGCATTGCCATTATATATTTCCAGTCAGCCTGACCTCATCTACCAAAGTCTTGAACTAAGAAGTACTACGAGAGTGGCGAATTCGGAAAACCACCTGCTAACCTCCCCACTAACATCATCACAACAATACTCACTACAAATATCCCAAATACCCATCAACCAAATCAAACCCTTCATCTCTGCCTCCAGACTTCAGTCCGCCAAGGACACTAACCGACCGAACCGTCTAGTTCCAAACCCGCCGGAACCACGGCTCCACCAGCGCAACCGAGCCAATTTCTCTACCCGAGCTTCGATCGCGTCGCATCTCGTCGGCAATCGCGCTCACCTTCCTCCCTTCCCCTGCCCCATCCGGGGATATATCAATCTCAAGTGTCAAGTCCACCCCGGGCTACCCGGCTGATCCGATCTGCTCTCTAACCGATCATCCACAGCCTAGTCAAGTACCGAGATGTCGGGCCTTTCGCAGTCCCGATGGGCCCCGTCGGCGCCTCGACCCGACAATGTTAATCGCAAATCCACCTCGTCTCGAGCCTCGGGGTCGATTTCAACTGCGAAGTCCGATCCGGGTCGTGTGCAGAATGGGCTCGGGAATGGGTTTAGCGTGAACCCGCACTCCAGCTCCAGCCCCAGCTCTAACACCGACATGAGCACGAGCACCATCACCAACTCCACCACCACCACCAAGACCAGCCCCAGCATCACCGCCTCCCAAGAACTCTCCCGCTTCACGAAGCTCGTCGCCCGCCTGCGCTGGAAACTCCCCTTCCTCGAAGAAGGCTACCGCCTCGCCACGCAAAGCGGCTCCGGCACCCCATCCACCGATGCCCCAATGGACACCCCCTACGCGGAAACAATGTTCAAGATCGACTTCCACGAGTACTATGCGCTGCTGGAGCGCGCGATCGTGCACCTCCTGTCCGTGTTCGGCGTGCAGGTGACATCGACGCCTGTGCGCAAATGGCGCGGCAAGAAAACCGGTCAGGGCGTGCAGTGGAACACCACTGCCCCCATCGGACCTGGACCCAGTGGGGCGTCGCGGGCTACGCACAGCTATCATGCGAATGTGCTCGAGACGCTGGAGGATCCGGAGTGTCCGCTGTATGAGGTGCTGGGGTGCGGGTCTGTGCGGGAGCAACTGCGGAAGGCGAAGGAGCTGCGGAATCGATGGAAGACGGCGGATGAGGAGCAGGATGTGGATCGGTGGGGGAGGCAGCGGGCGGTGTTGCCGCTCGAGAGTTATGATTTCGATCAGATCCTGAGTGAGATTTTTGGCGGGCTGGAGGATGGGTATTTGCTTGCGCAGGCGCAGGTGAAGGGGGATGGGGATGGGGCGGAGAGGGAGGTGGAGATGGAGATGGAGATGGATGGGGGGTGGGATTTTATTGTCGAGGCGATGGATTGGGAGGCGGTTTGATCTGTCTTCTTTTTTGTTTTGTGCTGAGATAGGTGGTGTTGGTATATTGTGTATTATTGCATGCATAGAGCGAGCGTTGATCAATACCCAGAATACTGTACGTTCATAGAGAATCGTTCATTAAAAGTAATCTTGTCATCGTAATTGAACATTGGTAGAAAATATAAAATAAGATGGGAAGTGACATTCCACTTTATCAATTCCAGCATCATCGAGCGAACCTCGCCGCCCCCTCGACATCCATCAGCTCGACCATACTAGTCGTATCATCTTGTTGCGACCGAGGCGTATAGTTCACCGAGTAGCTGACCGACTTGGCGATCTTGCTGTTGCCCGCCGACGGTTCCTTGTTGTACCAGTTGGAAGGGCCGGTGCCGTACGTTCGTCGCGTCGAATTGCCCATGATTCCGGGGAAGAAGTGACTGATCAAAGCCCGCGAGGCAGGGAGGCAGGCGCACATGACGGCGATTTGGCATTCGATGACGGACCAGTGGATCAGGGGATACAACCCGTAAGTCTGGTTCTCGCCCCATCGGTTGTTCCAGAAGACGATAACACGGATGATGGCGATGACGGTCAATCTGCGAAGATCAGTTTATGTTCATCGGCTTCGTTCGATCACCACTTACACTGATCCCATCACGAACATCAGGCCCACGGTGAGCTTCTTCTGGATCGGGAGCTGGAGCTTGCTGACTTCGTAAACGGGCATGATGATCAATGCCGTGTCCACGACGATGTTGACGAGACAGTTGACCAGGACGGCGTCGATGAAATTAATGCACTGGCCCTCCTCTTCGTTCATCCACCCCTTCCATCCCAGGTGCGGTGGCACGCATCTCAGCGAGTCGACAAAAGCCCATGTTATGCCGATGGCTGTGTTGACGCCCATGAGCGTATACGCGGAATACCGGAACGATCGGGACTGGAAGATGCGCAGAAGAAACAGGCAGACCGAGATTTTGGCGAGAGAGATTTGGATCTTATACATCACGGCGAGGGCTTCGAAAAGCTTGACGACGTTAATCAGTTTGTTATAGACCAGGAGAAGTGGACCAACCTGATAGAATTTGGTGATGTTGTCGAAGGGAATATCCCAGATATCCTTGCCAAATCCATTCCGAATGCCTGACTTGTTAGATTGCGAGCATTTGGTAAAAACATGAAGAACTTACAGAAAACGTTGAGGACGTAGATAGCCACGGCCATTGCCTGCGCGTGATGGTTTAGTAACGGAGTTATTTGTACGATGAGGTATACCCACAAACGAAACTATGATGGTATAATCGTCCCATCCCCAGCCACCAGCAAGACCGAGGCCTTTGGCTACGATCCTAATTATAAAGAAAATTGCGCCCAGGATCAGGGGCGCAAGAGTCGCGCCATTGATCTCGGCAGGACCTTGGCGTTGCTCGATATCGCATACTTGCGCGGAGAGTCGCGTGGTAACTAGAGAGATTAGTTCACTGTTGTCGGGAAACGTAACAGGAAGCTTACTGAATCTCTCCTTAGTCGTGCAGTTGCTTACACAGGTAAGGAGGTTGTCTCGATTCGAGCTTTCCGGGCAGAAGCAAGTCGAGTTGGTAAGGGCGCAGTTGGGAAACAGCCGGTGTCCACAGTCAAGCTGTCGCAAGGGTCAGTCAGGACGCGGGATAGCGAAATCATCCGTAGACATACTGCACACGAGGGAAATTTGTTGAAATCAGGATCAGCTGCATGTAGCCCGACGACAAGAGCCAATATACACAGCATATAATGGAGAGGCTTCATGTTGGCAGTTAGAACGAGATCCGAGACTGCCGATTATGCACCCCAGGATTGAACTGTCAACAGAACCACGAGGGAATGAAACTGAGGGGTTCTAGAGGGTTTTTCTCCCTTTCGCTCGCTATTATGTACCCATTTTTAGGAGACCCAGAAGTTGTCCGGCTGGACTCTCCACCATGGAGAATTATCCCAAACGAGCAAGGTGAAACCACACTAGATAGGATAAGCTTATCTACCACGATGGCCTCTGGCTGGTCTCTGCGTGGCGAGGATCTCAACCAAGGAATTGGTCCGTTACTTCCACGATGAAGATCCAGGAACTGGGCGGGGCGAAGCGACGGCGAATGGTGGCGGCCGTTAGCCGTTGTCCGAGGCTCGTTGTCGGCTAAACCTATGGTGAAAATATCTACTCCGTAGCAGATCGATTCCACACGAGTCCATCATAGAGTTTGGGTCGAGTGAAACCAAGGCAATCAGCACGCCGGTCTTGCGTCTTGGCACCCACTGCGAGTCGACCAGGTCCGCAATCGAAGCGCGTGTCGGTGTTCTGGTGATCTTCTAGGTGACCCAATGGGATTTGATTGGAAACAATGACGGTCCCAGGTGGATGGTGTGCGTTGGGTACTTTTCTTTTCATTTTTCAAATTTTTTTTTCATGTTGTTTTCTCCAGTCAATGTGGGCGGAACCAGTGCAGCTGGGTCCCTGAACTGCCGCCCTGGAATCAATTTCCATGAGTCAGGGGGATAGGGCTTAACCTTTTCCATTTTTCTGGTTCCCGGGCGAGGTTCGATTCCGGGAAAAGATCCTCTCGGACACGGACTGAAATCGGAGTGGCGTTCACGTGGCTTGCATCTATTGAGCCTCCGCTGATAAAGAATGCTCTGGCCTCGGTCAAAGTGCGTTCCAATCCACGGTGGCGGGCGCATTTTCCATTCCGGCGAAACCCCGAGCGATTTTCCACGATCTGGTATGCAGTCACCACACGGCCAAACCAGATATCCAGTCAAGGGTCTGTTCGCAGCTGGGCAGTGGGCACCTTGATGTCCAACCGGTCTAGAATAAATTTGGCAGGAGCATTTGGCAACGGTCAAATTGAGTTTGCCCTAAGTGCCATGTATATTAATCCTGCAAGCGATGTCGGCATTGCGGAAGTTCCGGTTCTTGACTCGCAGCCTGACTAAGTGCCGCTTCATAACGTAATCGGGGAGTCCTTCTGGAGTATATTTATGATCCTTATGGCTCAATGCCAACATCGCGGTTCGGTAAGTCACCGGTTAATTGGGCTCCGTCTTTATTCTCCACGCTCTGATGGGGTGAATACTGCAAGGCCACAATGACCACTTCGTGCGTATGTTGCAATAAGGAGGCGGGAATTTGATTGAAGCCTAGTGCGAACGCTGGAGGCCACAGGATTTGGAGCCGCAGCCCCTAATTGCCGGCATTTTCGATTTGAACAACTACCTTGAAATATTCTCTTGGCGTACTTTTGTCTGCTATCGGGTCATGCCGACCGTCATCAAAGGAAGGATGCATGATCCACAAAGTGCGAGAGGCCAACGAATCCTCTCCCTGCGATCAGCGAGCCAAGGGCTTTCATAACGATCTCCGCGGCGTATATTTTGGAAAGCTTTTACGGGGAGATGTGCTAGCTTGCAGCTCGTCCCATTTTTCAGCTAACTATCTCAGCGACCGAGGCGTGTGAGCATGACGAGGACCATGACGAAGTCGGAAACCAAGTTCCTGCGTATTCCGTATGGGGTTACTCGCCACAATTGGGATTTTCCTCGATTCAAACGCACAGCGACACCAGGTGACAATCGCTGCCTTCTATCGTATCGAAAGGACAGCAAGGTGACCATGTCGTCGATGGAGGTCCCGGACATGATGCGACATTTGAAACCTTTCCCCTGAGAAAGGGTTAACCCCGTTGAATCCGATGGCGATCACGCGGATTCAACATCGGCAGCTAGGCAATGACAGAAACGGTAGCAACATTCCGTACAACGCTCCGACACGGTTTTGTCATCGCGATGACGCAGATAGGCCCCTCTGGACCTTTAGTCCAAATGACTTTTTCGTCTGACCGAAGGGAACAGTATGGAAGACTACAGGACGCTGAAAATCAGAAGCACATCGAAAGACGGCATATCGAGAGCATCCCATGAGCCGACGACACGCGATGATCGAGGAAAAAGATCTACCGGTAAATATTTGCCGCCATGAAACTATCTCTTTACGTGGAATCGATATTGATGACATGCTCCGTCAGAGGCGTATAACTTGGAGCATTTGGCGGGACTGGTACAATATAACAAGGAACTCAGCATGAAGCCTTCTAAAAAAAAAAATTCTAGGCGTAATCAGTATATTAAAAGCGAGTGACAAACCAAGTATGATTGGTACCCTGCCCTTGCTAGAAGCCCACAATATAAGTGGATGCATACTACGGAGTACTCCGTAGACTATAGCAATCCGTCGTTCTAATCGATTCCTTCGATGGGCCCGGTATTCGCAATTTAGCATCCATGGCAGAGAACAGAGCACCCTGGTTTTCAGGTAACGAGGGCTCGACAAGATGTTGCAAAACTAGTTGCCATCTGCATCTTGATGAACAGGATTTGACTTGTTATCGAATTTTGCTGAGAATATTAACTCAGGCGCAGGAGATAATACGCCTAAGCCAAGACGATGTGGGTGGTCCATCCGGACGAATGGATAATATAAATGAACCCCTGTGGCTAGCTGGGAGTGACGCAGTCTATATATTAATCCTGTAGATCGCGGGCGACAGGAATCCGAGTACTATAAGCATTCGAGATCCTTCTTACGGTGATCATAATTTAGATCACCGGTTGTTTCAATTCGGAGCAGCGACCGTCGAATAGTGGATGACTAGGTCCACTAGTTAGTTTGACATCTGTCGGAGAATTTTGAAGAGGTCAAACCGTTCCAGGCGCCCCAAAGAAAGCAGAAGGGGCTTAAGGCTGTCAGGGGGTTGATGGACAATTTTAGTTTCGTGAGTATATTGACAGCAGACAACGTTGGCAGAAACATTCCGTCACTGGAGTGTCTTCGAGCAGACTGGTTGTGGTATCGGTATCAAGACATGGTTCATCAGATGCTAATGTATCTTAGGGTCTCGATCGCAATAAATTTCAATTTATGCGATGTGTGATCTCAGATCGTTCGATCGCGATATCGAGATTTGTGGACGAAGATTGTTGTTTATCGTGGGCGGCGGAACCGTGGGTGATCGGATTAGTCATGAATATATTACTAAGCTACATCACCTGATGCCAACGTGCCACTTCCAGAATGAAGCTTCAATTTCTGTTCGAGATCAAATGATGCCTTAGGTTCCATTCCTTTTGTCTTTCTTGATCCCTTCCTCATCCTTCAATTGGGTGTTTTCAAACACCATGTCTGGGGCTGTAGCCATGGATCCCTCAGGCGGCAAATTGGCGCCCGGAGCTCGACTAAGTTGCGAACTATGCTCTCAAAGGAAGAAGCGTTGCGATAAATTGAACCCATGCTCATATTGCCAGCGCCAAGGTGCAGTATGCAAGCCCGTAGTGCGCCCGCGTCTGCCACGCGGAAAGCATCGGGTGAGCAAGGATGGACCGTCGGCAGAAAGTGACAGCGATTTAAGGGCCCGCGTAGCAAGGCTCGAATGGCTTCTCCGGTGCCGAGAACAGGAAGAAGGTGGCGTTGGCTTGAATAAAAGCCCACTGAGATCAATAGAAAAGTCTGCCCCTTCCCCCGCAGCATCTGGAAATGCAGAGAATGGTCCACGTGCCAGCGAGGCTGATCGTAAGAAAAGGAATCAATATATTGGCGGCTCGTTCTGGAACGATGTGATGGGCCAGGTTAGAGTTGCCATTCCTAAACCCTCTATAGTGTGCTAATTAGTCTGCAGAATATTGATTGTTCTAGGAACCCCCTCAAGTCGGAAAATCATATCCTCTCATCTGTACTGCTAAGTCCTGCTGACTCTGATGGAATGAGCTCGAGTGGCATCCATGACCCTTCGTCTTTTACGGTCCAGAGAAGCTTAGTCGAAGTCTTCCTGTCTCGAATCGATCCAGTATTCAAGATTATACATCAACCTTCCCTCAGGGCGTATCTATTAGAGGGCAAGCAGTACCTTGACTATGAACGAGGACATCATGCTCCGAATACACTCGCGTCTGCTATCTACTATGCAGCTGTTTGTATCCTGAACGACCAAGAATGTAACTTGCTTTTCCAAGAGCCCAAATCTGCAGTAGTCGCGAGGTATCGGAGGGTCTGCGATGTGGCGCTATTTCGGGCGGACTTTATGACAACAAATGATTTAACTGTTCTCCAGGCCTTCATGATATCATTGGTAAGTCCGTCGTCTATAAAGACTACCTCCATTCGCTTACGCACATAGCTTTCATATCGGCTTTTGGATCAAGGCCGACGTGTATGGACAATGCTGAGCATGGCACTGAGAGTTGGTCAAGCGTTGTTCCTCCACATCGTGAATCCGCCCTTCGAAATCCGACCGCTCGAGATGGAATTGCGCAGACGCGTCTGGCATGCGATCGGCATTCTGGATGCCCAGTCGTCCCTCGACAGAGCCACGGAGCCAATGATCATACCCGCTTGGCTCGAGCAAAACACGCCTTCCAACATTAACGACGGTGACATCGGCTTTTTCACTGACGAACCCCCGCTAGAAAATGGTGGGTTCACCGACATGACATTCAATTTGCTAGTTTTAAAAGCCCACAAAACCATGCGAACTCTCAATTTTTCCCGTTGGACACAGCATGGGGTGATGGACATGGAAGACCGACAGACCCTCGTGATTGAGTTTCAGAAAGAAGCAATAAGGCTGGTTTCGGGCTGTTCTCCAGACACGAGTCCACTCCAGTGGCTTGCTGTTAAGACAGCGGAATGCTTGATTGCTTCATTGCAGCTGGTAGCCCTAAGGCCGCTGCAACGGGATCCGGATTTCACACCCCCGCAGGTCAAGAACCATGGTCTCCTGAAACTGTGCATAGACATTCTGCAAAGAACACAACAGCTCTCCGATGACCCTCACGTAGCTCCATGGCGCTGGTTTCAGGAGTTATGGGCTCCGTGGCATCCTCTGTCGGTCGCTCTAGCCGAAATTTGTGTTTGTGACGATCTTTCCGTGATGGAGACGTATTGGCCTGTCGTGGAACACTCATTTCATGTCGTTGGACCTGCCGTTGCGGATTCCAAAGAAGGGATGTTGTGGAAGCCGATCGATAAATTGATGAAGCAGGCTGAATCAAAGAGAGAATTCCTCATGAAGATCCCACAGCAGCAACAGCATCTCCATTCAGCGAGCCAAATCACCCAGACCAGCCAACCACAAGACGTTCAAATGAGCGCAGTCTCTGATACACCTAGCGCTGCCGACAAGAGTCTACCTGCCATCGAGGTCAATGGGCAAAGCACTGAAGGCTTCGTCCCGTCGAACGACATATGGGACTTATTAAACTTTGAAGACTGGACAGAAGACCTTGGCCAAAACTCCTGGTCTAGTTTTACGAGCTTCCTCGATGAGTTGTATGAGGCCGATGACTCAATTTTGACCTTTGGCTGAATGGTCTCATCCATCTTCACTGTTTGTCAGCAGACAGTGAACACCATACTTCACATCAAGGACTTTGGAGCGTCGGCGCAGAAATAACTGGCCAGCGCAGATACCGCAGGCTTACCCAGCCAAAAAGTTGGAACCGCGCGCACCATCATCAAATGATGGTTCTTCCGACCTCAGTCTTAACTGTCTCTTCTATTGTACTCTGGCGAACAGAATAAGAAAGTGGTTCGAGCGTCCCCAGTGGCTACCATCATTTCAGATCCTTACATGCACCTTTTAGGTTTAAGGGTGGGAGCAGATGATTTCGAACGCCCAAAAGAAAAGGAATCAATGGATCCAGACTTATCCTATCCGAAGACTTCGAAAGTCTAATGAGATTTCATCATCGCAGAGCGGGAAATCCGGGGTAATGCGGAGATGTCAGCCGCCAGACTAGGCCTTCGGCTGCGCAGCCGATATCGAGAGTTCACTTCCGATTGCCATCGGATGAACAGACAAAGAAGTCGGATATCCCGCTAATCAGAGCAAAAATACCAGGAGGCGTTCTGAATCTTGACTAACCAGTCATCGTTCTCCATACACACATTTATTTGGGCGGACCATGGTTGAGTTTCGGGCATTATCTTGGTTCTTTCGGAAGGGAACTGACAGCTTCCCCGCATTTCTAGATGTCAGAATCCTTGACCAAATCCCGCACGCATATAAATTCAGTGTTGGCTCAGTACTGTATGAACGAATAGTCGTATCACTTCATGTCTTGATGACCTCCTGGTTTGATCAAGGAATTCCTGACTGTGAATCATGACTTCGGACAACGATCAATCTGTATCTGAGAAAGGGTTGGCCGGCTTTAAAGAGTTCTCGGCCTGTAATGCGGCTGGGGAGGGCCAGGTTGCAACTGATGAGTATGTGCCTGGTAACCCGATGGATGATTCTCTGCTTACGCCTCCAGATATGGCCATTCGCTCATCCAACTTGACCCCAAGGCCGAGTCACGGTTACGGACCAAGATCGACTTATATGTCGTTCCGACTGTAGCTGTACTCTATTTATTCTGCTTCATTGACCGCGCTAATATCGGTGAGTCTCACCGCTAGCCACATTCAATTGTCTCAACTCATCGTGTGTAGGAAACGCCAAACTTGCTGGCTTCGAGGCAGATCTCAATCTGACCGGAAACGACTTCAACACCGTTCTCTCGGTGTTTTTCATCGCATACATCATATTCGAAATTCCCTGCACGATCGCATGCAAATGGATTGGACCAGGATGGTTCATTCCCGCGATCACACTTGGCTTCGGGATCTGCTCTTTAGGCACAGCCTTCGTGCATACCATCCACAGTGCCTCGGGCGTGCGCTTCCTTCTCGGTCTTTTCGAAGCTGGAATGCTTCCAGGAATTGCATACTATCTCTCCCGCTGGTATCGACGCAGCGAGCTTATCTTCCGTATATCATGCTACATTGTCATGTCTCCACTGGCGGGGGCATTCGGCGGTCTCCTTGCATCTGGCATTCTCAAGCTTGACCATTTCGGAAGTCTGCACGAATGGCGCATGATATTTGCCATCGAAGGTATCGTCACCATCGGCCTAGGTATTATCTCTTTTTTCACCTTGACCGATCGCCCAGAAACTGCGCGCTGGCTGTCCCCAGAGGAGAAGAATCTGGCCATTGCGCGGGTGAAATCCGAACGTGTCGCGACATCTGAAGTTCTCGATCGTCTGGACCGCACGAAGGCAATGCGAGGAATACTCAACCCCGCGACCGTCGGTGCAGCTTTAATGTTTTGCCTGAACCAGATTACCGTCCAGGGATTGGGATTCTTCGCGCCCACGATCGTCAAAACAATCTATCCCAATTCAAGCGTCATCTCGCAGCAACTGCATACCGTTCCACCCTACGCTGTAGGCGCTTTTTTCACCCTTCTTTTCCCGTTTATTTCCTGGAGAATCGACCGTCGACTGGTCATTGCACTGATTTGTGCGCCACTCATGATGATAGGGTATATCATGTTCCTCGCCACAACGCATAAACCGACGCAATACGGAGCCACGTTCCTGATCGCCAGCGGATCATTCACTTTCGGCGCCCTTGTCAACGCGATTGCCTCGGCCAATGTGGTCTCCGATACCGCACGCTCGTCCGCCATCGGCACGACGGGATTAATCGGAAATATCGGTGGACTGATCTCAACGTGGTCGTATATGGCTAAGGATGCTCCTCTGTACCATGTAGGAAACGGACTGAATCTGGCAGCTGCGTCTGCCACACTGCTTGTTGCTATTGCGTTGCTGCTGTATATGACATGGGATAATCGACGGAGGGAGAAACGTGATGTCAGAGCTGAGCTAGACGGTTTGAGCCAGAAGGAGGTCGAGGATTTGGATTGGTGGCATCCCGGATTTCGGTGGAGGCCGTGATAGTGGAGCATTGTTGTTGGATGGGAGTGGGATATGCCACATTGTTTATTTCCTGTCCTGGCAGTGATGAGCAAACCAGCCTGCCATCGACCCATGGATACTTCCGATTTGCAAGGCATTCAACCAATCAGTGACAATTTATCATCTATCATACTAGGAATTCTTTGTGGCTGCCCTTCCACTATCTTCATCCTAACAACTGCTACCCCACTCTTAACTAGCTGCCTCAAAATGGCACGCAATAATCGTCTGAGGGCCTCACTGCCTTTCAAGCTGCTGTTCATCCTCCATTTCCTCCCCGTGGCATCCCTCCGCCTCTTATTCTACATTGTTTTCTATGCTTTCCGCTTTTCGCGCCCCCGCTGGCCATACAGGCGCTGCATCTCAGTCGAGATAATCAAGTTGTCTGTCGAACTTGTCTACGGCATCGACTACAAAGCCAAACTGTCCCTGAACCCAGACAAGGAAGGAGATCAGTTCATCAGGATCAAACCTCGCCTCGATTGCGTGTACAAAGACATCCTCGATAGCGCTGAAATCAAACCCGCAATAGTCGGCGCCATCTGGTACCCAACCCGCTACAGCAACGCAGACACCACCCAGAAAATCGTCCTCCATTTCCACGGAGGCGGATACATAATATGCGATGCTCGCGAAGACGACTGCGGCCCCAGCGCTCGCTCCCTAAGCCGACAGTTCGACGACGCCCCCGTCCTTTGTCTCGACTATCGACTGGCAAATACACCCAACGGGCGCTTCCCTGCGGCCATCCAGGACGCAGTCACGGCGTATCGCTACCTCATCGAAGACATGAACATTGACTCGTCGCGGCTTATTCTCTCTGGTGACTCTGCGGGCGGGAACCTCGTTCTGGCGCTCTTGCGTTATCTTTCTGACAATCCCGATGTGCTGCCTCTGCCTAACGCGGCGCTTCTTTGGTCTGCTTGGGTTAATCTCTCTGATATGAGCCATGTCGCTCGCAGTGTTAATAGGGGTATTGATTGTCTGAACGCGACGTTCTTGGAATGGGCTGTGGACGTCCTGACGGATGACGGGAGGATTGTGCCTAGCTCACATCCGTATCTCTCCTTTGCGCAGTCTCCGTTCTATGTGAAGGTGCCTATTTGGGCGATGGTCGGGACGGCGGAAAGCTTTTATGAGTCGAATGCTAAATTTGTGCGGGAAATGCGTGCTTTTGGAAATGTGGTGATGTTGTATGAAATGCTGGATGCACCGCATGATGTGTTTATGGCGAGTAGGGCGTACGGGTTGGAGCGGGAGGTCGAAAAAGCGATGAGAGAGGTTTGGGGAATCATTCAGAAGGGTGCTTGGTGATTTGTTTCGCGCTTGGTATCCGTGGTCTGTGTCGACACAGCGTAGTATGTTGATAGTCTTGAATAGATGGTAGGCTTCTTGATTATCTTTATCCTTCTGGGAGATCTATTCATACTATTTTGAGACACCCAAAGCTCACCATGCCAATGACAAGTTTTACTCTGGACCTCCTGAATATAGAAGCGATACGTCCGCCTAATAATGCCAAACCACGCTAGTTGCTCTGATAACGAGACATCCAACTCGGAACGGGTGAAAATGCAGCGGACGAGCATGCAGTTATAAGAGATCCAATCTTACCACACTGGAAACACGACACGACGCCTCATCACTTATCCGCGCTTGTAAGTTGGTGAGTCACAAAAGTCAGCCTATTCAACGCCATTCGCAATTATGACGATATACTTTGGACTTCAGAAAGTTCCCTCCCGCCATAACTCCCAATCATGATCCACCATCGATACAGCAACTTAAAAGAAACTACAATCTCATCATGGCTTGTCAGGCAGCGCAGAACTATTCCCTGGACTCGTATGGGGCATTTCCAAGCTACCGCACAAACCCCTTCTGCTATGCCTGCGCAATGAGGTTCGAGAAGAGTTGGGGGCCGAAATTCCGCGGCGATGGTATCTATCGAGCCAGTGAGATGGAATATTGGTTTTCTTGGCAGGCCATATATCGTCTAGGTGCGTTTTCACAGATATTTCCTTCCTAGATGAAGGCAGATATCGGTCCTGGTACTTACATGTTCTCAGTTCTTTATAACCCTACCGATGGCACGACAACTGTGTCCGGTGTTTCTCTGTTTGCTGGGGCCTTTCAGGCACCTTTGGATCCGGATGAAGGTCTGATTAGAACGTCCGCGGCTGGGGAACTCGAAGACCGTATAGCAAAGCCCAGTGTCATCGAGCCTTTTCGAGATATGGACAAACAAAGGAATCTTGTGGGGTTCCCCCTTCATGTTACCTGCTGGAGACTACTGAAAAAAAGCAAGATGGGACGATATATTGAGACGGACTTAAATCTGATACTTGACGCTATCCGCCACAGGTCTAGGGACACGGGCGTTGGGGGATGGGCATATGGCTTTCTTACTGCTACACCCGGTCGTGAAAGACACGGTAAGCAATTCTCTAGCCAATTCGAATAAGAACAACGCAAATGATATTATGGTGTCACTAACAGCGGGGTCCTGCAGATCCCGGAGACTCCAATCAGATCCTGGGCCTTATTCACAAAAGCCGCCAAGAGAGAGAAAAACAAATCACCGTTGAAGAAAACAAAAGACCGCAAGAGCCCCGGGACTGCTTGTTTTCTCGGCTTCCGCTCGAGATACAACATAAGATTATGGATGACCTAGAAGGCCGAGATGTGCTGGAATTACAAAAGGCGCTGGACTGGCAGCTTGATGAATCCTACTGGCGACAGAAAATTCGGAAGACGCTCTATTTCGAGATTCCGGAGGTGATTGATCAGAGTTTAGATTGGCAGTATCTCTATTTCCAACTGGAGAGCCTGGCCAACACTGACACGATGATCATACGGAAACATATCTTAGACTCGCTGAGCTCATTACAGGAGTATTTCTTTCGGAGACTAAGATAAGAGATCGCGGTGCGCAGGAAGTTGTTGGATTTCATTGTTCATGTTGAGCTGACAGGCGTTATGGTACTTGCCTGTGGCTGTTATTGCTTTCGCTCCATATATTGCTAGCCACATGAACCTGATTTAAGATCCCTGATCGATAGGATATATTTATTGTAGGGATACGCGGGTGAACTATCTGTGATAAAAGACCACCAAGGGAAATGTAGAGCCTTCAACTTTGTTGGCTTGGTCTAGTCCATTCACTCGAAGGCGACTTCCTTGACTCGATCCATTGAATGCCAGATCCATGAGGCCGCTATTTGCATCGCTCCTGCCTGATCCTGCCTGGTCACGTTGTCCTCCCCTCGCATTTCTTCTCGCCCTCACACACACTCTCTCTCTCTTTCTCTTCCATCCTCTTCACACACTTCTACCTCCACTCCTGGACATGCACCCACTCCGCCCTCCATCGTCATCCCTTTTCTGCCCCTACCATTCTTTCCTTTGATGCTGTGTGATATTCTAACAATCAAACTAGCAAAACCAGCCACAGAGAGGGCAGGTCCAATTCCACCCACCTAGCTAGTTCTATATAGATTTCTTTTGTCTTCAGCATATGTTTAGCCACCGCCGGCAAAAGGCCTCTCAGCTTCTCCATATAGCTGGAGAGATACACAGCTGGCGGAGAACAAACTGCAGGATCTGGTTCCGTCTCTACCTGCCCAGCTCGCGCTGAAGCCGTTTGGCATTCTATCAGCTGCGGGTAAAGGTTCCGAGATACATTCATTCAGTCGAGGATAGTCTGTTGAGTTAGCGAATGCAAATGTTTTCTATCCATTAGAACACTCTTAGGGACATGTTCTGCGATTAGAATAAACAGTCACAGGGGTCCTTCCATTCCGACGTCCTGAAAAAAACAGAAGCAGGGGATTGTGGGTCATGTGCTCAGGGCTTGAACTTGCCGACGACGTCGACAAGACTCGCAACTTCACCCCCTCTTCATTCTGCAGAGATGGGGACCCAACGATTCCAACTCCTCGGAGCCATGAAACGATATCTGTCGCAGTCTCGATCGCAAGCTCCTAAGGTCATCCTCTTGCCAAATTCAACAAAGCTTTGGCTTCAATTAGATGGACAATAGCTGACGTTGCTCTTTCTGCATAGGCATGCCTTCTTAAGTATTCCTGAAATTGTGTATTCGCTATCTAAGAATCACCTGGATGTGAATTCCCCCGGATGCTCCATACCATCTGACTGTCCTGAATGATGCCAAATGCCTCACGCAATGGAGCTTGCTGACCATGCCGACCGGCTGTGGGAACATGGCCACTAGGCTCATATACACGGTGCAATAGAGTGGCAGGGCATGACGTTTCTCGGGTGACGGGGTAAGATAATGAAGCAGGAAAAAAGTTCAAGACGCGAAGGCGATCAAAGAAGCCAGATACTGGGTGAAATGATGACTTGAATGCGTCCAAACTTGAGTCGTGCGATCCGACTGGATCTTTGTCGACACCAAATCATCAATCGAAAGCATGAAATGTCGCTGTCATCAATGGCTTGGAAAAGACCACAAATGTTCGGGATAGATGTTGCAACCGATGTCATCTTGCTGTCGAAGAATGCCATGAGCCCTGTTTTCGACCAGTGGGTTGTTCGAATGGGCTGGCCAAGACCACTCAGACCGATGGCTCTGGGAATTCCCAATCAGTTTCAACACTCGACAGAGAGAAAGTTATTCCAAGACAGTGAGGTGGAGTCAAGCTCGATTGCCTCATCGCCTAAAATAGTTGACGCTTTGCAGGCAGAGCGTCCAGCTAGGCCAAATCGGAGTGCAGGACTTGCCCATTGAACATTGTGCGGGTGGCAAATGAAACACCATGGATCATCAGTAATCGAACTCCCAATACTACCTAAACTCGTCAGTTTATTCTCGCTGATTAGCAAGCCGCGTGAGAACGCCTACTCGCACCTACAACAGTGGAAGAAACCCAACTTCCGAGATAATATCCAGCATTTCTACGGCGTTTCACTTTCTCGCGTTTGAACCCCTTGGTGTTGATGAGTGTCGACCGAAACCCAACTCCACTCTCGATCTTCGCGATCCGCCCCACAGTGTGGATAGACTGCTGCCAAGCGCACGAAACATGCAGAGAACCTGAAGATTCCTGGTGTCACGCGAACAGCAAGGAAAAGGCTTCATGATTTATCCATCGATCATATGGGCTAGGTTGCTATTCGGCATCAAAATGAGGCAAATGAGGATCACCAGGGAATGGAAAGTTTCTTAACCGCCCTGTGGCTAATGTTTTCTCTTTCCAGCTATCAAGAACGCCGCCTATTGGCGTTCTACTTTGCCGAAGAAAGCCTTAAATTGAGTCAGAAACTTTGAAACTGAATAGGTGAGTAGTCTTGAAAATGCCAACAAAAACTGACGACCCAAATTATCGAGCCAAAAAACAAGGAACAGGCTCTTCCTTCTTCGCCTCTTGTGATATATCATGACTGAAGTTCCACAGCTCCAGATCTCTGGAAATAGTCACTCGGCTAAATAAGCAGGAAGCTTTGCAGATCGGCCAATGACATTGTTCAAGATCGAGCACTGACGGTCAGTGTGTGGGATATGCGCCAATCTGACATGTCCATCATTACTGTCGATCTTGTTCTTCACCAACCACAGACAGATCGCGAGTATTTTCCGAGGTTTTTCTTTCGCAAGGAGATTCAATTTTTGCCGAGCCTTCCCAAATATATTGTCTTTTCTCCATTCCTGAATAATTTGACAGGTACATTTGACGGGTGATAGATAAGAAGTGGCTTGTCTTCCTCCGGTTTTTGGCGTCGTCTATAGTCGATAATTGGCAAATGTGGAGACTCCAACTTTGACAAAATAGGACTCTTTGTGATACCATTCCTGATTTCATGACGTCGGGCCCTCAGATTGGTCGGCAATGACCCCTGAGAGCTGTCCCCTGAGCTTGGGGAAGGTCTTTTAAATGATGAGGGTGTCAGAATTTCGAATCCTTCGGTGGTTGCGCCGAGTAAGCCCGTCCAGGAGACACGACCTACACAAGGTGTTATTCGGTTTGACCATGGCTGACAGCTCTACCGCCGAACAAAGCCCTGAGCTTGGGTATTCGCACGATAATCTTCGTCATGTTGTCATTACAGCCACTTGCTTTGCTCTCATTTTATCGACCGTCTCGGTGATATTGCGGCTTTTTTGCAGGGTGGTGACGAAGACCAAGATGTTCCTGGATGATTATTTGATCATCGTTGCACTTGTAGGTATTCCGTTCCGGCCGAAACTGCTGTACATGCTCACTCTGCTAGGTATTTTTATATGCGGTCTCATTTTCTGGAGTAATACGTTAGCGGACCCGACGCACGCCTATGTGACTTGAAGCTGACTCTGCAAAGTACTCTACAACGGCCTCGGAACTCATATCTATTTCGTGCCTCCACAAGAATTGGTCGTGTACATGAAGGTATAGAACAAAGTCAAATCTAGTGGGATAAAAGCTTACCAAACCAGACACTGTCCACGGGCAGTTTCACATACACGCTATGCATCGCCTTCGTCAAACTATCCATTCTTGCCTTTTACAAACGATTGTTCCCCATTAAGCCCATGGTCCTTGGTGTCAATGTTGTCGGATCTCTCGTCATCCTGTGGGCCTACGGCGTTTGCCTTGTCGGCGCATTAACCTGCATCCCCTTCCGAAAATTGTGGGAACCTACTACCCCCGGCGGCTGCATCGACCTTCCCAAATTCTACTACGGCTTACAAATCCCCAATATCGTAACTGACGCCATCATTTTGGCAATGCCAATGAAGGTCGTGTGGAACCTGCATGTGCCTAGGGCGCAGAAGGTGGCGTTGTCGGGCATTTTCCTGCTCGGTTTCTTGTGCGAGATCCCCGTTGCTGGCTTAGTTGAGTCTTTTGCTGATTCCTCCAGGACTCTAATTTTTGACATCATCCGACTCGTGGCAATGGTCGAGCTATCGGAGGCGGGCAATGATATCACATGTATGTCCCTGGTCCTTGCACGTTTATGTCTTTATCATCTGACCGGTCTTTTTTTAGATGCACAAACGCAACCCAGTGTTTGGACATGCATCGAGCCGGCCGTCGGAATTACGGCGGCCTGCTTATCGAACATGCGGCCGCTATTCAAATTCTTGCCCGACATGCCTAAAATTCCTTGGCCGCGAAGTTTCAGAAGTTTGAGAAGCTTTACCCTGTCCAGCAGCGGGAGGAGGAAAAGTCATTCGGGGAAGCGAATTCGGACAACCACGGTTGTCGAAATCCACAGTCGCAATAGCAGCAAATCTGCAAGCTCTGGCTGAACACAAACTTCTCCGGAGCAGCCAATAACGATACCACCTTTTCAACGCCATGGGGAATATTTTGGTCACGAGAATTTCCGCATGTTTTTGGGTTGGATAATGCCATTAACGCTGGCAGGAACTAGGTGATTTGGGCTCTAGAAATGCCATCAGACTCCACAGCCAAGCTTCACTGCTTATCTTGTTGCTCAGCTATCCGCAATTTTTCTTGGTTCCTATTGGAGGATATGCAGATATCTGTTCGAACGCCCTAAAGTTATCGTCCTTGGGTAACATCGCGTTCTATAACAAGGCATCTACGCGCCATAAGCAAATATAGTTCCATTTTGTTTTGTTCTATGCGGCTGTGACCGGCGCAGGATTCACACCATTGTCATTGCAGAATCATCGGAGTGCCAACTCTTTTGAAATCAGGACCCATAGAATTAGCGCCTTCCCCTTAATGGAGAAATATCCCACCAATATATCATTTTCATGACTGGGCAAGAGCAATTATGGCCTACACTGATTGTTAGTTCTCCGGATTAGGTTGGTCTAGCGCTACTAGGCTTGGCTCTAACAACAAGACAACTAATTACAAACAAAAGGGTGGTATGTCCAATTCCATGTCTTGTACCCTCTGCGGCTCCAGACCTTCAAGCGATTGGTCTGTCATATTTTCCATCAACCATCTAGAGTTACGCATATACAACATTCTCCGGGGACACGGCAGTCAGGGCCCTACGGATCACGAGGCCTGGATTGATCGCACCTCATCTACGCTCCGTTGCAAATGCAAACTAGTCCTGACTATCTTGGAAAGGAGACGGAGAAAGATCGTTATTAGCGTGTCGCGTGAAACGGCCGCAATGAGTAGCACCTTCAAGAACGCGGACATCTATCTCAATCATCCATGACTAGTGGCCATTTGCGTGATCCAGCCGGCTTAGACTGCGGGGCCAGTCGCCACTACTTCTCGGGAGATGTGCAAAAACAGTAAATTGGCCAACCAGTCTCTACACATTATTACTCCGTCTGCCGAAAGGATCAGGATGCAGGCGTCCACGATAGGCTCATGCCCCATGGCCCAGCCCGCTACGGATGGACCACGGCTCCGGCGGAGTCCACCGATGGCCCAATTTATTTGCGTGCTCTCTTTCCGCAGTCGCGTCAATGATGCAGTTGGTAAGAGCTAAAGATCCATGGCAGCCAAAGCAGACCAGGATTACAACCGGAGGTTACAAGAAGGCGTTGGTGCATGTGATCCTTGGCTGGCAGCCACTTTGTATCGGATTTGAAGCCCAAATCAGAGGGCCAATCACTGCGAGGACATTAACAATTGTCAGAGCGCTTCCTGCAGTGTTTCTCCTCAAATCGAATGTTGGATGGACGCAGTGGTGCCCGCTAATTCAGGCACCCCGCCCGGTGCAAACCAAACAAAGCCGTCTTGGCACGGCTGATCAGGAACGGCTTCATCTTCTCATTCTCTCCTTTCTCTGTCTTGCTCTCTTCAAGGTCCTTTTGCGTAGATCTTAAGGTGCGTTTCACTCATTTCCTTGTCGCGCCAGGAACACTAAACGTCACTATGCAGATCGGCATTGTCACTGTCTTCCATCTACCGGGGAACCTCGGAACGGAACGTTTCCGCTGCCGCGCCAAGATATACAAGACGCTGGCCCTGGATAGAAGGATGCACGGAGTACGTAAACGCAAGGCCTATGAACCTTGCCGACACTCTACAAAAACAAATCGGCAATGATCGACAACCTTCTCTTGCACGGTGCGCATCATATACCCTGGTCGCCCACGGAGGCCCGATGAATACCCGCAAATCAGAACGACTGCATTAATCACTCCCGACTGCGCCAAGCCGCCGATGGTTTTGTGGATAATAAGCTTGATCCACGGAGATTTCAACCTCTTGTGATGGATAAGATTGCACGCCACGGCGGAGTCCGGTGCAAGCAAACTTGCCAAGGAAGCTACCTCTGCCTAGCTATGGCTCCGTTGCTTGTTAGCTTCACCTCGTTTCCCTTTTATGAGCGTTTGCTTGGCGGATTTTTGGGGCCGCGTCGTCAGCCCGTGGTGATCCTGGTCTTCTTGTCCTCCACCTTGGCTGGTTGGCTTCCCGAGAAGCCCTAACATGAGCCTGTGGCGAGGTTGACTCGCTCTTCGGCTTTGGGCCATCTGCAGCGCCCGTCACATTAGACGAATTGCCCTAATCTATCTACGTTCGTGGTTGGAGCCCTCTCTACATGGCGGGTCCAATGTTGGCCCTCTGCCGGAGGTCGCTGAACAATATATGCCGCCCTATTCGACAGTCTAGAGCAGTCGAAGTCAATCTATATCGGCTGTGTCATCATCCATGGCAATCTCCTCATTTCTTGGCCTTGGAGTATCCGAGTCGACTGGGGTGGGAGTGCAAGATATAAAGTCGGCCTGATCGTTGAGGAATTGTTGTTCATCCATCAAGGCTTTCCTCTTCAGCTTCTCTCCTCGATTCTCTGCTGGTCTTTTGTCTTCGGCGCTATGGTCCATCTCACTCCTGCCCTTGTTGCGGGCCTGGTTGGTCTTGCAGGTCTCGCAGCGGCCCATCCGGGTCACGACGTCAAGGCCGAGGCCGCGGAGCGTGCTGCTTTCCTCAAGCGGGCTCCCGTGCACCACCGCAGTTTGAACCACTGCACTGAGAAGCTGCGTGCTCGTGGCCATGAGGCGCGTAACGTCGCTCGTCGTGAGCTGACTGTTGAGCGGCTGCGTCGTCGCAAGGGACTAGAGACCCGTAAGCTGTCCTTTGTCCCCGATACGTTTACTAGGACTACAAAGCTAACACAATCTAGGCTCCACCTATCTCAAGGCGCGGGACCTTGACGAGGCCCTCAACACCTCCCACCACTCCTCCCTGGACGTGGACCAGACCGTTGACCCTGCTGTGCTCTTTGCGTCCAACGCGACCTGCATTCTCGGACCCGACACCACCCAGGGTCCTTACTGTTTGTCTTTCCACAATTCCCTTAAGCACACTTCTGGCTAACCCATCCCAGACGTCACCGGCGAGCTGATCCGCGAGGACATTTCTGAGGACCAGGCTGGTGTTCCTCTGTTCCTGGACTTCCAGATCATCGACACCAACACCTGCGACCCGGTTCCGAACATCTACATTGATGCCTGGCACTGCAACGCCACCGTATGCTCACCCCCCACCCTCATCTGAAAGTAAGAAGCAACCACTGACCCCAAACAGGGCGTCTACTCCGGTGTCGTGGCCGGCGGAAACGGCAACCAGGGCGATGACACCAACCTGGACGCTACCTTCCTCCGCGGCGTCCAGAAGACCGACACCAGCGGCGTTGCTCAATTCGAGACCATTTTCCCCGGTCACTACACCGGCCGTACGCACCACATCCATCGTAAGTCTGCTCGCTCTCGTCAATCACCTAACCCCAGCTAAAGAACCAAACCAGTGCTCTCCCACGCCCCCAACGGCACCACCGTCAACGCCAACAACACCCTCTCGGACCTCTTCACCGCGCACGCCTCCTACGTTGGCCAGACCTTCTTCGACCAGGACCTGATCTACGAAGTCGAAGCCACAACCACCTACGCCGCCAACACCCAGCCCCTGACCACGAACGCGGACGATGGCATCCTCGCCGAAGAAGCCGACGTCATCGACCCTTTCATGCAGTACGTCTACCTCGGCGATAGTGTCGAGGACGGCCTGTTTGCTTGGATCTCGCTGGGTATTGATGGCACCAAGTCGAGCGATGTTGCCCCGGCCGTGTGGTATACTGAGAATGGTGGCATCGAGAACCCGAACTCTGGCGGCGGTGGTCCTGGTGGTCCCGGAGGCCCTGGTGGGCCCGGTGGGCCGCCTTCTGGTGTGCCTTCGGCTTAGGGGGTTCGGGATTTAGTTGGTTGATTAGTTGTTGATTAGGACGTTTTGAGGGAAGGGGCCTGTGGTTGAAGAGATGTTGTTTAGTTGGTTTGTTCTGGTTTGATTTGCCTTGATTGGATTTGAGGATGGGAGATGAAAACGCTATACCAATAGCCATAGTCTGTCGTTGAATAAGTGCTAAGTAGGTAGTGAGCTTTCAATCACATACATTATCTTTCTCCATGCTACTCAATCTCCTAAGCCCATATCGAAAAATATTAAATATTCTTATTTCACTTCTATATCTTTACATTATTCTCAAACCCCCCCCCCCCCCCCCCCCCCTATATACAGTCCCCCCTACCCAGCAGCATACGGACTCAACTTCCTCAACTTCTCACCATACTTCCACAAGAATATCGGCGCCGGAATCCCCAACGCCAGAGACACAAACGCCAGCAAACTATTCCCCCACCCATACTTCAACCCTTCATACATGTAGGGCGCAAAAAGCGGAAACCCGAAGCCCGCGAGGGACCGCAAAAACGCCGCCGCGGCCAACGCACTCGCCGCGAACCGCGTATACGCATCCACCATATACGTCTGGATGCACTGGTACGTGACGATATTGCCCATCCCGAACAGACACGCCCCGATATTAGGCGCGATCCAGTGCGTGCGGTACTGTGCTGTCCAGCCGTAGATGAAGAGGCCGGCGGGGGTGAAGAGGGCGGCGAAGGGGAGGAGGGGGACGCGGAACTCGGGGCGGCCGATGCCGTTGTTGCGGGCTTTCAGGTGGCGATAGATGCGGTCGTTGAGGGGGGCGCAGATCTGAGACCCCAGCCAGAAGCCGAGCCCGAGGGAGATGTAGTTGAGGCCGCCGATTCCGGTGGATTCGGCGTAGTAGGACGGGCTGGTCCAGAGGGCTGGGAAGGTCGAGAGCACGAGATACATGATGCCGTAGATGTAGGCCATGTAGATGGCGAGGGCCTGGACGATGGGCTGGGTGGCGAGGAGACGGAAGGGGCGGACGAGCGCGGTGCGGAGGACCTGGGGGAGGGTCTTGTTCTGGCGCTCGGCGTCGGTTTGGAAGGATGGGTTGTTGGTTTCTTTGCGGAGGTGGTGGGCGCGGGCGCGCAGGATCTTGGGGCCGTAGGTCTCGCGGAGGAAGAAGAGGCCGGCGAGTTGGATGACCCCGTCGGCGATCGAGGTCGAGTAGAAGACCCAGCGCCAGGTGGTGTTTTCGGCGATGAACCCGCCCGCGATGGGGCCCACGGCGGGACCGAGGAGGGGCGCGAGGCTGTAGATGGCGATGCTTTTGCCTCGTTCTTCGGGGACGAAGCAGTCGGAGAGGACGCCGCCGCCGACCTGGATGGGTTAGAGACTGAGGTAGCATGGTGCAGGGGGGAGCTGGACTTACGGCTAATGGAGCACTGCCGCCTAGGCCAGCTAGGAATCGGAACACGATCATCTGTACCTTGGTCTGGGCGACACCGCAGGCGATATTGAAGACGAGAAAGAACAGGTTGGCAACCTGCAGAACGATAACTCGGCCGTAGATTTCGGAGAAGGGACCGAGAAAGAGCGGGCCGACGGCATAGGCCAGGACGAAAACAGAGAGCGTAAGCTGCGAGATAACCTCATCCTCGATATCGAAATCCGATCGAATGGACTGCAGCGCCGGAGCTACCATAGATGACGCCACTGGTGAGATAAACGTGAAGAAAGAGACGGTAACCACCGCCGCCCATTTCTTCTTCGCAGGCCAATTCTTTGGATTTTCCGGGTCATCAGGGCCATCCCACGTAACCTGATTGTATCAGCTATGTCCACACAGACATCAGACGAGGTGGAATACATACCAGCGTTGGATCCCGGGATCTATCAGACCTCGCCGTCTTCGACTTCTCCAAACCAGCAGCAGGCTGGGTATTTCGCTCCAGATCATAATCTCGCTCATTCACAATTCCTCCTCGAACTTCGAGAGCCGAGTCGACCCTCCTCGCGTCATCGGCGTCCTCCGAATCCTCAGGGTCCTCATCACTGTGATAGACCGACTGATCGTCTATATGTCGACCCGAATAGATCCGGTCAATGCGCCGGGTACTCCGCACAGAGCGTGATCTCGACCTCGTGTGAGCAGACCCTCTCCGGTGTGCCTGTCTAAATTCGGACCTCGACTCTCTCGAGTCGGAATCCGAGCTAGAAAGCGACGTTGACCGTGACCGAGTTGAGCCATGAGGATGTTCCTCGGGATTCGCCACCATGATCGATCAAATCCTAAACCGATCAGGGTCAGAGACAAACGAACATAAATCTCATTCAACGATACTCCGCATGGATATCAAAGCAAGAAAAGCCAAGACCCGAAACAAGCCAGAAGAACCAGGGAACCAACACACTTATAGCATCTTGTCACGATCAGCCCAAAGCCAAAATTTTCTCCAGCCCGACCACACTCCTAAACCCCATCGGCGATAACGAAGCGCTTAATCCCGACCAGTGGAGACCAGAGCCGAAGGGTCCACAAACGCCGCGAGCAGCCAACAAGCGCAGAGGAAATCTCCTCGCCAACGTCCTTGCAGCTGCCCATTGGCTCTGGCGAAAGCTTGACAGGGAACGGGCGCTGGAAAACGGAGAAGTCGGGGGTCGGAGATCCGTCATTCTCTTTGAATCATTGGGCTGGGCTCGGGTCTCGGCACGGGAGTCACGTGGAGCTTATCGATAAGGGAGGAGAGGGGCCAATCAGGAGAGTGGGTTTTGGAAAAGGGACTGTGCAGGCATAAAAGGCGTCGGGGCCTGGGGCTTCCTTTTGTGTTGGCCTGGGAGATCTGCCTGGGGCTGACTCTTGTGCCGATTTGCCGGCGGAGTTTACAGACAACGGAGTTTATACTGATGGAGTATTTAAAAATAGAAATGGTGCTTATGGGTTTTCATAGATATCCTCTGAGTTGTGCTTTCAGCTGTAGTGATTCCTCGCCAGATACGAATTACATTGTCCATGACTCACCGGCTACTGAGATGTAGCTATAGCTACCTCCATCACATACTTGCAGAGCTAACGGCGATAAGTAAAGAAAATCTAGCTCTATTGTTCTTCTGCCTCTTTCGAGATCACCATTTATGCGCTCAACATATATCGACTACATTCGTCTACACAGTTCGCAGACACTGCTGTAAATATCTCTCTACTCGACCCACATCCTCCAATGCTGCCACCGTGCCAACATACCCATCTGGCCGGATCACAGCCAATGCGCCTCTATCCTGATCCACGCCGTAGATCTTATATGCATCGTCGATCGCACTACCGTCGTGGAAGCGCATCTCGGAGTATTTCTTCAGCTCGGCGGGCACGTCGCGCCAGGTGAAGGTCTTAGACAGTCGGGGATGGATCACAACCTGTTCGACCACGGACGGCGGGAAGCGAGGAAGCACGGTGGACCCGAGAGCCGTTAACGTCTTCGCTGATACTCCATCGGCATCGAGAATATCTGACGAGGTCAGGCACAAAATGCGGAATCGGCCGGTTGAGCGGAGGTCTACATAAAGTCTCATTAGTGATCTGGTTACCTCAGGATAGGAAGGAATCGTACCGTCTTGTAGGTGGATATGAATCCCGTCGGCGTGTCTCTTCAATTTCACGTCAAGCAGTCTTCTACCAGGTCGAAGAATCCCATGTAGGTAATCTGTGCCTTGGATTGGGTTTTTGGAATCCGTATCGTGAGTTTTCTCGACCGTTAGGTTTTCCGGGTATTCGATGCCGCAGCCGCTGGTGAATCCATTACCTGTGCTGAACACCTCCATGAACTGATCATGGGTCAGTCCTTCGATGCTGTCTCCGGTGGACGCTATCTTCCCTGAGAACATGGAGGAAAAGGCGCGGTCGAATGCTATTAGTTCCTGGGCTATCGTGTGCCGCTCCGTATGGTAGGTGTCCAGGATAGAGTCTGGTGTCTCCTTGCTCTCCGAGTCAGCTGTAAGGCCTTGAATGGAGTAGGCCAGCTTCCAAGCCAGATTGTATGAGTCCATCATAGACACGTTCATGCCTTGGCCAGCCTATAATCTAAGTCAGTCAAAAGTTTGGGTTTATGGACCAGTATGACCAACCTTGGGGCTATGTGTATGACACGCTTAAGACATCATACCAGTCAGCCAAACTCCATGTAAAATCCATCAGAAAGCCTTACCGTCTCCCACGATAAACACCCGATTGACACCTTTTGAATCCTTCACTGCAAACTGGTTGGACACTCGCTGGCCAATCTGGTAGGCCGCCCACCAATCCACAGCTCCCTCCTCTTTGGGTCGGATGTAATATGGGTTCAGAGCATCGACGGCTTGCTGGAAGATCCCCTCCACCGTCACCTTTCCCCTTCGCTCCCTTGCGCATCCCTTCTGGTTGCCATTTCCGTTGATTTTAACCTCTTCCTCAACCTCTTCCTCCGGTACCTGAACGTACAATCTTGTCAGGTAGTCTCCCGTCGAAATCTGCTCTCGCGGAATAACCATGACCGACCCCGCTGGCGAATGAATTGCGGACCGCCGTCGAATATCCGGGAAATCCGTATCGACCACCAAATCCACAACGCCCCAAATATGGTCCGTCGACTCGCCCACCAACTTCAACCCCATGCACCTTCTCACGACCGAATGCGCCCCATCCGCGCCAACCAGATGCTTCGAGCGAATAGTTCTCCGCTTCCCTTCCGTCTCGATCTCCGCGAGGACCGGAAACTCTGCATCCCCATCCTCATCGATGCGCACATCCACGAGCTTCGTATTCCGCTGCACTCCGCGCCCAGAATACCGCAAGAGATCCGTCTCCAGGATGCGCTCGATCCGGCCCTGATGAATCGTCACCTCGTGCTGGAATCGCGCGGGCACCGCCACGTCCGGCACGATTGAGGTGCGCTCAATCACCTCGTCCGTGTTCTTGGATGGGTTCCAAAACGCCACCTCCGCCATGTGACAGCCATCGTTGAGGATCTCGTCGGCCAGGCCCAGCGATTTAAGCACCTCGAGCGTGCGCGGCTGCAGTCCGTCTGCTTGTCCAGATACCAGGGTGCCGGGTTTCGCGTCGATGCAGAGAAGCGAGGCGTCGGAGAGGCCATATCGCGCGAGAAGCAAGTTCAGTATAAGGCCTGCGGGACCGGCGCCGACGATGACGACCTCATATTTCTCGGCGTCGGGATTGGCATCGGGGGTGAAAGCTGGGGAAAGGCGGGGAAGCGGAGGAGCGAAGAAGGGCAGCACGCGAAGGTCGCGAGACGCGGAGGCGTGCTCGGTGAACACGGGCATTGCTGTCCAGAATCAGGCAATTGGTTCAATTCCAGTCAAATGAAGAAAAAGAAGAAGAAAGAAGAGAAAACCTACCCGGCCCAAGCACCGGCGATTCAAAACATCATATATACCCGCAAGTGGCCCGAGGGCGTGGATCACCGCTTAGTTCTTGAAAATCTCCAAGTCGAAATTGGCATGCGGGGTTTGGACTCCTGGATCATTGACGCGAGGCGTCTTGAACTCCATTGTTCCTCTCCCTGCCCGGGATTGGTTCCAAGTTTGGTAGGAGACCGTTTCCAGGCAGCATGAGTACCTCTTGGCATCAACCCATGGGAGGATATGCTCGTTGTATGCACGATAATGGCAGGGAGTTGGAGATCGCTTGCTGACAAGTCGCTTACTTGAACCTCACCAATCCTGGGCTGATCGGCACTTGTGGAGCCCCTTGCTCCACTCCCCTTGTTGGGGATGGAGTCCAAGGTGCTGACCGATTCTTACCTTATGATTAGTACTGAGAAGTGAGCATAGACTGTACGATTGTTGCGGTCACAGCAAACAAAAATAATAAATTCGATACTGATAACAGATAAAAATAGAAATAAGGATAGAAACAATACTGCATCCCCCAGATATCATCGCCACTCGTGTCATCAGAACACAGAGTCTTTGCGTTGAGTGGGCAGCAGGAGTTGATGATAAAACATCAAATGTGCGACGCAACAAAATCTCAAGACAGGCCCGGATCACGGGGTCTCAGTCATGTGCTGAGAATCAATCAGCAAACGAAGACAATCCCTCCATTCCATCCTGCCATGAAACAACAGCCACACAGATGGACGCTTGAAAGCATCAATCAAATTGAAAGGACGCATTTTCCTCCGTCATCGGTTAATCTAGCCCGGACCTTCACAGACAAATGCCTAACACCCAGCCGATGGACAGTTACATCGCCATCTTTGGCCACCCTGGTTCCGACAATCGCACTGGGAGCAAACAACAGCGCTTCTCCAACCGTCAGACGCACAATCTTGGTAAAAAGCGATTCTGCCTCCTCTTCCTCGTTTTCGTCCTCGAGCAAAGCCCCAGACTTAGCGGCAAAGCAGTTGTCGGAGGCACCGGCCAGATGGTGATGGAGGATTCGAAACCACTCCGGTGAAGTGAACCTATGAACGATGGTCACGGAGCACAAATTCAAGAGATCAGTCGAAATAGTGGGTTCCTGGGTTGAAATGATGATGCGCACCCCGAGATGGCGCTGTAGTCTAACAACGGCCAACAAGGCTTTTGTAAACGCGCTAGCTTCGGCGGATGAGTTCATATACTATTACACAGGCTGGAGTCAGGTCCTGAAAATAGAATAGGGAGATATGAAAGAGCACTCAAGAGGGTGATTAGGTGTAAGTATGTACATACCTTGTGAGCTTCATCCAACGCAACTACACGACCCACTGACTGATCTTGTTCCAGAAAAATGCTCAAGCAGATATCAAACAAGCAGCAAGCTGTATCTGGCGAAATGCAGGGGCAGGATAGATCGATAATGGTCAAGCGACCGGCCTATGAGAGTCAGCGTGGCTACCGGGCAAAACATGATGATACTTACCACAGGATCCCAAGTCGAGCCACGCCTCGCGGTGACATTCTGCTTTCTCTTTTGGCCACCACTGAAAAACCCAGCCTGGGGCTTGGGCATAAAACTCTCCAAAGTATCAAGTCGCTGCTTCAAGGGCTCGCATTGGGCGTTGGTTAGGTTGGCGTCCAGTAGGCGACTTTTGAATTCCTGGTACTTGAATTGCGTTCCTGTCTCCTGCTGCTCAATACGAAGTTCCCTTAAGATACGCAACAAGGTGTGCATGTATAGCGGCATTCCTGTATCACTTTGACTGACAGCCATAAGGTTGAGCATTCTCTGGGTATTCAGATCTGTTTCATCAATTTGAAGTGGCTCGACTGTGACATTTTTAAATCGCGAGTAGGTGTACTTTGACTGAATTAGTTTCGGCTCACAAATAATTCATCAGGGTTACATACTCTCATGGTCTGGATATTGGTGGGAGAGCACAGTACTCTCACTTTGACTTCGGGGCTCGATGAGAGAAACGCTGCTTCACAAGGCGAGCCCGTCGAGTCGCTGATGAATAAATCATAGTGAAAGACCAACCCCGTCAAAGGATTCTTGAGATTACCAGCCTTGGAGGGAATCAGACAGTTCTCCAGGATGCAGGACAGGGAATGACTCTTTCCGGAGCCCTGTGACCCGCAAATGAAAGTGCTTGACGGCGAAGTCACATTGAAAAGGACTCGTGGATCATTATGAGGGTTCACTTCCTCGTCCTTCTGGAAACCCATTTCCGGGGCCAGTCCTGCCAACAGACCGTACTGCTGCACCTTTGGAAGCTTGGTTAGGCTTCCACTTGGCATATCTGAGGGAAGGTTGAGGGCACGAGCAGCGATTATCGGAGCCAAGGAAGTCTCATCGCCTTCGTGATTGACCTTCGCCAAAGACAGCAAATCAAGGTGGTCTTTGAAGCTTTCTTGGTCGAAGATCTTGGCTTCAGACGCGACATCGTTAACATCCAGGGCGTTACTAGTCTGCCCATAGACAGGGGAGGGCGGACTCTCAGCGACGGGGTGCACTCTCTCATTCATGGAACTCATGGCTGGCTTCGTATTGGAGACACTGGGGGTGGTAGAGAATGTTTGTCTAGCAGCTTAGCTGCGAAGTCTCAGCCAAGTCGACGAAATATACGAAAAAACTCCAACAGTCGGGCAATAAAAATAGGTTGGAAAGAGAGGGAGAAATTTGGAGCAGAGAGAAAGGGGGGAACTTTGTGGAGGAGAAAATTCTTCCAGTCCATAACAGTGAATGGAGCACTAGAAGGGTCCGGAACATGTTTGACGCTCTACAAAGACCGTGATTAGTCGTCAGGCTCTAACAAAACGAAGAAGGGCCTGATGACGACTAAGCACTCAGGCTTCAAATGCAGACAGCAACCAATTTTCCATTGTCGCAACGCTCTATTGCATCTTTGTCTTCTTTCACACCCTTGTGCATCACCTCAAGAGCCTCCCGGCCTTCACCCATCTGCTATCAAAGCCTCCACATTCTCGGATATTGCGTCTATCCACCACTTTCGGGGCATAATCTACTTCAACATGTCTATTGCGATGTCGGCATTGCTTCTCTTTCTCTATATTGTGTCAATCAAACTCATCATCATGGCTTTTTGGTGGTACCGTGCTACACAGCATTCAACATCAAAGAAATAGATGTCTGTGCCATTTCAACATTCCTGTTGGCTTTCTCTTCCAGTGTCTCAATGAACCATAGGGGCTCTTCGGCGTCAAGATCAGACAGTAAAGGTGATAAATATGATATGCAGAAATTTAATCCCAAGTGTGCTTAGCTGATCTACTGTGATGGAAGTGGTAAAGGTCTTTTCCAACATGGTTCCTGTTAAGAGGGCTATGGAATCAAAGCTTCAATGTTACAGTAGGTATTCTTCTCATTATACTCAGGTCTTGCAGACGCGATTAACCTTGTGCTCAGAAGTTCAGCATTCCACATATTGATACCAAGGGGGTTTTACGGGATCGCTGGGGGGTTGGTTAACGGGTCTGTCAGTCTGCTAGGTTTATTAGGGCAGTTTGAAGCGCCATCCGGGTTGGTTTATGGGTTCATTCACATTTTATGCATGATAAGAGAAGGATTTTGTTGCTGTACTCAGTGATCTGTGGATACTTCCTCTAAGGCTATTTCCCGTTCATGGATCTGAATGTGCATTGCTCCCTTGTTTTCGCCTTCATTCCTGTCTCACATACCTAACCGCCTCACCTAAATAATGGCTACCCGCTGGAATTACGAAATTATTCAAGTTACACCGTCTTACTCAGGTGGCATGAAGGCAGCAACTTCCGAGAACAGCAGGCTATAGCTTTTCCGCGGAGGTTCACCGTTAACAAAGGGGTTTTCCCGATTGTATATGTTGATCTTTACGATTCATGGTCATTTGGAACGCAATAGTCACCAACAACTACTGTCACTCTCATCGACGAACATTTCCTGGTAGCCTTCCACCAAAGAAAACCATACGCTCTCCATTCATCAAATTTCAAAAAAAAAAAAAAAAAAAAAAAAAAAAAAAACCACGCGTCCTGGTGCCGGAGAGAATGGTTTGAAGTGTACCAGACACCAAGTCCCCTGTTTTCGGTCATCCGAGGCGACTCCCTTGTGCTGGACAGGGCCATAAAAGGCCAGTGTTATTCTTTCGTCCTCCGGGCGAACAGCTGATATCCCTATTCCTCTATTTCCTGTTCTATAAGTCGCCACCCAACCATCCGGTCCTCCTCATGATTTAGCCTAGCCTAAATCTTTCACCATCATGCAGCATCTATCCCATCTCCTCGGCCTTGACTCATCAAGCCAGCCCCAACCAACCACCACCTGGACGCTTGAGGACCGCCCAGTCGACGAACACCGCCCATTACGGATCGCAATCATCGGCTCCGGCATATCCGGCATGATCGCATCCATCCGACTCCGCCAACGAATCCCAAACCTAGAACTGATCGTTTACGAAAAAAATGACGATATCGGAGGTACGTGGTTGGAGAATCGGTATCCGGGGTGTGCGTGTGGTATGTACTGTATTTCCTCGGCATTTGCACCTCTCAACAATTTTGCACACTCAGTCCGTATATCGGCTATCGTTACTGTGGTTGATGGTTGCGGTTTGAAGTTTGCTAATCTATTTGTTCGCCTGACAGATATCCCAGCACACACGTACCAAGCCACCTTCGAGCCGAACAAAGAATGGTCGACCTTCTATGCCGCGGCGCCGGAGATACACGCGTACTGGAAGCGGGTGGCGCACAAGTACGGGTGCATGAAGTATGTGAAGCTCAAACGGCAGGTCGTGGAGGCTGCTTGGGATGGGGAGGAGAGTCGGTGGGCGTTACAGGTAGGCAGGCTGATATTGATATTCACATGGGATCAGTGGAGACTAAGCCAACGCTGACGTCTACGAATACAGATCAAAGACCTCGAGACTGGCTCAGTCTACCCGCATCAATGCAACATTCTGATATCTGCCACCGGCGCCTTGAATAATTGGAAATGGCCGGATATTCCGGGCCTTGGTGATTTTCAGGGGAAATTGATGCACAGTGCGCGTTGGGACGAGGGGTATGATTACACGGTAAGCTGTCCTTGTCCTTGTCCTTGTCCGCTGTCATAATGATATACGTACTGATGACACGACATGACATGCAGGACAAGCGGGTGGCGGTGATAGGTAACGGTTCCAGCGGAATCCAAATCGTGCCGGGCTTGTTGCCGAAAGTAGCACATCTCGATCATTACATTAGAGGTCGGACGTGGATTGCGCCCACAATTGCTCGCGAGGAGGTCGATAAGCGCGGTGCTGAGCTGGGAAACTGTAAGTTGCTCCGTGGGTCGAGTCGGAGAGAGTTCAGCCACTGAACGCTCGGGCTGGCTTCAGTTTCCTTTACTCGGGGGGAAATAGAGACTTTCAAGCAGGATCATCAGGCGTATCAGCGATTTCGAAAGGGTAGGTAAACAATTGATTGACTCGATCGCTTATATGCAGGACTATCTACTAAGGGCTGCAATGCAGGTATTGAACTTCAGCTTCAATCCGTCCACAACGCGACTATACGAGGAACTCCGGAGCAACTCGAAGCTCGCGATGTCTTCGCGCAGATTATGAGAAAGCGACTGTCTAAGAAGCCGGAACTATTCGATCAGCTCCTCCCATCTTTCCCGCCGTTTTGCCGCCGTCTCACCCCTGGACCCGGCTACCTCGAAGCTCTAACAGACGAGAAGGTTGACGTAATAACCAGTGACATTGTCAAAGTCAAAGAGGATGGCATCGTCACCGCCGACGGCATTCATCATCCCACGGACGTTCTTGTCTGCGCGACAGGCTTCGATACCACGTTCTCGCCGCGATTCCCTGTTCTAGGACATGGCGGGCTCTCGCTATCCGAGCGCTGGGGAAAGACTCCTGAAACGTATCTCTCGTTAGCAGTCGATGACTTTCCAAACTACTTCATCTGTCTAGGGCCTAATGCTGGATTGGGAGACGGTAATCTACTAGGTTCGATGGAGAAGGCGATTGACTACATCACTGCCTGTGTGCAGAAGATCCAGAGAGACAATATCCGAGCAATGAGTCCAAAGAGGGAGGCTGTGGATCGGTTCACTAAGTACTGCGATCAGTATTTCTCTCGGACAGTGTTCAGCGAGAAATGTAGGAGCTGGTATAAAGGGGGGACTGAGGATGGGAGGGTGACAGCGTTGTGGCCTGGTAAGACGGATATAGCTTTGAGGTTGCATTATGCTGATATTTTCAGGTTCTTCCCTTCATTCCATGCAAGTGCTCTCTCATCCACGATGGGAGGATTTCACGTATGAGTATGTTCATGACAATCCGAATGGGTGGATTGGCGATGGGTGCACGAAGGATGAGAGAAACAAGACCATTGAGGTGGATTATTTGGATGACGAACAGGTTGACTTTCCAGAGGCTGTGACTCAAGATTGGCTTTGAATGTGACATTGGGCAGTGCATTTTAACCGTAGCTACTTCTCCGTCCTTGGGTTGTTGTGTTGTGAGGCTTGGTAGACCGTGGTTCGCCGGGCAGGATTAGTATATAGCTCCGGGATGGTAAGTAGGATGGTTTAAATTTAGCCGTTGACTACCTGTTGGGATGGCGCAAAATATATTAAAATAATAAAAGCTAACGAAATGACAGCTTACTATTCTCCTGACTGAAGACTAATACTAATACATAGTTAAGACCGTGGAACCGCGGCAAGGGACGGGACGCCAACCTGCTGGTCGGGCGGGCGAGACCGGTTAACGGCGAGGCCAAACCTGCACTCAGTGAACTCAATGGTTTGTCGGCGTTGCCACCGCGCCGTTTAATGCTAATCCTGCCTCTTGATCTTACCCCAGAGATCCCCTCCACTGCTCTGGATCTCCCCGATGAAAGGTCCCCGACTGTCGCGAGTGATGCCTGCTCCCCATCATGAAGTCCGATCCGCCCTCCAAAAACACCTGTGAAGTCTGCTCCCGCAACTTCACTCGAGTCGATCATCTCAAGCGCCATCAATTGCGCCGTATGTTTGCCGCGCTCTTTTGTTTTTCTCGTTCCGGCAATTTTTAAATTGCCTGCGGTCATCCTCCTCCCCCTTTCTCCCCGTCGGAATCCCTTTCCCGGCCATGGATGCGTTTATTTGTCTTTATTTATTTAATACTATTTTCACTAGCTGACCCGATGAGTCCGTTTCCTCGGCAGATTCCGGTGTTAAGCCCTACTCGTGCATCTTCTGCAGTGAATCCTTCGCTCGATGGTGAGTTTCGACTCCTTTGTCTCTGCCGGTCGCACAGCTTCCGACCGTATTCCCTGTCCCCGCCCGGTCGCCCCATTCGCTGGCTGATTGCACCCCCCCCCCCCCCCCGTCTCAATCTCTAGTGACAATCTTCGCGACCATTATGCGGACTGCAGTCGTCGCGGCGACCGCAGGATCCCCGAGACCGGCCAGAGAGGCAGACGCCGTCATGCCTGTGAATCGGCAAGTCCCCCGGTCGCATGGCGCAACAATTGGACTCCCCTAACAAACGGCCCCTCGATTAGTGTACTTCGATGAAACTCCGGTGCGATGGAATGAGTCCATGCGGTTCGTGTACGAAACGCGGTTACCAATGCAACAACGAGCGCAAAGATCAGAAAACACCCGGACTCGCGGCGGGTGCGATACATTGCCAGGCCGACAATGCTCGGTCGACGATCCGACAGCCCAATTCTTTCAGTCCCACGATACCCAAGGAGGAGGAATACGATGAACCGTCGTCGGATCGAGGGTCGATCCGGTTTCTCTTGAATGGCGGCACGGACGGTTTCACGGAGCGGTTTCTGCTTCCGCCGCGCAGTGACCGAGCGCGCGGCCTCGAGTACCATACGCAGAAGGGGCTGGAGGAAACCGAGAACTCGATGATGGGCTATCCCGGCGTGAAGAACCACGAGCCGGATTTTACGCCGGCATTCGTGGATTCAGACCCGGCGGCGCTGTCGTTCTACCAGGATACTTTTCTCGAATTCTTCAATGGGCCGTTCGGCGATCCGAATAAATCGCTGGACGGTCTGTATGCAGGCGAGATTCCCTTCCAGGCGGTGATCCCTCCGACGCAGGACCCTCGGTTTCCGTTCCCCGGACAGGAGCCCGTCTACGAACCGGAACGACCATTCGCGATGGCAATGATCCAGGCGATTCGTGCTAAGGCCTGCTCCGTTCCGCTGAATCTCAAGGCGCAGGAGGAAATCGCGGTCGGGTTGAACTTTTTGCTGACAACGGCGCGCATCCGCAAGTTCATCTCTATGTATTTCAGATACTGGCAGCCCAGCTGCGCCTTGCTCCATCAGCCGTCGTTCGATCCGGAAACCGTCTCCCTGCCGCTCCTTGTGGCCGTGGTGTTCATGGGAGCTATGTATTCGAGCGATACGAGAGAAGTCTACCTTGCCAGACGCTTGGTGGACTTCGCAGAACTTTTTACATTTTCCAGTGATATTTACTCATGCGAGAACGAGATCGGCTCGGCATTTGGTGGGCGCCGCAACACGGAAGTCGAGAGCAGTGACTGGACTATGTTCCAGAACTTCCAGGCTGGGTTCATCGTGGTAGTTGCGCAGTACTGGAGTGGAAGCCGGGTGTCGCGAAACCGCGCTATGGAGAATCGGTTTAGTGAGGTTATCAAGGTATGTTTACTTGGGGCAAGTGAGGACATCAATCGCTAATAAAATCAGGTCGCGCGCAGAATCGGCCTTCCTAAATGCCGGCACCGATTAGACGAACGTACACACGAGTTCCTATGGATCCAGACAGAGTGTCGAATTCGGTGAGTTCCTTGTGAACACCTTGATTATATCTCGTCTGACAACTACAGCACCATGGCATTAATATCTCTCCTCGACTGTGCCTTTGTCTTCTACCAAAACTACCCCTGTCGCTTAACCCACGCCGAGATGGAAAGCGACTTCCCCAGCGCAGAGGCCGTCTTCGCATCCGAGCACCCATTCCAAGAGCCGAAGTTCTTACTCACGCGCGAGTTTAACATCATCGACACTTTTCAAAACCTATTCCACGAGCACTGCAGCCAGGCTCCATCTCCATCCGCCCTCAGCAGCCCCAGCACAAACATGCTAGCAGGCCTAACAGTCCTCGACATGTTCATCCTCATCCACAGTAAGTCCTCTCGACCCTATTACTTCACGCCACAAAGCCTAACAACGCAGTGCTCTACGCCTTCATAAACACACACATGACTCTCCTCGCGCCTCTTCTCCGAAGATCCCGCGCCTCATCCAAGAATTCAATCCGTGACTCTCGACTCGGTAAACGCCGCCGATCAGCCATTCCGGAGGACTCGACTCTGTCTGCCATCCGCATCGCGTTGAGGAACTGGCATGAGTATTGGGAGACGCTCAGCAGTACAATTTCTCAGGACGAGTGGGCGTCCATGGGCTTTTATCGCAACGGGTATAACTTTTGGCTCGTTGCGAGGCTCCTGATTAATCAGAAAGAGAGCGTCGATGTAGTCATGCAGATGGAGGTGAAGTGCGAGGATAAGTTGCAGAAGTTGAGTGTTTTGCTGCAGGATGAAAACGATTGAAGCGCTTGGCGATATACAACACATCATGGTTTGAATAATCGCAGCTTCGTCTCTTGAACACCTCTATGGAAACTGAGACTTCTGCGAACGAACTCCAGAACATACCTGCATTATTCCACGCCTGTGGATCCTGTATCCCTGTTCGGGCCTTCGCCGGGTTATTGCAAACCAAATATTCCACAGATCCGAGTCGCAGAACACAACACCCCGTGGGATATAGGGCAGAAACCCCGAGAAGCACTTGTGGAAAGGCACTTGTCCCAAAACACTACATTGAAAGGGAATTTACACCCGGTCGTGGTTGTCTCATGGCTGGATCTAGCTTTGACATACTTTGATACCTTACTACTTAGGATACAGGCAGATCGGGAGTTCTATTAGATACGGATTGGTTAGGTTTGAGGCTGGCCTTTAGCTAGATCAAGATATTGCAATAGATCGATGAATATTCTGTTCCTACTTCACACTTGAAGAGATGGGCTGATGGGAGTTATGTGGACTACCACGTGATGCCGCTGTTCCTGCCTGGTCTGGATTTCTTGGACGGGAAGGGTACATACATCCTTCCTTCCTACACATATTCATCCTACCGAAGAATTCGAGATCATGTTTCCATCGTCTCTAGATACTCGTGACCATCAGGTTTTACCTTATACCCTCGTCAGTGTGTTTTGATCAACGAGCTACAGCCTGATCGACAAGCGTAAGAAACAATAGGACCTTGCTGATCAAAAGTTTGGTTTCGCCCGGACAATAGCTATGGCTACATCGTCCTATCAAGATGCTATCCAGTCCGGTCCAGGCTGATGCTAGCGCCAGGCATTCTCAGGGGCGCCTATTATGGATGTTCAGCTGTGCCAACGCAGCCACTAGCAGAAAACGAAGATAAAACACATCCCTGCAAGGCGCCTAACCGACGAGGCCCCTCATCTAACAACATACGCTATTCTCATATATTACTATCTACATTAGTACATCGATCCTGTTTCTTTACCAGAGACATTTCATGTGCCACACACAAAAGTTGTCATTCCATGCTTTTGAGTGCTAATTGGCTTTGTTTCAGAAAAGTTCAGGAGCGAACCCAGTCCTCTGCTCGAACAACATGGCGAGTCCTCTTCAGAATGGCTGGTATCCAATTGGTAATGATTTGGTTATCTTTATCTTAGCCAACATACTTTATCCATATCTTTTTAGATCATCCTCTCGCTCATTATCACATATAGGCTCCAATGAGGGTTCCATGTTACGAGAGGGAGGTCCAGATATATCAAAGGCACCTTCAGCAGTAGTGCCTTACGGGACGAAAATGCCGCACGTTAGTGCACATACATCTTCAGATATTGAAGATTGCCCAAAAAAGACTCTAGAGTGTGATGAGTACACCGTCGGTCTGATTACAGTTCTTGATATCCAACTCGCTGCGGTAAAAGCCATTCTTGATGAAGAACACGAGGAACCTTCGGACTTTGAACAGCCACAGCCTGACGACAACGTGTACACTTGGGGTCGCATTGGAAAGCACAATGTTGTAATTGCTCCTTTGGTTTCCGGATCGTACGGCATTGTGCCAGCAGCAATGACCGCAAAGTCATTGGTCATGTCTATTCCATCGATCCGCATCGGCCTTCTCATCGGCATCGGTGGTGGTATTCCCTGCCCTGACAAAACTCGTGATATCCGACTGGGTGACGTTGCAGTGAGTAGGCCATCGGGAGACAGTGGTGGTATAGTGCAGTATGATCTCGGGAAGCAAAGGCTTAACGATTATAAGCGAGTTGGGTTCATGGCCAAACCACCTGCCATTCTTCTCAACGCAGTAACGAACATCGAGGCGAATCGGATGGGAGGCAAGTCAAAAATGCAGAAGATCTTGGCAGGCTTGCAGCGAAGACTAGACAGGTCAATAGGCTTTACCCACCAGGGCCGCGAGAACGACTGGCTATTCAGTGCCTCATTTGAGCACCGAGGGGATGGCTGTGACGAATGCCGGATGTCATGCGATCCACCCATCGGTGCCCAAAACACGAGACCTTCAGTGGAGCCACAAGTCCATTACGGCATAATTGCATCTGGAAATACGGTGATGAAAGATGCGAGCCACAGGGATGAATTGGCTGCTGCACTCAATGACCGGACGGGAGGAGATTGCATCTGTTTCGAAATGGAAGCCGCTGGTCTGATGAACGACTTTCCCTGCCTCGTTATCCGGGGAATTAGCAATTATGCTGACTCCCATAAGAACGACAAGTGGCAAAAGTACGCTGCTATGACTGCCGCTGCCTATGCGAAGGAATTGCTTGGGGTTGTTCCGGCCAGGAAATTGAAAAGACATCGAAACCATTGACGCTTAAGAGCTACTTATTCTCTCCAAGTTCTTGCATAAAGCATTTTGTGTCTCTATTAAATCGATAGTTTTTCAATTGGGCCTAGGTGTGGTGTACAATAAGGTAAATAAAACGGTCTACAGCCTCTTGTTCATCTTCTTGCCACGGTTTACCCGGAGTACAATGAATCAGGGTTTATGAGTTGGACACCTGGGGAGTATGGAATCTAACTTTCCTATTCAGTAAGAAACATGCGATTATCAATGAAATCCGTGCGTATTTTCATGCACAGATCCATGAAGATGACAGCCTCAAGAAGTAGCGATCACGACCAGACGTACAGGAAACTGTTAAAACCAAGCCCTTGAAAAAGGCTCATAGAATATAAGGCATGATATCATAATCTACTTATGCCGGATTAATGCGACCTTTCTTTGAATGCCACTTAAGTGGCAGGTTCACTATTTCATTTATATAAGGCAACTAGTAGTCTGTCCACATTCAACCATATCCTCATTGAATGATCCTATTTACATAAAAGCTTTTTCATTGCTCTTTCCTTCTCCATACTTACGTCCCAAGCAATATCTGGCTCGCCAGTGACTTGAGCATACAAACACAGACAGGCTAGCCATCCAGTGTATCGCTCTTTGGCTTTTCGCACTGAACATCTAGCAACTCCGTGTCCACCTAAAAATCACATTAGCATTCTCCAAACATTGCACGTCCCATGCATACATGCTGAACACAGCAGGGCAAAGAAAGAATGGCAGTGATACTTACATTCGTGCAGACAAAGTCGTCCGTTCCTTTAGGACTCTTCACGTTGATGTTACTCGTGTAGATGTCCGAGCATACCTATCGTTATTACATCATTAGTCCACGCACTTACTAGCCCCACTGGGTATAAAACCAAATCAACAAAGTAGAAGAGGGAAAGGAACATACATCCGGACTCGAACACACGATCGTCCCAACATACGGGTCCCGTTTTCCTGACGTCGTGCCCTTGAAGTCGTTGAAGTGGATGTCGGAGATAGTCAGGTTACTCTGTTTCAATTCATCGTCAGCAAACCCGCTAAATAACCCCCCTCCCATCCAGATACCGAACAAGAATCTAGGAGGGGATATACATACCGGATGCTCATTACACAGCGTCAGGTTCTTCTGTCCATAGCACTGCGTCACTTCGATCGCCCAGTCCACATTCTCAATGTACATCTTGTTATACGTGATGTTGGAGACAGCACCGAGACCGCCTCCGCCTTGGAGGTCCTCGGACATGGCGGAGTCGATGCCCGGCCAGACCTTGATGCGAGCCATGTCCTATTCCTTGGTTAGTTTTACTCGCTCTCTGATCAAATGAGGGGGAGTTGAAGGGTTTGGAGTGGTGGACGCACAGAAGCATTGTACATGGAGATGTTGTAGACGAGGACGTTCTTCACAATGTCGACTTCGCCTTTGTATTGGCCCAGAGAGCCGACAGAGATACCGTGGGAACCGTTGCAGTGCAGGTTCTGGACGAGGATGTCGGTGCTGTTGGGCTTGAAGGAGACACAGTCTATACTCATTTGTTAGTATCAATTTCTCCAGTGTTAATAGCAGAGAGGGCAGAAATACCATCCCCGTTGTTAATCACCGAGTTCTGAATAACGATGTTATCAGAGCGATACGTATCCCTAATATCAAGTCAGTCAACCACTCCCAACCCAACAAAACAAAGAAAAGGAAAAACAAACCATCCATCCGTATTCTTCGCCTCATGCTTACTACTACTATACCCAGAGATATCAATCCCATCGAAGAGCACATCCGACGAGTTCGCGACAAGCTGATACCACTGCGGCGAATACCGCAGCTTCAACGGCCCGATGGTGCCGCCCTTCAGCCCGATAATGCCCACCAGGATGGGGCGCAGGATCAGCGCGTCTTCGGCGAACAGGTCGTACCAGACCTGCCCGTTGCCGTCGAGCGTACCGCCGCCGTACACGTTGACGTCCTCGCCGCCGATCTGGAAGAAGGTCGTCGCGTTCTGGAAGGTGTGTTTGAAGGAGTGCTCTTGCCAGTAGTCGGTGTCGGAGGTGAATTGGATTTTGCCGAGGATTTCTACACTGTATTAGCTTTCTTTCCACTCTTCTTAAGTACCTGGGGGTGAAAGGGCTAGGTGTGGTACTCACCGAGATCGATGTTCTTGAGGAACGTCAAATCCAGCGCCGTCCCGATGGTATATTCCTTATCCTCGTCGAAGACCACCTTCCCGCCATTGTTGCACTTCTTGATAGCAGACAGAATAGCAGGTGAGTCGTCGGTGCCGTCGCCGTGGGCCTTGACGCGGCAGGTCTTCGTCCGCGGCGAACTGGTAGGTAGAGGTTTGAATGGGTTGTTGGGCTTGCAGGCGTCGTTCCTGGAGCGCGAGAAGCCCTGGACTGCGGTGCCCAGGGAGAGCAGCAGACTCGCTGTTTGGGCGAGGGATTGGAGTTTCATCTTGTCTTGTCCTAGGGTTTAGACTCTCATAGGACAGTGCCAGGGACGCTGTCACCAAGACAAAGCGAGGGGGGAGAGAAAAAAAGAAAAATCCCAATTGACAAGTTACTCTTGAAATGAACAAAATAGAAATGATCAGCTCTGGAACCTAGCCTTATATACCCCCTCTGTACCTACATGCTTACTACTAGCTAGTCACTGCTCCCTCCCCATCTTCCCCTCTCCCCACACCAACTAACAAACAATCATACTATGCGGTAAAACAATGACATACCCCCTGTCAAAAGCCATTAGCGAACGACGCTGCCTGCGGAGGAGAAATTGCCCGCGAATCTGCAGGGCGCCGCGATCCGGGGAAATTCACGAAAGTGGAGCCAGCGCAGCATGTGGAGAGCGAGCAAGCGTTCATTTCGGTCTTGAGTCCTACGGAGGACTCCGTAGAAGATGCTTGTTGCATGAGGAGAGAGTATGCGAGAGACACTCTGATAGGAGGATTAACTTGGCGGCCGAATTCGCCCGATTGGGTGGAAAATTATGCAGATCGTCGGTTGTCGTGTGGAGAAGTCGATATTATGATGATTATGATGGAGTAACTGATTGGCAAGGGTTAGTGCTGTTGGTTGTGGTCTGCTCCGTGGGTTTATGCAGGATGGAATGTCGGTGTTATTAGTTGGTGTTTAGCCTGAGTAACTCTTCTGTGTAACTACGCCTATAGCGGACGAATAAGGTCTAACACCAATTTGTATGTTGACAGACGAAACTGCTAAACATCAATTCAATATATACAAAATGCCAGCTGCTTTCTTTGCCGTGCAGGCCCATGCAGGCCCATCTATGTCTGCTATCCATGCAAGCGGAGTTCCGGAAAACCAAACCAGGTACCAGTGGGCGAGAAGACAATGCAATCCCCAGATAAGAACGCTAATCTAGTCCGTCGAATCACACGCAATCTCCAGAGCAAATCAGGTCGACTTCTCGACGGTCTTCTCAGCCTTATCGGCAACAGCCTTGGCGGAATCGGCGACCTCGTGCTCCAGTTCCTTCACGGCCTCTGTTGTCGAGCCATCCAGGCTACGGCGGTAGTTGACGATACGAGTGACCTGGACGACACCGACACAGCCGAGGAAGAAGTTAACGGCAGCGAGCCTGCGTACACATTAGCCGGGGTTGGCCCATCGAGAATCTGATTTCCATACAGGTAGTTCTTGGGCGTGATGATCATGCACCAGCGAGTCCAGATGGCTCCGGTGGCCATCAGGGCGCCGTTCTGAGTAAGGGAGAGCTTTTCGGCGGGACGGCTGAAGTCGGAGATACCGGCGATGACGAGAGCCCACTGCAATCAATCAGCATCGTCTTTATCCAAGTCCTTTATTCATATCCAATATGTTTTTGTGATCCGATTACGGTAACCGGAGAAGCCAGGGGAAAGTTCAATTCGTACCTTCATGACAGGGGCCCTATCAACAAAACAATTAGCATTCAACCGCAATCTCAATCCCAATACATTTTAAAAGGGAAATGGCAGATGGCAACATACCAGAAATGCACCGTCTTCACACCGACCGGGCTGTTCCACATACGCTGGAAAGTGCTCTGCTTGTCGGCCGCGGCAGCATCGTAGCTCTGGAACCGGAAACCCTGGGCACCAGGCCGACGGAAGGGACCGGAGTTGCGGAAGCCCGCGCGGGCGTTCTGGAAGAAGCGAAGTCCAAGACGAGACGACATTGTGTAGTTGTTTTTTTCGAGGAACCCGAGAAATCGGAGAGTGGAGAGTTGAGAGTTGAGAAGGGAGGGCGAAAGTTTGCTTTTGCGCCGGGTATTAAAGTACAGGTAACACGGAACCGGAAGAGAAGACGCGAAGAAAACCGCCGGTCGCCTTAAACCCTAGTCTATAGAAGAAGAGAAAGGAAACACAGATAGAGAAAGACGATCACTCCAAGTATCTGACAGCATCGCCCGTCTCAAGCCGACGTCGGCGAGGTCAAATGCCTGCGGCTCCTCGGCTCCTTGCGGAAGGCGGTGAGGCCCTGCGGCGTAGTAATCACGCTTGACCGGATTGGTTGTTCAGAACCTCTTCTCGTCTCGGGAGATTCATCGCCTTCACCCATTTGATACCCTTCGCCTTCTCCCTCGCCCTGGTTCTTGTTGCTCTGCGGGGTCGCGCTCACTCGATATTCTTTCTTCCCCTCCGATTCCGAATATCCCGCCACCATGTCCTCCAAGTACGCTTTCACCAAGGGCCTGAAGGAGCTGCGCTTCCTTTTCTGCCAGTCTTCGCAGCAGAGCGCCGCCACGAGGTATGGTTTTGTCCCCGGAGGAAGGATCCTCAATTGGAGTCATGGAGCTAATTGTGTTCTGCTAGGTCGTTCCTCCAGCGCGCGTACCCCACCATGAAGAAGCACAACCCTCACACTCCCATCATGATGCGCGAGGCCGCGGGTACCCTGCCCCGGGTTTATGCTAGATACGGTATGACTTCCCTGGATTGGAATTGCGGTTGCAGGCGGTATCAGACTTGAAATGGAATGACGGAACTAATTAATCTCGGTGGATAGCATTGGGACAAGAGAAGCAGGAGGCCCTGTCTGGTGAGTTTCGAGTTCCCTCACTGCATTCATTGCATAAGCTAGTGTGAATGTGTGGATGGACAAATGCTAACGCAAAGCAGGCCTGTCGGATCAGCAAATCGAAGAGAAAATCACCAAGTTGGTGAAAGAAGCGTCTTCATAGCGGAATTTATCGCGGCATTCGTATATCTCTCTTATTTACCTACTTTTCTCGCATCGATCGCTTTTTTCAGTCCAGTCCCATTCGAATTCGAATCCGGTTCAGTTATCTAGCACTGTATCTATAGATGAATTAAAAAAATGAAATCTTATCAACTACACTATCACCTGTTGATTCTATCTACCCTGTTCTCACGGATTCTCACGGAACACACCCCACCAACCATCCAGGACTGATTGATGAAGATGACCAAATTACAACAAACTACTCCCATTCCCCACCTCCCCAAACCGAAACTGCGCCCAGCTCATACTCCCCTCCTTCAGCGTCCACAGCCTCTTACCCACATCATCTCCCGCCGCCCCCGCCCCGATATGAATCGGCAGCAGATGGTCGAAATACGGATGCGCCTGCCTTGCATCCGGCCTCTTCAGCAGCTCCGCCATCGCGCGTTCCCGGCCCTCCGGAGCCGTCGTGACGGCGTCTTTGAGCGCCTCGTCAAAACTAGCCGTGTAGGGGAGCGGGCGGGGATTTCCCCAGGTGAATTGCAGATCGCGGAGGTTGTGCACCGCCATGCCGGAGACGATGATGAGGATATTTTCGTCGCGGAGAGCCGAGACGGCTTGGCCGAGCTTGTAGTGCTGGGTTGGATCTTCGGTTTTGAAGAGCGAGACTTGTACGATGGGGACGCTGAGGGGGTTTGAGTCCGGGTCGAAGGCTGCGTTTGTTAGTTATCATCTCGCCACACTCTCTCCGTGTGCCCTCCTTTATGCCTGAATACGAGAGCAAGAAACTCACCACACTTAAAACTCGCCCACACCCCATGATCCAATCCCCGCTTGACGCCGCGAGCATCGATCCCCGCATTACCCAGCAAACCCAGGACTTTATCCGCGACTTCCTTGCTGCCGACATTCGGAAACGTCTCTTTATAGTAGTGGCTTGGGAAGCCGTAGAAACTAGACGAGTCAGCTTAACCCAATCACATACACATCCCCAGCCCGGACCTCAATACGACAGAAGGCAAGAGGAAAAGGTAGAACAGGACATACTCATATATGAGATCCGTAATCTCAGCATTGTTGACCTCCACATGGTCCTTTCCGGCCTGCCAATGCGCCGAAAAGACAACCACCGCGCGCGGCTTCACCTTTCCTGTGATTTCCTTGCCGATCTGCGCGAGCTTCAGATACGCTGGGTGCTCGTTGTCGTACATGATGTTGGGCTGGGGTGTGTTAGTACTCCCATCCGAGCTAGACAATACAGTATAGCAAAAGAGAGAAAGAGAGAGATTAGCATACCCCACCATGACTCAAGAAGTAAACCGGAGTTCTCGTCGCCATCGTCTCGGTGCTTTTCTGCCCCTTTTGAATCCCGTTCTTCCGGTTCTGAAGCGATGCAATGGGTCCGGTCTGCTTCACAGATGCAGACGCCGACGCAGAGGACCGAGAAAAGAAACGCCTGAGACCGAACAGATTGGCGGTTTCTCCTTCACTTTCTGTCCTCTGGGCTTGAATGTCACTAGGACCAGAACCCAGAAAAAAAGCAATCGAGAGGGCAAGAAACAGCGTGAGGAGAGATATCAATGCCCACGACGGTTTTCTATAGCTAGTTTGACTCGGGTGAGATTGATCGGGGGCTGCGGAATTGTCGGAAGACATATATAGCGAGGAGAGGAGTAGGAGAACGAGTGCAGAAAAAAGGAGAATAGATATAGTACTCAAATGGCAAAATATACCGGGCCAAACAGCATGGCGAACGCGATATGCGGATCTACTTATAAACGTCAAGCCGAAATTGTAAGCAACTGTCATCCGATCGGATCGGGTGGTGACCAATCCGGCGGAGTGCGGAATTCCACCGCTCTGGACGGCGGTGGATCTTCGATTAATGTACAGCATCAATATAGATGAATGTCGAATTTCATTACTATTAACTAAATACAGTGTATAGTTTATCCAATAACCGGCCCGATCTATGCCCACATCCAATGCGACGCCGGGTCTATGCTCGGACTTGCTTTTATAACTTCGGAAATGGCATCGAGGGGAATCAAAACGAAATGTACATGAGGTGTAACCCGGATAAAAATCCTTCCAGATCTATGCGTTACAGCGTGAAAAAATAGACCAGACCAAAATTCCGGGTCTGGTTAGGCAGGACTCGGAAAGGTGTGCATCCGCAAGTGGCGGTTCATCAACGCTGGCAGACAAAAAGAAACAAAAAAAGAAGGGGTATTGAACGAATATAAGACTGAAGCAAATCACATAATGACGCAGTCTCCGTCATTTTGCTTCTGTTGGTTAACGGCAGACCGCGAAAGACGGGTTTTTTGCATTCGAGCTCCGCCTTTCTTGAGCTCCTCGAGACGCTCGCGAGCCTTGGGGAATCCTTGGGCTAGTGGTTCAGTTAGCAAGAGTGATTTAATGATTAAAAGGTTAGAAATTGCTTACCAGCTGCTCGCCAATACCATCGCTTGGCATCTTCGAGATTGGAGGTCGTGCCGATGCCAACTTCGGTGAAATATCCCATCGCATATTCGGCTTTCGCAAGTCCCGCAGTGGCGGCCTTCCGCGCCCACAGGTACGCCTCGGTGTCGCTCTGTTGCAGCATGCCCTCGCAACCGGTAAGATACCACCCACTGAGGGCAAGTTCACTTTGGTGCTCTCCCTGCGCTGCGGCGTGCGTGTACCAGACGATACTCTGTCGAGGGTCCACCGGACATCCCATCAATCCGTACTCGTAGGCAGTGCCCAGTCGATTCTGAGAGAACTTGTACCCTAACTCTGCGGCCTGGTGGAAAAGCTGGCAGGCATAGCCCTCGTCGCGGATGACAACATCATTGGTGCCTGCGTTCACGTACAGCAGGGCCAGTTCATGGAGGGCGTGTGGGTTCTCCACATCGGCACGTTCGGCCGCGCGCTTCAACCAGGAAATACCCTCGCGGGGATTCTTCCCCTGCCCCAAAAGTCCCTTGAGCATGATCATCCCCATTTTGTACATGGCTGGGGGATCTCCCAAAGACGCAGCACGTTTGTACCACTGCACCGCCTTGAAAGGATCGCGCTTAGTACCGCCGCCTTCTTCAGCGCCAATTTCACAGCACACGGCGACTCGGTATGCGGACTGAGCGTGTCCCTGTTTCGCAGCGGAGTGGTACAGATTGAATGCTTCTTTGTTGTCGACCTGAAGACCCATCTGGCCTTGACCGTAGGCATCTGCGAGGAAGAACTGGGCCTCTCCATTCCCGGCGGCAACGAGTTTCTTGATTATTTTGTAAGCGTCGTTCACATACTTCTCCCTTGCCTTCAGTTTCGTTTTCGGGTCCGTTCGCATCTGCTCGACCAGCACTGTCGAAGCTTCAACCAATTTCTTGGCCAAGAGAAGTTGAGTTTTCTGGTCCGATGGTCGGCTCTTGACGGTCTGTTGCAGTCGTTGAATTTCCTCCCGCGTTACTGGTTGATGGACTGGCATCTCCACCGGGGGCTGCTGTAAAGTCGGGGGCGCGGATGCAGGTGCAGGCGGAGGTGTCGGGACAGGCCCTGAGACTGGCACGCTGGAGTTGTACTGGCGCATGGGCGCGGGTTTGCTTCCCGAGTCATGGCCCGGCCGGAAAGGCACCGGATGATGAGGCAGCGCATCCGGATTTTGGTCAGGATCCACGGTAGGCTCGATCTCGTTCACTGCCGGCGGCGGGTTGCTGGCATATCCGGGCTGGTTGGCCCGGTAGGGTTTGGGGGGCCCATTGCTACGGATGGACCCTTCTCGCGCTGCAAAGCTAGGCCGTCTTTCCGCAGAATATGATGTTATGGACTGGCTGCGACTGTCCTGGCGTCCACGGTACTGTGCCGGCATCGGATCGTGATAAGGGTTATCGCCAATGCCAAAACCCATACTATCATGACGATATCCAGGAGAGTACGCGGGAGAATAGCCCGGAGAGGATGGTGGTTCGCCGGGGAGGTCGAATTGAAAGCCTGCGTTTTCGAATTGATTTGGCGCATTACCCGCTCGCATGTCTGGCTGGGACTTGGCATGATGAAGCTGAGTAGCCTGTGGATTGAAGGCAGTATATTGACCTCTCGAGGGTGGCGGCGATTCGACCGGAGCCTTCTTCGGCTTTGGCTGCTCCAGCCCGGGCAAACTCTCGTCGATCATACCCCCATTGCCGCCTTCAGGTATCGCATCAAAATTGGGCATGTCGGGTTCCGCCGCATGGGCCGAATTATAATAGACATCCAATAGTTCCTCCGTGCTATACTCGCGGGTGTAACGAAACGCGGCATAACTTGGCTCCTGATATGTCGTCTGTCCAGGATACAAGGGCTTGGACACAGGTGGCGGAGTTGGGGCTGATGTGACGGGCATGGTTGCGCTCCGGTTAATCTGAGGGATCGGTGGCGGTGGTTCGCTAGCGTCGGTGTAGGATCGTTCGAGCGCGGGGCCTGCTACATGGCGCCCTGCGCTGGCCGATCTCATCGGCGGTCCAGGAGCGTTTCCTCTCCCCCGACCTGGCGGCGGGGGCATGGGCATGGGCGGGCGAGCAGAAGGTTCCGGTCGTCTTCCATTGGAGGTATGTGGGCGCACTGGAGGTTTCACTGGCGGCATCGAGCCGTTGAGATCCATTCCCGCCATGCCCCGTTCAAGACGACCTTGAGAGTCGGCTCGACCGCGGGGCTGCCCGTTGGGCGGAAACATAGGGAACGGGTTGTCCCATCCCATCTTATCCGGCGATTGCGGAACCTGGCGTGGTGCTAGTGCCATAGGTTAGCGACTGATGCAGCGATTTCCCTTTCAAGTATCTGAGACTTACGAGGTCTCATGCGATCCGATCTCGGCGGTCCTCTATCACCATGTCCGCGACGGCTGTCACTTCCCATCGGCGCAGATCGTCCGCCATAGGCGTAGCTGCGATCCGGGGGTTGCTCCATCGGAGGAGGGCCATATCCTCCCCGAGGGGGCCGCGGCGCGCCTCGCGGAGGTCCATAAGATCTCGGGACCGCCTGATCACTTGGGTATCCATATCCTGCGTCATCATATCCTCCGTTTCCATATCGTTGTTTTGGGTTGTCATAGCCATAATCGTAAGCTTCTTGATCGAAGAATCCATCCTGCGGGGGGCCTTGGAAGCCCCCACCTCGAGGAGGGGGGCCGCCACCACCATAGTTTCTCACTGGCGGGGGCCTCTGCGCATGACGTTGAGGATACGCCATCACTTGGATAAAGGCTGCGTCGTGCGTGTATCTGTAAGAAAAAGAAAAGTCGTTGGGCGGTTCAGAGCGGAAGCGCGCTGGTCAGGGTTCGTTATCCGGCTGAGCTCCGACGACCGTTCATCAACTGGGAACCGAAATTGCGCCCCGCCTGTTCACTCTGTGATCACCGAGTTGGGCTACCGTCAATTCACCGCGGTTGTCGGGTGCCAACGGTATCGAGAAACCTGGCGCTTCAGTGGACAATGGACTGCGAAAGAATGGCGCTAAGACTCAAACTCCGGGGAAGTTCATCGAAAGTATGTAGCGATTCCAGGCCAGACCGGAGAAATCGAGCGCAAAAGCTGGGAAGAGAATCTACAAGAGGAAAGGTAACATAGTCAGCGGGATTTGGCGCAACGGCGACAGAAGAACAGAGGGCGCGATCGGACGACCAATGCGCCAAGGCCTGACTTACCCAAAACGAGCCCACACGAGGGACCGAAGCTTCTCCAAAAGAATGAAGGAGAGGGTCAACCGAACCAAGGGCCGCAGCCGAATGAGATCGATCAAAGGGAGGGAGGGGGTGGAAGAAAGAAGGGGGCCCCTTGTGATTTTGAACGAGCGTGTGATCACTTGCGAGGGGATTAATCGGGGAGAGCGAGAGAGGTTGAGCGAGAGAAGAGTGGGAGATTTAATGAATGTGGATGCGCCGGAAGGAGGAAGTATTAAGGCAGGCAGCGAATAATAAGGCACCCGAGGAGGGGACGATAGGGACAGGAGAGAAGAATAATGAGTGATGAACAACCCTTGGAAAGAATAATTGAACAGGATCTCACCCTCGATTTTAAATTCGTCCCGATTTCTAACTCTTCTATTTATTTTTCTTTTTTTTTCTTTTTCCTTTCTTTTTCTGATTACTCTTATTCCATCCTATCCACTCGCTCTGCCAGATGCACGGGTGACTTGTTCACGCTACGGACCTGACTTGACTGACAACTTTTGGAACCGTTCTTTCCTCGACCCTTGACCCACGTCTTTTTTCTTTTTCTTTTTCCTTTTTTTTTTTTTTCTTTTCTTTTCTTTCCCCCTCTCGGTCTGATGTCAATAATATATCCACCGTCCCACCGGAAGGCAAGGATATCGGCGGCCTCAGATTATATTAATCTCATTCACTTGCTTACAGAGTATATCTGCGATTATTTATTCCGTGGGATTTTAGCTTTTACCGTCTCTCGTCATCATTTGGTTTTAATAAGACCACAGCCGAAGTAAAGAAAAAGAAAGAAAGAAAAAGATAAAAAAAAACCACCCCTTCGCCCAACAGAACTCCTGAGCCATCCAGTCGCACCGCATGCCATGCAGGAAACCCCCCGGGCAATTCCCTCTTGGCAGGCCCAATTGGGGATCTATAGTCCATTTCGTTTCCCACAGGCCCCCCTTTTTTTTATCCTTTGGACTTTGTACGAGGAGAGACGGTCTCTCTCCTAGCTAGGTTCCTAACCAGTCACCAAGGATCCGCCGTGCACAATATGACGTCGGACGTTATTCCCATATTAAATAATTATCCCATCCCACACTCCGTATCCGTATCATCTTCTACCCATTGGCCATGGTGATACCGATCCCAAACGCCCTGATCATCAGGGGAAAGAATTCGTCCCACTTCTACGACTCACTTACATGCAAAGACCTAGTACATAATACATATAAGCACGTCTCGATATTACGAGTACGAGGGGGGAATAATCTCCGTTCGAAACGCAGGGGATTCCGGGCGTATCGCCTTCTACACGATGGATTAGCACCGAGTCCGCAGCGCGCAGCTGCAGTGCTTCGGGGCGTTCCCGGCATCTCATTCGTCGAGGCTGCAACCCTAATGAGGCACGATACTGTGGACGCTGTGGACTGGCGCTCACAGCGTCGAACGGAGGAGCGAGTGTATCCTCCGCCGAGGGGCATTGCAGGACGGGTACATGCCACATTGTTCGAGGTTCTGAGCTTACAACGTACAATTGTTACAGGGTGCATTCCTCCTTGCCTGGTTGATGTATCAGCCGTGTCGCATTGAGATCCGAATTGTGGGCCGGAGATGACTTCCCCCTTGCCGCTGAGATTCTTGGGTTCTTCTGCAAAGTGAAGAAATCCATTAGTCAAGTGAATCGCGAGTGGACAAAGGAGTCAAGGACAACGGAATTAAAAAAAAATCAATAACTAAAATTAATCAGGTTACTCCATAGGGCAACTGAAAGAGGAGCGCTGAATCGCAGAACCGCGGCGATAAACTGTTCAACGGCGGAAATTCGAGCAGAAAAGCAACTAAGATGACGATCATCCAATAACTGCTGGATGAAGTAACGAAATTTCTGAGCAAATGAATCGCGCGCTTCCCTCCGCAGCAGAAACTCAGGTGCTTAAAACGGGGCGCACCACAAAAAAAGGTCTCCATCGCTCACGGGATGGCGTCAGTACCAAGACTTCTTGCCTGTGCGAACCTGGCTCCGAGCAATCGGATATACCGGCCAGAGAAATGTCTTAGACATGACAGTCCCGGGGAGATATAAAAAGAAAGCCTTATGCGAGGGAAAAAGCGAAAAGTTTGGGTCCATCCTCCAGACCTTGACTTCCCGAGGTTTAGTTGCAAGGGCAAAGAAAGGATCAAAGGACACAAGCAGTTAGCGCCGCATGATGGGGTTTAGAACCTCTTTAGTTTCTCCAACTTCGGAAACGTAGTGAGTTTAGTCCAGGGCAGGTGGAGTCAAAGGGAAGGACGTTTTACTCTTCTGATGTTTTGCCCGACGAAAGGAAAAGAGGAAAAGGCGACCGCCTTCGCGCGCCACTCGGTCCGGGTCCCTCATTCTGCCGGTCTTACTAGCCTCCCCGCCTGCAACTGAGCCACAGCAATCGGTCATCCGCCGAAAATAATGCGATCCAATTGCATCGCCTGCTTTGCTAACTTGCCTATCCATCTGATCTTTCTGCTCTGAGCATCCGGAGTCCGGTAGCATTCCTCGCCTGCCGATTCACCCTGCGTGGATCCCATTGACATCATTGTCTCATTCGTTCATTCTTCCCTTTCCGAGTCGATCCTAGCTCTCTCCTCCGCATCGGAGCCCACGCCACCACCATGTCGCGAGCAGGAACCTGGTTGAAGATGCTCGGCACGTAAGGCAGCCAGCGGAATCTCACACTCGAAACCCCAACTAACCAAGACAGCGGTGCCGTCATCTGCATCGGCGGTCCGGCATTCGTGCAATCGATCCGTCCCTCCGACGAGGAGCTATTCAAGCGCTACAACCCCGAGCTACAGAAACGGAGTCTAGAGGAGGGTGATCGCCGGGCGCAGGAATTCGACGACTACGTGAACCGGCTCAAGCAGTGGTCGAAGTCGGATAAGTCGAGTACGTCCCCGTCGTCCCCCTCATTCGCATGTGACCTGGCTTGACTTGGTTTGAATCCACGACTAACGAGTATCAATCATGAACAGTCTGGTACGCCGCGCAAGAACAACAAGAGCAGAAACGAAACGACCTCTCAGCCCAGAAGAGCCAAGCGAAAGAGGAAGCCAAGACGCAGCGCGAGGAAATGCGCAAGGAATTGCTGGGTGATAAATAGAGTGGTTGATTTATGTTATGGTCAATATCTACGGGGCACGATATAGGCTGGGAAAGGTCGCATCTTAACTGACTGTATCTGTATTTATATCGATCGCATGAGGGTGGATTCATGGGCACGATCACCCGCTCGTTCCGGTCCTACCTACTTACTGACTATCTACTCCTAACAATTGTGCAAGGAGCAGCGGGTTGAAATATATGGAGTTATGGGTTAGTGCTTTGATGCTTGTATTATTATCTACCTTTTGGATGGGATTGGATGAGCGAATGATGATATGGTTGTTTTCGTTATACTCTGTAGAATAATGGGGCCGAATGGTTCTCCTATAGATGTGTTATGCCAATGTCAGATGTCAAACTAGATGCTTGCATTCAAAACCTCATATAAATTTCTACACTTTTCTACAAAGTACCTCAGTGAACAACCCAACACCAATATACAAGAAGTGACAAAAGAAACAAAACACCTAACCCCGAGGTAGCATCAAACCGCCATAAAATAAACCGCCGAAATACTCCCTATCACAATGAACGCCGTCAACAGCCCCGCGCCCACCCGATCAGCCGTCGAAATAACCCGCTCATGAATCCCCACCGAGTCCTCATCAGACTTCCCTGTCCCGGCATCCGGATTGCCCTCACTGATGCCCCCCGTGTTCGCAGAAACCCGCTTATCCACGTAATCAACCAGATGGCCCTGAAAGATCTCCAACGCAGCCATCTGTTCGCCGACGCCCGTGCTGCCGTCGAAGGTCTCGTTGCGGTTCCAGCGCAGCCCGCACGCATTGTCGGGCCCGCTGCATTGCAAAGCGGCTGCTTCGGCCGATGCTCGAAGCTTGGGCATCAGTAGGTCTTTGGTGAAGGGGGCGATTTGGATGGTGTGCGACATCCAGCGCGAGAGGTATGCTTTGAAGGATCGTTGGTCGACGTTGCATTTGCCGTTCGGCTCGCAGGCGACCTCGCTCATGATGTCGCCGATGGGGAAGAAGATGTCTAATCCGCTGATGATATTCTCGACGCGAGTTTTCCAAACCTCGGATCGGTCGGTCTATTGTGTGTGGTGTTAGCTGGGTATCTACCTAGCGATTGAGGGAAGAACGGCAGTTGGGGCCGTGGGAACTTACAAAGTGATACATGTGAGCTGCTCCGAGGAGGAATAGTCCTGCGTTGTAGGTCCAGCGAATATGATTCAACTCGGTACAGTTATTCTTATCGTCCGTGCCGTCGAAGAACTGCCATTCTTTGCTGATCAGGCCGACCTCGTAGACCCAATCCCACGTTTTCTCGGCCCAGTCTGCATACGACTGATTCCCCGTGTACACTGCCAATCGAGCAGCGAGGTTGAAGAAGCACCCATTGGAGACGGTATTCTTGTAGTTGTAGCCATTGTTGAACGAGAAGACCTGCCACTTCAGTCCTCCGTGGCAGCTTTTATTGTCCCAGCGTGGGTATTGCGTGTTGAAGACACCCTGGGCCAGCGCAAGCCACTGCGGTTTGTCTTTCGGCGGGTTGGGGAACTTCACCTCTGCGGCTGCCATGGCCGCGAGGCCCCAGAACGCTTGGTCGTCGTTGCCCAGCGTCCGGGTTTGATTGGGTTCCATGTAGTTGTGCTCCGGTCCAACTTGGTGGAGCAGTGCTTGTGTTGTTATGTCGTTCCACTGCGAGTCCCCTGTGTAGTACCAGTACTCGACCATGGCGTTAAACATGGCGCCAGTCTCCCACCAGTAATAAGGGTCTGGGAGGTTACCGGGGACATCACCCGGTCTGTGGCCGGTGTAGTATTGTAGCATTCCCGACGCTGCTGTTTTGGCGGCCTTCTTGATGGATTCTATGGGATTGAATAAACATTTTTATCAGATCAATACCGCTCGAAACTAAGGTATGGTCACTATGCGACAGTCTTAGGCTTACCTTGGTTGTCTAGATCGAGTTCGATAGATGCCTGCACCATCTGGGCCCCGAGCAAAGTCGCCGACAAGAAGATAGTACACCATGAGCACTGAGTTTGGAGGGATAGGAGCTGCATTCTGATGGAATGTCGGCAATGATGATGATGCGCTCGCACAAGATACAGGGTATTGTCACGGTAGATGTTCCAAAAGATCAAGCCCCAGGACCCCTTGTTATAATTATGTCAAACAAGGAGATGTCGGTAAAGAGTGAAAGAGACGAAAAGTTCCGATATAGGGTATAAGAAAAGTGATGTTGTTTGCGAAACGAAAGCGTAGGATGGATATGAGAAAGGATATTGCCGGTTTCTAGAACATCGAAGACTCGGCAACGACAGCGGCTCTGTTTGAATGTAATTGAAAATGGATATCAAGAATATGAAGAAGCTCATCAAAGCAAACGAGTGGCAGTTGGCACCCAGCCAATCAGACAAATTCAGAAACGAAATGGAACTAGAGAGGTCGATGCATCTTCATGGTAGCCGCATAAAAAGATATACGTCTATGTCAGGATTCCCTGTAATAATACAGCAGCAACACCAAATTTGAAAAGGTCGGAAGAAAAAAGAACATAGAATTAGGCAGACATGGGCCCCAGGAAATCAACCAGCTTTTATTCTTTGTAACGAAGACGTGCAGCAGACCTCCAAGACAACGCAAGCGCTTGGAAGGGCCGCCAAGGGAGCCATGATTGAAGAGGCCCGTACCAATCAGCCACCCTGGTCTGTTCTCTCACAGGTATTGGCGGTCAAAGAAATCGAGAAAATATACCGGCCAAGAGTCTTAGCGGGGTCATATTGGCAGCGGAACCATCGGAGGTTTGCGAGGGATAGACGGGGGAAAGCTTGGAAATGCGAACCCTGGCTATTCTGCTGCGGGTGTTCGACCGCCGGAGTAGAGCATTCCTCGTCTTTGAAATTTATATGAAAAGAGGCGAGTCATTTCCAGCGGTGGAGCTTTGATAGGCTGCAAGATGATAGTATCCTTCGTTAGTATCCAACGATGGACTTGAATACTCCAAAATGAAAGAATAGGAGGCGGTCTTGTGCGCTAAAAAGACCCTCTTCTAAGGGGCCAGCGTGCAAAAGCAAAGTTCCTATTACGAGAGCAGAGTTTTCAAAAAGGAGGCAGTGAAGAGGAAGTTACACTTGGCAAACGCCATGTAGTCTTGGACTTGAGGATGTTCTTTTATGGCGGAGATCATGCATCTGCTCTGGGATTAGCGCCCTGCTGCTTTAAGATTAGCAATTCATGGCACAATGGCTTTGCTTTGTCAACCTGATTTGAGATCTGTCAATATTAGGTGAAATGATTGTTTTGTCTGTCATTAAACAATTGTTAAAAGGGGAAAGTAACGGAGTAGGACAAACATAGTCCTGAATCATCATCGGCCAGAATGGTTGGCCGGAAGATATATTTAACCAAGCAAATTGATGCACATAGTGCTGCATACCAACAACGCAATTCCAAAATAAAAATGAGTTAACAACAAAAGCCAACTCTACTTTTTGAATGTCAGATTTCATCATCTGCAGAATTAACCCACTGATGAGCAGGTACGGAGTATTAACGGACTTATATCACAGTCGATGGAAGCATAGAAGGGCATGCATATGACTAAGCCATGCATAAAAATAGACAGGGCTAACCCGGAAAAGGCTGTCAATTCTGTAGGTTGGAGGATCCACGATCCAGCGGGATGATCTCAGGGATTGGTCGCGGCCAGACTCCAACTGCAGAGGGACCACACAGCTTCACGTGGCGATTGACCTGGGAGGCGCGATGACAAGGGCAAAGGTCCTGCCTGCCTGCACAGCCTCTTGAGATCCAGTCCCTTGAGCCACGCCAACGCACTACTTGGCTGGTCTGGCGATTGGTCCCGGCGAATGGTGCCTAATGGACCAAATGTTATTACTATTATTATGTTTTCTTCCGAGCCATTGGCAGACTCGTATTTTTGTGCGTACTGTAGGTAGTCCTATACCTTATAAACCGGACAGAAAGAATGAGGACTTTGTTAGAAATACATTGGACCCTGAGCAACAAAACTCGATCTCATAGGAGTACCTACCAACTTGTACCGTGCCGCCTTTCTTTGTTTCATTTATAGCCCGCCGTCTGATTGGTTTCACCCCAAAATAGCTGCCTGGGCGTTGTTTTCCCGATTCTGAGTGGCTAGGGTCACGTGTTGCCACCCCGACCGAACCGAGACGGGCTGTAATCTCCAAAGGCGGGCGGCGATTCATCACACCTTGTCAGCTTCACCCCAGCCTGCACCTCACCGTCTCCCTTTCGCATCCCGTCATCTACCCACCCTTGAAGACCCCGGGGATCTCCTCCACCGTCTCTGCTCGCCCGTCTTTACTCGCCCTTTTTGGTCTCGACCTCTCGTTTCCCCCTTTTCCACTCCCCTGCGAGAGGAAAAGTCAACGGTATCCGTTCATTCGACCAGGCCGTCTGGTGATCTACCAGGTCCTACGACTTCAGTACTCTTGAATACCGTCTATTACCTCCATCATGTCCGAACAACCCTACGACCCTTATATCCCCTCTGGCTCCAACGGGGCCCCCGCTAGTGCCGCGCAGAATGGCGATCCCAGGACGCGGGAAATCGACAAGGTACGTGAAGAAACCCTTGTGACTTCATCCATAACATCGCGCAAGATGTCTTCCCTGGTAGATTCAGAGCGATCTTGGCGTTATTCAAACCATCCGGCCTGGCCGTGGTCCCGAATAATCGCGAATCATGCCATGGGAATGATTTCTGGTGTGAGGGATGTTATGGAATCTATCGCAAGATGATTCTCTTGAAAGCCAGTCCCGCTGACTCTCTCTCTTTCGCTAGAAAATCCAAGAAACTGTCGACACGATGCGTTCGAATATCTTCAAGGTCTCGGAGCGTGGTGAACGTCTGGACTCTCTGCAGGACAAGACCGATAACTTGGCCACATCAGCCCAAGGTTTCCGCCGAGGAGCCAACCGCGTGCGAAAGCAAATGTGGTGGAAGGACATGAAAATGCGCGTTTGCTTGGTTATCTGCGTCATCATCTTGCTGGTAGTCATCATCGTTCCCGTTGGTAAGTTTGGACGGTCCTTGAGATGACATCCCCCTTTTCTTTCCTCGTCTTATTTTCTGTCTTCCCCCGCGATCAACGCGATCAAGAACGCTAACGGTTGATGTCTGTCGCAGTTGTCAAAACCACCTAAGTCATGCACGCAGCGACAGTCACGATTCTCTTGGGAATGGATGTTTTTGCAACTGGGTTCTCTCTGATGAGATTGCGAAGCTTTGTTTTCAGCCATTAATACCTTACGTCTTTTTTTCTTCGGGTCCCAGCCCGCCTTGGTTTTCACGATTAAAGAAAGTCTTGTCTCTATACGCCATGGACGTTACGAGCCGATTCGAGATTGCGATGAGGCTGTGTCACACGATTCGTCGACGGTGAAGATGTAAATGATACTCCGGTGCTCCCCTGTGTTTGAGTACGCTCTTGTGTCTTTTTTGCTTTTTTGCTTTTTTTTCTTATGTTCTTTCCTATGTCTTTCCTTAGCCTCGAACTCTAATGAATTTTTTATAACTTCCATATACTTGCGGACATCGTAGTAGGAAACCAACAGGTAATAAAGCATAAATAAATAGAATGAAATAAATAAAAATAAGTCGGTACTCCGTTTCCATGGTGGTAGACACCCGAAGCATGTCGAACAGGCCACCCCGAGACATGTAAAGATGATTGCACGAAAGGAAGACCCGAGCCGGCTATAAATCTCTTTAGGCAGTCGACGCCGAACTACGAGGGCGACATGACGAAGAGTGGACCGGCAAGACCCCTAGGGTAAATGAGCCGGAGACATTCCCATTAGCTAACAGATCAGATAACGAAGGACCCAATGCACTACGAAATGACATCTGGGAATTATATCGGGGCAGGGATCCATCCGGCGAGGGCTGGGCGAACGGTTATTCGTCAATGAGGGGGGCACGACAGACCATTAACAGGTCGAAGCGAGATCTGATAATCCCAGAATTCCTGGAATGTGGAAATTGACGAGGTCGATCTGCTGGGTGTGGTGGTGAGAGGGGAATTTCTGTTACGTGAGCTGGTAGAAAAGAGAGAGAAAAAAAAAAAAAAAAAAAGAGGGGACTGGCAGGGGATCCCGGGATTCCAGACAGACCACTCCGTAGGCAGTACGGACTGCGTAGGACAGAGGACAAGGTGGTCGACCTGCGTACTACTTACTGTACTGCGTCGACTGCGTAGAAAAAGTGGCGCCCATCCGGCTCCGAAAGTCGCAGCCAAGATATTCAGGCACATTTTGCCCTCGCTCTCCGCCTCCCTCTCCGGGAACCCCCCAATTGCCTCTCGCCCTCCGTCTTCCCGACGCGTTTCTCCAATTCTGCCCGACCGCTGGACTGGTCATTTGTTAATCCCTCACTGCAGCTGCTGGCTGGACGCATCAGCGCCGTCTTCTTTTTGGGAGATCCTCATCCGCGGGATTTCACGCGAGGGGGAGCAAGAACCACAAAAACCGCGCATCAGTGTCACTGGGCGGTGACGCTGCGAACGACCCGACTAATCCCAGCCGCTAGTGAGTAGTCTACCACCCTCACCCACCTTATGACTCCGAGGCGTCTCCGATAATCAATCTTTGGGAGGACCAAACTCTTTGGGGCGCGGCAATTCGGTCAATCCGCACCTCCACACACTTTTTTCCCTCGTTCGCCTCTTATTACTCACTCCTCTTGGCCCTTCTTCTACTACTTCCCCTCCATCCAATCTACCCTTTTTCTTCTCCTCTCCGCTCACTCCCTCTCTCCCCTCTTCCAGACTTCCTGTCCGAGTAGCTGCGAAAGCTGCCGCATGCTGGCTGGCAAGATGTTCTCCCTTCGTACCGCAGTGCGGAGAGCTTCCACCAGCAAGCCCCTCCGTTCGCTCTCCGCACCGCACGCCGTTTCTCCGGCGAGACTCGCCTCTGCTCGCCAGTCCCTCAAGGCCTCTGCCGTGCCGTTGCTGCAGAGTCGCCACTATTCCCGTGCGGCGGATCCCCAACTCTCGTCGACCCGGTCCACCGTTGTCCAGCTGCTGAGTAACATCGGTTCCAAGCGCGAGGTCCAGCAGTACCTCTCGCACTTCACCTCCGTCTCCTCGCAGCAGTTCGCCGTCATCAAGGTTGGCGGTGCCATCATCACCGAACACCTCCACACTCTTTCGTCCGCGCTCGCTTTCCTCAACCACGTCGGACTCTACCCCATCGTTGTCCATGGCGCTGGTCCCCAGCTCAATCGCATGCTGGAGGAGGCCGGCGTGGAGCCACAATTCGAAGATGGTATTCGGGTGACCGACGGCAAGACTCTGGCGCTTGCTCGGAAGCTGTTTTTGGAGGAAAACCTGAAGCTGATCGAGGAATTGGAGCGCATGGGTGTGCGCGCCCGCCCCCTCACCGCTGGCGTGTTCTCGGCAGACTATCTCGACAAGGAGCGTTACAACCTTGTCGGTAAGATCAACGGAGTGAACAAGAACCCAATTGAGTCGGCAATCGAGGCTGGTTGTCTCCCGATCCTGACTTCCATGGCCGAAACCCCGGATGGCCAGATCCTTAACGTTAACGCCGATGTGGCGGCCGGTGAGCTTGCCCGTGCTCTTCAGCCCCTCAAGATCGTCTACCTTGCCGAGAAGGGTGGACTTTTCAACGGCGACACCGGCGAGAAGATTTCCGCCATCAACCTGGACGAGGAGTATGAGCATCTGATGAGCCAGTGGTGGGTCCGTCACGGCACCCGCTTGAAGATCAAGGAGATGAAGGATCTCCTCAGCGATCTCCCTCGTACCTCCAGCGTTGCGATCATCCACCCCGCCGACTTGCAGAAGGAGCTCTTCACCGACTCCGGCGCTGGTACGCTGATCCGCCGCGGCAACAAGGTGCACACTAAGACCTCTCTCTCCGAGTTCGAGGACCTGGAGAAGCTGAAGGATGTTCTGGTGCGTGATCGCGAGGGTCTGGATGCCCGGGCTACCGTCGACCGCTACGTCGAAGGCCTGAAGGAGCGTGACTTCAAGGTCTACTACGATGAGCCCATGGAGGCTCTGGCCGTGGTTCTGCCTCCTCAGAAGGATGCCGTTACCTCCTTGGCGCACCTGGCTACCTTCACCATCACCAAGTCGGGATGGTTGACCAATGTGGCCGACAACGTTTTTGCGTCCATCAAGAAGGATTTCCCCAAGCTGGTGTGGACGGTTAAGGAGGACGACGAGAACCTGACCTGGTTCTTCGACAAGGCCGATGGTAGCCTCAGCCGCGAGGGCGAGGTTCTTTTCTGGTACGGCATCGAGAGCGGCGACGAGGTTAAGCAGCTGGTTCAGGAGTTCAACCAGAATGGTCGCCAGATGTTCGGTGACATCAACCTCGAATCGCGACTGCACCGGGCCGCCCAGGCTGCCACCAACATTGGTAAGGGGTTCGGCGCTAGCGGTGCCTCGGCTGAACAGCGACGTGCCTTCTCGACTGGTAACGTCCTGCGTGCCGCTCGCTCTGCCCGTCCTACCGTGCCTCTGACTGCTCGTCGCACTTATGCGACGACAAACCCCAACCCTCCCCTGGGCGAGAAGAACATGTCCAACAGCCAGCCTTCCAAGGTCGCTCTCATTGGAGCCCGTGGATACACCGGCCAGGCTCTGATCAGCTTGATCAATGCCCACCCTCACCTGGATCTGCGCCACGTTTCGTCTCGCGAGCTGGCCGGCAAGAAGCTTCAGGGTTACGAGAAGCGCGAGATTATCTACGAGAACCTGAGCCCCGAGGACGTCAAGCGCATGTCGTCCAACGGTGACGTTGACTGCTGGGTTATGGCTCTGCCCAACGGCGTCTGCAAGCCTTTTGTCGACGCTGTTGACCAGGGTTCCGAGAAGGGCAACGTCATCGTTGATCTGAGCGCCGACTACCGCTTCGACTCCAAGTGGACTTACGGGCTTCCCGAGCTGGTCAGCCGTTCCAACATCGCCCAGGCAACTCGCATTGCCAACCCGGGCTGCTACGCTACTGCCGCTCAGGTTGGAATCGCCCCTCTGGTTCCTTTCCTCGGTGGACAGCCCACTACTTTCGGTGTTTCTGGATACTCGGGAGCTGGCACCAAGCCAAGCCCCAAGAACGATGTCCAGTTCCTTACCAACAACATCATCCCTTACAGCTTGACTGATCACATCCACGAGAGGGAGATCAGCTCTCAGCTCGGAACCAGCGTTGCTTTTATCCCCCACGTCGCTGTCTGGTTCCAGGGTATTCACGTAAGTCCTTCACGTGATAGCTTTTCCTACCTAAACTAATCCATGTCTTTCCATAGCACTCCATCAGCATTCCTCTCAAGCAGGAAATGAGCTCTCGTGATATCCGCAACCTTTACCACGAGCGATATGCCGGCGAGAAGCTGGTCAAGATTGTCGGCGAGCCCCCTCTTGTCAAGAACATTGCCGGCCGTCACGGTGTCGAGGTTGGCGGCTTTGCTGTCCACTCCAGCGGCAAGCGGGTCGTCGTTTGTGCCACCATTGACAACTTGCTCAAGGGCGCGGCCACCCAGTGTTTGCGTAAGTCTTCTATCTAGTCGTTCTATGAATTGCCCGGCTAATAATTCTCTAGAAAACATGAACTTGGCCCTCGGATACAGCGAATACGAAGGCATTCCCCTGGATTAAATAACGGAAACGCACCGCGTATAACTGACAGTCGAAGGGTACGCGTATGAAGCATGGGGCCTGTCTGTTTTCCGAACCAAAGCAACAATGTTAGGTGCCCAGATCCTGAGTATCCTTTTCTCTTTATCTTTTCTGCGTGTCATACCCCGTGTGCAATTTAGCCGGTTGCTGTGGGTTGGACATGAGCGACAAGAGATCTATCTCTTGCGTCTCTTTCCATAGTCAACCTTGCCATGTCTCTACCTATCTATCTTACTATCTATCTCCTTCACTTGGATCCTCGGTCTATAGAACCCTATCTTGCTGTCTACAAATGTTTGATTCTCTATTGCTTTTCTTTTTCTTTTTACTTTTTCTTTTCTTCGGTCTGCGTCCAACGGAAAGCCTTTTCTATATCTCGTTGGCGAATGTTATTTTCGGCGCTGGTGAGCTGCAGAATATAGAGGGAGGAATGAAAAGTCATTTTTACCTGTGGATTTCTCTTTCTCCTGGATCTATCTTGCATTTTTGCAGTGGATTTGAGCCTGCCCTTGGGATTATTTACCAATGCTACGTAAATAGTTCTTGCTAGGATGTACTATAACCTCTGTGACAATATACCTACTAGGCAGTTATTCAGACGGTCCTCCATACTTGAATGGTGGTTTGTTTGGTTTGTGGGAATGGGTGGCCTTCTAAAATGGGCACCCTTAGGATTCTTTTCTCAGCTCACTTTCCACCCACTTACCTAGCACCTTGAACACCGGACAGTCCAGCGACATCCCTTCTTTATCAGTGCAATCGATTCTTTTATTTCTATACCCGAAGATTATTGCATCTTCTAATGTTCCATAGTCCTATTCACTTCTCCAGCTTCCTTATACTAGCCCACAGTCGAAGTCTCAGCGCCTCTCGCTGTGATTGACACTTTTCTGAATCGCAGTGTGATTTGCGCCTAACACCGGAGAGACTAATTCCTGGAACCAAACCGAACCTCGCGCTTTTCACCTGTCGTTCTCACTAATTGGCCCATACTTCGCGCGGTGATGAAAAGACACCTTGCACGACTGCGGGAGCCCAGAAAATAGAACGATCAAAATGTTCTACAGCCACGAAAGTAAGCAACCAATAGTCTGTTGATCAACATGATGAAATGGCATGAGTCTCTAATCATTACTGCTTCCAATAGTACTCACCTCACCCGAGCACGGTGTCGCTACAATATGGTACGTGTTAGTGGACGACTTAGACTCATGAGTGTCGCGGATATACTAATCGAGTCTTCTCACACAGGTTGGTCGCAACTCTAGGACCGAGGTCAATCACGAAGAAACTCAACAGAAAAGCGATACTGGATGTCGACGTTCCCAAGGCTTGCCATGTCATCATGGATCCTGCGGCGCCAATGGCGCTGAGGCTTCAAGGGAATCTGCTGTAGGTCAAAGATTTATCATGTGGTTAACTTCGGGTAAAAGATGCTGATTTAACGCCTCAGATACGGCGTTTCGAAGGTGTACAATCAGCAATGCGGCTATGCGCTGACGGACGTCCAGACAATGCATGATAGAATGAAGTTGATGTTGCGAGTTGTACCGGGAGGAGGACTGGACCCGTCCGCGGGGAAAGTGAAGTTAGTGTTCTTTCGTTTCGTCTTTTTTGATTGCTTTTTCCGGTGGACGGCCTCTCTAAAGTCAAGGCATCTAGACCTGATCAGCTGATCCTTCCCTATGATCCGTCATTCGCGCCTGAAAATGACATTCCCGGAATGGGCATCGACTTCTCCAAATGGAGAATCGCCATCGACACAGACACAAGCGAGGACCCCGATTTCGCGTGGCCCAGAACCCCAGATCTCAGCCAGTCTGCCATCTCGCGCAATTCCAGTCTCCAACTCAGCCTTTCCTCCGGGGATATAATGATGAAAGACCTAGTGGGGTTTGGCTCGGAAACCGACGTGGGCTCTGCGCAACGGAGTACAGACTTTGCGAGACTCGCGGCCTCAACTCTCGGTGAAGAACAAGGAATACTTCTCCAACCTGACTTCGAGTTTGACGAAGACGGGAATATAGTTGAGTTGGGAGGACCTTATCTTCCAGGTGAGGTTAGACAGCGTAGGGAACTCAGGTTGATCAGCGAAACACCTGTATTTGGTGCGTCGAGAGATATCGCGATAGATGATGTCTTCGGTGATGATCAAGTGAGCATTTGAACCTTCATATTTGTGATTGATTTAATAAGACTCCGTGCAGCCCATGAATATGAACGAAGATCTAGGCCTTGATCTCGGACGAGCTCACACTCCAGACGCAGATATTCGGCAATCTATTGAACACCCTGCGTCTGAAGCAAGACATGAGATGGAGATTGCTCCGGAAACAGCAGATGCCGCAATGCGCCAGTCACGAGGAAGACAACATAAGATCATACCCCCAGACACTGAGACCGTCTTGCAAAACACCGAGCTTGCCGAACTGATGCACCAATATTTGCAGAACATGGCTACTGCTGGGGCAAAACAGCAGCATGGCCTGCTTCCTACTCAGGCTAAGAAAAATGCTGCCTTCTGGGTTTTCGGCAAAGGAATCGGTTCCGTCGGTATTGGAGTGGGAGTTACTCGATTTGCTCATCCTCTGGAGCTTTTCTCAGGACGAGAGTTATATGAGACACTTAGCCCGTTTGCCATTCCAAAGAAACGCAAACGTGGTCGCCCATCTGGCAAAGACAGCGATGCTGAGTTGGAAGTGCGTCGTGTGCGCGCACGCGAAGAGCTCGAAGAACAAGTTGGCCGCGGTGAGAATGATGGCGGTGTTAATTGGCAAGAGGTCTGAAATCCCTTCAATGCCATCTCTGCCGTGTCGCACTGATACTAATGGTCTTTAAGGAAATTGAGATCGGCCGTCAAGCCTCAGCTATCCGCGAGGACAACTCCATCATGCCCTGGAACATCACTGCATCAGTTCAAAGCTCCCAACATGGATCAGTCACCGCAAACATCTTCCGCGGAGTAGGAAGTATGAGTGACTTTTCGTCGCATGGATTTGGCGAGCCTTCCGGACTCGGAGCATATCGTAGTCGTCTGACCAGCGCCAGTCCTCTCGCAGGACGCGGCTATCCAGCAGACATTGAAGGTCTTCCTGGCTTTACAGACGACGATCTCGAAGACTTTGACCTCAGTCACTACCTCCAGAACGAGCTCTACGCCAACGACTATGCAAATGCAATGGATATTGATCTCACCGGCCCAAACAAAGGCAAAGAACCAGTCAGGAATCCTCCCCTCCCTCTTCGAGACCGCATTATACAATCAAACCTTGACCAAGACAGTCTGAATTTCCTTGAATTCGTCATGAAGAAAATCGAGGAATTGAGTATTGACACGACTCAAGACAATCAATCAGGCGCAGTCGCAGGCGCAGACACCGATGTCAATGCATCCATGCAACTGAAAGGCCTGCCTTTCACGACATTGCTTCCGCAGAGGAAAACTTCTCGTGCCGTGGCTACCCACGGCCTCGCACACACTCTTGCTCTCGCAACCAAGGGAATCCTCTCCGTTCGGCAGGAAGCCTACAAGGATCTCAGCACAGAGGAGTACGGTGCAAGATACGAATACGGCGAGATCTTCCTACGCCTAGCGTAGGAGATCTAGGTCTGCCATGGTCGTTGCTTCGATTTACCAGTTCAAGCAACATAGGGCAACACAGCACAACATAACACAAAAGCCTCATCCCCCGTCATTTCCCAATCGCCATCTCATCTCATCGATTTATTCTCTTTCACCTTCCCCTCTCCCTCTACAAAAAGACCCATATCCTCCCCGTCATCCCCAACTCACCATGAACAAGCCTCTCGACCCCGCTATGTATGTATGAGTAGACTTTACCGATTTCTTTGCGATGTTTTTCCTTGCAAACTTCTTTGTTGCTTCTTTCATTCTTATACGCTTTATCTACCCTCCATGCATCATTTATTTGTTTATCAAACTCGATGAGTCGATCCGGGCCGGCCCTGCCCTGCGCCTACTAACAAAGCAAAACAAAGCAAGAATCTGTCCGAGTAACATCATCGACACGGAGTTTCCATTTAAGGGCTCATCTGAATCTTATTGACCTTGCGGCTCTTTTTCTTTTCGCGTTCAGCTTCGGTGAATTTCTTTGATCTATGCTGCATATTCTCTTAGTGATGTATTTCTTTATCTTTGCTACATAAATACTTCTTGTTTTTTTCTTCTCTTAATATTTGATTTCTACAAAAGTAAAATGTACGATGCATTACAAAATAACACAAAAAGTAGGTCGGACGAATGTCCTTTTTTTTTTTAGATTTTTGTAAATAACAACACTGATAACCAACAAAAACATCTCAAAAACAAAACAAAGATCACAACAATCACACGAAAAACCCGAAAGCTCTTGTCCTCGTCGTGTTCAAATAACAAAATCAACAGTCAACACAGCCAAAACAGTTCAAGAAAATGGACACTTACCTGAATCTGAAGATTTCTTGTCCTCGGTATACACCACACGACGACAGTTGGGAATAGACTAACGCATATGTGCATGTAGACCTTGTAGATGCTTGCTACCACTGTGGTTCGTGACGCCGGGACTTTGAATGTCGGGGACCTCTGCGTTTGCGTTTGCCCTTAACACGGCGGCGGCGGCGTATTTCTCCTGACTCAACGGATAGATTCACGTCCATTTCGCTGGACGAGGACCGGAAATCTCGATGGGGTATAAATCCTGCTTGTTCAGACCAAAACGATGGGGTTTCCTGTATGGAAACACATGAGCGACAGACTCTATGGTGAGAGATCACAAGTGGTTTGAAACAGCGTCAGAGGGACCTGGGACTTACCGGGTCTTCAGGAGAGGAAGATGTAGCTTCCACGGCGCTGGTCTCGCCCGCCTCGCCTGATGGCTGGGAAAAGGGATCAACAAAAGCGAAGAGAGCGAGTTCTTCGAGATCATATGCGATGTGCTCCAATAATTCAGTGGGACGGAAGGGATGTTGACAAATGGGACACGGAACGGTGGGATCTGGCGTGCGGTGGATCGAGTGCTCGCTTGTCATGTGGCTGTGCCATGTGAAAAGATGGTCAAATGACCATGTGTCCCCTATCGGACAATCCGGGACCACACACACATACGCCCGCAAGTCCTCGCACAGATGCTTTCTCCAGACATTCGGAAGCTTCCCATACCCAGCTGAAATACTGTAGAAGCAGTATGGACATTGGAATTCGCCCAGGCTTGCTGACTCAGGGATAGGTGGACAGGAGAGGGGTTCCTTGCCGTACACAAGATCCTTATTGTAGGGTGCTTCTGCGTGGCTCGAAGACGACTGGGGGATATCGGTTTCCTTGACGGTCACTGGTTCATCGTCTGGGTAATCACTCTCCTGCACATCAAATTTCCTCTGATTGGGACCTTTGGGATCATTGTAGCGTCTTTCACGATACTTTAGAATCGCCCTGCACCTGGAGATATGTAGGGCCAGTCGAGGTATAAGACTTCGCGCAGAGGGGAATTTGGCGGCGACGTGCTTCTCGTCGACGTCCTTGAAGCGAAGGACATATTTGTTCCTGCTTGAGAAACAAACTAGGTAGTCCCTATCAGGGGGATTCATATACTGAAATGAATCGATCGTGAAACAGAGCATCCTAATCAATCTGATAGTCTTTCTGTAGTAGTTTTGCATCGGCGTCGCCTGGTTCACAGGCGGCAATGACTCTTCCCGAAGATACCAGGTTGCGTGGTGCTGGGCGGCTCTGGCTTTAGAGTCTTCATCCTGATCAAGTTGATTAAGTATGGCTTCATACTCAGCATTCCGTTCTTCTTTACCATCATCAGCCCAACCAGCCCAAGCGAGGAAATATCTTCGGAGAGCGTCAGCCCAAGCGGGTAAATCTCTGAGGAGAGTGTCCAAATCCTCGTTGCGGCCATATTTCAGGCCTTCCGGGTCGGATATCGCTTTCTCTAGCCAGCTTTGTAACGATTCCAAGCTCCTAAGAGCAAAGCTTGCATAGTCCCCAGAATCCCGCAACACGAAATCGAGAGAGTCCTGACCGATTTCCTGGGCCTCAGTTTCAGAACACCAATCCCGCAGGCGATCCAATTCGTCCTGCCAGGCCGAACGCGATACCCTGTACTCCTCTAAGTGTTCAGAAGCCACCAAGGTTTCAAATTTTTCGAGGCAGGCGGAAACTTTGGATGAGATCAGGTCCATTGGGAATAAAGCTCTCGATGCCAGGGAACTAAATGATGAAAGATGATGATGTTCGATCGATTTGATGGACCTTGGAACTCTCTGGGCTGAGGAGGGCCTTTATATAGGCCGGGTCACACGACGAAAAGTGTTAGCGAGCCACGCAAATTACCGCAAGCCTCCGATAATAGATACTGGCCCGGAAATTTACCAGGACCTTTCCGCCGATTGGTCTTGTGTCAAAGATGAAGGATGATGGGAGGATGGGGAAAACAATAATCCTTGCTCCACAGACAAACGCCTATCTGGTACCCAGACCGCTCACCACCCTTTCATTTCTGTTCAAGCCAACTCTTGCCTCAAGAACACCGACAACATACTAGGGGATGGCATTCAAAATGCTCACAACAGTGGAGGGAGCGGGGATAACGATTGCAGTGTTCTCTCTGCTGCTGCAACTAATCCCCCTCTGCATTCGGGGTTCGCGAGTCTTGAAATCCCTTCGCCATTCAACACACAAATATGAGTTACAAGAAGACCAGAGTCTCCTGGATGACTATCAACGCTATCTCACCTCTACCGTGAAGGGAATGATAGGGTTGCCAAGCCCTGTGCCTGACGTTGATATTGCCAATTTTTGCAGAGACCCTGGCAGTGCATTACGGAGACACCCGAGTTTGGTCCAAAGCCTGCAGGGAAGGCTTGGCCAGAATCGTATTTCGTTTATTTCGTCCATGCAGGAAGCACAAAGGATTATGGATAGGCTCAGTGACCAACTAAACCCGGGGAATGCTGATGATGTAAGTCAATCTTCAATCCGGCCATTCTTTTCCTGTTTCATTTCAGCATTTAACCATGAGCATTTAAGATCTGCTGGAAAATAAAATACGTTTTCGCGAAAAAACAGCGCTCAGATCAATTCGACGAATTGGAAAAGCGGATCAAACTCATGGAGCGTCTCGCGAGCCCACCAGTTGCCACGTATAGCAATCCACGCCTCGAGCTGCTGCTCCCCGAATACCGAGAGGCTAGGAAGATAGCCAGCACAATACACGATGTCCTATTACATGGCAACTTCTGGGGCTGTCGGTGCGGAAACCACTGCATTGATGTGATACTCTGCCATGACATTCAGAACTATGAAGGACCCAAAGGAATGAAACTTCGCATAGATTCACCGACCACAGTTTCGGATGGAGCAACGCGTGGACAACGGAGGTGGCAAGAGGTGAAGGTTGACTCCGCCCCAAATCCAACCGGAGGTCCGACTGCGTCTATGACTAGCATGTGCTCCATGCTTACCGGGCCACATCCCGCCTTTGGGTATCTGAGCGACAGTGATTACCGACATGAGATTTCCATCACCGGGGCTGCAGTACGAGGACTGCAGTTGAAAAGTCTTGAGGACATCGTACAATATCCATGTGTCCGATCAGTCTCGGCCGAGAACAAGCCCATATTCAGTGCAAAATCTCGATTTCATTTTGCTGGAAAGCTTGCATGTGCCGCACTTCAATTCCACGGAAATTGGCTCCCTAAGAGTTGGAGCAGCCGTGACATCGCTTTCTTGAGCACTATGGGGTCTGAAGAGTCTCTCCGAACCCCCTTTTTGGCGCGCAACACGTCTAGTGTTCCGAGACGGTCATATCGGCCAGCAACCTCAGCTATGTTGAAAGAGACCCTGATATCACTTGGGTGGAGTTTAGCCGAACTTTCGTTTTGCTCAACAATCCAAGATCTGCCATACTCCAAGAATGAGGTTCTCGGAGGTGTGAAGAAGAAGGAATTTCTGCGTGATATCTCCGAACAAAGTGGAGAGAGATATAGGAAGGTGGTGAAACAGTGCTTGTTCTGGCCGGATGATCATGGTGCAGATGACATGTTCCGGAAGATAGTTATCCCTTTGCTAGATATAGTACGCACTTTTTAACGGCCAGAGCCGTTTCTGACAAAGTGAAGCAAAGCTTCAGGGACGCGGTCTTCCGGTAGACCCTCCCTTGGGAGAAAATGAGAAATGAAGTTTGGCGTCTTTGCCTTCATTATCTACCGCCTACCCGTCTCACCGCCGACTTCCCATGGTCTGCTGGACAGTACCGCCTTTTTTCCCAGGAACCGCCTTGGTAATTGCCGGCAGTATTGGAGGCACCGCGTTTTAGCCGAGTGAAGTCGTGACTCTTATCGATACGATCGACCGCGTCTGAGGATCTCTGCGGCGTAGCTCCTGGAGTCAATGGCGGACCTTTCTCCGCATGCTTTCTGACAAAAATTCAAAATTCAAAAAAAAAAAAATATTCAGTAAAACCAAGGACACCCGGTGAGGACGAAAAACAGGATGGTCAAGCGTTTTTGCAGTTCAAGTGTAAACGGCGTCATTTTCGGCCGTAAAAACCGCGGTCATCACGGCCATACCACGTACGGTATACCAGTAATACCAGCAATTCAATTCGATTCCCACGCATGAGTACTGGTGTATCTGATCTCCGTACTGCATCGAGTATTGTGTTGATCAACATCCTACCTGCCTGGCACGCGACAGCTCAGCGACCTGGTGAACATCTTGGTTTAGCCCCAACAGGCAGCCACGAAAACATGCGATGCCGGTGGTGGCTGAGTCCTTGGATTCCGGTCAACAGAAACCGATCCTCGTTTAACACTCTTGGATGTGAAAACCCCGGCGACACCACGATAGACCAGCTGAAACTACAGGCGCTCTGGTATCGGTTGGACCAGTAAGGATACAACGACGGGGGTCAGCCGGACGATGAACTGTAAATGCGCCGATCGATACTCTTACGGTATTCGTAAGTACGACATCATACGCCGACCGCTCGTGGTATCGAGAGATACCTTACTGCCAGTTACCAGTTCGCGATGGACGATATGGAACCTATTAAGGGTGGACATGTTGAATGCCCGCTATGGCAGCCCGTCTTCACTCGACGGGGCTACTGGTGAAGAGAAAATAATCCTTTTTTTGGTGGTTGGTCAGCCTGCCGCGTGACAAATTTAGACTTTCCTGACTGAGGCACCCAAGACTCGCGTCCGCCGAAATTACGTGTTTGGCATTCGTACCGTCTTACGGGCCCCTTCAGCAATGGGTGTCTACCTACCTACCTACCTTATACTTAGACAAAGTTGTCGACTTTACTACCTTCGCAACAGTGGCCTGATCCGCTAGAAGGAGTCAGATTGGCCGACACCTTGCAACCGTCGTTCTCAGACTGACGTGGTGCGCCTGACCAGGCTGGGCCGGGAACGAAATTACGCGGGCCCGTAAGGTTCCGTCCTGACGAGACTCGCGTAAGTTAACCGCCACCGTCTCGTCTTGTCCCCGTCTCGTCTCGTCTTTCTTCCTCTTTTCCTTCTCGCACCCCCGAGTCTCCCTTCCCCTTCGCCCAAAGCTCTCTCTTTCTCCCCTGCCCTCTCGCAGTTTCGAGGTCGCTCCCCATCGCCACGCCTCCGAGTCCATCTCTCTCATCTCCTTTCTAACCCCGGGTCGCCTTGAACTCCATCCACCATCGATTTATTCAATTCTTACGTCGTGAACATGGGTCGTACCGTCGACCAGGAAGTTCACGCGGCGTTCGTCGAGTTCCGCGCCAAGGAAGACGATAAGGTGCGTGTCGGCGGCCTGCTGTATTTCCCGTAATATTTCACCGCAACCCAGAAACTGACCGGTCCGTCCGCGCTGCGTTCGGCCTGTCCAGTGTCTCTCCGTCCAGTGCATCTACTGCCAGCAGATCCGCGCAAAGAACACCTCGCGTCAGAAGCAGCACCTGCTCGAGTGTCCCGGTCTCCGCGGCCACACCAACCCCCCGGCGCCCCAGACCCAGTCCACCCCGTCCGCCCCGAACGGTATCGCCGCCAACGGATATCCTCCCACTCCCAATGGCACCGCCGCCGCCGCCGCTCCGGGCACCGGTCCCAGTGCTGCTGCCATGCAGACCCCCAACGGGCCCATGATGTCCAACGGAGTGGCCCCTCACGCGACGCCGATGCAGACGCCGCTGCAGAACATGCCTGGTCGCGCCTCGCTGCCCACCTCCGGTCCCACGGGGGGCGCCGCTTCGTCCGCGTCCGCCTCGCAACAGGCCTCGCGCGCCACTCCCAAATCCAAGCCGAAAACCTCCACCTCCAGCTTACCCGCCCCGCCGTTGGATGACGTCCACGCGGCGTTCGTTGAGTTCCGTGCGAAGGAGGAGGACAAGGTAAGACCGACCGGCACACTCGGCGTCTCCGACGACGGTATTTTGACAGAGGAACAGTGCCTGTCGGTGCAATGCATCTACTGCCAGCAGGTCCGCGCGAAGAACACCAGCCGGCAGCGCCAACACCTACTCGAGTGCCCCACCTACCTCAGCGTGATGAAGGACTCCATCCCCGCGAACAACCTCCTCCACACCTTCCCCGAGGGCGACGTGGCCCGCTCGTTGCAGATCCCCGCTCCCTCCCTCGAATTGGATTTCCGGATGAGTATCAAGATGAACCCCCGGGTTGCCGTCGGACAAAGTATTTGGGGGCAGAGAGATTGGGTGACGTTTATTGGTGGTCAGTGGGCCGGTAGATGGGGCAAGGGCGTTATCTTGGTGAGCTCTCCATCCTTCAATTTCCCTGCCCGGTGTTGGGCGACTATCTAAATCTATATCTATACCTATATAATTGGTGATGCTAATATCTCAACAGCCGGGAGGACAGGATTCTCAGATCGTGACCAAAGAGTCCACCACCAGTCTTCGGGCAAGCTATATGCTTCAGACTTCCGATGAGCCGCCGGCGTATATTATTGTAAAAACCAGCGGATGGTTAACGGGTGCGAAAGATGTTCTGGACAAGGTTAATGACCCCAACATGGCGGACGCTATTAATCCTAATACCTATAAGTACCGGGTAAATCTCTCTATGGAAACAGGTGATGAACGCTATGCATTCTTGAACACCTTAATGTGGATTGGTAGCGGCTGCCGCAGAGGCCATGAAGGTTCGTCCATATCTTCTATTCCGTCGGATCATCGCATTGGCTAATTTCTCAGAAGTCATCTTCGATGCTTTCCGCGTCAATTGATCTGCCACGATATTGCAACTCTTTTGTCGGTTTTTGAGCGAGTAATCACTATTTTCGATTGGGGAAAATTCATCGTTTGTTTTCTCATTCCTGTTATCTTTCCTATCTCATTACTGAATATGCTTGGTGTATTCTCGACCTTTCAAAGCCTCTGGTATGGAAATTCTCTTTTCTTTTTCTTTTCCACTTATATCTTCTACATCACTCACTCATGGGTCCGCTTGATGCCATTCTATCGGGACATATCCGGTGCTTTTCATGCTATTTCCTCTGATGACACCATCTGTTTCTTGCGCTTTTGCTTCTGTATGGTATTGTTCTCATCTCATTGCAAGGTGCAGGATGTTCTAGCCTTGACTCGAAGTGTCTTTTTTCATTCAGTTCATTCAGTTCGCTCTGATTTCTCTTGTCTTAATTCGACGACAGTGGAATCACGACCTAGGGTCATGTATCTTATTTCTTTTCAAGAATGGAGAATGTTTACTATGTCGGTTGATTTCTGGTAGGTACGGGTTTGGACCAGTAAAATATATAAATGGGGTACCGCCGTACAGGTCAGCGGGTATGGTATGTGATTTGGTCAATTACCAAGTTCACCTGAGAGGAAATATATAACCGGGGTTCCTGTATGGATGAGATGGAAAGGGGAATGAAACTATGAATGAACGAAATTCATACAAACAAATAACCTTATTAATAGTAGGTATTAAATACTCGTACTTGCGTTCAACTCTAGGGAAGATAATTACAGTACCTTACTACTCCTGTTTACCCAGAAGATACTGGTCGTACAACATACTACTAGTTAGGTCTCGGCTGTACCAAGATACCCCAAGGTTAGTGCCAGATTATCGTGTGTACGGAGTGATATTTACAAGCCCCTTTCATTACCAACTAAATATAAGGTAGATACCTACCTATACACTCCCCATACCTTATATCTCCCTGATAAACAGCCAGGTACACAGGTAGTACATACATGATACCCCGTACGACGTTGAGGGATAGCTGGCCCGGTACCCTGTATCAGTATGCGAAATGCGGGCAGTTCACGGAAATAACCGAACCTGGACCCTGGCAGGTAAGGGTAACGGTTAACCTAGTGCATGTATCCGTCCGGGTGGGGAGGTATTTACCCACCCAGTACCTACCACCTACCATTGATAATCAACAGCCCTTCCACCAAAGGTCCTTAATTAAGATTCTAACTCGAAACATGATTATACTATCTAGGTAAGAGTATAAGGTAAGGTAGGTGCTCTGTACCGGACCAGCGTAGCTTGTACGGAGTACTGTGTCGGTATTCTGTCCCCTCTACCCATGCCCATGAGCTGAGCTGAGCTGACCTGATCCCGTCAGATCAGATTAACGTGCAATTAAGATTAAGATTAAGATCTGGGCTGATCTGATCTAGCGTCTGTCAGCCCTCCTTACTTACCTAAGACTTTGGCCGGTTTCTATTTTGGTTTCCACCTCCTCTTCGGTAGCTTACCCTGCCGAATTATCTGGCAGGGTACCCCTCCCCCGCCTTGAATGTTACACACGTACGTGTTGGTTGTGTTTATGGTTATGATCATTAAAGGACTATTAAATGAGTAACTAGGAGGGTAAATGGCAGATTTATTGCAATTTATTAACGACAAACTGCCTAGCTAGTGAGGTTTACCTAGTGACAATGAGGAGCAAAAGAAAAGAGAATATTATTACAGTTTTCTCTCGGTGCCGATTATTTGTTTGATCTTCTGTAATTCATAGCTAAAGCTCAAATGCATATACATAAAACATACACTAACTGATATCTATAGGGCTATTATCTCAACTACAAACCACCATAACATCACATAGCATCCAAAACCTAGTCTAGAAACCTGATGAATTATCAGCACAAATGATTTCCCTACCCCTAAGACCTGTGGAACTTACCCTTTTCGGTATTTCCCTCGCCCATGCTCCTGGCGCTGCTGCTGCCACTCTGGATCGCACCTAGGATGCCATCCATGTATGGCGCGCCGCTCCACTTCTGGTGAGTGAGGACCTCGACGCCGAGCTCTTTCTCGCGGGCCTGGATCAGACGCACGTATGCGAGCATGCCCTCGTCCTTGAACGCGCGGGAGAGCTCTGTCGTGACGGTCGCGTTGGAGTGGAGACCCGCCAGGGAGATTAGTTGCAGGACGAATCTGTGGATCGTTAGTTTGGTCATGTATTATAGGGAAGGGAGGTTAGGGCGTGTCGTACCCGTGCTTAGCTAGATCCCAAATGAAGGATTTCAAGGAAGCTTCGTCGAAGCCCTGGCCCATCCAGTTGAACGAGGGGCTGAGGTTGTAGACGAGTTTCTTGCCGGGGAAAGCGCCGCGCACTTCACCAGCGAGCTTTCCGGCCTTCGCGACGTCGGGGTCCCCGGTCTCGACCCATAAGAGGTCGGCGTAGGGAGCGAACTCCTTGGCGCGCTTGGTGGCGGCCGGGAAGCCGGCTTTGTAGTGGTAGAATCCCTCGCGTGTGCGGGGGCTGTCGCAAGACCAGATCACTGGTGCTTTTGTGTAGTCGTTGGCGAGGGCTCGTCGGCGGGAGAATGATAGGTCGGGATTCTCCTGTACGTGCTTTTTGTATGCGTCCCGGGCGGATTGGGAGGCTCCCTCTGCCTTGAGGTGTGCGTCGACGGCTGATGTGGTTAGCATAGAAGGTAACAAGGGTTTGGGGGAGAGAAATACCTTCGTCGAAAGTGACAAGCTTGTGCCTCTTAACCCAGTCCAGCTCATATGCGTCGATCTCCGAAGGGGCAGCTCCCTCTCTTTCCATTGCCTGCAAGGTCTCGGCAAGAGGCTCGACCTCCTCCGTAACACCCAGGATGAACTCGTGGTCGCGCACATCAATGGCGCTGCTGATCAGCCTTCCGCTTTCCGAGTCCGTCCGTGCAATCACCAGGTTCTCTGCGCCCATCATGTCCCACTGGAACCGAGCGGCAGTAAGTCGGTTGATATGCTCACCAACAGGCACGATCACCTTGCCTGCCAGATGACCGCACTTCTTTCCGCCATGAAGCTGGTCTTCGAAATGGACACCCGCAGCACCGTTCTCGGCGAACAGCTTCGCCAGCTTCAAGACAGCGGACAATCCGCCATGCCTGTAACAATATCAACCAGCCGTTCCTACACCATTGGACAGGAACACCTACCCCGTATCACCGTCTGCAACGATCGGTCGCATGAAATCCACATATTCAGTCGAGCTGCGCTGCTCCGGCGTCATCTTCCGCCTCGCGTCCCATTGTTTTCGGTCGTGTAGCTGCTGTGCCTTGAACAGCCTCTGTACTTGGTTCGGGACGGTGTTGTAAGGATAATCGCCAAAATCGGGGGATACTTCGTTGGTGCTAGTCAAGATGGAAGAGCACGCCCAGCCAGAAATATACAGAACTTCCTGGTTAGGTGCCTGCTGGGTCATTTGGACGGGATCAATGGCGCCCACTGCGAGATACGTCAGATTCCATCCCCCCACCAATTATGGACGAACACATACTGGTAGAAACCGGCTTTCCCTCCGCCGCTCGCTCGTTGAGCAGATTGAATAGTTTCCGCGCCATCAATGAGCTGGGATAGGTCTGTTGGAGCGAGCCCCGCTTGCTGACGACGTCCGCGGCGGAGTACGGGCGCTTGATGCCTTCAAAACGGGGGGAATTCCACCACGCCTCGACATCTTTGATCTGTTGCTCGTAGAGCGCATCTTCGGCCGCTCCGGCTTTGCTGGACTCAGGCAGGAGCTGGAATGAATCGCCTGGCAATGAGGTTGACACGGGGGGAGAGACGGGCGGTAACGAGGAGGCCGACATCCGCGGATAACCGCATGTGAAGGAGCGCAGGGCGTTGCGGGAGGGACTGCCTGCAGTCGCGGAGAGAGAGGGAAAGCGTCGAGGAATTCGACGAGGCACTGAGCGAAGCATCATCCGTGAGATAGTTTTATTGAGATGAATTCTATGAGGGAAAGGAAATAGTAAGGAGAGAAGAGTTGCGGTGATGCAAGAAGGACGTTGATGATCCCCGCCGAAAGACCGGGGCTAAATCGACCTCGGCCCGGGGTGTCTCCCTTTACCCCGTGCTCGCCCAGCCTCCGCAATATCCGCCCTGACTAACATCTCGCTTTGCGTCGGATGAGTTGGTTTGGTTTGACGGTGGACAATTCAATAAATACAAATTTCTCATTCTGATGATTTGTTACGATGATTCAGTCAATCGAATGCAGGCAACCCCGCAACTACCCGATCCATGCAAATTGTTGAGAATTGACCTTAAAGATGCATCCGTGGAAATAATAATTCCAGACAGATGACCTGAAAGTTTTGCGAATAAATAAGAAGTATAAAAGAAAATAAATAAAGAAACAGGAGATCGAATCAAAACAAAAAAGAACAACTACCTATCACCAAATCATTTGAACACGTCAGTGCCCCCGAAAAAGAAATCTTTTGAAGCCCCTAAAAACCGCCCAATCTGTTGTCATCATCGTTCGAAAATCAGTATCTGCAATAATCTTGCATTTTTCTTTGTGATTTTTGTCGTTCCAACCAATTTTCTGGCATTCCTGCGAGCCAGTTCATAAGCATCAGCAACTTGGGCAGTGGGATTGCACAGATAGCCGCAAACGGACACGAATCTTCCAGCCCAGGAGCTTCGGCTGGCATGGACTGAGGAAGACTCAATGTATTTCATGACGATGTCTTACTTACCTTGCTGCAATATTTCATCACATTACACCTCGCGCATGTTGACAATGGCCTGTCTCCTTGGCCACATCCATGACACTTGGTTTGCTTGCCAAAACTTCTCGGTCAGGACTGAATTTCATCACTGAGCTGAAGTAAGTTGGCGAGGGACGTAGGAAATTGCTATTTGAAAGTTAGCATATATAATCAACAACTTAAAGGATATTAGATGATATCCAGGTGTAAGATACCTTGATCAAGTCATAATCCTCCTGAAGAACCCCCAAGGAACCATCACGAAACTGATGCTGTATGGGATACATAATCGCAATAGCGCGTCCCATTTTTAGCTCAGGTGTTTTAAGTCTCTGTCCCATATCTTTTGTATAGAAGGCAATGGTGATTTGTCTGTCTGCTTTGTCAATGGCACTGAGAATCAGGCGGGGAAATGTATCAATGATGCTGACAACCTCCACAAGTAAGCACCAATGCTTTCGTGGTTTGTAAACCTTGCGATTTGACTGTAGGATCTTCAATTCTGGAATGTCAGCGAAGTTTGGAAATGCTGTCCGGTCTCGCAAGTTTGCGTAATCTTTTGTAGAGTTTGATGCGTTTGAATAAGGCTCGCTGGCACTTGACGAGTCAGACATGCTGTGTGGTCTTAGATAGGTACGTTAGAGAGGATATAGTAGCAATATTTGATAGGCTGCAGACATGAGAATTCTAGTAGGCGGAGTTTAGAAGGAGGATTGAAGCTCTGTCTTTTCTAGCGGAAACCTCCTATATCTTATAATGCGGGAGATCTCGTTTGTAGGCAGCACAAGGAAACTAATGCTGGTTGCTTGGGGGAATGGTTTATAAGCTTCAAGAATAGATAATAAAGCATAAACCACGCAAATATGCATTTTTTGTTCACCTTCATAAAAGTCAGAATGGGTCATATATCATACTGGTGGCTTAACCGCTGTTCATGTCCTGTGATGCTGCTTCCATCTGCATAGCATCAAATACATACACCTTGGTCCAATGATCGATGGACTCATCCCGACACAAAGCTTCCCAATCTTCATTCACTGCGCAAAGGGAAGCTTTTAAAGTCCCAGAAAATAGACCAATGCATCATCGACATTTCCTGGAAGTCACTGTCTGCGATGATCTTGCAGTCTTTCTTGTGGTTTTTATCCTTCCAACCAATCTCTTGACATTCCTGCAACCTAGCGTCAGTAATTTCAACCAAAGCTGCCCAAAAAGCAGGGACTACATAGACCGACACCAAGGCATCGTTCATAGCCCCATGCTTAAACCGCAAGCAATAAATACAAGCATCCACTCACCTTATTACAATACTTCAACACACCACACCTCACGCACTTCTTCAACTCACCCTCAGCACCACACGCATGGCAGGTACTATGCTCTGCGAAATCCCTCGGCCACGATTGAATCTCCTCACTCAAGCGCAGCAAATTCTCCAACGAAGTAGGAAAGACCTACCACCTCATCAGCAAATCTATCCTCACTCAACCCTAGCCAGCCAAACAAGTAAGCAATGAAAAAAAACTAACCTTAACCATCTCCCCCTCCTCAACCCTAACGCCCAAACTCCCATCCAAAAAAAAGTGCCTAGCCGCATACATAATCGCCACGGTGTTCCCCACCTTCAACGCCGGGGTATCCAACGTCCGGCCCTTATCATCGGTATAGAAGGCCACGACGACCGGGGTGTTGTTCTTATCGCGAGCACGCAGCAGCACGCGCGTGAAGCGCTCGATGGCAACGATCTCGACGAGCAGGCACCAGTGCTTTTTGGGCGCGTAGCCGACCTCGCCCTCGGCGTAGTAGCGCAGGTCGAGGTCTTCGGCGGATGGGAGGGCGTTGAATCTGGGGCAGATCTTGTTGTCGCGTAGGTTGGCGTAGGCGGGTGGGGGGTGGGCTTGGGGGGTGGAGCGGTGCGGGCGCCGGTTGAAGCGTGCGGGACGGTGGGACATGATGGGTTGGTTGGGTGGTTGGTTGATTGGGTTTGGATGGGGGAGAAGAGGGTTTATGAAAAGGAGGCAGGAGGGGATACAGGGAGGGTTGTGGGAGAAGGGAAGAGATTACGGCGAGGGAGGAGGAAATTAGATTGTTTTGAAGGGAGAGCTTGATGTGAGGTGCTTGGTGGGAGTTCCCGCTGTGGGTTGGTGGGGGAGGAAGTATATCTGCAATGTTAAATTCCATTTCTCTGGGGGAAAAGGTAAAGAAGGAACAAGCATTTTAAAGCTGGTAAAAGATAGTGGTAGTTACCAGGAAGATTCTTAATGTTATTTTATTGCGTAGTGCATCGACATTTCTCGTATTAGATCTGACTTAGAGTTATCTAGACATTAGAGCTATCGTAGACCTATCCAAAGATAGCTGTTGACTGATGCAAACCACCAAGATTATATCCACTGGACAGATTATCATAATATGACATAGAAGAAAATAAAAAGAAATTTAGGAGAGAAAAAAAGAAGAAAGTAAAAGAAGAAAAGAAGAAAAAAGAGAAGGAGAGAATTAAGTGAAAAGAAAAAACGAATGGGTCGTTGCATAACTCGGTCACTCTGAATGTTAAGAGCATACTAAGCAATTGGCTTCAATGGCGCCCCCAGCAAAATCAGCAGAATGTCGATAATGCCCTGACCAAGCGCACCGATAGCACCGGGGTCCGTCAAGCTAGTCAGCGCAGTCGAGTTATGGCAGCCCTGCTTGACAGGAACGCCATTCATGCGATCAGTAAGCCATATAATGGCATCAGGAGCACCGACGATCTCCATGGCTCCGTGCTCCGACAGCGTATCGCGCTTATACTCCACGTCGGCACCGCCATCACAGTACTTCGTGACCAGCGCATCCGTATCGTTGACGGGACTGACTTCGTCGTTGAGCGACTTGTATACAAGAACAGGCACCTTGGGCGTGTGCTGACCCATCGCATTCTCCTTCAGCACTTTAGTCGCTTCCGGCCCCTCGAAGATCTCCGTGTTGTTTACATAAGTGTAGATGTCGTGGTTGAGATAGTGCAGCAGGTCCTCCGTCAAGCAGTAGTCTTTGGTCTTGCGGAAGTCCTCGAGCTTAGAGGGCAGAACGTTGTCGTTGATCAGTTGCTCGATCTTGGGATACTCGTTGGCAAGGCCCTGGACTCCGGAGGGGACCAGGCCTGCAAAGAAACCCTTGTTGACGGTCTTGATGACGGGCAGGATCTCGGGCACGGTGCCGCCGAGAGCAGCACCGGCGATCTTCAGCTCGGGAGCATACGTGGGCTGCAGTTCGGCGGCGAATCCGCTGGCCAGGCTGCCACCGGAGTAGCCCCAAAGCGTGATGGTCGGGTTTGCTGCGATGTCCGTGATGTGGCAGGACTGCAGTGCAGCGCGGACATTGTCGAGCACGATATGCCCGGAGAGGTTGTTTGCCAGGAAGGCGGACTTGGTTCCAAGGTGGTCGGGGATGGTCACGATCCATCCCTTGCCCAGTGCGGAGCTCAGGAAGAGGATTTCAGCTTGGGGCATGATGAGACCGAGGAAGTTATCGTGAGCAGCATGGAGTTGTAGTCCGAAAGAGGGAGCGCAGTTCGGGCTGGCTGCATCCTGAGCTACTTGGTAAGACAGAAGTTTGGTATAGTCGGCATTATGAGGGACGAGGATCGTGGAGGCAGCCACAACAGGCTTTCCAAAAGAATCGGTACTTCTAAACAGAAGCTGATGCGCCGACGCCAGGTTGACCTTGGCAATACTGAAGGCAGCAATTGGGAAGGGAGGTTCTCGGGACCGCAGGATTGTCCCGGGAGGTGAAGATTCGAAGCCTTCAGGAGGGAGATAAAAAGGATCATGCACGGGCTCAACAGGACGGGAATCGTTTGCCGAGCGAGCAGCTGGCATGGCCAGCGAAACCCGGGGCAGGAGAGCAAGAGAGAATAACAGAAAGGAGCGGAGCCCGTACATTTTGGAGGGTTGATATTATTCCACTGCTTGTGCTGCAGAATTTAGAGCAGATCCTCCTCTATATATCTTCCTCAAGCGGAAATGTTACAATAGGGCTAATGGCAGGACTAAAAAATATTAAACATTTGTACCTGAATAGAAACCACCAATTGGGCCCAAAAATGGGGGGCTGAAGAAAAAGGGATCGATTCATTCGGTTAAGAGAGTAGATCCATGGTCTCCACCTACGGAGTAGAGAGCTGAGCAGGCTAAGCTATCGTTTAGCATCTTTTGGTCCACTTGAACCGGAAGAAATTGAAATGCTGCACTATTCTCAAGCCCTAATCCAAGATATCTGCTGACTTTGATATGAGGCCAATTTAACCCATCATGGGCCGCAAATCCAGTTCAGAAAGTATGGGCCAATTTGATTGTAATTGTATGACTTACTCCGTAGGGAGTACACATGCGCGATATTTCAATCGTTCATCCGAGGCAATCTCTTGTCGATCCATTCTTTAGGTTGGGCCTGAACCAGCGGATCTTCATGAAGGATGAGAATGTGGACCTGATTCAGGAACAGCCGCACGCCAATTTTTGGGCCCTACACTCGGAAGGGCCTCTTTTTGCGATCTTCTTTAAAGTGTCTGTTCTCGCACGTATTGCTATTTAAGGAATGATTCCCTCGCTTGTGTCGGTGTGTCAAGGCTGATTATTCTATTCTGCGAGTACATACAGTGCCCAATTCTGGAATCCGTGGTTCGGATGAATTTTTGGCGGTGCACACAAGAGAAACTTGGAATATTAAACTAAAAAATAATACCTCGCCCAGTAATGCCCTTTTTCAACTGCGGAGACGATATACCGTCAACCGTTGAAGCTCATCTTCTCACTAACATCTTAACGCCATGCCATTTGAAGGGTTGATGAGCGGAATTGAAACGTCTGCCAAATTAGCTCCAAATTGCCTGTCTCGATTTTGGGGGTTTAAAAATCCGTGTCCGCGCGACATCCAGTCATCTCGAGTGTTAGCTGTGCATCCGACGCTATCCATTATCGATGCAACATCAACAACTCTCGTATTCAAATCCGAGGTGTATAAAATTGCGGAATACAATTACCCAGACCCATATTAAAAACACTTGCTTATCACATGGTAAAGCTGAGCAAATTACACGTGAACAATGACAACAATTCCTATAGTATGATAAAATGACTGATATACCGCCTACAATATTTCCATCGCAGCGCATTGTCAAAAAGAAGATAGCGAGAGGATATACTCCGAGAGAGGCGGAAACCGTCCGATGACGCAGCCCGAGGCCCTAAAGCCCAATGGGGAATAGAACTGCCTCCCCGCATCGATAACCTGCTTTCTATTATCACGCCTACTCCCTTCACCTGTCAACCTGCCCTGAAATAATTGCACGATGGGCGGCTGGGATGTCTACTGCGCAATCTGCGCTTCGAATTTCAAGAAACGCATTGTAGCCGACTCTGACGACGAGAGCAAGAACACGTATAGCGCGGATGTCATTGGAGAGAGTGACACAACGTGGCTGGGAAAGGTTCACGGTCTTGGATTCAATCGTGATGCGTCTGGGGATCGAAAGTATGGATATCATTATCGTCTTTGGGGATTGGGTGTTGATGCTGATCATTTGCGCAGATCGTTCTTGACAGGGTCGGGCAGGTATTCGGATTATGTGAATATATCAGGCCTATGAACTAAGAGGATCGTGTACTGACGTATGCCTCTAGGGGATATTATCTCTCGAACCAGGCGATGGTCAGTTCTTATAAACCATGGCCTAGCAGCCTACACCTCCTAACCTTCCACAGACCCCAATGTTCCCGCCCACTCCGACGAAGAAATGATCGATTTTGTCGCGTACGTGTCATCTCTGCGTTCGCGACTATGCTAATAAAACCAGATACGACGACCCCGACGGGAACCAACAGCCTGTTTTCCCTGTCCATGCCACCTGCTATCAGGACATCCTGCCGAGGTGTTTTAACGATACTAAGCAAAAGATAAACGGCGATGTACTGTACACTCTCTTCGAGGAGATCGTGGCATCCAATCGCATGAACAGACTGGATCTCGACTACGGCGAACCCAAACCCACAAAGGGACAGTACTGGGAGTCGAAGAAAGGCGAAGAGGTATTTCCCTTCCTTATACCCGATGAAGCAAATATACTCATCAGATGTAAAACAGGTCCTGGTGACAAATCCCGTCCAGATTCCTCAATTACCTGAATATCTGGGAAAGGCCCAAACCATCGCTACAAAGACCAAGGAATCCAAACCGGAGAATCCCCCATCAACGGTAGACATCTTCGACAAGCTCCCGAGCGAACTACGACTTGAAATCCTGAACCTGCTTCCCACAGCGTCTGCACTGGCCCTGAAAACCGCATCTTGGACGATGCTCAAGGCGCCGCTCTCGTGGCGGCAGAAACTAGCATCTGATATGCCCTGGCTTTGGGAGTTTCGCGACCTCGAAGTCGACATGTGCAGGTCTGGGAAGCTGAATAGCGAGCTTTCTCAGGTAGTTTCAGAGCTTAACGAGAAGTCGCGATATAGCAAAGACCAGACGGGTTATATCCCTGGGCTTGTGAACCGCAGGAGGATCTGGGGCGTTTGCGAGAATCTCAGGAGCATGTATATGGATAAGCTGGAGGCCAAGAAGGATAGCTCAACGCAATAGGTTTTTCTATTTTGGAAGTTTACAGATGAATGATGACAGGGTCTTTGATGTATTCAATGTAACTTGCCTTAGGCTCCAAATTACCCGAAAGGGTAGGTATACCCGGGCGGCATAAGAGTGGGCTGGGCTGGGACCCTGCAGAGCCAAGAAAGGGCTGCAGATGTATAGAGTTATCGATCCTGAGTATGTAGATCATATGGTATCTAACGGGTCTATGTAAGGGTAAATGGCATACCTTGCTTCCTGGTTAGAGGGGAATATAAACGCGCTACGTGGAATTCAAGGCCATTGAGAATCGATCAAGTCCTGTGATTTTTTATTGTCTTTTTGGGCACTGTATTACAAGCTTTTTCGTATGAAGATGATCGACATCTTAGTATATGTATATTTGTGTAATTATGTACAAGGATTCAACTGGATTGTCTCCAGTGAAAGTATATGTGCAGGTCGGCTCGTTCCATCGAGTAATAAAGATGGTATCTAACCAAAATCGAATATGCTGAATCCAACGCCAGAAATGCTGCATCAGGAAGTGTCGCTGCCAGTAGGAAGGTGATATTGTGCCGCCCAAAACGCCGTACGGGATATCGTAAACTCCGAAAAAAAAAATCAAAGACTCATGCACCGGACCAAATCAATGGCCGTGCTCGTTGAACTGGATGTAGCGTCCGACGGCAAGTTCTCCGAGAAAGGCGCCCGCGAGAACGGAGCAGAAATATCCGACATTCATAGTCATCACGGCCAACATGCTAATGGGAAAATCAAAATTAGCGAGATGAAACTTCGTGACACAAGGCAATCAGGTGGGGGGAGAGGATAAAACACATACAGGAGGTATGATACACCCGTAATGACAAGGAACAGGAAAGCTCGCGGCAGATCCACACTGAATCTCCACGGGAGAGGCTCGCGCGCAACCCGACGCACGACGCGGACGGACTCCTCGACGCCCTGCGCGGTGACCAGCGAGGCGGATTTGGTTTCGGGGTCGGCATCGATGCGACCGACTTCTGGCGTCTTGCCGGCGATGGTGACATAGCGGCGGTTGAGGTGGGTGTTCAGCCAATGGGTCTCCATGACGGCCTTGAATGCCGTCAGCAGCCGGGCAATGATCGATAAGACGATAAGGAAGATGCAGGTGCCGGCGTAGGAGCCGCTGGACGAGGGCGTCCAGTTCGTGGCGAAGAGAGGCGTATCGTGGGCGTTCATGAATGTCATGGTCATAGACATTCCGGAGGATGACGAGGACGAGCTGGAGCTGCCCGAATGGTCCATATTGCTCATATCCATGGTGGTGGGGTTTGCGGAATGAACGGATGCGGGTGGTGACGGTTGATTCCAAGAGGGAGAATGCTCGAGAGGAAGGTCGAGGGTTAAGTACAGACCGTGTGTAATGAGGAGAGGAATAGGAAGAGGTGAGGGAGTAAGAGAGCAATTGTGGACATGAAGCCATATAAAAAAGACGAGAGCCGGAGACTTTAAGACACAATCAAGTCGAAATGAAGCCGGTCCAGCCAAGGCCCATGTCAAGCACGCTTGAGCACATTTCTGCGGGTGAGCACTTTCTTTGCCCCCTGATTGGTCCGTCTGGGTGGGGCGTGAGCATATTTCCGGCCAATCCGGAGTGTCCACTGGCGACGTGAGCAGATTATTACCATTTCATTTGCATTGGAATATTCCGAGCAGGTTTAGGCAATAAATAATATTCCAATGGATAATAATAATCATAATCGTAGTAATAATAATTGAATGACTTGGTCCCGGTGTAGCCATCCTCGCTTGTTCCATCTTCTCTTCTCTTCTTCCGCCCTTCAAACTGTCTACTCTATAACCCATCTGCCAATCCGCCAGTCTGCCAATCCGACAGCGTGACATCGGAAAATGTCCTGAGAGCCCCCGCCAAACCCCTCCTGTAAATTCAATCAGATCTACTCCGTACTCTCCTTGCATCGCCCGCAATCATGTCGATGGGTGGCATGTCAATGGGCTCCATGGGCCACATGCACATGGGCGATGGCGCTCCGGATCTTTTCTACCTTCAGAAAATGTATTGGGCCGTCGTCGGAAGCGCCATTGCAGCCGGCACACTTGTTAACGGTCTAAATCGCTTCCTTGCATTTCAAAGGTATGTCCATGTCCCTTGCTGATAGGGACTATGCTAATCTTATGTAGACTTCGGGACTCGACGCTCACTCCGTCAAAACCAAAATCGCTATTTTTCAACACGTATGCCACTTTTACCGCGATCACCCGGGAGGCAAGCTACGCGACGCTGCCTCCGTGGTCATTCGGTGGTCGCACCATTCATTTTGCCCCGTTAGGACCCTTGTCGGTCATTCTCGCAAACCTCGTCGTGGTTCTGGTCTTCTGCTTCTACAAGCTGGACACCCTCGACCAATGGAAGTGGGAGGATGTCGGCTACCGGACGGGGTTCGTCGCTATCGCCCAACTACCCTTGATCTTCCTGCTGGCGGGAAGACAAAATATCATCGGTTATTTGGTCGGCATGAGTTACGAGCGTCTAAACTGGTTCCATCGCTGGGTTTCCCGGACGCTCTGGCTCACGACGACGATTCACATGGGATTCTGGTTTCGCAACTGGGGACGCTACGATTATATCACCTACCAGCTGAAGAATGATCCTCTGTCCCAGCGGGGTTTTGCTGCCTGGGTTATCCTGACGTTTATTGTCCTGTCGTCCGCTGCACCCGTCCGACGCTTGAGTTACGAGTTCTTCGTTCTCCAGCACCTAGTGACCTTTGTCGGATTCATCGCTGCCGTGTGGCTTCATGCCCCCGAGGAGGTCAAGGTTTGGGTGTGGATTCCCATCGGGTTGTTGGTGTTCGACCGAGTCGCTCGTTACGCCTGGGCAACCTACGCGAACCTGTCCATCTTCCATCGATCGAAGAATAACGGCCATGCCCTTTGGGCCAACCGTGCAACCTTCACGCCTTTGCCCGGAAATGTCACTCGGATCACCATCGACAATCCTGGGATCCGATGGAAACCCGGTCAGCATGTTTTTCTGACTTGTCACTCGGTGGTACCACTCCAAAGTCACCCGTTCACCATTGCCTCCATCCCCGAAGACAACAAAATGGAGTTTCTCGTTCGAGCCGAGAAAGGCGGCACCCAGCGATTCTTCCGGTACGCTTCCAAAAACCACCACGTCTTAGGCTCTGCAGAACCTAAGCCAGAAAACCGACCCCGCGCCGTCTTCCTTGATGGCCCGTACGGGGCAATCAGACCGCTTCGTCAGTTCGACAGTGTCGTGTTGCTGGCAGGAGGCATGGGAATCACGTTCACGCTGCCATTCCTGCGGGATCTCATCGCAGCATGGAAATCACAAGGCGCCGAATCCACGACTCGCCACGCCGTGACCAAGCGCATCCGATTCGTTTGGGTTATCAAATCACGGGCTCAACTCAGCTGGTTCGAAACCCAACTGCAGTCATTGCTCGCCGACGCGGAAATTTGCCAAAGTGCCCAGCAAGACCTGGTCCGAGAACTTGACCTCAGCATTTACGTGACCTGTGATGAGAAGCTGGAGCCTCAACCAGCGGCCGGACAAGCGCAATGCTCGCAGGTTCCGCCTGCCCCAACCACCACCACCACCACCGTCATTGCGAATCCCGATTCGAAAGAGAAGTTCCCCGCCAAGACGGACCAGAAAGAAACCATCTCCGTCAACTCCGTTTCGGAGTCCACCGACTCTGGCTGTCTCCCGGGCGGCGGATGCTGCTGCACCACGGCAATCGAGGACGAGGACGAGATCACCGAGCACAACTGTACTTGCTCCGGACATGCTGCGCCATCCGAGCCCAAGCCTCAAGCTTCAGAGAAGGACGATGAGATAGCAATCGATTCGGAAAAGCCCAAAACCGAGGTGAAATACATCGAATCGGACTCCCAACAAAACATCAAGTACCCCGATCTCAGCGTGTTGTCTGGTCGTCCTCAGCCGCGCAATATCATCCGCAAGGTCCTAGAGAAGGCCGAGGGTGAAAGCGCGGTCGTTGTCTGCGGGCCCGAGGGACTCTCGGATGATGTGCGTCGCAGCGTTGTGTATTTGAGTGATGACCGGGCCGTTCACAAGGGCACAGGGGCCCAAGGCATTTACCTGCACGTTGAAAAGTTCGGGTGGTGATTACACCTGTGTGATTTCGCTTTTGTATATAGATTTTAAATATACCCATAAATTCTTGCAGTTGGAATCAAGCTATCCTATTCAGCGACTGTTTATTATACAGCCTACCAGTTGGGAGCAGTGCATTCCTGATCAGGGGTTCTTAACCTTCGCCTCCCAGGTGCAGAGCCATCATTCTGATAAATCCTCCCCGAAGGACAGAAGACGATGTATAGTGTATTTCCTCAATAATCAGAACCAGGATTAAATATTCCTCTACCTAACTGGCCTTTAATAAGACGGTTCTAGTATAAACCTTGCTCGATTAAAACAGAGTCCTCTACCTTAACAAAGTCCTAAACCCGAACAGACAAGAAATGAGACCTTCAGAAATACACGATGACCAGTCAAGATAAGTGCCTTGACTCCGGTTTCGATCAACACACAAAATAGAAAGAAAAGAAACAACCATCTAGCGAGTGTAATTGTACCGGTGAAAGTCCGGGGGCTGGTCATCGCCCGACTGGGCACTCTTGCACGCCTCTTCAACCTTCTCCTCCAACTGATCCCACTTATCCTCGGGCAGCACACACGCCGTGGTGAGGACCCTGGTCCGAAAGGACTTAGTCGTCGACTCACACTGGGCACCCACACTTTTGAAGGCCTTGCCCAGAGCGGCATTATATCGCATCATACTCGTCCCCTTGGGCTTCCCGGCTCTCTTGCGCTCAGCCCGCTCCGATCTCCCATTGAACCTGGGGATGTCTACCTTGATCGGCAGGCATTCCATGGTCATGCGTGGACCGCCGCGCCCCTTTGGGTCTGTCCGCACGAAGATGCTATGGCCGCGGACGTCCGGGGCGGCACCCCCGCGCTCGCTGGCGCGGCATTTCCCGTCCTTGTATTCCACGAATTGCTCCATCTTGCGCGCGTTGCACTCCTTCGAGTCCATTTTGACCCCGTCCGCGCAGAATTCCACCGCGTCAATGCACCCCGCGCCCCCGGGGAACTCCTGGCAGTGCTTTTTCTTCGCTGCGCATTGGTCCGCGATGCATTTGCTTTTTTCGCTCGGGTTGCAGTCCCGGAAGCAGTCATAGCCGTTATATGAGCCCGCTTTGTCCTTGCTGTCGTACGAGGTGTAGCCATCTTTGCAGGAGGATCCGGTGTAGTAGTGTGATATGCACGACTTCTTGGAGGAGCATTGAAGATCGTCGGCGAGGGAGACCGTCGCCATTGAAAGGGCGAGGAGGGAGGTGAAGTGGAATTTCATGTTGACTGGAAAGAGGATAGACCAATTGACTGGAAGGATTGTGCGGAGAGCAGATGGAATGAAAGATGGCGAACCGTCCATGACCTGACGCTGGGAAAGTCGTCAATTTATAGTAGTAGCATCGTCCCTCTCGCCATTGCCTCGGAATGCAGAAGGGCGGCCAACCACCCCCTTCGGGATCAGGACGATGACATCAAATGGATGCGAGATCTTTACTCCTGGGTCAGTTCTTACAGGTCAGACATGTGATCACACTACCTTGGGTACACATTCACGTACCCAGCTCACAGAGACCTCAGTATAGATTAGTATACCTAGTTAAATAGACCAGTGACCAGGTATGTCGACACTACCCTCGGTCAAGCTCAAGTAAAGTATCAATTAGGGTAGGTGCCATTGTTTGACACGTTCGATTCCACGCCAGGGCATAATCATTATAGTAGAAGCAAGGGGTCATAGATGTAATCTCCTAGGCATGATTCAATACCCGAAGGCGCGCTCTACCCAGCCGGCCGGAAAATGCACATCCCTTTCAATCTACCAGTTATACGGAGTACTCCGTAGTTATTGGACATCGGTGACTGGGGCGGTTCAGATGGCCTCTTTAAGCCACAGTAGCACCGGATCTGTGGTCAATCCACTTGAGTAGTACAAAATTGATAGCGCCTTGGTCACAGGGAGAGTACTACTGCGGCATGGCATGCATACCAGATCATACGGGGGTGATCGAACATGTTGTGGCGGCCATACTCCGGAGTATATAGTCTGTCCATCCATCTCCTATAGATAACACCAGTTATTCAACTCAAGCAATTGTCTGTACATATGGCATTTGAAGGTAATTTCATCACTAGATTATTTTCTGCATTTTGAATTTATAATCGAATTACTTGATAGTTCCAGTAACGCCATATAGTACCGCGTGTCTCCATTCAACTAGTCAACCAACATTAAGGACAGAACAGACAAAACCATTGTAAACTGAATCAACCTTCTCAACCCATAAATAGAACACCACAAACAACCCAATTAACTAAATACCATAAAGATCATAGCCAGCCAGTGTTAGTTACCAACTTCTAGCAGTTAATGACTCACATACGGAGAACCCCCGATCCACGCAACATGACGTAATCACCAACCCGAATCCCTACCTTAGCTCAGCCCAGCTCTCCAACCACCTCCAAGTCGAAGTCCAACACCATCTCCCATCTATCCCATCTCACCTACAACAAAAGTCCGCATTAAAAAAAAAAAAAAAAAAAACACCGCAAAGATGGTCTTCCGATTCGCAAGTCTCCCCTCCCTCCCTCACTCCCCCCCTCCAATCCCCCCTTTACCCCCAATCCAACCCCCCAATCCCTCAATCCCGCAATCCCCCTCCCCTCCCCAAAATAACTAACACCGAAAGCAACAGGCCAAAACCATCGACCCCATAACCCTCTTCCACAAGCCCTCCCTACCCAGCTCCGCGCGGACCCTAAACATCCTGAAACAAGCCTCCGCGGCCGCCGAATCCGGGTCCCTACCATCCAGCACGCGGGGAGAGTTCCAGCTCGAGATCACGACGGCCCCGCCGACGACCGACCAGCTGCGCAACATCCTCGACTATGTGACGGCGAACCCGGCGGGCGCGGGCGCGAACAAGAAGCAGTATGCGATTGAGGAGGTGGTTCGGGGGGCGAGGGACGCGGAGGAGGCGGTGAAACGGTTTAAGGAGGATCCCGAGGGGAGTTTTGTGAGGCCCGTGGTATGTTTTCTCTCTCTCTCTCTCTCTCCTGGCTTGTGTGAATTAGGTGGATTGGTTGAGGGTGTGGTGCTAACGTGTCTAGACGGTCGATTGGACGAATGGGCAGGCGGTGGTTGGGGATAATGAGTCGGAGATTCTCAGGATGGTGCATCAGTTGGATGTGGATTAAATATCTCCCATTCATTTACATTCAGGTGAAGACTCAGTGATTGACTGTATTATCAGATCTCTACGATACCATCTATGTATCTTATCTTACAAGCAATACTCTCAACTCCAGACCATGAAACCCTCCCCTCGGTGATAATGCATACAAGTCTGATGGCGGATCCATGAACATTAAACACATACTTCGCTCATGTCAATTCAAACATAAAGTCAATCAAAGTCAATGCGAGATCCAGCTCGTGACGTGCCCGAAATAAAGAGAGAGAGAAAGAAACTTAGAACATCGTGCCGAATGATCCGTCGGTTGGTATCGGCTTCCGCGGTGAGCTCCGGCCCGAGTTGTCCATGGCCGGTTTCCGATGCCTGCACTAGTTAGCATCATTACCCAAATTGATATTGAAGGAGGACATACCGAAATGTAAACCCAACAAACAGTCCCTTGTTCATCTTATCATCTCGTTCCGCCATCTCTTCCAATGCTCGTTGCTTGTCGTGAACCTCCTTGTACTTGGCCATGTCCGCCTCGCTGGAGAAGTCGTCAAAGTATCCGGCATCCGTCTCCGAATCCAGCTCGGGCACAAACGGCGCGCGCTGCTCGCGCAAGCGGTCAAAATCAACCTCGCTGAAGTAGTCGTGCGAGTGGATCTCCTGGATGTTCTTGAATCGTCGGTCCTTCGAGGCCACAAGCTTCGTGATTAGATCCCATGTGCGACGCGACAGGAAGTAATTGGGGTCTTCGTAAACCGGTTTGCGCAGCACCTTCTGCCAGTTCTTCAGGTTTTGCCACGTTTCATCCACCGTGGCGCCTGCAAATGGCGGGTATCCGGCCAGCGCCTCGAACAGCATACACCCGAGACTCCAATAATCCACCGTAAAGTCATATTCCTCGCCCTTGAGCACTTCGGGTGCCATGTAGTCGGGCGACCCGACGATCGACTTGGCATAGTTAACTTGTCGATCTCGTAGCGTCCGGTACCCCTGCCGTCGTTCGGCCATCGTACGCTGCTCCATCGGGCGGCCAAACGGCACCGGCGTGTTGCCTACCTCCTCCAGCTTCACCCGCATCGACTCGATCTTGCCGGGATTCAACATGCCCGCTGCTAACCCAAAATCAGTCAATTTCACATGACCGGTCGAGTCGATGAGGAAGTTCTCTGGCTTGAGATCGCGATGAATGTAGCCTAGAGCATGTAGAGCGTCGATGCAGCTGAACATTTCGGCGATATAGTACCGCGCATGGCGATTATGCAGAACCCCGGTGTTGTTCAGCAGCGTGCGGAAATCTCCTCCCGGCACGTACTCCATGGCCAGATAGATCTGGGTATCGTCCTGGAACGCGTACAGCAGCTTGACGAGCCACTCGCTCTTGGCGGCCGTGAGGATATCACGCTCCGTCAGAATGTGTCGAATTTCATCCAGCTTGAACAGGAGTTTTTTGCTCATAACCTTCAATGCGCACACTTCCCGGGTGTCCTTCTTCTGTGCCAGATACACCTGACCGTACCCACCTTGGCCCACCTGGGTCAAAATTTGGAAGTCATGTTGGCGCAATCGGGTGCGACGCTTGCGCAGGTGAGCGCGCTCTCGTCCTAGGTATTTTAAAAGGGCGGGCTCATAGTCATCCATCGACGTCGCAGGAGGCTCGGGGTGTGCCGCTCGGAACTGGGTAAGACGATTCTGGCGGTTGTGAACATAGCTGAGTAAATCGAAGTAGTGATCGAGGAAGTCTAATCTACCGTCAGCACAAAAGGCGTACGTTGACCAATCAAACCGAGGACCTACATAATTGGGTGACGTTGACCAGTCGCTTGACTCGAGGGTCCTGCAGTTTTTCCATCTCCTCCGGCGTCAACCCGCGCATCGGGACCTGACGTCGCTGGATGCTTTCCATGTCGCGAGGCTGGTAGGGTTCATGACGGGAGATAGCTGCTGCCGCGGGATTCGGACCGAGTGGTTTCGTCGTTCGAGTAGGACTAGGGGGGGTGTTTTCTTTATTGGACTTGCGCGTCGGACTGGCCTGAGGGGAACGAATCACGCTCTCGCTGAAGTCTTCCACCGACCCCTTGGGCGGCGCGAACATGGGATGATCATAGTGGTTGTATTGGCTCTTGGTGGGCGAGGTGGGGTTCAGTTTCAAGGCCTTGTCGAATACATTGGGGAGGTCGAGGGCACCGGGAGGGAATCGGCTTTTGCTGGGACTGCCCTGCGGAGTCTGGACGGGACTGGTGAAGCCATTGTCGGCGGGGGTGGAGGGGCGATCCAGAGGAACGTTGCCCGAGCGGGTGTGCAGCAGCGGAGGGGGATTGGGCAGCCTTAGGCCTAGACGATCGGAAGGCTCAACGTCGAGGGGCATGGTCATGGATGCCACGGTCAGGACACGACACGACTGAAGTCAAAAACCACCTCCGAGTGGGATCCGTCTGTCAAATCGGACAGGTGGGCGACTGGACCCCTTAATAAGGGCGAGACTCCGCCAACGGAGCGCTGGAGCTGGTTCAGGTGGAGGGAGCAACGGAGGGGCGGAAAAAGAAGGCAGGGCGATGGCAGGCAGAACCCGGTGTGCGGTTCCTGAAACCTCGGTGGGGAAAACGATGCCCCGATGGACAGGGCAGAGAGACAAAGAGCGCTGGATCAGCCAGACTCACACAAAAGCCACTTCCGTCCACAGTCGGGAGCCGAAGAATGGCTTTGTTTTTGGGTTGAGATCAGGAGGAGACCAGTTCAGGATCGCCGGAGGGAGGAGAGAGGCGAGAGGGTGTTTTCCTTGGAGGGGTCGTGTCCGAGATCGATCAAAGACGAAGAAGAAAGAGGGAACGACGAAGAAAAGCAGAGAAAGACAGTCCCGAGAGTCGGTCGGCGGCGACAGGGATAGAAAAGATGGAAGATGACGCCGAAGGAGGAGCGACCGACGCAGCCAGCCACGACGTCCCCACAGTCACTGGACCAACGGCAGCCCTGAATGGCGACGGTTTCCCCAGCAACTCCCTTGACTTCAGCTCTGGAGATCCAGATGGTCCCGTCGGCGACTTAATCGTCTGCGAAAATCAAGGAACCGGCTCCTGATTGGGCTCAATCCACCTGCAAGTCATGATCCGCGAGGAGTAATGGAGCCCTGGCGCTCTCTGGCTCGTAATCCGGGTTGTCGAATGCTGACCGACGCGGCATTAGCGAGATCGACTAGATCCATTGGGCTGGTCCGATCGAACTCAGAGCCTCTCCCGGTCCGATTCTTATATTAAACCGGATCGATTAATTCAGATTGCTGCCGGGGGGGCAGGCTTATCCCCTAAAGGCCGCAGTCTCACCCCCGGTCAACATCTCTTGTCCTACACTACTGATTCCAAATGTGCTGCAGCGAGATCATGTACGACGTGAACCCTCGCGCTGGTTGCCAGGCACCCTTGTTTATCTAGAAGTCCCCCGTCATAACATTATGCCTACTTGATCGATAGTTCCAAGGCCCGCAAATTAAACCCATTTTAAACCCATGGGTGACGGTGGGGATCCGATCCATGGTCCCGAGGCCCGATGATCCAAACAAACAAGCCATCATGTTCCTTGCCAGGATCCCACGATCGACTGGGATTCCTCTTCCGCCCAATCCGTGGCCTGAATCCCCATCGCTTAGGCGGCTCCTTTGGCTCTTTGCCCGGTCTACCCCCGATGTTAGCCCCGTTCGTGCCCCTCTCCGACTCAGAACCAAGGAAACTCACGTAAAATGCCAACCCGTACGACGGCGTCGTAAACGTTATCTTCGCGCCCTTGGGGAAGTGAAACACGTCGCCCGGAGTCGCCGTGACCTTCTGGCCCGTCTCGTCGGAGATTTCGAACTCGCCTTCCAGGATGATCTTCATTTCATCGTAGGTATATTCGTAAACCAGCGGGGTACCTTTCTCGAGCCGGTAGAAGCCGGCGGAGATGGGTTTTTCGGGGTTGTTTTGATCACTGGAACCGGCCAGTTCTGTTGTATGTCAAGGAGTCACCTGCTCATACCTCGAGTCGATGTCACCAAGAAAGGCATTTTCGTTGGCGATCAAAGGAGGCTTGAAGGTGGACTGAGCCTTTGGGTGGTACACTAAGCCGATGGTCATTTTGCTAGCTTCGTATAGGTCTCGGACAGGGTTTGGCTGCGCAATTAATGGTTCAAATAAAGTCTCAACCAGGCACTTGGGCACAGCCTGTCGATTGGGACCTTCGGTTTTATAATTGGTTTACTATTGCCAACCTCGATGTTGAAAAGCGTTGTCGAATGCGAGCACGAGCAGTCTTGTACAAACTCGCATCCAGCTGCTCGAATAGGCAGGCCAAGGAGTGGGAAGCACCAACTTTTGAGGGGTAATGAGGGGAGACCCCTCGATATCAGCAAGGATGCGAGATAGTCGATCCAAGTATATCCAGCGTCTTTCCGTGCGACTCCGGAGACTTTGCGATCCTCTGGCAATGACACCTCGCGTCCTGTTGACTGGCCGGAAATAAACTGCTCATCATCCGTGGCTTCTCTTCCAAGCCCATCATCTTGCGACCGTCATACAGACCTTATTTGATAAAACGAGCTTAGTCTATATTGAAGGTTAGAACTACTTGACCCAAATATGGGGTTAGTGAACTTAGCTCCAAGTGCTGTTCAACCTCCCATCAAACTAAGTTGGGCCATCACATCACGACATTTCTCAAAATGAGTAGTCGATGAACACTTTGATTCTGTAATATTTTAACAGGCGAAATAATAGATCGATTGTACCAATCACAAAAGGAAGCCCCCCTGTTGTTGTTATCGAATCTGTTATAAAATGATCGTGCCTATTTAATTAGCCTGGATTTAGCAAGTCTCAAACACTATTCAAGGCCCATGGGATCTGCTGCTAGTTCAATGAAATCCCAATCTAAATAAGCTGCTAGCTTTCGATGAAGCAGTACTATATAGAGGCCAGGCAAAATTATTTTCACTTTTCATGCGGCCTACAAGGTCTCAGCAACACTTGATATGATGGTATCGTACCTGTATTGCATATTCAACGAGTATTCTTTCTGCAGATCTCAAGAAACAACTATTATTTCACAAAAAGGTAAGATTCAATATATGTTTTTCTCAAAAAAGAAAAGAAAAGAAAAGAAAAGTCAATAAACAGATACTGAATCCACGAGAGATAAAGTCCGGAGTAAGCTCCAAGGTAGCTACAAGTTCAAACATGTGATAACTAGCGAGGTGAACCTTTGTATTGTGCATAATTCATCGGGAAGCCTGTCACAAAGATGAAGGTAGCTGCTAATTCGCCAATGCCCATAGCTTCTGTGACGAGGTTGGAAATTTGAATCTCCTGTGTCCTTTTTCGGAGATTTTCAGCTTGTCTAATACACGCGAGCTAAAGGAATATCAAAGTGGTGCTTTTATATTCCGTTGCAGTATCTTATGTGATCAATGCTAAGGGCATGCTTGCAAGTTCTAAGCAAGATTCGGGCATTAATACATCAGATAGTTGCCAACTCTGTGCTCAAAGTGACGCATGTGGTTTGGAACGAAAGCGTGTAGCAGCCTGCTAGATATGTACTTGATCTGTCATATGGGAGTGTCTATCACATGAGACTTCCTACATCACCTTTGACGAGATACAAACTGCTTGTTTAAGGAATGGCTTGTAGTTTAGATCAACAATGATCATGCTTGGTTTCTGCCAAATGCTACTACGTACGAGCTGGTGTAGTGTCTCTATTATAGATTAAAACACTAGAAGGCTACTTTCTCCCGTGCTTTATACATACTGTGAGCAGTTTACTCCTGCAGTGTAGGGCAAGCAATTGGCTTGCCCTTACCCTCTCGGTTGTACAAAAATGGAACACAATCAGAAGAATGATTATTGACAAGTCTCTGCCGGCCATGCTGTCAGACACGACCCTTCCGATAAGCCTATCAGAGCGATAGCAAGTGCATTACTCATGGATATTCATGAGAATTCGAGATAACCCAGGACGGCCGATTCGGGTTTAGCGCCATTCTCTGGGATTCTTTTGCCCGAATGGGTTAGTGGTTCCCCGGCCTATCAGGCAAGCGCCCAATCACCGTCTCTGTCCGGGCGATCGACGGCCGGACACCTCCCTCGTCCTCGTCCATCTCACCCTCACCTCTCTCGTTCTTTCTTCCCCTCTTTCTCATTCCCTATCCCCCACTCCTGATCCTCGCTCTCCGTTCTCATTCCGTCTTTCCTCCATTCAGACGGGTTGCATTCACCAGAACCGAGGAACGCAACCCCTATCAAGAAGCATTTCCCGCGGATAGTCTTTCTCTCGCGGTTGGTCCCAAGGACCAGTACTAACGTCACTAACCTCATCTCGCTAGTAGAGTCTGAACTGACCTCACCTCGCACCTTCTTGGCTGCAAGCACAAACCAGATTGCAGAGTCAGAAACCTAGTGCAGACTGCATCGCAGGGAAACCCTCTCCTTTGCCTTCCAATCTCCCTCCTGATTTGCTCGTCGACATTGTTCACCCGTGCCATTCTTCCCCTCTCCTCCCTCCACTCTTTTCTTTCGTCTGTCCCATCCCCACCTCGGCCCTCTGGATCCAAGGTTTTCTGGAAATAGGAAAGGGAAAATATCACCGAGAGAAACCTTTTCACCTAAACCGGTCAACTTGATCCAACCCCATTCTGGTATCCCGCTGTACCCAGCACGCCTTAACGCCTTCAATGGTCTGATCCGGATCAAAACCATTCTCCGGACCGGAACCTCCAGCCGAGATAAGTTTAAGCCAGAAAGACCAGGCAAGGCAAGGTGAAAATCAAGAAGCGAGGAAATAAAATAGCTCGCTCTTTCCCTTTTCTTTTTCCTCTCTTCTAAGCACTCCCCCCTCGCTTCTTTTTCTCAAACTTTCGAACACTGCATCTTGGTCAAAAATTACGCATTCAACCAGACTCATACAAAAGTATCATTTGCCTCGTCCTGTCAGCCCATGCAGCAAAGCAGTGCGTGTCCCTTCCACCTCGACCTCAACCCTATGCAGATTTCGATCCTCGATATCCTCGATCCCGCGCAGAACCCGATACATCATCAATAAGGAACTGATCCTTCCTGAACTATCTTGCTTCCCTCTTTCCATTTTCTTCTCGTCTCTAACATACTGGCACGAATATCTCATCTCTTTCTACCTACCTACCCACTGCTGCTGCTGCTCTGCTACTCAGCACGAAAGCGAGAAACAAAAAAACAAAACACAAAAGCAATACCAATCTACCTACCTACCTACCTATCTACCTGACTTACTGCTACTACATCAGTAATCCGATAGATTATTAGTATCTATCTATATAAGTCTCGGGTCCATCTACCCGCCTGAACCTCGACCTTCCGACGCAGACAATACCTGACCTATACGCGGCACTTATCGATTGCGCTCACATCCACGTCCCGACGGCGGCCTTTTGTTCTTTTTGCTTCTTCTGTCCACAGCGACTTCCACAGCGACATACCACCGAAACCCGCAGTCGATTCCTGGTTCCATCGTTCTTTTTCCCCAAAGCAGATCTACCTCGTTTTACCTACTCCAACAACTACGATAACTATTGCATCCCATGCGCCATTCCTGTCCGTTCGAAAAGTAAAATCCGACGCATCCGCACGAGAATCAAACCACCGAACCAGACCACTGCACCTACTTACAAGACCATCTTGATCTTCATCTACCGTGCAACATATTGATTACGTCCAAACCAGGTGCCCAACCAACCAAGTCATCGCGAACTCCAAACAGCATTTAAGAGAGAACATCAAGATGTCCGTATAGCAAGTGCAATCATTCCATGACGCTGAAAGCAGAATAATTTATTAAAAACAAAAGGAAACGCCATGCTGATTTAACCGGAGGAAACCAGATCGTAATAAAATAAAGCCAAATCCACAAGCAGTCAAAAAGCACAAACGAAAGCATACATCAACGCAACGAAACAAAACAAAAAGCGTGCTTGCTACTCGTATCGTGATACATGAAAGTCTGCCTATCGCAACCGCAACCGCAACCCCATCGCAACCAAACAGACTACCAAAAAGCGCAAACCAAAAGCACAACCAGAACCAAAATGACGACCGTGGCCATAACGAGCGATCTGGAGCCCTATCTGGCCTCCCTTCGATCCTATCTAGCTAGAGAGAAGATGGATTCGTCGTCGTCGTCGTCATCGATGTCTCCTCGACCGGAGGTAGAAGATGCAGAGGGAAGCGATGAGAACTCGACAAGCTCCCCTGGATCGCGACCACCGATGGTGGAGGATTCACGGCGGGAGGTGAAGCGTGAGGTGAACAGAAAGGTTGAAAAATATACAGCCCGGCCGGTTGGTAAAGAGTCTATCCCGAGATCTTCTTTACCCTAGGAATACTATTGATACCACAATGAATTGTCAGTTCTTGCTAAATTTGTGCAACGCAAACAGAAAAGAAGAAAAGGAGAGAGAGAAAAAAAGGAAAGAAAAAGAAAAGGTGAAAGATAAAGAAGAGGCTTACCTTCCCAGCCCCAGTCCTGCATCACGTTCACCCAGTGTAAGCTACCCCGGACTGTTTTTTCAAATTCTATGTTCTCAAGAGGCGATGCTGCCGAAGCTCGACGTGTGTTTACGGAAGTGATCCGAGAAGAGACCGCGCGCTCGTCCGCGGCGGGCCGTCTCCACGGATCTCTGCCGTAGACAGGATTACTGGGTGAGCGGTCTCCTGATCCCGAGCCCATGAACGACAGCCCGTCTTTCCCAACGGCGTCGCGAGGTAGGGCTTGGGAGTTGGAGCGGCCGGCGGCACGCGCTTGTCGTCGCTGCTTCTCCGTCTCGAACGCATCCCGACGAGTCCAGACTTCACGGACAACTTCTATACACCGGTCAATCGACCCCAGCATCAGGCGGGTCTGGATTGCGGTCCACCGATTCATTACCCATTCCCGGTCCTCTTCTTGCTCTGCCTCGCACCCAGCCGCCAGCAGGGGAAACATCTGGATGATTGTTGTCCGAGAGCTGGGAGGCACCGTGGCTAACAGAATCAACACCCGCTTTGCCAATTCAGGTGCCGGCTCCGAGGGCATTTCAGGGACAGCTTGATGCAGGTAAAGAAGGGTTGCCCAGCGGTAAGCATGGGCAGTCTGGATACTATGCTGCACCTCTGATGTTGGATCCTCAGGTGGTTCAAACCAGTCAGGGGGCTCCCACTGCTCGACAAGCCTCTTCAATTCGATAGCCTCAGAGACAAGCGAGATAGAGTTGGACTCCGTCTTTCGAACCCGTTGAATCAACCGAACAACCCGATCTATGAGTGGGAAAAGAGTGGTGGCACAGCCCATCAAAGGATCAATTTCATGTACTGCATCGCTAGGGGGTTGAGGGACCGTTAGTTCCAGGTCTGCGTTTCCGCTATCCTCATGGGACGTCAATCGCGCAATCACGTCCATATACAGCCAAGTGTTATAGAGAAACCGAACCCTTTCTAGATCGGTCCCGCTCATCCCACTTTGCAATCCCGTCCCGATGACCTGCGACACCAGCGCCTTCGCACCGCGGAGATGCTGGATACACGTGCGAGTGTGTTGATCCCACGTGTCGGCGAAGGCAAGTGCCAGACTCGTTGCCAACGCGGCATCTGTTCTCATGTTCTGTATGTCTTGCACCATGCAGGTGATGCTCTGGCGCATGTGATCCACACCGAGAACCCTCAGCGCAGGGACTTGTTTGCTGGAATGAAACGCGGCCAAAGCAAAGACAGCGTGGTAGAGGGCAGGGGTATCCTTGGCCAACGGCCAGATCAAGGTTCGCCAAGGGTTCTCATGAGCACCATCTTTTATCGACAATATCCCGCAGGTCACTCTGTCGAACTGCAACACCAGCATTTCAGGGGCAGCGATTCCAAACCGGGGCTCTTGGAGCATTTCCGGCGGAGAGTTCATATTATGAAGGTGCGACATGAAACCCGGCCCCCCAAGTCCCGGGATAGGTGGTCCCATGCCCCGATCAGACTGTCGTACAATCTCTTCGATATCATCATTATCTCTTTCCAGGAGAGCCTCGAAACTGAAATTATCGGGGTCTTGAAGATTATCCCCCTCAGACGTTGCGACCGTAGTTCGGTCAGGGCTAGTCTCTTGGTCTAGGGCTGGAAACGATATGTCCGAGAGCCAGGAGGAATGGTCTGAAGGAGTGATCTCTGCTAGTGAGGGTGCAGTGATATCCTCCCCCAGGCTACCTAACCGGTGCTGACTGAGAAAGTCATCTGCGAACTGGGTAATGTCACTCTGCGGGAATGACCCACTGGACTGGCCAGGTGAAGCATTCAGAATAGAAGAAATTTTATCAGGGCTCGACAGCTTCTTAGGTTCCACTGGCAAGCCGGTTGGCGACGTTGTCTGGCCTACCGCCCGTGCTGTTGAACGCGCTACTGCGGGCGGCGCTGCAGGACCGGAGTTGGTTCTCCGGTGAGAGGGAGGCGACGATGACACTGTGTAAACAAGGGGTCAGGGCCGTCCGCAATGGTCAGCTGCGATCATGAATGCCTACCTTTTTTGGACTTCGCAACCGCCGTTTTCTGGGCGACGTTGGTCTCTTCGAAGGGGCGCCATTTGAAGTCCTTTTTGTATCCACCACAGTCCACGTTCCGCTTTTTGCACTGCAGGCAAGTTGGCTTGGACTCGTCACATTTGAGTCGCTTTGTCTTGCAGGTGATGCAGCCTGGGGGTTGTGAGAGAATCACGACAAGGTCAGCGCACTGCGCATTAACTTGAGCAGCATTCGAGGCTCTCTTGCTTCGCCAATGAACCCCGCCTCGCTCTCATGAGATGGTAAATTTTGAAAGAACGGGTGGGACCGTACCATTACGGCTCTTGGACTGTTTGGGCTTGTTAGTAACCGGACTCGTGTTGGGACCGAAGGTGGCTGTTCTTTTAGCGGACGGAGGCGAGGCTTTGGGATGTGCACCGGCCGACGAGACGGCGGGCGGAATGTCTAAAATAGCGGACGGCGAAGGGATCTTGATTTCTTCCATTCCAGCCGAAGAAATGAGAACATGAAAATCATCCAAGCACTCCCCAGCCTATAAAAGGACCAAAACAAAGAGGACAGCAAGGGGGTTGTCGGGGTAGTGTTGTACAGAAAGAACAAAAAAATGGGTAGGTAGCTACGGATCCCAGAAAACAGACGAAGAAAAATGCAAATAAAAAAAAATAATAAATACAATAGACCAGATAAATGGAATCCAGGTCTATGGAGATGAAGTAGAATGCAAGATGCAAAAAACTCGATGAAACGGTCTTTTAAGCCGTATCAGCCGGCAAGCGAGGGTGGATAGATAGGAGAAGGAGATAGATAACCCACTGCCCGAGGACTACCCCCAAATGATGAGGAGAAACGACATCAGGGTGATAAGAACGAGCCACTAGAGCAGCAAGACTGCGGAGACAGCTGGAACGAGGTGGGCGACGGGGATTCGCCGATCCAAGGCAGGAGCTTCGACAAGGGACGGGGGCTCCATTGGTACCGGGACGGATTGGAGATGGTCGCAGGTTCCTTTATGCACGATGTGTTAATGGATGGAGGGGTAAGGCATTGATCGTTAAGGACGCTGGTCTAGGGGGCTGAAGAAGCCAGCACCCACCTTGCGTGGTCGGTGAAATTGCCGGCCATTGATTAGGCCCAAACTTTTTTTTTATCGTTCACATTTTTTTCTAGCCCTCCCACCGACTCAACCTTCGCAGCGATGTTTCCAGACAAGTCATGCCCTTATCCCTCGGTGGCCGTGAGGAGAGGCGATAGGGTAGCAAAACGCCACACGGCGCATCGCATGGATGACGGTGAGAACTGGGGGGAACCAAGGATGGCGGTTGGCTCGCGTGAGAAAATCCCCCTCATGGGATTCGTCGGTCGGGTGGGCGGGATCTATAGATAGCAGCTAGTCGAGGAAAGGCAAGTGAGATGGAAGTAGAAGAGAAGGACAGCTCCGTGGAATGCGGAGAGAGAGGGAGAGTCAACCGTCCAGTGTATGAGAGGCCATTAGTCAGGCGCTCTGGCGGTTCCGTGGGCGTCGCTCGTTAGTGCTGGTCGTCCCTCGGTTTCCTCCTGCGACAAAGGCAGGTAACAATCTGGGGAACGTCGAACTACTCCAGACTCCGTGCCCAGACCATGGAATCCCCACACGTCGAAATGTGGGACAGAGAATCGATTACTCAATCGATATTGAACTTGAAATCTGCCACGAATCAGCTGCCCTCGCTGGAAGGGCCGTGAACGTGGAGTCTGGTCGGACTTGTTCCATCATCCATCCTCTGTCTTTCATCCTTGTTCGTGTCGAGCCCATTCCCATCATCTCATGCTGATCCCTGTGCTCATCTCCATCTCATTCCTAGCCTTTCTCTCCTCCCCGGCTACACTCACACTGAATCCAGTGCTGCGAACGGCGCATGACGCTTCCTGGCGAGTTGGATTTTAAGAGCTGCCTGCCATGTAAGGCCCAAAAGTTTATCCTGCAGATTCTGGCATTCACCCAACTAGACGGATATCAGAGCCGGCTCCTCGGCATTCTGATCTGTGCGACATTGCCCCGTTTCCCCTCCTCAGCGTCTAAACAGGCTCGCTCGATCTCCGACCACAGCCACTTCCCGTTGCAACCCCCGTTGCAAATCACGGCATTCATCTCATCGGAATTATTGAATCGCTTTAAGGTTTGAGGGCCTCAGATCCTATACAAACTAGCCTTCTCGATAAGCGATCGCTTCGAAATCAGTATTAAAGTTCCAACGCACGCGACGAAATCCGTCTTCTAGCTTTCCTGAGAAAACTTATTCGCGTCATGGGATCACTACGCAGAAATATGCCCTCCTTTGATCTAGGCGGTTCTAGCGGCCTGCAACCATGCAGGTGGTGTTCCGGTGCTTTCCCCGGAGCATGCAGCGTCTACACACATCTGCAAACTGCCAAAACAGAACGCTCGACCGGTGAGTCCGGGCCCGTAGTGGATGAACTTGCCGGAGTTTGTCATGATAACCGGGGTACTTTTCGGGATGACCGGTTCCGTTATAAAGCACCAGCAAGTATCGGTGAGAAACTGGACGCCAAACTTCTCCAGTTCGTGAACGTGGCCCGCTTGTGTAGCAAGACTATGCTGAGCACGGCCACACGTTACGATAATAGCGACGTCCTTGTGTTTGATTCTGCCTCGGCATAGGCGTGCTAGTCTTTCAATCTCCCGGCAGGAGAAATGTGGATTCCCAAGGGAGATGAGGCCAACTTGCCGAGGCGAAGATCCGTGATTGAATTCGTCCCAACAAGACTCAAGCTCTTTTCGGCCCAAGTCCGCAGTCACCTCCGGGGGAATTCCATCAGGGCACACGGTTTCGAGGGTGGGAGCTTCTGGCGTCAACTTAACCATGTGAAACATAGGTGCACTGGAAGATGTAGCGAACGCAGCAGAGAACGCCTTGAGATCGTCACTGGAAGGTCCAAGGCCCTCCACGCCCGTAATAACTGGAATGCGGTGCTTCGCAATAGCACCGACGCTGTAACCAAGAATAGGCCAGAACGAGTCGTCCGCGTCTTCGGGCACTTGTACTCTGATCCAGACTGAGGCGAGCCGGTTCTTGTCCAAGTACACACCGGATTTAGGGGCACGACCTGTCAATGCAATTAAACATTCAAACATGTTGGAGAATTTCAGTGTCCTCGCACCAAGGACACTATTGGCATAGGTAACGGCATTAGACTCCCCCCATGCGATGGGGTCACTCCGCTTGGGGGCACTTTCAAGCAAATATGGCGCGCAGGTGAAGGATACTTTCCCGCCCATTTCGACAAAGGCCCCGGCTAACTCATCACAGGCCGTGCCAAACTGAGTGTCAATGCCCAGAGACTGCCAGCGTCTTTGGTCTATGTTTATGGAGTTGATTGTCGTAGGAACTCGGAATTTCCCACCCAAGTCCCGCATTCTCTTTCCAAAGGCAACAGACCCCGGTCCGAACCAAGCACCATCCACATGAGCTTGGCTCACGTCCATCAATTCTGGGGCTTTCATCATGCGTGCCATCCGAACAATGACCCTCATCGCAAGTCTCGCTGCGTCGCCATTCGCTCCGTCAAGGGTTGCGCGGTCAAAATCGGAAAGCTCGACGTTTGGTGCTTTCATATCGGTACCAGGATCGGCGTCTCTGTCAGGAGTGCTGAGATCCAACTTGCCATCCGATACTTGGTCGCCCGCGATGTAGACCGTCTTCCCACTCCACATCCGAACCTGGCGAAAATCCTCGGGTTTAATTGTCACCACAGGAACTGTCTGGTTGAAAAGCTCATCGGCCACTATGACCCCAAGTGTGATAATCTCCTCGCATCGCTCAAATATCAGAGCCTTAGGGCCTAGGCCGTTCAGGATGAGTTCTAGCATGATCACACTTCCGCCACATGATCCTCTCCCACTAGGGATTGCCAGGACGGCATCCTTCAAAAGTTGGCCACTCAGCGGATGAAACCGATCGATGATCTCCCCTGTGCTTGGGTCAACTCCACCCCAGAAACTCAGTTCGAGATCAGACGCTATCAAAATGCCGGATGCTGTTCCGTTCACGTAGGGCGTGCCCTGGAAGACTTGCTGCATTCCTAATGCCATGGCTGCTTTGTTCAAGGCAGCTATAATTGGGAGAGTGAGAACTTGAATTCATCGTGATGCAACAAGGCTGAAATGATCGGAATAGAGAAACGACGGAGCTATAAATACTCTGATGGTTATCTCGCTAATGAATGGTGGAGATGAATCTCGGATGAGGTCCCGACTCCCCGCCTGCTAATCTGTCAATTGCCAGGATGGCCGGAAGAGTTGCCGATTTCATACTAGAGAACAGACCACCTACCTATTCTTTGGCCGGAAGCAGATACTGTAAGTAGGGTTGGTTTACGAGTGTCTTGATGCATCTCTCCACCTAAACCGGGGGAACCCGAGATAGCCTGTTTTGGTCAAAATGACGCAAATGACCACCGATCGTTCTTTAAGCTATAGCACCAAAGACAATCCCATTGCACAGGCATAACCAAGTTGATATTGATAGCTAATATGTCTTGACCAGCTGACATGCCATATTTTCTCGAGATTCCAATATCCTAACCGCGGTTTACATTGCTACCGCTGACCGGTCTAGTATCTGGGTCCCCGGTTCTTTGGAAACAAGACCCTCTTCTAGCATCTGAAAAATTTTCCATTAATTTGAATACGTAGAAACACTCAAGCAAGACAAATACATCCCTATTCAGCCAGTGCTTGATCAGCTGACAAATACTTTGTGCTGTATCATCCCCGGTTTCTTCTTTAATCTAACCCTTGCATACACGCCTCCCTGTATTGATTTGGTGACTTTTTACTCGACAATCCTCTACGATTTACACAAATTTACATTGACAAAAGGCTAACCAGAAGATTTGTCTAAAGGTCTCTAGTCTTCAGGGTAAGGTCAAGCTCGAACATATTAGAGACCTAGCCATTGCTTCTGTTATATGGGTACAAAAGACTGTTCATGGTCAGAACAAGTCATGGTGATCATCATACACATTCAGATTAATCCAAGACATCAACATATGAACTTGAAAACACCATTTGACGGTGCTCCCTGAGCTGCGTGTGCATATTGAACCGTACATGCTTGTCAGATATAAGCTTGACTTGCATTCAGTATCCTTAAAGCAATCGAAACCACCCAAGCCTAATCAACCCTAGTCGTCTATATTGAAAGAGACCCACATACTATCCCCATCTAGTGCTAAATATTGAAATCCTGCATCTTAACCTTCTATCCCAACTTTATAAGCACCCCTTTCCTCCACATTCCTGCCTAGTCCCGATCCACACAGCATCCTCACAGCATGATATCCCCAGCGCCCACAGTCCAGCACCTCAGCCCTAAGCCACCCATGAGCCCAGACCCAGGCCCAACCCTAACCCCCAATCCCAATCCCAATCTCAATCCCAGTGTACCCCCCGACGGCGGCCCTCTCGCCTGGACCCAAGTCCTCGCCGGGCACTTCATCTTCCTCCTAACATGGGGTTACAGCGCCGCCTTCGGGGTCTTCCAAACCCACTACCGCCACACCCTGCCCGAGTCCTCATCCACGATCTCCTGGATCGGCGGCGTCCAAGTCTTCATCCTCCTGCTCATCTCCGCGCTCTCCGGCCGCGCCACAGACGCCGGATTCACGAGGGCTCTAGTCCTGCTGGGTACGTCTCTGATCGTGCTGGGCACGTTCATGACCAGCTTGGCGACGACGTATTGGCAGATTTTCCTCGCGCAGGGGGTCTGCGTGGGGGTCGGGATGGGGTTGATTTGGCTTCCTGGCGTGACGCTCGTTTCGACGTATTTTGTGAGAAAGAGGGTGTTTGCGATGGCGGTTGCTGCGTCGGGGACGAGTACGGCCGGGATGGTCTTTCCGGGGATTGTGCAGGGGTTGATCCCGAGGGTTGGTGAGTTTTCTTTGTTTCTCTCTTTCTTTTTTCGCGGATGGGGGATGGGGGATGGGTGGAGGTGATGGTCAGTGATAGTGATGGTCTTATTAAGGCTTGGACTGGACTGGGACTGACTAGGGTAGGTTTTCCGTGGGCGGTTCGCTGTATGGGATTCGTCGTCTTGTTCGTCGCCGTCGTTATCAACTGCGTGCTTTGTCCGCGCATGCCGCCGCGCAAGTCAGGGCCGCTGGTCGAGTGGGCGGCGTTTAAGGAGCCGTCGTATGTGATGCTTACGTTCGGGATCTTCCTGATCTATTGGACGTTCTTTTTCGTCTTTTTCTACGTGAGTTCTTTCCCATCCCTTCCCACTCCCCAGTCCAAACCCTATAAAGCTAAGACAAGCAGATCCAAGTCTACGCGCGCCAAAAGCTAGGGATGCCGGAATCGCACGGCGCGAATCTAATCATCATCATGCACGCGTCTGGGGTCCCGATCCGCCCACCTCTGGGCTTCATCGCAGACCGCTACATCGGACCCCTGAACTGCCTGATCCCGCTGACCGCACTCTGCGGCATGCTCATGTTCTGCTGGCACGGCGTGGTCAGTATCGCCGGGCTGTACGTGTTTGCCGTATTCTTTGGCCTCGTGTCGGCGGCTGTGCTGGGCATGGTCATCGGCACGATCCCGTCTCTGACGAAGGATATGAGCAAGATTGGGACGCGGGTGGGGATGGCGTTGACGCTTGTGAGTCCGGGCCCGTTGACGGGGCCGTCGGTGGCCGGGGCGCTGATTGATAGAGGCCATGGGGACTATTTGGGGGCGCAGCTGTGGGCGGGCATTGCGTTGTTGGTGGGTGCTGGGGTGTTGATCGCGGCGAGGGTTTCGACGACGGGGTGGAGGTTGATGGTGAAAATTTGAGGGTGGGGGGTCTTTGGATAGATTTCTTTGAGTATAGACTGGTTAGATTGTTTGGTTTCATTAGGCGGTTTCTCCATCTTGAATGTCTGTTATGGAGTTGACGTGACTGATAATACCAATATTATCCATAAATGGGTTTGGCAACTTTCATTATGGCGTGCATTCTTCAGTCGATTAGTTTTGTTTATGCTAAATTTCGCGCTCGAAGTCCTTTGGTGACAAGGATATTGCTTTTTAGTCTTTATTGAATATCTTAGCCCTTTGCTGTGATCCTTGGCATTGGCTCTTGGAAAACCGAGTATATCCAGAGCAGAAGCACCTCGGGAATCCGCAGGATCATGCAGGCGTAGGTACAGATAGAGTCAAGAAGAGCCGTGTCGACATAATGGCGAATTGGCGATCGAAATGAGTCATTATGAAGCCTGCATAAGACGGCCGCCATCCCGAGTCAGTCTTAGTCGGTTCCTCATCTTCACATCAACCACCACGATCTCTTGCTGCAGAAATGATGTCAAGTGAGCCATCAATTTAAATTTCATGTGGGCTTTTTCTCAGTAAGTCTGTTGAGCTCATTGGTGGTGAATGTCGATATCGCACCCACAATGCCATGACCATGTTCTTGTCGGTGATGAGCCATGTGGCTAAGTCGATCGTGAGGTGATGGCTTTCAGATCTAGATGATGGTTTGGGAGTATAAGTAGCTTAGGATCCTCCCTCTATGGTGTATGAGTAGACATCAACTGCAGCTTCAAGCAATAAATGCTAGGATATCAATCTCAACTTGAAGCAACCCAATCGCGAACCACAATCATGTCTCACTTCGCGCCAGACTGGGCAGAGGTAAGCACCGTTCCGTTCAACTGCAAGCCACATCTAACAGACCCAGTTCATCGAGCAACTAGGCGAGCCCCTTACCTTCGAAGGCACCACTCTTGAAGAGCTCACCAACAAATGGGAGAACCACCTCGCCCCAAAGTTCATGGCGATATGCCAGTACCCGCCGCTCGACACATCCGTCACAACCGAAGACATCACGCTCGAGAACATCTGGGTACGCATCTACACGTCTCCCTCGGCAACTGGCAACGAGCCCGTCGGCGTCTTCATGCACGGTGGCGGCTGGATCATGGGCAGTGTCGACCAGGAGGACATGCCGTGTCGAGAGAGGAGCAAGGCCAACCACATGAAGATCGTCAGCATCGGCTACCGACTGGCGCCGAAGTGGAAATTCCCCACCGCGCTGGACGACTGCGTCCAGGGCACCCTGTGGGCCATCTCGCACCTCTCGCTCTCCAGATTCGTGCTTATGGGCGGTTCGGCCGGCGCCAACCTCGCCTTCGGTGTCGCGCTGAGACTCGTCGACGCGGGCCTCGGCGATAAGATCAAGGGCGTCATGGCGCTGGTTCCGGCCGTCGTGCACCCTGATGCTGTGCCTGCGGATAAGAAGCCGCTGTATACTTCATGGTGGGAGAATGCCGACCGCACGATCAACACCTTGACGACGATGGAGACGTTCGTCTCGTTATACGACCCGAACCCGCATGACCCGTACTTCTCGTCTCTGCTGCATCCGCGCCTGAAGGACTTGAATAAGGTCTATATTGTGGAGTGCGGTGCAGATACTCTGCGGGATGATGCGCGCTTGATGAAACAGGCGTTGGAGGAGGTGAAGGTGCCGCTTCTGTATGATGCATACGATGGATATCCTCATTATTCATGGATGTTTCCGGCGCCGGTGCTGAAGAGGCATGTTGAGGAGTTTAACGTGAACTTGACGCGAGCATTGGAATGGTTGAATGAGTGATCTGGATGTCAAGATGAATAATTTGGTTTGTACATAGAGCTCGTTTAGACTTAATTCAAAGTTGAAACCTTCAAGTTTGTTGACAACGTCGAGCAGGGAATCGGGTGCCTGAGGCCCACAGTCTTGGCGGTTGATCGGCGCCTTCAGTTATTTGGCTGGACTCTCTTGAACACTCACCAGCGTCGTTGTCCATGGTTGCTCCATCCATGGCAATCTAAACGGCTCGCCTCTTGAACATGCGCAGCTCCTCTTCCGTCTGCTCATTGCTCATCTCCCTTATAGTTGCAATTGTCGGTATTTCCTATCACAAATGGGGCCATCACGCGACATCCCTCTTCACTACTTGCGCCTGTGACAATGCTCCTTCATCACCTCACTATGCCAGCTGGAATACCTGGTTTCACTCTTCCAGGTCTCCTAAGGCGTCCGAGAAATTATCATACGGCGACGATGGCTGGAACCTCTTTCACCACCTTGGCGGAAACGGTCCGTGGGTAGAGAAGACAGATGGAGATCATGTATTCCAGGGAGTTGGTCCTCCCGATGGATGTTCAATTGAACAGGTACATATGGTACGATTAAGCAACAGCCCCCTGCTCTCATGAAGTCTTCTAACAACACTGCAGATGTCTCGCCATGGAGAAAGATACCCGACTAAATCTGCAGGAAGTCGTATGTTTCTAGTGATCTTGCCGCAATTTCTTAACAGTATTACAATGTGTCTAACCTGAATGTAAGGCCATCTTGCCCTACTCGACCGGATCAAAGAGACAAGCGCACCTCTTAATGGATCTCTGGCATTCCTCAACAACTGGTCCTATTTTACCAGTGAGCCTGAGAAAGACTTTGACCAATTGACCGCCACTGGGCCATATGCCGGTAAACTGCAGGCTTTTACCACGGGAGTCCGATTTGTGACTCGTTACGGTCATCTCTTGTCGAGAGGCTACAAGACACGCCTATGGGCAAGCGAATGTCAGCGCGTCATAGAAACGGCCCAGCACTTCGCCTCGGGGATGTTCGATCTGGACTGGGAAAAGAACGGGAAAGCTGAGCTGGAGATTATCCCTGAAACGTTTGAACAGCGCGCAAATACACTTACGCCTGGTGATACGTGTTTGAAATATTTGGAAGACCCTGAAAAGGGACATGACAACGGCATGAACATGCGGAATCGTTTCCAAGCCGTTTATACTCCGGCCATCGCGAACCGACTCATCTCGGAACAAGACAATCTGGCTCTAGGCTCACTTTCCAGTGATGAGATCTTCAGCATGCAGGAAATGTGTGGCTACGAGACTATCACCCGGGGATCTAGTCCTTGGTGCGACGTCTTCACCAGGGAGGAATGGGAGAGTTTCGAATATGCTCGCGATATAATCCACTATTACCGCGCTGGTCCTGGGAACCCATACGCTGGTGCAATGGGCTGGCTCTGGCTGAATGCCACAGCGGCACTCTTACAAACCGGGCCTGCAGCCGGGACCATGTTCTTTAGTTTGTGCGTATCTTTACCAGAACTCCCATCCCCTTGAGTCAATCTACTGACACATCAACTAGCGTCCATGACGGCGATATCGCCCCTTTCCTTACAGCTTTAGACATCATGAAAGATCATCAATACGACCCGTCGCTTCCCGTCACACACGTAGCGAGAGACCGAAAATGGCGCACCTCGTCTGTGATGCCGATGGGTGCCCGAATCGTTTTAGAGAGGATGGCCTGTCCTTCACCGTCAGCTCAGAGTGGCAAAGATGGGCAGGATAATTTTGTTCGCATCAATATCAATGACAGGATAGTGCCGCTGCCATACTGCAAATCTGGGCCTGGTCATTCATGCCCGTTGAGGGATTTTGCTCAGCGTGTGGAGCAAAGAAGGTCAGAGGTGGGGGATTTCGCAGAAGTTTGTGGACTTGATGGAGATGTTGGACGTATAGAATTCTTGCGCCAGGATTAATAGACATGTTTCTTCGTTCTTGAGTTGTGATTTGGCAATAAATAATAGAACTATATAGAAACATAGTGATGTGAGTTTGACTATAAACTGTAGTCATTGCAGCAGTTATTGTGGCACAGAGCCACCTGAATCTCCGAGTCTCTTATTTCAGAAAACCCAGATAAACCTATTTAAATACTAGTAGTTAATCTCTCTATTCTGTCATTCACTTGTTGATTCTGCTGCATTCACCGACTAGACTCCCAAAGCGGTAAGCGCATAACTTGCAGATCCGAGTCACGTGCAGGTATCCGGGCGAACCAACTGTTTATGGCCGCCAAAAGTTTTGGTCGGGAGCGACTGGATCAGCGCTTGTTCTGACCAACCATTCCACTCGTCTGTACCCTTTAGCGATCTTTTTTGCGGTCTTCTTTCTTGCATTCAATCCTTCTTCCTCTTCTTGACTTGGCATCTCGCCTCACCTCCCTCCAGCATGGAGTACCATTTCGTGCCTCCCGAGGAGCGCGCAAAAGACGACAAGGGAAATCTCTTACCATGGGGATATGTCTATAAAGAGTGAGCCTTTCCCCTTATCAATATTTCATCCAGAGAGAAGATAGCGCAGACCAGCTAACCCGCCCCCAGCGAAGCTCGCAATCCCCGCCGACCCCCCGAGGAATCCGGACCGTTTGGACGGCGACGCAACGCTCGCTACGAACATGCCCGCTCGCGAACACGCACCGGCACGCCCGCCAAACGCGAGAACCCGAACGTAGCGGAGTTCGGGCGGCTCTTCGCCCAGCAGCAGGAGGACGAGAAGACCCGGCCCAACGCACTGCCGAAGTCGTCGTCGTCGTCGAACCTCGAGAGCCAGCGCAAGCAGCAGACCGAGAAGGTCGCCACCGAGTGCATCCTCTACGGCTACAAGAGCAAGGACTCGGAGTGGAAGGTCATCGACAAGTTCGAGCGCATCTGCGGCGGCTTCATCTGCGAGGATTACCCGCGTACCGACCCCAACTCCGCCACGGGGTACGCTCAGCTGCTGAGCGGCGGCGACGTCGTCATCCGCTCGAACCTGTCCGCCGATGCCAATCGCAAGTCGAAGCGCTACGCGGGCGGATACCACTGGATCAAGGTGACCTTTGACTCGGCGTTGGCGGCCGATCGGGCTTGCTTTTACTCGCCGCAGGAGATCGACGGGCATCATGTTATCTGTGAGATTTATCACGGCCAGGGCCCCGCGGAGGATGCGCCCATCCCTGTGCCCACGGGCAAATCGGACGCCGTCGCTGCGTTCTCGGACCTCTTCAAGGCAAACCCGCCGCGGACCCTGACGACCTCGCATTCGACGACGTTCTTGCAGACGCAGAAGGGCAAAGAGCGCGCCGCCTCGACACTGCCGAGGTCGTCGGCCATGAATAACCTCTCGACCGTGCCGGACGTCGAGGAGGACGACTCCTTCACCTCAACCACCACCGCCAGCTCGGCCACCGCTACGGGCGTCGACAACCGCACCTCGCCCTCGTCTGGAGTCCACCAACGCCCCGTCGTCCCCAAGGACGTCCCCGTTCAGCCGCCCCAGGAGAAACCCGAGTCCGAGTTCATGACGCACATTCCCACCGTGCGGCGGGCCAAGCTGCGACCCATCGCCGAGGCCCTGCCGCCGCAGCCGACGGTCACGGAGCGGGTGCTGCGCTCGATCCCCATCCTCAGCTGGTTCACGGGCGATATCGTCGGCGACGGACCGCAGCTGAAGGAGGACGGCACCTTCGATTACGACAAGTCGAACTCCTACTGGCGGTTCTGGAACATGCTGGATTCATTCCTGGGGACGGATATCTGTGGGCTGAAGGAGGAATCTTGATTCGTTTGACATTTGCTATCAATGCATGTCGAGTTCGAGCGCCGTCCAAACAGCACCATCTATTACCAGTCACGGCGGGGGCTAGATCCTCTTCCTCAAAAACATCCATCAATAAGCACAGAGACCGAAGACCTTGCTGGCTCACTCATCCCAGCTCCCTTCTCTCCCTCCGTGTACAAAACCTCGGTATCTTGCAACAGACTGGCAATCCTCTGGTGGTTTTAAATCAGAACCGTGGCTGGCTGCGACTATCCGATTCGATGGTCTTTTCGTTTCTTTTCTTCTCGCTTTCTTCAGGCATATTTCTTTATTTTTGTTTTCTTGTTTCTGTTCTATATGATTCATGGCATGGTCAAGGCGCACCGGAACTAATTCGATTTATTTCATGCTTCTTTATTGTATTCAATCTACTTTTTTTTTCTATGCATGGATACGGGGACAGACAGACGAAGCTGAGCTGGAATGGGAACAAACTAACCAATAATTCAGAAAAATGGCATCATTCCATTCATGACTGCAAAGCACTGCAATGCATGCACTAGAGTGTATCACACAAGAACTTTAAATTTTTTTAGGGAACCGTGAACTAAAAAAACATTTACTCGACATTGCTCTCGAAGTTCTCGCCCTCAACCAGATCGGGGATATCGTCCTCCTCGTCGTCCTTCTTGCCCTCGCCGCCGGCCTGGTTCTTCTGCATGTTCTGGTAGCTCTCGGCCAGCTTGCGCAGGGAGGCCAGGCTGTCGGGGCCCAGCTGGTTCAGGATGCCGGGGACCAGCTCGGTGAGTTCCTTCTCCTCGCCGTTGCCGTAGAGGGCGAAGGTGTTGGAGGGGACGGAGGCGTGGACTTCACGATTGTTAGTTTACATGTCGTTTGAGGGAATCATCCATGTTGGTTGGGGACATACCCTTGGGAGCACCGAAGTGGATGACGTTTCCGTCCTCCTTGAACATGTTGACCTCCTCGATGGCCTGGATGGGCTGCACGTTCATCTTCTTGAGGGTGGCCTGGAGCTTCTTGTCGTCGGCGCCGGACGACTTGTGGACCTTCTTGACCTTGCGGCGGGGAGTGCCCTTGCCTCTGTGCGTTGCGTTAGCTCTTGTCCTTTATCGGGTCGTGGCTGGTTGGATTGGTGTGGTTCGAGTCATGATTGCTATCGTGAGCGTGGTTGAGTTGGGTTGAGGATTAAGCGGGGGAGATTTGATGTGTGCGGTGGTGCAATGCAACGATTCAGGTATTTTCGCGGTCGGAGATATCGCAAACGACAGAATCGGAAGGAAGAGAAAGGTAGGAAAGAAGTTGATATACGTACCCTATTCAGAGAAACGCAGGTTAGCTATTAGCCATCATATCGAAAGAACAATTGCAAGTCGCGAAAAAAGCAGAAATCCCATCAACATGTCGAAAGCCTCAGCCTCAGCCTCCGCTCAGCTCCTGCAATTCGATCCCCCTCAAAATGAACTGAGCTGAGCTGACTGACGTCCCAGCGATCGCGACTTCCCCCTCTATCCAATCCAGCCTCGTCGAAACCAAACTCCTCATCGCACGCGATCGAAATCAAAAGTTGCGGTCGGATCATTCCCCTCTCAATCAAACCCTCCCATCGAAATTGCAGCTCACGCAACAAAAAGCCAAAGAACGTAGAAAAGAAAAAAATAAAACATACCAATCCGCACGCTAGCCTGCATCCGAGCCAACTTAGCCTGATCCATTGTGACGGTAGTCGAGAGTAAAAGGGGAGAAAGGGGAGGGGGGTGGATGAGAGTCGAAGGAAACTGGTGGGATAAGAAGCAAGACGTCAATAATCCGGATCTGTGGAACTCGAGTCTCGGTAAGGCTTTTGGCTCGATGTGTGTGGGCGCCAAGCTTTGGGGGAAGAACCTCCGAACAACGACGGCGGGTTGGCTGAGGTCCCGGTCGCAGTGAAGTTCACACGGTCCAAGGGGAGATGGGAATGAAGGGGGGGGTTCTAGAGAGACCTACCGAAAACTGGTGGTGATGAAGTTGGAGGGGAAGAGGAGAGGAGAGAAGGTTGAGGTGCCCGTTTGTTAGTGGGAAAGTGTGGCTGATGATGTCCGTTTGTGTGGGGAGGCCGCCTCGTTGCAACACTGAGGGACTACGGGTGTGTGTGCTTCTTTTACATTACGGCGATGGAGGCAGGGCTTGGTCGCTGGGAATGCGTCTATCTGTGCCTTACGGGGGAAGTCTGATCATGTTCACTTCGTCTGAAGCTCGACGGTGGTGGTTGATCGCCGGCCGAATTCGTTGTGGAGGAGATTGAGGCTGCTCGGCTAAACCCTAACGACGCTTCCGAGGCGCTGCTCACCCTCGTTGGGGAGCTTTGCATGCATCTCCAGATGAGATACTCTGCTCTCTACTCGTCTGGATGAACCTTTGGCTCCGATGAAGGTGCCTGAGCCTTTGCCCAGCCCATCTCGCCTCCACTCGGTGTCTTATTCCCGATCGGGTAACCCGTCTACGGAACCATCATGGACATCCTCCGGCAGGTCCCTGTAAACATTATTCATTGGAATCTAAATCTCTACGCAGTCATGTCGGTCGGGAGACCGCGGCAATTTGAGCTTCGGTCCATTCCCAGAGCTTGCGACCCATATCCACGTCGTCGGCATACTTGCTCGACCCGCGAACCCCGATAGGTACATAATACGCGCCGTTAGTTAGTAGCTCTTTCTTCGCCGTGGCTGCCCAGAGCTGGTTCAACGCCCCCGTGCGGATTCCCCGTGAGACCATGAAGGTGAGATGAACGCCGATGTTGGAGATCATGCCCGCTTCCTTGGTGTGATTGTACAAGTCACTGTTCACCACCCCCGGGTGGAGGGAGACCGAAAGAATCTCCGGATAGCGACGAGCGAGCTCGGCTGCAAACAGGACGTTGGCGGCCTTGGAAGCGCCGTACCGGGTGAACGGTCCTGTGGCCTGCAGAGCCGACGTGGATGTCATCACCTCGAAGGATGGCGAGACATTGTGTCCGACAGAGCTGACCGTCACGATCCTGACGTCCGGCGCAGGAACGGCACTGGCGAGGGTCTTTTGCAGCGTAGGAAGCAGTAGTTGCGTGAGCAAAAAGTGTCCGACGTGGTTCGTTCCGAATTGGATCTCAAATCCCTCCTCAGTGACACCGGGCGGAGTGGCCATGATGCCGGCGTTCAGGATCAGCAGGTCGAGGCGATCGCATTCCGCGGTGAATTTCTCGGCCGCTGCACGAATGGAGTCGAAGGACGATAGGTCGAGCAATATGTGTCTGATGTCGACGGTCTCCGGGAGGATCTCCTGGATTGAGGCAATGGCATCGCGGGCTTTGCTCTCGGTGCGAGCGGCCAGGTAGATACGAGACGGACGATGGTGGGCGAGCTGGAGGACGGTTTCTTTTCCAAGGCCGGCATTTCCTGAATTGACCGAGCTTTGTTAGCAACGCAAGTAGATAGACGGTGCATCGCACAGACCAAGGGCAAAGGGACCTTACCACCAGTGATAAAGACGACCTTCCCCGAAAGATCGCCTATATCTCGTCGCGGTTCGAAGGAAGAACCCGCCAGGCCAAAGCTCAGCTCATTAAGCGTGGGCCCGACGCTGGAGTAAAAGTCCCCGGGATGGCGCAAGGCATGGCAAACGAGGGTTCCAGCTAAAGAAGCGTAGGACATGCTGATAAGATTAATTAGAGAAATCAGGTGGAATGAGAAGAAAACGCTAGAATGCAGAGTAGTCAGTTGCGATCGGATGGTTTATCTGTCTCTTGTGAAAATCGATCGTCAACAGCGCGCATGAAGCTGCCGCTCTCGGCATCCTGAAAAAGGGGAATACAAGAGTGGAACAACGGTGATTTTCATCAAAGCGACCGAGGTTCAGATGCATCTCCACTTATCGTGAAGAACACTTCCCGGATCCTCTATGGCATCATGCCGTCGAGCAAAATGACGATCATGATGCGCTTCCCAGGCCAGCGATGAATTGCCAGGAAGAATGAACAACGACAGTGACAGCATTTCCGCCTGCAGCTTGTGGTTAGCGAGATCCCGTGCCATCGCATGCACCTCTCGATCATCAACGGCGTCTCTTTCTCCACGCCTCAACTCGACGACCATATCAGATCTGCTCCTGCAAAATCAAACGTCTTAAACATCTTGTCAAATATTCGAGCCCAAGAACAAAATCAAAATGCGGTTTCTGTGCTTACATGGCGCCGGCACCAGCGGGGAAGTACGTCAACCGGCCAACCCCTCGTAACACCCAAGCTAACATGGCGGGGACATCTCATCTCGATCTTAGATCTTTGAGATCCAATCTGGTACCTGAGTAACAGTCTCTACTCTCTCGCTGCGCCCAATGTACTAAACTTCCGATCCGCACACAGGAGGACTAAGCCACACTCTCAGCGACAAGGGCCATCACTTCGAATACATTGATGGACGGGTCCCAGCGCCCGTAGAGCCGGGTACTATATATCACTCGTTCTTCACACCAAACACCCCCCCAACTAACGTCCTTCCGCAATCCAGAACTCGCGGGAATCTGCGAGGGCCCGTTCTACAACCACTACTCGCGCGACGGGCCCCCGGGCCCTGGGCTCAGCCAAGCCATCGCCCATGTCATGCAGATCATCGAGAAGAAAGGGCCGTTTGACGCGGTGATGGGGTTCTCGCAGGGTGCGGCGCTCGCGTTCTCGCTGCTCGTCGAACACGCCAAAACCCACTCGACGCCGCTGTTCAAGGCCGCCGTGTTTATCTGCGGGGCGCCGCCGTTCGAAAGCTCCGGGCAGGAGGCCATCAAGTTGCAGCCCGGGGAAAAGTATCCGCTGAGCATCCCGACGACGAGTATCGTGGGGAAGCAGGATTATTTGTACGAGTCGAGTATGCTGCTGTATAGCCTGTGTGATCCGGCCAAGGCGGAGTTTTATGATCATGGCTCGAGGCATTTGATTCCGTTTGATATGAAGAATACGAATGCGATGCTTGCGGCGATTGAGAGGACGATTGAAAGGGCGGAGAGGGGGGAGTAGGTTGTTAGGTTTGGGATTTACGAATTGATTAGATAGATGGCTAGGATCGGGGTACTAGAACGATGGAATATATTTATTTTTTAGTATTGTTTCTTCGACACAGCTTCTCTATCTCTAGAGTGGAACTTGGAGAGCAGAACAGCCGCTATCAAAACGATCATACCCAGTCCAATGCTGTATTTCAGAGCTGCACCGATAACTCCGCCCTGGCTACCCTTGCGTTCGTCAAGTCATAATCCGGCCGAAGTCTCGCCGTCTCCCTGAGGCGGGATAGTCTTCGTCAGGAACTTCTCAAGGTCCTGAATCTCCTCGGGGTCGGCAGAGTGACCCAAATCACTGCACATTTCGTCAGCAAACCCAGTCCCAGACACATGAAACGCAGGAGCAGAACTTACGGATAAGAGTTGAAGGTGACATCCAACCCCATATCCGTCAACGCCTTCGACGACATCTTTCCGAATTCGTATTTCACCACCTCATCATCCAGGCCGTGGCCCATGAAGAACGGCGTCTTCTGGTTCGGCCAGTTCTCAGGCGTGTAGTTCTTGATGCGGTCGCTGAGAAGCAAATAGCACGACAGACCGAACACTCCGCCCAGCTTCTCCTTGTTCGTGATGCCCGTGAACAGGGAGATCGCACCGCCCTGCGAGAACCCACCCAGCACGATCCGAGACGGGCTGATGCCCTGGTCGATTTGTTCCTTGATCAGGGTGTTGAAGTAGTCGCGGGAGCGCAGGATACCGGGTTCGTCCTGGTTGACGAGGGATTCTTCGAAGTCCAGCTATACATCGGATTAGTTAGCTTAGTCCAGTCCGAGCCAGGCAGGATCTTTGTGAATCGAAGGTGTCAGTCTTACATCACGACCAAGTTTGGCAATATCATACCACCCGGGCATGCTCAGGCCAAAGTTCTATAGATGCGGTCAGTTGGGTCTGATTCTGTTGCGACCGGGTCGAAATGCGCATACCACTGTGATCGGGATCATGGGGGCATTGGGGAAGATGAAGGCCACTTCGTCGAACATGCCGCGGCGACGCCAGTTCTGGGCGAGGGCCATCCATCCAGCGCCGCTGTGTAGATTGTCGTTTAGCCGGCGCAAAAAGGAGTCTGGAGATCTAATCTGATGACCAACCTGTCGCCCAGGCCGTGGGCCATGATCACCGTGGCGGTGTGCTTCTTGAGCGCCGGAACGATATAAGGTGCGCGCGATGCCATTTTGCTTTTGAAATGACTGGGATTTGTAGAGGAGGGAGGAAAGATAGACGAAAGAAGGGGAGATACGATGGAGGGGAGCGATTATTCTGCCGCCGAGGTTGTTGGGACGTTCACCGCCCGGTGATTTTTTATTTGTCAACAAGGATTTACTTTTCTAGATACTACAATTGGCAAACTTGAGGGTCAACAGGAAAATCAAGTTGCTTGAACTCTCTTCTTCCTCCGCGGCAGGCAGAATCTCCTTTCAAGGAGAGGTGATGTCACTACGGCTGCGATCAGAATGCCAGGAGTCTAGAGAAGTGGAGACCTGGAAGATTTCATCATTCTCCCTCTCGAGCTTCAGAAACATTAAACACATATTAAACATTAATCGTATCTAAGTGACAGCTCTATACTGTACAGGTTATAACCAATAGCAATATCAAACCAACCAACTCATCACTTGGCACACAGGCTCAGCAATTCCGCCTTCACAGCCGGAACCAAAGATGACATCAGATCCTCATCCACGATCCCCTTCTGCCACACAAACGTGACGACCAGACATCCATCTGCGCCGGTGACAGAAGACACCACAACGGCACTGCCGGTAACATTGGCACTCTGAGAGAAAACCATGCGGCCCATCTGCGGCGTCGAAGAATCCGGGGCCTCTTTCAACCCGACCGCGCCGATATTCGAGACCTCAAAGCTCGAATCGCGCTCGCTCCCCACCTTCGACAGAAAGAGCTCTTCTTTGAAATCATCCACGTATTTCAAAAGCGCCGGGGTCATATTCGTGCCCTGCAGGTTCAACACACCCTCGGTTGTCTCGCGAGCCCGTCGAGCCTCCTCCCACGGAAACGAGGGACCCGCCAGATTCGCACGATCATGCGTATCGCCGTAGCCATTGACCCAGTCACCGATGGAATCCTCGGTAATGACACCCAAATGCCACCTCCGAGTCGACATGGCGCCGGAGCAATTAAGCTGCGTACAGGTCTCCGGTAGATTCTTGAACAGCGCGCGAGCAACAACCGTCTGCAACGCGCCAGTCACCGTCGTCCCATTCTCGCGACAAGCATCCCTCAACGCCGTACTCGACGCTCTCGAGACCGCGAAATGCCGCAGGTCAGTCTCCAACGACGAGGCTATCACCCCGCCCGTCCAGAGCCCCGGATTCCGCGCCGGAGACCAAACCTTCACCTTAAACAGCGTCGTCGCGACAAACCACCACGACAAAGGCAGCGGATGCGCCTGCTCCAGACTCGGCAAAAGCGGCATCTCCGGCGGCTTCACAATACCCAGCACCTCACCGGCCCCTAGCGCCTCCAGACCCTGCAACGCACGCAGGAACGTCCGATGGAACGCCTTCCCAGACTCCCCATCACTAACGGCATGATGAAAAACAAACGCAGCGGTAAACCGCCTCTCGTTCTCATCCACCAACACGCAAAGCCGCCAATACGGCAACGGCGGCTCAAACGCCCGATTATGCTGGGCTTTCAAGAGGGCTTCTAAATCGTCATCTTGGGCATCTTCGGCTTCCGGAAACCCGACCGCTCGCTGGTGGAACGACACCGCCCCCGTGAGATCAATCTGCGGCAGACGCGCAAAATACGGCTCTTTCGTTTCCTCGCCCACCGGGATGGCGGAGAGGATCGGGTGGTGCGCGATGAGCGTCGCGCAGGCCTTGTAGATGTAGTCCTTGGCAGGGAGAGCGTAGGTGCTCGGCAGGGTGTAAGTTGCGGTTACGCCGGCATTGTAGAAGAAGCGCAGGTGGTGCCTGGCGGTGGCGTATTGCTCTAATCCGCCTGGTCCGGGAGGTGCTGGTTAGTGGGTTGTGTGAGGAAACTGGGATCGAGTCGATTGGCTCACCGACAGGCCTCAGTTTCTCGAATTGTTCTGTCCTGGCCATTCTCCAAATGCAGCGGGGAGAATTGATTTAGATTTCCTCAGGACGAAAGAGATTAAGAAACGGCAAATCTGGAACTTAACGGCTGCAGCCTAATTCGCTAAAGGATCCAGCCCACGTGATCTTCCTCTAGTAGATCGATGGGAATGGTTTTTACTTTTCAAAAACATTCTTGGTATCAATGGATGCCATAAATGAAATGTAGTAATGCTAAGGCTAAACGCCGTGCTATGGGCATGGATAGCAGGTAAATATATACAAGGAGCTAGTCAGTATGCAAGCATGCCCCATCATAGTAATAGTTTCGTCACTCATAAGCTTCACCTTTTCAATCTTCGCTCTTCATTCATTTTCGTTCTTTCTTTTCTCTTCATTTTCTCACAGCTCATCCATCCACCATCGATCCGATCTCCACCCCAATATAATATCAACCATCCTTACAAAACAGCCATCGCCCCAACAACAGCGGCTCCCAGAACCCCCCAAGTAGCCGTTTCCAACGCAACCGCAGCACCGGTCGAAGAAGGAGAGCTACCAGTCGAAGAAGCAGACGCCGAGGAGCCGCCGCTCTGGGCTTCACCATCGGCGGTGGACTCATTCGCGTTGCGCTTGGCTGCGTCGCCATGGAACAGCTTTGCGCTGACACCGGTGTTATTCTTGCAAGAATCGGGCTGATCCTGCTTGATGCTCGTGGAGAACTGGATATCGGCACACTGTGTAATTGGGTACGTGGTTAGCATGGAACTCACGCCGACAGAAAAGTAAAGAGCAAGAAATAACATACAGCATACAACCCTCCCGTCGGATCGCCATTGCTCTGCACCTGGACGGTAGCGTTCACTCCATCGGTAAGGTTCAAGCCCGTCGTATTCTTATCGAATGTAATATCGGGGATACAGAAAGAGCCAAGGCCTTCAATGCGGAAGGTCGGCACCAGAGTGACGTTGTAGTTCTCGCCGGGGTCGTCGCCCAGGGACAGGAGGACCTCGACAGCCGTTTGCGAGTGGCCCAGCGTGATGGCCACGGGGAGATACGCCGAGCCGTCGTTGGACAGCGCGACCTTTGTGCGGTCCGAAGACGCAGAGAGCCCACCGCAGGGGAACTGGGTCATTTTGTCTTCATTGACGCCGCGGGATTCGGGGTAGTTGAGTTTGAAGTGGGCGGCGACGAGGGGCGCCAGGGAGGCGAAGGTGAGGAGAGAGAGCTGCATTGTTATTTGGGGGTTGTGCAGTAGACCTTGTATTGACAATAGAGAAGGTTGGGCTGGAGTGAGAGGAGTAGAGGGCGTAAGAAAAGGGCGAACCAAGCTACTTGATATAGAGCTTGCGAGATGAGATGAGAGGGTTGATACGGTAGCCCCGGAACAGGAGCGGAAGCTACTAGTAAGCTGCTAACCCGACTAGGTGGTTAATTGTTTTATAATGTTACAGGTGAATTGGCCTCTGAGATGACGGTGACACAAGATCTGGATCCATTGGCAGGGACAACGGACAGAGGCGCATACTTTCCTGGGAAGCAGTTCCTGTTCTGCTGTAGCCGAACCATTGCTCACATCCGCTAGCCCCGAAAGGGTTAGAAAATGTGCTCATATCTTCTCAGCCCTAAAAGGTAGTCTGGCGCTGGCAGCCTTTCGTGTTATTAATTGGTGGGGTTTGTTGCAGTATTCTGCTCGTGAGAATAAATTGGCTGTGGAGGTGAATTCGCTCGTGGTAGCTGCATGGGCTTACTTGCGGGAATTTCATATCGGGACTCCGCCGACAGAAGCTGCAATAACCGACATCTGTTATTCAAATGGGCTGGATTAAATTCTCAGTGTCTTCTTTTGTGTTGAGAAATCCGACCGACGGCGAAGATTCCCCCAAACCGCTCATGAATCATCACTTTATGAAACTTGCACCACCTCAACCTGGGCATCCTGACTCGGAGACATGGATCAAAGACTGTATCGGAACCGAGGACTCCGATCGCCCATTTCCTGAATCTCCTCCTCCGTCATTCCCTCGACTTTATAATCCTCCATGCCTCGGTCTCTGCGGTTGTTCTTTCCGCGATAATAGAACCACATCAGACCATAGACAACGCCCGCAAACCCCACCATAGACAAAGTGACTGCATTGCCTCGAACATATCGTGGAGCTTCGTTGGTTTTATACAGAAATGGCGACATAACCCCGCTCACGTTACCGAATGTCAGCTGCAGACCCGTGGCGAACGTGCGCTTGCCATAGCGAGGAAGCGTGGTGGGTAGCCATGCGAGTGGCAGACCAACGGCAACGTAGAGGCCCAAGGCAATGAGTAGAGCGCCGAAATAATGCACCCCCGACGAGGAATCCGAGATCAGAATGCCATACCCCACCACGGAAATGGCGGCGAAAATGCAGGTGAAGAGTGCACGTTGCTGAGTGCGATCGCTGAGCCATGCAACGGCTAAATACACTAAAGCACCTAGTGCATAGCAAGGGATCGTGAGGGCTTGGACCTCAGGAACCGTCCAGGATCCCATACCCTTGATGATGGTGGGAAGAAATGTGCTGTAGCCGTAGAGCATGGTGTCCACTCCGAACTGGCCGATGCAGAAGGCGTAGATGCGCCAGTCCAATGCGCCCTCTTTGACATCCGCCCAGTGGAACTTTTGCGCAGAGGCGGTCTGACCCACGTAGCGACCCCGACGGCGGGCGACTAGAGCCCTTTCTTCCTCGTTGAGATAATATGCCGTGTCGGGGTCATCGGCGAGGAAGAACCAAGTGATCACGCCGAGAAGAACGGTTGGAATGCCTTCGATGATCATGATCCATCGCCAACCTTTGAGGCCGCTGATCCCGTCCATAAAGCCTATACCATAGGCCAACAAACCGCCAAATGCGCCGGCGATAGCAGCGCTACTAAATAGATACCCCGTGCGCAGGGCAAGTTCACGCTTGCTGTAGAACAAGGTAAGGTAAGTCATCAAACCGGGAAAGAGACCCGCTTCCACAACACCTAGGCCTGTTAGCTACGGACATAGACCGAGTAAGGTCTTACTAACCGAGAAGAACGCGACAAGCGATCAGATCACCGTAGCTCTGAGTGATGCCGGTAAGGGTCGCTATGATACCCCATATTACCGAGATTGACGCAATGTAGCGCGAGGGGGTGAGTTTCTTGATGACCAGATTCGATGGCACCTCGAACAGCTATACTAAATCGTTAGACCGTTGCTGATATTCTGGTGGAAAAGATATCGCCTACACAGTATGTGACGAACAAGATGGAAACGGCCACTTGATACTGATTGCCTTCCAGACCCAGGTCTTCTTCTAGGCCGTACAGTCTGGCATTGCCAATGTTGACTGAAATCAATGTCAGTATGCGTATTTGCTACACAAGGACAGTAGTCGATGAATAACATACCTCTGTCCAAGAAGCTAAAAAGGTAAAGAAGCACCACAAACGGCAGAATATGCAAGTCGATCTTCCGTATTAAATGCTTCTCCCTCTTCTCTTCCAGCATCGAGATATCAGAAACGGTGTCCCCCGACACCACAGCGTTGTCGGCCGACGACGGTGACTCAACGTCGTGCTTCGGCTCTCGTTCGGCCTCCATGGCTATTTGATTGATAATATGCCGATAAGACAAAACTCGCCGCAAATCTAGAGAATCAAGAACGAACTTCCCCCTGGCTGCTAAAGGACATCAGTTGAGTCCCCAGGCAAAGTCCATGGCCCAGCGAATACTAAAGAAAGATGATGCGTGCTTCGGTCGTGTCAGAGTCATCGCGCGATATGATCGTCCAACGAAGCGATAAGCGAATAGAAAATTGTGCGATAAAGTGGCTGCGCCAAGATTCGAGACCGGCGAGTTAAAGATGCGGGGGCTTTGACTTTCTCCCTCCTTTTTCCCTGGTTGTGTTCCGTCGACCATCATTATTGTCAATTTGCCATCTCATTCTGCAGCCCGGGATGACAATCGCCCCGCCATTTATCTCGTCACTGCCGGGATTGTGCAGATCCAAGAGCCCTGTTATCTACCGTAAGTAAGGGCCCAATCCCGGCGTGGCTTCGACTCTCGAATGATCTCGAAAGCCGTCCGATCCCTGCCTATATCGCATCCCGGATCATCATTTGCCCGGACGTCTCCCGTCGATCGCCGATATAGGAGAGGGCGATGACATTATCATGAAGCATTGATGTCTTCATTTTGCAGCTTGAGTTCATCCGGCATGCCATGATAGCGTGATGTAAAATGTTCTTTCTGCATGAAGCAAGGGGTTTATACGAGGTCTGCAGTGAACCACACAGTGACGACAGTTTGCGTGTCAATGTGATTTCATATTGCAGTAGCGGCTCTTCATCTGGCATGCATCAAGCATGGCTGATCGGCTATTGGTTCTGTCATGATTCCGACCATACTATCGCATAACCACAGCCATGTTCAAACACCAATATGATTTTCTCAGCCCTCGAGACAATTCACGAACGGCAGTCCCACCGTCTTTTTGATCTGCCGCAGAGCTTGCACAACCTTTTCATCCTCTAATCTCTTAGCAACCAATTGAAGGCATACTGGAGCACTCTTTTGTGCCACGGGGTCGTAGTGTTCTTGATACCACCTGTCCATCTCATTTCGGGGCTCATCGTTTCCAGTTCCAGGAACTAGAACATCCCGTTCAGCGTCAATTCTTGTGACAGGGAACACGATTCCAGGATAGTCCAGCAAGTTCCAGATCGACGTGTAACCCCAGTAGTACGAGGTTTCCAGCAAAGGAGCCGGACTCGGATGGCAAGGGCAGAGAATCACGTCCATATCCGGTGCCACGGTATTCCATTCTGCCAGGATGCTGTCAACGATGGTGGTTTGATATTCCAACCCGGGTAGGACAAACAGACCTTGGAGGTAGTCATATCGAAATGTATCTCGACGTCGCAGCAGCTCTAACAGCTCAGAAGCGCTGTGTTTTTTGACTCCCGGGGCGTCGCGCATTGGCCACGCCACCAAGGGAAGCATTGGCTCTCCTGAAGCATCTAAAAGCGACTCGAGCAACTTTCCTCCGTCAGGGGAGTACAATCCGTTCTATTGCGGAGTTTCCGAGTCAGCATGCGACACAGTTCCCTCCCCAATCAGGAAGAGCATCTCGGAAGAGACCTACTAGAATTTCCATTGCTTCGTCATGTCTGTAAGGCTTCCAGTCCGTGACTTCGACTCCAGGGACCAATTTCAACCGCTCAACTACCTCGGTAATAGCCCTAGCCACAGGAGGAAGTGGCCTTACGATTTGGTCATCCCAAAGCACGCCCACTCTCAGTCTTCCTCCTTTTTCTAGATCGATTGACCCCGGGGGGTTGCGCCAAGGGATCGGATGCAGATTTGGATCTCTATGCCATGGCTCCGTATCAAGAACTGTTTTCATGAACATATCGATTCCTTCGAACCACGGGGTCAATGGACCGGCCGTTCCTTTGATCGTGCCTAGTCTGGGATTCCAGCTAGCGAAACCGGAAAGAGGAATGCGAAAGGTGGTAGGTTTGAAGCCGTATATCCCGCAGTTCGCGGCTGGCGACCGTATACTACCTCCTTGTTTCGCTTTAATATCAGTCTGCGTTTCTGAGGGTGAAAATGCCCCTGAATGGCAAAGAAAGCATACCGATATCCGTCCCAACCCCAAGCGGGCTTCCATACAACGCCTGCAGCGCCGCTTCTCCGCCAGAAGAGCCTCCCGGAGTAAGGGCGATATTATGAGGGTTGACAGTCACTTCCGTGATATTACTATGAGTCTCGAGCATCATCTAGCAGCATTTGAGTGATGAGCAAACTGAGTCAGGATTACCTTGGCGGTATACATTGCCTGTGCTGAAAAGAGCCGTGGTAGTCGAACAAATAGATACTAATGAAACCGATTCAACGTACCAAAGCCTGGGGCTCAGTGGTCCTCACATACGGAACGGCACCCGCAGATAGAAGAATCTTCACTAGGTCTGCATCATCCTGGAACTTGATCTCAACCCGTGCCACAATGCCCGCACTTGCATCACCTCCCTTGACACCCGCGTGTGCCTTCAAGCTGACCGGCAGTCCGTGCAAAGGACCCATCGTCCCTTTATTCCTCGCGAAGAAGTCATCCAGCTCCTCGGCGCGTGCCAGAGCCCTCTCAGACAAAAGTTCATGGACGCAGTTTACCTAGATATGGCATGGCCTTGCGTGAGCCTTACCTGATGGGCTTATTCTATCCGCATGCTGTAGCCTTTTCAACTTACGAGTTTATGAGCTATCACTGCTCGCTTCAAGAACGCCTTTGTCACGGTTGTTGCGGACAAAACCCCTTGTGATAGGGAAGTCAGGAGTCCTTGAGCTGAGGACTCCGTGATGGCAATTTCCGCGCTGGTGAGATGGTGTCTTGGGATTGGGATTGCTCGGCCGGATGAGATCGGGGGGATTGAAAGGTCCGGCGCGAATTCTTCAATGGACTTGTCCCGGCGAGCTCGAACCTGCTGGGCAAGTTCCTGCCAAGATGGTGGTTCTTTGTCTGTCATCGTCGATGGTGGAGAATCGCTAGTGCTTACTTGGGCATATAGATGTCTTTGCTTGAATAAATGAAAGATATAAATGGTAGGATTTTGATTTGTTCTATTCAATAAATTTTCATGTGACAGATGCCGAGAAAAGAAATCGCAGCTGACCCCGCCATCACACAGATACTTATTTTAAACAAGCTGGGAATTGTGTTTCATTGGATGACACTGAGCCACCATCAGCTTCTGCTCTCCTATGTCCCTACGACTGTTATTGCTCTCGAGGATCCGCAGATGCCGTGGAACACTCCCTCCGCTATTAGGCAGGAGCTTCCTTAGACAAGACTGGGTTAGCCTAATCTAGATAACCGGTAGAATACTACTTGTCTACATTTTGCTGAATGCAATTCCCTTCCGACTAGCAAGGACGTCAAAGGACTCGCTCTGCCTTGGGTCCTTGAGCATGAAAGAGGACGAAACACCTCAACAATCCCACAAGTGAAATACGACCAATCAATCCCCTTCTCAAGTATAACAGAACCGAAATCTCCGTTCATCAATACAGGCCCAATGCCTCCACCCATTTCTAGTCTTGAGGGGCATGCAACCTGCTCACAACTTTGACCCGGCCCTCCTTGAATTCGGTTGTGTGATGGGTATGCCCGAACACCCAGACCTTCACTCCATCGGGGACTTGTGATAGAAAATCCGTCCCGAATGCAAACCTCCAAGGGTTCAGGGCGTTTTTCGGGGCGGATGTCCTCTGGAGAAGAGGAGCATGGTGGGTCACGACGAGGATCGACCGCTTTGGGTTCCACTTTTCTGTCCTTTCATTCTCCCGACGTATCGACTGGATCTCTCTCCGTAACCAGGCGAGATCCGAGTCGTGAGCTGCATTGTGGTCATCAACGGTCCAGTCGGTAATCTTTTGAAAATCCTTGATCTTTGCCCGAACAATTTCCCTGGATTCAGACGGCACTTTTGACCACAGAGTGCAGCCAAGAACACTGACACAAGACCCCGGGACATCGTATCGCTTCTGGTGAAGGACGACGAGCTTTCCGTTTAAAGAAGGCTCCTGCTCAAGCTGCCTAGCTTTTTCGAGCCCCGCTGCAAAAGTCTCATTGTAGAACTCATGGTTTCCGAGAACTAGAAGTACCACCTTGAACCGGTCCGTCTGCCGACGTAAGAACTCGCGATAGTTGTCGGAGTCAGTTAAGCGGCCAATGTCGCCCGCAAGGATCAGATGTTGAGCGCAGACTGGGATCTCATAAGAGAGGTACTGTTGGTTAATTTCAAGATGGAGGTCAGAGAGGACTTGGATGGGCAAAGAAGGCCTATTGAAAAAAGACAGGACTTTCTGGAACATCACAATCGTGACCGATGTATTCGTCGTTGAAACAGCTATACCACCAGCAGCTTGTTGTCACTGAATGGAAGAGCCTACAGAAGAGCCCCTGGATCGAAGATACGCGATACGTTGCCAAGCCTACGCTGCCAGTGCCGCTCTAAGCCAACGATGTCCCCTTCGCAGTCTGGTTGTCACAGCGTAAAATGGAAGTCACTCAAGTAATCAAAACGGTCTTCCAGGTTATATGATCTTCAAACTGAAATTATACCGGCGTGTGTTATTGGAGAGATAGCATTGAAGTGATATAATGTTCCGCGAGTAATCCATGTAAGTATCATCCGGCATCAGCTCCATTGTATCCTAGATGTAACTCTTTCAGTTAACTGGCATCAAGTCCGCTATACAGCTTAGCCTCAATTCGTGAAGCCCGAGAAACAGCCCGCTACCTATGAAAGCAGCTCCATCTTGATCAAACTGTGCTGCCCAAATGCAGTATGACCGAAGTAAACGTAGTACATCCTCAAAGGAACTCAATCTATTCGAAACACTTACTACTAAGGTATGCAGTGGTCCCCGAGTAACCCTGATCTATATAGATAAAATTCGTAGGCCAATGGGACAAACTCGGTATTGATATCTTGTTTAATTTATCGATCAAGCCTTGTGGAGCACCCAAAGTGCAACGCGGATGATGATCTGCTGGAGAGTTCAATAATTGACGTCAACTCCCGAGGCAATGCGGTCGGGTCGGTTCCCTCACTTCCACGTGCCGAGAGCCATAAAGGAGCTCCTCATTTGCATTCTTGCAAGGTTTTAACCGACTACACTAAATATCTTTATTCTGCTTCTGTTGGCCACGTCACTCTACTTGTTACTGGCTGCTAGCACAATGACTGCGAGGTACGGTGAGTATCAATCGGAGATCTACGGCCGCGGGGCTGCGACGGGCCTTCTGCCGACCGTTACGACGGACCCGCGGTTGCTTGAGGAGCAGGCGAAGAAGGCACTGAGTGCGCGTTCGTTCAATTATATTGCTGGCGGCGCGGGAGAGAAGGCGACGATGGATAGTAATCGGTTGGCGTTTCGGCAGTGGAAGCTGTAAGTGATCCTTAGGTTTTGGGTCTAATCGGGGCCCTTCTATGTGCTGGAATGGCGATAGACTGGTGCTGACAATACCTTAGGATCCCGAGGATGATGAGGCCGGTTGGTTATTACGTTCTATTGGCTTTCGCAGGTAACAGCTGATAACATGAGTTATAGGTGGATAACCAAAACCTCAGCGTAAATCTGTTTGGACAGGAGTATCCCAATCCAATCCTCCAGGCACCGGTGGGAGTGCAATGCCTCTTTCACGATGACAAGGAGAAGGGGCTAGCGGAGGCCTGCTCGGAGGCCGACGTACCATATACCCTTAGCACGGCCAGCAGCAGCACGATCGAGGAAGTGGCCGCGGCAAACGGGGATGGAAAACGATGGTTTCAGCTCTACTGGCCGGTGAGCGATGACATTACTCTGTCCCTACTGAAACGCGCGAAGGAGAATGACTTCTCCGTGCTGGTTGTGACCCTAGACACATGGTCGCTTGCATGGCGCCCAGCAGATCTTGACAATGCCTACATCCCGTTTATCAAGGAGGTCGGTAACCAGATTGGCTTCAGCGATCCAGTGTTCCGGAAGAATTTCGAGCAGGAATCCGGGCGCAAAATCGAGGATGATATTGTCGGTGCTTCTATGGCATGGACCTCTGACTTGTTCCCTGGCCGGCCGCACACTTGGGAGGACGTAGCCTTCCTTCGAAAGAACTGGGATGGTCCAATCGTGCTGAAGGGTATTCAGCATGCGGACGATGCTAAATTGGCCCTGAAGGCGGGATGCGACGGCATCGTGGTCTCTAACCATGGAGGTAGGTTGTACTCGCTTTGGAAGATGCCAGGAAGAACTGCTTGGCTGACACAACACACAGGTCGACAAGTGGATGGCGCGATCGGTTCTTTGGAAGTGCTTCCAGAGATTGTCGAGGCAGTCGGCGACAAGATGACCGTCCTCTTCGATTCCGGCGTTCGGACTGGCTCCGATGTCATCAAAGCGCTGTGCTTAGGGGCCAAGGCAGTCTTTGTTGGCCGACCGCCGATCTATGGTCTCGCCATTGATGGAAAGAACGGGGCGAAAGCCGTACTGAGAGGATTGTTAGCAGACTTGTGGCAGAATATGAGCTTGGCGGGAATCTGTACGGTCGCCGAGTGCACTCCGGACAGGATCAGGAAGATTCAATATCCTGGGGATAGCAAAGCGACGTCGTGATACAAGAAATAACTGTCGTGGCGGCCGAATGGCTGTGCAGTTGAACGATCTAGTTTTATTATTCAGAAGCAACAAAAGATCCGTAACCTGAAGATGATATGATCCACTGGCTGGGACTTGATTAGTATTCCGGGGTAAAGAAGCCGGAGGAAGGCGATGTGGAGCCCGAGCAGCCAGGCACTCAGGCACTAAGGCAGTGCGGCAGCGAGGCAGCGAGTGGCAATGGAAATCCGATCGAAGCCGGGAATCACATGCTTCCCCCTAAACCAGTTGATCTACACGCTTGTTGTCTGCCAGTCAGGAACCCTCCACTGACGCAACCCTTGGCTGGCTGAAGTCGAGAACATCCCCCTTGGTGCCTGTCTTATCTATCAACCAAATGTGCCAACGCAACTAATCTGGCACTAGAAATCGGTCTGCTCATGGCTGCAAATTGCTATTATCTCGATGCGACTCACAACTCTCGCTCAACTCTGTACTTCACCACCTCGGAATGTCTCGACTTTGGGGCTTCGTACCCCTGCTAAGGCGAGCTGATCCTGGGCCTCGACCCGACGGGGATGTGGATGTGACCCATCATGACGGTGCTAGTCATGTACCCGCGACTTCGGGCATGACCCTGCTTCCGCGACCAGTTGCCTCTGTGGTATCATTTCTCACGCAATCTACGTCGCTCTCGCTGCGCGTGGGTTCCTTTTTTGGTGGGGTTGCCATCGATGGAGCCAGAGTCACGACATTGACGGGGCTGGAGCTCAGTAGAGCGATCATCGAAGGGGTGTTAACGAGGGCCGGGCGTGACGTTGCCATCCGAAGTAGCGAACATGGCAAGGCAGAGGCTGAATCCTTGCTTGAGAGAAGTGTATGCAGAACATTAAATTGACGCCTTTTGAGAATTCTCAATGCTAATTGCAAAATAGCTCGCTGCTCTGCACACGACGGTCACGTCTGCATCGTTCTTTGCAGCTGCCACGTTCCACATGTCGTCTACGACTCTCTCTTCTGCCACCCATATGTCCCAAGCCCTCTTGTCCAGTCTCGATGCCACTCTAGGCTCGACGGAATCTTCCCGAGCGATCGCGGCAATCATCACCCTGATTCGACGGGAGTTCCATAGCCCGAGCATTGATGCTGGTACAGAAAAAGTCGGTGTTGGTGACCTCTTGGTTGGAACTGTAGGCTTTGCCATGCTCCAACGCTGGGGACGTCAAAGTACCGAAAGACACATCCATGCCAATGGCGGGGATGAGACTATCTGGGATGTGGTCATTCTAGACAACGGATTGCGAGCAGATGTGGTTGGGTCTCACCAGCTTGAGCCAGCAAGCCATCCACGTAATGACTTGGGCGAAGAGGCCAAGCGCTCCTCATTCCTATCACCTGGACAAGATGAAGACGCCTTCGATGCTGTGCAGCGTCCAAGAAGCGTGGCTGATTCGACGGAGCGGCCTTTCCTGACGCTACCTCCGGGAGACCAGAGCGATGTCTCGGACGAAGACATCCGTTTGTACATAATGAGCCAGCTCCCCCGCGGCTGCAGAGCTTCGATCAAAACCGACTTGGTAACAGCCCGCACTATCACCGTTGATGTATTCGATGATGACACTGCCGAAATCGCCCCTCCGCCCGGTACGATGATGATTGAAGAAAGATTTCATGATGATCATACTCTAAGCACAACCTCGGGCCGACAACAGCTTCCCAAGCATACAGTTGTGTTCAGAACGGCATTCAATAAGTCACAAAGCGCAGATGTCTCCAGTCTAGGTGGCCTAGGTTCTGAGCTGAATGCGTCGAGTTCTTCGACTACGCCTCGAGCACACGGCAACACCGAACCATCAATAGATGCTGAACCAAAAATAATCAATGACAGCCATCACAACATAACGAGCAGCCAATCTCCCTCAGGTGGCACTCTTTCTCCCACAAGAAAGCCGAAACATCCCGCGCACAAACGCAACAGTATTTCATCAGGTCCAAGCTCACCGACTACTTCTGGGGATCGAACAGCAAAAGCCGCTAAGCTCAATTCTGAGAATGGAACCTACCGTATCTCAAACAATTCGGAAACAAGCCCAAAAAACGCTTTTGGAAAAGGTTCACTATCAAGGTTTGCGCAAAAGGTCAAGCCAACCAGCGTGGAGAAGAACGAATCTGCCAGGCGACCCTTATCCAAATCACCCGCGGAAAACCCCAGCGTACAGGCTTTTTCAACGGGCTCTAGTCAGCAAAGCAAGAACCCCAAGGTCCCAATCCCCGAAAGGAAATCTTCAGCTCGAGGATCCGACTCGAAGTTTGGTTCCGGGGGAAACCCGCAGAACAAATTATCAGCTGCTAAGCCTACATCTATAGCCAATCGAGGCTTGCAAAGATCACCACCATCACAGAGCTCTGGGCTGGGTCTTTCCTCTTCGCCAACCGCGCGCCGCGACAATGCACGAGGTGCGAAGGGTGGGAGAAACTCTGGAACAGAGTATTATTCTGTTTACGAGAAGAACAAAGAGTCTTTTGTCACTCAAACCGATGCCTATTCTCTTCGGTCAATGGGCGCTCGTTCGAAATCACCGGCCACAATGAGAGCTCATGTCCGCAGTAGTAGCTCAATGTCTTTGACAAGGTCCGAAAACGAGATGACTCTATCAGTCAATGGTGATAGCCGGCCGGGCTCTTCTTATAGGCACGAAAGATCTAATTCATATTCTCCCGGTTTATATTCATTGGCCACAGCGGGATCGGAGACCTCTTTGATACTTGCCCATCGCTCGCGCAAAAGCACGTATGATGATATCACAACCATCCAAGCGTTGAACCGGGATGGAATGGTCCCGGGTATCTTTCCTCAAAAGCATTTTGTGCAGAATATCCGACGCTTCTGTCGCTTCTCGTCGGCATCTTATGGGTCTAATGCTCTCAAGGTCATGGGAGTTCCGCGAGCGCCCAATGCCCTTCCTTACCAAGAGTCACATAGCCAAGAGCACGCCGATTTCTCGGACCATACAGGACTGCCAGCTTCTACAATTCTTCTTTCATCATTTGTTGACACTGCCGGTGGGACAAACGCTGCTGGAGAGACCGACAGTGGCTACCCTCTTGTTCATTACCTCTTTCTGGATCATGAATCGAAGGCTGTTGTTCTAACTTTAAGAGGAACATGGGGATTTGAAGACGTCCTCACTGATATGACCTGTGATTACGATGACCTTATGTGGCAAGGGAAAAGCTGGTCGGTCCACAAGGGCATGCATGCCTCTGCCCAGCGTCTTCTGATGGGTGGGGGAGGAAAGGTCATGATCACCATAAGGGCAGCCTTGGAAGAATTCCCGGAGTACGGTGTGGTGTTTTGTGGCCATTCCTTAGGCGGAGGAGTCGCCGCGCTTCTGGCGACGATGATCTCAGAACCCAATAACGAAGAACCCGGGACCTCATTCATGACTGCTTCTCAGCACTCCAGCACGAAGCGATTGCTCCTGACAGAGAACAGCGAGAAAACCAGCCACGCAGCCTACTACCTCCCTTCAGGGCGCCCCATACATGTATACGCCTATGGTCCACCTGCGACCATGTCCCCTTTCCTTCGCCGTGCAACCCGCGGGCTGATTACGACAGTCGTGAATGGTCAGGATGTGGTACCGAGTCTGTCTTTGGGCATCTTGCATGACATGCATACCGTGTCTGTGGCATTCAAGGACGACACTTCTGGTGCCAGATCACACGTGCGCGGTCGCTTTTGGGATGATATACGACAGAGTATCCTCAACAAGTTCTATGTGAACGAACCGCCTATGCTTTTAAATGCTGGCGATGGTCTTGGTGAAGATGTCTGGGCATGGCGAACTCTGAAGATGCTCCGGGAAGAGATGATTGCGCCGAAGCTGATGCCTCCCGGAGAGGTCTTTGTAGTTGAGACGATGCGTGTTCTACAGCGAAACGCATTCACATCGGACATGAGTCAAGACGGGCACCCACAACTCGGACGCCCGGCAACGCGAGTACAGCTCAAGTTCATTCGGGATGTTGAGTCCTTTTTTGGAGAGCTGAGATTCGGTTCCGGCATGTTCAGTGACCACAATCCGGCAAGATATGAGGCGAGTCTCGCCGCTCTTGCACGGGGCATTTTGGATGATTAACGAGCTATGAGTTTATATACTTTCTTTGGATACCGGGAAATGACAGCTTTGGATTTGAACATAGACAATCTTTTGGTATTTCATTATAATATCATTGCATCATTTTGGATACACACAATGAACTGAGGTCAAGAACCTGACTTTGCATTTAGTTGGACCCATTGGATTTCTTGTTATTCGACGATAAGCATATGTCGACCGCATTCAACGGAGATCGGTCGAGGAATTCGAATGCACCTTGGTTGGACAGCGTTTCCAGTATCTTCAACAAAGCTAGATTCCCCAGAACCGCAATTCCTCAAACAGCCAGGATCAACAAACGTGAGATCACTTATCCCAATTTCCGTTCCCCGGCAACCTCGTAGGTCAACCCAGCTGGGTTCTGCCACATCACAGATAGGGTAATTTCGGTTTCCCATGGCAGGAAGGCCGGAAGGCCTTGATGGTCGGGATCTCGTCGCAAAAGTGGCATGGTCATGAAGCACTGGCGGTGACAAGGCGCTTGAACCGTATGTGCGGTTCTATCAAAACCCATCCACCTGCGGGATTGCGCGGACCGGCAGCGACACTGGCAATCGTGTCTGCCGAAGACATCCCGTCATCTTGAAGAATTTTAGACATAGGGATTAATTCTCAATTGTGCGGTGGCTCCTTTTTCAATCCATCGATATTCTTTCGTTTCCTCTCCTCGATTCGAACCTCCAGGTCTTTCATTTGCTTCTCCACGAGACCCTTCTTAGCTGCCAATTCCTCCCGCGTGTTCCGTAGCGCCGAGATGCGCTCGTCGATTGAAACCTCTCGTGCCTTTTGAGCTGCCTAGAATGAGAATAATATGTAAGCCACCTATCTTTGCCCAACTCCAAACACCCTCGTAGCAACATACCTGGGTAACTTCTTGTCCAGATTTGAGACCGGCGCCGTAAAGCGTTCCAGCAATGGTGATCGACGTCACAGCCGCGGTCAAAACAAGGCGCTTAGCTTTGAAATTCGACGCCATGATCGCTGGCAAGACAGGTGTCCTCCGCAGTGAATTCGTCCAAAGAAACCGTCACCAAGAACCGCAGCTCTTCCGAGAAGGACGCTGTCAATATCCGAATCCCCGGGAATCTCATTGGCCAGTCTCACCAAACTGCCCATCCACACCGCCTGCCACATACAGTGATAGATTGATGCATTGAGCGATCCACATGATCGGGCGGGCGCGTCGCGTTTCCGCGTTGATATCACTTCTGCGAACGAGATCCCAGCTGTCAAAGGTCCCCCCGGCGCACTGCAATGGGCCGCTCGTGCCTGATCAAGCAACTATGTCCTCTTCAACTTCGATACCGCGCCGTCGACCACGAAGCGACGATGACGATGACGGCGACAGCGACGACACATCCTCGGTGTCAACGAGAAACCCCACGCCCGCTTCTCATGCCTCGAGTAACAAACGCATCCGATTAAAAGCCGCCCAGGACAATAATGACGAGGACGACGATACAGGAGATAGCACCAGCCAGGAGGACTCGGATGGTGATGCCCCTGCGGAGAATTCTTTGAACCCTGCGTCGCGGGACAAAGGGAGGAATACGGCCGACACAGGCGCGCAGGAGAATGACGACGAGGACGACGAGGATGCCGATGAAGATGGCAGTCAAGAGAACTCTGGCGATGAATCCTCGGCAGAACGTTCTTCGAGCGGACTTCAGAAGACTCAGGATGCGGGGAGCGCTGGGACGCAAAACCAAGCAGGCGATGGCGATGGAAATGGAGCGAAGGATGCCTACAAGCCGGGTGCTATTGTGCGGATCAAGGTTACCGACTTCGTTACCTACACGTCTGCCGAGTTCTTCCCCGGTCCGAAGTTGAACATGGTGATTGGGCCGAACGGGACGGGGAAGAGTACGCTCGTCTGTGCGATATGTCTGGGACTGGGCTGGGGACCACAGGTATGAGGACACATGGTTTTGCATTTTCTGCTGTTATATCCTGCAGATTTATTCCATTCAATCCGGGTACTGACATTACTTCCCGTCTACAGCATCTAGGCCGAGCGAAAGATCCCGGCGAATTCGTCAAGCACGGCTGCAGAGAGGCCACGATTGAGATAGAGCTCGCAGGAGGACCGAAACATCGGCGGAACCCGGTTGTATCTCGGACGATTAAACGCGAAGGCAATAAGAGTACTTTCATGTTGAACGGAAAGCAGGCATCTCGCTCCCAGGTGCTGAAGCTCGCTCAGTCGTTTGCCATTCAAATCGACAACTTGTGTCAGTTCCTTCCACAAGACAAAGTTAGCGAGTTTGCCGCCTTGACGCCAATTGAGCTGCTCTACTCGACGCAAAGGGCCGCTGCCGGACCAGAAATGATCGAATGGCACGATAATCTGAAAACCCTGAGAACGGAGCAAAAGAAGCTGCAGTCGAACAATCAAGGCGACCGAGACTTACTGGCGAACCTCGAGAATCGACAGGAAATGCAAAGAGCAGATGTCGAGAGAATGCGAGAGCGGGCTCAAATCAAGAGAAAAATCGAGATGCTGGAGTATATTCGCCCGGTGACGAAATACAAACAGACTCACGCCGATTTCAAGGAGCTGAAGCGGAAGAAGGATAATGTGAGCCGTGAGCTTGATATTCTGAAGTCGGAACTCGAACCCGCATTGCGAGCAGTAAACGCGAAGCAGTCTTATTGTGTGCAACTAGACGGATATATTGACTACAAGAAACGCGGCGTCGAAACAGCCGAAAAGAATGCTTCCGACATTGGCAAAACAATTGAGCAGCACGATGACTCCATGAAAGATCTTAACAACCAGATCAGTGGCGAAAAGAAGCAGGGGACACAGTATAAACAAGAAGCGACCAAAATTCAGCAGACAATCAATAAACTAACTCGCCAGCTGAATGATGAATCTGTCAATTTCGATATCGACTGGTACAACGAGCAGATTGTGGGTTCCGCTTGGTATAAGTACATGTTTTGTCGCTGACTTTTCCAACAGGCTGCCAAACGACGACAAGCAAGAGACCTCGAAGAAAAAGCCCAAGAAATCAAAGAACGCCGCAGGCCTCTATTTGATACGTTCAATGTAAAGAAGGAAGATCTGAAATCAACAGAGCAGCAGCTGCAAGGCTTGGATTCTCAAGCTGGACGGCAGGAAGCAAAGCTCAAGCAAGTCTCGCCTGATTCGTTCAAAGCTTACAAATGGCTACAAGAAAACCAGGACAAGTTTGAACACAAAGTCTTTGGTCCTCCGATTGTCGAGTGCTCCATAAAGGATCCCAAGTATGCCGATGCAGTTGAGTCGCTTCTCCAAAAAACAGACTTTACTGCCTTCACCACGCAGAGTCGGAATGATTTCAGGACGCTGCAACGGTCTCTGAACATGGAAATGAGGCTTCATGACATCAGTATCAAGACCAGCTCAGTTCCTCTGGAGAACTTTCAGCCTCCAGTTTCGGGCGAGGAAATCCAAAAAATGGGGTTTGATGGCTGGGCAAAGGACTTCCTCAATGGCCCCGACCCTATACTATCAGTCCTATGCAGTGAAAATCGGCTACATCAAACACCAGTCACCCTTCGCGATATCTCGGATGAAGAATTCAGCCGAATGGAAAACGGATCGATCAGCTCTTGGGTGGCCGGGAAACAGAGCTATCAAGTCTCCAGGCGACGGGAATATGGTCCCAGCGCCACCTCCACCCGTGTGCGACAAGTCAGACCGGCAAGAGTTTGGACCTCTCAGCCCGTAGACACTATGGCGAAGCAAGACTTGATCCAGGCCGTGTCAGCTCTCAAAGAAGAACTACGGGATTTGCAGCAACGAATGGAAACCGAGAAGGCCAATCTGACGGAGATGGGCCAGAGTCATGGAAAGTGCGAAGAGGAAAGGGTGAGGGGAATTCCAAACCCCAGCGACTAGCTTATGCGCTAACTCTTATACAGAGAGAACTGGAACGGGAGAAAGCTGAAAAGCAGACCGCCCTTACACAGCAAAGGGCTATCCCAGAAAAGATCCGTATGCATTTCTTTCTGGCATATTATCTCACTTGCATACTGACAAATAACAGGTCAGCAAGAAACAAAACGCAGAAACAATGAGAAGTACTGCGCAAATGTCAAGACCAGAGTTCTGGAGCTTCGCCATCAACAGGACGAACTTTCTGTGCAGAAGGCCGAAGCAACTCTCAAATATTCTGTATGTTACTCGAATGTGGTTAACCTGGAGGGGCGCTCGCTAACTCCTGAACAGGAAGCGGTCATTGAACTTCGTGAAGCGCATGAAGAACTCATCAAGCTGGGTGTCCGTCGTGCCGAAGCTGTCTCCGACCTGGAAATTCTCAAGGCTCGTAATAAGGATCACAGCGATAAGCTGGCAGTCAAGACCAACGAGCTAAAGGAGGCTGTGAACGAAGTCAAGACGAAGTCTGAAGAAGTGAGGAAGCTGCACAAAGAGGCAGGGAAGGTGGTTGAAACCTCCGCTACCCAACCCGATCTCGCCGCATTGATGACGACTTTGATTGAACACAGCGTCGACCAGCTTGAGGCGGATATTGATTCGGAGAAGGCACGCTTGGAACTCACTCAGGGTGGTAGCAGCAACATCATCAAAGAGTTCGAGGAACGCGAACGCCAGATCCAGAAAATACGCAGCAAACTGGAAGAATTCCAGACTCAGCTTGCTGACTACGAGCACGCCATCAATGAGATCCGAGGCAAATGGGAGCCTCAGCTCGACGCGTTGGTCAAGAGCATCAGTGACGCCTTCTCCGACTCCTTTGCCCGCATTGGGTGCGCCGGACAAGTCTCACTTGACAAGGCAGAGGACGAGGCAGGCCCAGACAACACATCCGGCGGCAGCAACTTTGACCAGTGGTCAATCCAGATCCACGTCAAATTCCGAGAAAACGAAAACCTTTCTCTGCTCGACTCCCACCGACAATCTGGCGGAGAAAGAGCCGTCAGCACCATCTTCTATCTCATGGCTCTACAATCCCTTTCCGCGTCTCCATTCCGCGTCGTCGACGAGATCAACCAAGGTATGGACCCGAGGAACGAACGCATGGTCCACGGTCGCCTCGTCGACATCGCCTGCGCCAACGGTGGGTACAACGAGGACGGCACCGAGAGCAGCGGAGGCAGCCAATACTTCCTCATCACCCCCAAGCTGCTCAGCGGGCTAGTCTACAAGCCCGGCATGCGGGTTCTCTGTATCTACAGCGGCGAACACATGCCGGCAGAGCACGGCGTTTTGGACGTCGGTGAAGCCGTGCAGCGAATGCGGGCTATCAGAGAATCGGATCAAGGAAAGGGCAAGGGGAGAGCTTTCGACGGTGCTATCTCTCAGGGAGATAGTCGAGTTGATGTGTATGCCTGATGACGTTGAATTTTATGATACCTCTATTATATTTCTTTTTATCTGCTTTCTGCTCTGATTTCCGCTTTCTTTGTGGTTTTGATTCTTAGTCGGATCGGATCTGGTGTTTTGGCCTTTTACTTCTTTTTCTGGTACATAGATACACACATAGACAATTCTGGGATGCAGATACCCTACTGATCATCGGAGTACAACTAGAAATTCTAATATCTACAACGTAACTATAGGCGAAATAACTTCGATCTATAATTTCAACTCGCGTAAATAAAATACAAGATTAAGCCGCTAGCAACCCGATCACATGTGAATCATGATAGAACAACTACAATTTTTTTAAAGAAAAAAAAATCGAAATCAAATCTAACATCCTTAAATCAAACCAGCCAAGCCCTCCAACCAAATCGCACGACCCCTTCCCGTGAACCCTGGAAGCCAAGAACTCACTCCGAACACCCAAGAAAAACCACGCCACTCTTTCCCATTTCCCAGCCTCGCGAACAAATACCAAAATGTCGATTTATTTTATCTATTCCTCCGACTACACTATAATCCAGATTAGATGCAGGCAGGCCCCCACGCCGAGCCGATGACGCATACCTCTGAAAGCCCCGAGTGACAGTAAACTTAAATAAATCAATGTTACAATGCATCGCCGGAGAGGAGCATTGGCATTGGCAATCAAAGTTGGACTAAGGAGATCAGACCATACGAGCGGACTAAGTACTACATCTAGTATCTAGTACCATCTAACTTACTGCGTACATCAACATCTGATAACGTCCACGTGCCACACTGGAATTAAGGATTAGTTAGTTTTCGAGGTAGTAGAAGGATTAGATATCTGCCTAACTGGCTAGGGAGCTAACTAAATAAATGGGTATTTTACTAGCCGTCAAGACAAGGATCACGAGACATCATGGAAACAGAAATAAGTACATGTGAATGTCTAAATATCAGTAAGTAAATAATCCAAGACAAGGTTCATGATCCTTTTCGCATCCCCTGCGTCTGCGTAACTACGCTGTACTAGCTAATGCGAGTAAAATCAACACGTTGGTTCAGTACAACACCGAGTCAGGGACAGATCAGGTCACATGGCATTGACGTGAACTATGGACTGATCATCAAGGCTCCCGGAGGAAGGGAAGGGGAGGGACACGCAAGCCGGAAGGGAAGTGTCTGTAGATCTACTCCATTAGGTTGTCTAGGTTAATACGGCCGAGTGGGGTGGGAATGGCTGGGTAACATGAAGGAAATGAACGTATGGTCATTGAAAACTTAGCCTCTATTTCGAAATACCAAAAATGAAAATATCAAACAAAAGAGTATCAGAAAGAGAGAAGAAAAGGCCGATATTAAAGAAAATATTGTTAGGACGGTTCCTCTTCTTGCTCCAGCATTCAACGCCAATCACCACATGAAAGGAAAAAGAAAGTGCACATGAAGGTCATGTCATGAGCCCTTGATCGAAGGTAGCATCACTAGAACAGGGTAGTGCTGTACACAATGCATCTACCTACTTTCCCTTGCTCCTGCAACGTTCATCTTGCAGAAGGGTAGGCTACTTCAGCCCTGGATGTTTTGATCAGGTAGAAGGGTTCCAAGTGCTGTGTGCCTGGGCTGCAAGAAATTCTCAGCCATCGCATATGAGGAGGGTGAAGAAGGCAAGAGTCCCCTGCTCTCCAAGTCATAAATAACGCCGAGACTATTTTTGAATTAGTATCCTGTTGTTCAACGTCGACTTTCTTGAGATGTTCGTAATATCAGATGTAAAAAGCAATGGACGGATAACATAAAAATCAGTTGAACTCACACCCAAGACCAACAGCCCCTACCAGTAGGTAGGAAGTCATATTCACGATGATCGTGGCGAATGATATCCGTGATGTTGTGAATGCTGCACTCTCGTACAACTGGAATGTCGATGGTCCTATGCGAATCAAGCGGCGGTAGAATAGTGCAATATTGGATCAAGAGCTTGCCCCTGGGGTGGTTTTGCTCACACTGGGTCATGCTTACCCGGACCGAAAAATGGCCTTCAATTCGAATATAAAGAGATGCATGGAGTCCGCAGTCAGTTCTTGAGTGGAATGGAGTGCCAGGGGAAGTGAGGGTCAGTCGTATAGCTTCAACCTCCCATGTGTTGTCAAAGTATTCCGGGTGATAGGGTTGAAACCTTGGTTTGGTCGGGGGGTTAGGGGTGCTACGCCGGCGTCTGTTGCCCCTGAAATGGCTGTCGCGATACTGAGACCAGACTTTGTGCATCTTGCAAGCTGGCGGGCGGCTAGTAGGGTGGTTGACAGGAGGCTCAGAAGGTGTATTGTATTGGGAGTTGTCAGGGATGCTTGATGTATGGAATTCTGAGGCCTGAGAAGAATGATTCTTCATGATTCTTATATACCAGTCTCTGTGGGTTGGATATCAAATTCATCAGGACTCATATTGGCGTATGCTTTGTCCTTCTGTTCTCTTTGAGTGCGAGATATCAAAGTGAACTGAGTTCCTGTTGGTAGGTTATATTTGATCTGTTAGCTCCCAGAGTCAAGGCAAAAGTTAAAGTGCATTGTTCAATGTCTTGGGCGATGCAAGTAGCTGGTGGTTATCGAAACAAGCATCTCAATGGTTTCTTTGAAGACATGTGTGCCGGTGTTGAAAGAGACGTGAATTATTCGCTCCGTCTTTGATGGCCCATCACAATTCTCATTGAAAACTGATACCACCTCAGAGCGGAAGTAGAGGCCTCAATCCAAGCATAGGCAGCCTTCAGTACTGCAAAACCCAGGGGCGGTTCAATTCCTTGTTGGGCTGGGGAATCATCAGTTGTCTTCTGGCAAACTCAATTCCAGTTCTTTCTGCAACTGAGCCCTGATTCACAGCAGTCGTTTCACCATATCTTTGGATGTTCCGACAGGACTAGCCAGATGGATCATATTCTCCTAGGCCAGCTGGCAGAGCCACTTCTTCTGAGTATCTCTCGGGTTTGTCTTAGGAAAGGGCGAGTTTAATTGGGTAAAGGATTGAGTGCCCGTGTGAAACAACGTCCCAGGCTTCGTAACTTTACGATCAGCTCAAGAACGGAATAGGTTGAAGCAGTATATTTCTGGAAGGCAACATATGCGGACATGATTTCTGGGTTTTCGAGCTCGTCATAGCGCCATATGCAAGGTCTCGGTATAGATTTGTCCTAGAGCAAGCTATGCCTGAGACAGAAAGCTGTTAGCACTGATGTTGCCAGAGAACAGGCAAGGACTTAATCGATATCCTCATGATGTCGCAGGAGTCGGTTGCACCTCATTGATACTTCTTTAGCCTTCGTTTGTTCGTGACATCCACTTTATGATGCTAGTCGATGGCGATCGTGATGAAGGACCCTAGCATTGTGAAACGAGGATGGCAGGAGTTGATGTCAAAAACAGAAGTTGCTACAGCAAATTCCCGTGATGAAGATAAGCCATGTAGAGCCTAAGGCCACGAGAACTTCTTCGCGGAGTGGAGGAGGGAAAGTCGCATCTCCCTGGATTCAATCCGGAAGTACATCGCTCCTGGCACCAACCAATTTGATTCAGTAAGTAGATATCAAAAGAAATCAAAGATAATCCATGCCATTGTTCAGTAAATTGCTCACATTCTAGTTACGTCTATTCAATGCTTCGTTACTTTTCATTCTACTTGATTGTGCGATCACTCCTAGCAACAAGCACAAGAAAGGCTAGCCTCAGATATCAACCCTGGTCATTAGCCATGAGTGAATGGGTGAGAAACGACAAAATGTAATTTAGGAAGCTACAAGCTGGATTCCTACGGAACAGATTATCCAACAGGTATGTCTCTTGACCTTACCAGACAAACTACGATGGAAGTCGACGGTAACTTGGTTGATTGGGATACGAATGATTCTACGCTGGCTTCCTGCATATCAGCCAGGTTACGGATACAATGAAGCAGTTGACTCTCCAATATCCCAGCAATCAAGTACCTCCTCAATTGCTAACTATACTCGGAGACCCCCGCAGAACCATCACGATTATCGGCATTTGCTTTCATTCAGAAATCATCCATTCCACATCCATACACCCAGAATCTGACGAGCAAGCCGCCGTATCCCAAGCCGCCGACAAGCCTCACACCGGCCGAAAGAGGGGCGTGGGTGTGGCACAGCCCGCGACAGCAGATCAATGGCAAAAATGCCTCATCCGATCCAGGAAACAGAACGAGGAGAGGAGCTACACTGCTCCGTCGACAGGGCAAAGGCAGTATGTCCGTCTTCCCTGAAAGATGGCAGCGTTCCGCAAAAGCAGCGAGAGCAGCGGCCTCGATCTGGTTAGGCGCGCCTGCGATGGCAGTCGATGGCAGGCCAGAAGGCAGGCAGAGCAAACGCAGCTGAAAGGCCGAGCGAGCAAAACAAGATGATTACGGATTCGAACGAGTCACACCACACGACCCGAGCCGCAGGATTGTCAGTGCGAGCGAAGGTTGCATGTCTGTGCTCGCCGACGACTTGATATCCCACACGCTCATAATAATATCGTTCATTATTATGCCTCACGGACCGGGTCTCGTCCCAACTATCGAGCAGACAGAGTTCCCTAGTTCTACGTGTAGCGTCTCCCCCCCCCCCTTTTTTTCCCTGGCGATATCCTGTTTGCCCGTCACATGTTAGACAGAGGATGATCCAGACGTTCGGAGACGAAACGCAAACAGGAATAAGTCCCAAACGCCTACGACGGAGTATGGGCGAAAAGGCGAAGGTGTGACAAGAGCTGCGACCCATGCATATGGGGCTGATCTAACCGAGTAACAGGCTACAGTAACAGCGACCAAACCTACAGGGCCTCGCGCATGGCAGGATCGGACTCGACCTACCCGACGTGACCTATGGAGGAGTGAGTCTAGGACAGAAGAACGGGCCTTCTCTGGCTCCCCTCTTTTCCTCGAAGATCATCCGGTTCCTTCGCATCCCAGTGGATGGGCAAGGCTGGCGCTTGCGATCGCACGGGATTTCCCCTCCGTGCCTGAGGCGTCGGACGATGGCCGAATTTGCATATTTTTGCTCACTACGGAGTACTCCTATGGGAATATAATATTTACTACGTACGCCCCTACGTATGCAGCGACAAACCCACGAAACCGTGGTCCAAAAGATGATCACCCCTGATGATTGGTGATCTGGCCCCCTCCGGCCCTCTCGTCGTTGATTGTCCCTCCTGGTGATCGGGCATTTCCGTTGCGGATCATCCACGAGAGGCGCATGGCCGATTCTCTCGGAGTTTTTCGAGGCCAATGAAAGCGGAGCGCCCGGCGATTGGCGATGTTGGGCGTCGACCAACGATGGCCACCGCAACTTCTCGCTTGCAGCATTAATCCCGATTAATTTATTCTCCTGGCCACGACATCCGCTGTAATCTTCTGCTGATTTGGCTCTCGGGCTTATTCGTGCATCTCTCGTTAGATCGACAGAGCCTTCGCCTCGATCGGTGTGCGGGGTATCGCCTTCATTGGTGCAATATTTGCGACCACCGTTGATACTCGGTGCATCCTGAGAATTCCGCATTGCCTCAGCCTGATATGATGACTATGATTTCATGATAGCTTCCTCTTCGCCAACTGCAGAGGAGCAGGACGAAGTGAGTGGAGAGGGGACCAACTAGTATTAGGTTTTTTTTCCCTCTCTTCTCGGCCGCATACCTTCGAACCACCGGTCAGCGGTGGGGATTTCTTCTCGACCGACTCGACTCGTTCATATTAATTTTCGTCGTCGTGTCCCATTCCCACACCCTCCCAAGAAAAGACCACCCATGATCGCCCCCAAACGCAACTCAAACGGGCAGTAGTCCCTTCTGTATGGTAAATCATAAAATCATTTTTTAGAAAAATAAATGAAAAAGGCCGTGGCATCGTGGCCAAACGCCCGCCTGCACCATCCCGGACAGCGTATCACAAACTCACGGCCTGCGGATGATCTGTCATGGCATGCGTAAGGGACTACGCCGTACGGACGGACTTGGCTGTTAGTCCATGTCTAGGGGCGGCCGCCGTTCGCTTTGCATCAGGGATGTTATGGCCTTTGGGACGGACCGGTCAGGATGGGGCAATCGCTCGAGTATCGGGGGTAGGTAGATGCATGCACATGCCCCCAGTCCCAGTCCCAGTCCTAGTTCTCCGTCCGTACGTACGGACTCCCTACGGAGTCAAGACTCAAGCCATCGTCGCAAATTGGCTGACGGCGACGGGATGGGCTGGGGTGGGTTCCCTAATGCCATGACGGACCCGGGGCCCGTCACTCTTCATTTCCAGCGCCGTGCTGAAGTCCAGTTCAGTCCCGGTTGCCCGTCGGAGATGAAGACGCTGATAGGATGAGCCAGACCAGGTGATATGCATTCGATGCGGGCGATAGGAACCGCTTTTTAGGCCCGGAGGGGGATGCGAGAAAGCAGGTGACTTGTGTCGTGGCTAGCTAGCTTCTTACGCCGGGCAGGGCAGGGCAGTGAGGTAGGTCTCGAACTTGTTCCCCCCTCGTCGACATGTATGTATGACGATGGACTATGCAGTGTGCATCAAGAGAAGAAAGAGGGAACGAAGGAGTCTTAGCTAACCCGGGCAGCCCCGGAATGGGTCCAGTTGGGGGAGATTTTTCTTTTTTTCTTTTTTTTTCTGACAAGAGGTGATGACGGATTGTGATGACACCCTAACGATCCTGATCTCGTGTCTAATTCTCCGTGCTCCGTATGTCTAGTGCCTTATTGAGATAAAAGGAAGGATGAGAAGGGCGATCATCATATCGTCACTTCGAAGGATGCTCGAACGACAACAACCAACGTTGAACCCAACCAAGCCCACTTAGCGAGGCAGACAGAACTGGGAATATGGAGTCGAGTCTTGAGAGAAGCACCCACCGGTCAGTCAAGTCACCGGGCCTAATTTCTCTCCAGGCCCAATTCCATCTGTCCGTTTGTCCGCACGGCGTGCGTGCATCTCCCATGCTGATGGGATGGACGGACCATGGCAATGCATGCAATTCACCACCAATGGATCAGATCATATGGAGTACAGAAAGTTTGCACCAGCCCAGACTATCGTATGTACAAACACATCATCCTTATTCTCCGTACTCCCGACAACACGGACCCTGCATTGCTGCAGGCGAAGAGATCATTTTTCTTGTTTGGATGCACTGGATATATCCGTCTCTAGCCGCCGTTTGTAGTGTAGCCTCAGGATTGCTGCCCAAGATATCCGGCGGCTATGATGCATCTGACTAAGAGTTCTGAGGGGGTTTACTGTAGTTATCGAGTAATTGTTATGATATCTGATTATGATTATCTGTTAATTTATTCAGTGTTAATAGACATCGAGTAAGTCTGTCTACATCCTTGTATTTGTAGACAATATATATCACAGTTACTTGTGTATATATATCCGCATCCAGCAATAAACCTGCACAATACAGCCTCGAATACGACAACTCCATCCCACACCTGTAATCTGCACTCCCATCCAGCTGAAAAATCCCATGCAGCCGCATCCTGAGTGGAAGGCCTAAACCACGATCCTCCCGGCTGAAACAGTACATGCGCATCTCGTCACATCATGCACATCCCCAGCAAGCATGACCGATTACTCGACTCTGACTAAAGGTATGGATCCTCGGCAATTGGGGGCTAGGCAGGCTTGAGCGCCGTTTGAGTTAGCGCCGGTGCTCTCGCTCCATCCTTTGCCAATTACCATTCACAGGACGTTTTTTTTTTTTTTTCTCTTTACGCTTACGCCTACGCCTCCTGTGGTCTCTGATAGGATCTCCAATCGGACGGGTGTTGGCGCTGGTACTGGCGCTGGTGCTGATGCAGCTGCATGCAAGATGGAGGATCAGTTGCAACGAGCGATGGATTCTGTTTGGTCCATATCATCCGATGAAGGAGACAAGTCTTGTGATGGATAGATGTTTTCGTTCCTGCTTGCTTTAGCAGGGTAGCTCTGTAGGTGATTAGGTACGCCACGTCACAACGCCGTAAGGTGGTGGGATGCGATGGGATGGGTGTGTGTGTGTGGTGCATGGTATTGCAGTTGCAGAGAAGCGAGTCGCTTAAACCTCTCCAGTAGGAGAGATTCCTACGCATCCTTCGTATAGGAAGGATCCTCATGAAGATCCTGATCTCCCCGTAGGCCGTGTGGAATGCGTGCAGGCGACCAAGTTCGGGACTGCGTTTCTATTTTTGCTGCGTATGGTTGGACTATGGGAACTGAATGCGTTCGCTGGGCTCCGTGGTATCCGGTGAAGGTTGATACTAGAATAGTAGCCAGATAAACTCGGTCGTAATAGTATCCAGTGCGACTCAGACACGATGAGGCAACTGTCTCAGGCAGGTCTCATGTCCGAACCAAACTCCAAACCGATCGGTTCCCCAAACCAAACCAAACCAACAAACAGCGCGTCCACGGCTCATCCTGCTTAGGCATGGCTGACTGAGACAACAGACTTTGATGGACAGTCCATCATCCTAAACCAAATTGCCGACCATCGCCAGTGGCAGTCGTCAACGGAGTCCAGATTCGACGCTAAGCCAAGTCACCACTCGCGAACGAAAAAAAACAAAATGGCCCAAAAAAAAAAGAAAAAGAAAAAAGAAAAGAAAATGGTCCGCAAGTCCCGTGTCGATCCTTTTGCCAACCGGTGGAACCTTTCCTCGGGTCGTCTGGCCTTCTCGTTGCAGTAACCAACTTACTAAGTCTTCGACGAGACTCAGGGGTGGGGGAGGCTAACCAGTGAGCCAAACCGCATGGCGTTACGGCGGGCTTGGGATCCGACCGAACCTCGGTCACAAACCTTTTTCTGGAGAAGTTCTGGGTCCAGCGCGGCGCATCACTAAGCCTCGTAGGGTAAGGCCTCGCCTGCCACGCCGGAGATCTTCGTGTCGGTGCTTTTGGCCGCTTTACCGGCTTCGGTAGTCGATACGATTGTGGATGGGCTTGTTTTTTTTGGTTAATTTTATCTATTTTAGATTTTATTTTATTTTTAAATGCCTGTACTCCGTAGTCCGTACGGAGTATCTCCTACTACGTACTCCTACGTAGATATCCAATGTTGAGTTTAAGGACTAAGTTCTACGAAAGAACAAAGTATCCTTCGTCTGGCCTGTCTCGGACCTACGGAAGATTCTTACGGAGACTCCTTCCGACTCCTTCCAGTCCCCAACTTCCTCCGTAATTAGGCACTCCGTAGTTGGTCACGGATAGATGATGACGCCGTCCGTCACTAAAATAACCGCCCCGTAACGCCAATACGCTTCAACTCCGCCACAGCCCAGCGAACAGGGACCGACGGGGGAGAGCGAAGAAGCTATGGCCACGATGTGGTTGTCCTGGCCAGTCATACTCCGGCAGTACGGAGTAGTAAATGCTGAATGGCGATAGTAATAACATCTCAACATCAAATCCTCGTCCCTCACTTGCCTCGCTCCTCCGCAGTAGACTTAGGTAGGTTTCTTTTTTCGCCTCTTTGTCCTCCAATAATGTCTGATTGATCATCGTCGCAAGGCTCTTACGCACCACCCACATAGTGATATGATATCAACAAGGAAGCGAATCCTACCTATCGTGGACCCCCGGTCTGGAAAGCCCGCCAAAAGGGCTTTTACCGTGTAGACTAGTTGGGAGATTAAAATGAACAGTCCAGACAAGACGACTACCAAGTCGTCCCTGGTTCCGTTCTAGCCACATCATAATGTAGTCAGAATTTAACTTTGATTGACGTGTCGTATCATTATATCCGTTTTGGGCCCGAGGATAGAGCTGTGCCTGTTTTTTCATACCTGGAGGAACATCTCCGTTAGCCCCTCGTCGCGCTTATTGGATACCGTCTCGCGAGATGTGTCTTTTTTTCTCCGGATACTTCCAGCATGACCCGCAGAACCTACGCTCATTTCTACGGAATATGTATATTATCGTCATGATGAGGTTGAAAAGTTGAGTTGAGCTGAGGTGACCAAGATGGTCGGTCATCTGCATAGTTAGGCGCCGAGGATTTTCTTTTTTTCTTACTTTTTCTTTTTCTCGTTTTTGCGTTTCGATATTCCCTGGTGATCGACGCCCGTCAATGTAACTGTAGGATTCTGGATTGCACTACAGACCGACCCCTACGACCGGGAATCAAACGATCCCACGCTGAATAAGAAACCCGCAGAAAAAAGAAAACGACACGGAATCCATGCCCATTATTATTGGCATACAGCGGGTATTGCACCATGAGAGCGATCCCCAGGACCCACATCTGCTGAGTCGGAAATAACTAGCGACTGAGGATCAGGACAGGAGGAAGAGGTGGGCCGTGACAGACAGACAGGAGCAATCATCATCATGGCCCATCTTACTAAGAGTCATCGGCCAGGATGCTGCTCCGTCAGATCTGAGGCGAATTGAAGATGACAAGAAGACGAAGTGGCAAGACAAGTGGACTACATGGCGATGCACTGGGCTCTGTGCATTGCGCCGCCACCCCCGGAGGATACGGAGTGCATGTGGTAGGTACAACACTAGGCGGTAGGTACATATCTAGTTCTCTTAGGGGAGGCTGTTGAGTTCGATCCGGCCGATGGGCTCCCTCCCCGGTTGAAAATCGGAATTGGATCTGGGTGAGTACTGCGTATGTGCCTGTGCCTAGGTATGCGCTGACTTGCTCCACCGGACGTGGGATGGGGGGAGACTGGAGAGTTGCATTGGCCCGGTGCCCGAGTCTGAACCTGCCTGTGCCCTGAATTCCAAGGAACGAAAAAGCTCCGGCCAACTTTCGACCTCATTATACAGCTTAGGAATATAGATCAAGGGGAGAGAGGGGCACGGATAGAGATCCCGGATGCTACTCGATTTAGAAAACTCCAAAATAGCCTCTGTCGTCATCCGCCACAGCAGACAAGGAAAAGGGTGAACGTGCTTAGCCCATCTATCCCAAACTATCGTCTGATAATGCCGGACATGACAACCAGATCGGTAGGACGATTGGCAACGGGCAAGGGAGCCAGCGTTTCCGTCGGGGCAGTACCGCCGCGCCGAAACGGATTATCAAGTGATGACTGATGGGCCTCTGACTCTCAAAACCCGGCTTTTGGTCCTTTCGGGCTTTCAACCTGTGGCCTGTGGGTAATCTAGGTTTTAATCTACTGATGGGGCTCAGGAAATAGAGCGGAGATCCTTGAGTTGGGAACTGGGACTTGACATCGGCTACGGTCAGAAATGTCATGACTCGGCATTCGGGCTAACTCTGATTTTTTGATTTTCTGGTGATTTTCCCACTGGGGGGGACCCAATGGCGAGTCCTTAGTGGCCGCGCGCGTTCGTCCTACGAGAGGTTAACGGTGACTCCGAAATTGATCTCGGACGCTAGCATGGGGGTTAGGCTTCTTTCGGTCGGCGCTGCGGGGGCAAAAGGATAATCTATGTACTACTCGTCCCTTGTCCCTTGTCCTCGGTCTTGACTCTTTTCCTAGTCCTTTGTGAGTGGTGCGCTGGTCCCCTCTCTTGCTCCCTCCATGTGGGAAACTCATCTCGTTAACTCGAGATTGAGCACTTTGCTTTTCCGCGCGGAAGTGACTTCGGAACGAGGCAGAATAAGCAATCGTCTCAACTCTCTAGTACCTACTGAGTGGTGGTCAACTAGCTTACTGCTGCTTACAAGAGCGAAACCACCAAAATTACAATAACATCGATTACTATGCAGGTAACAATAAATGATCGGCCGGAAGGAGAGGCAAATCCTAGAGAATCAACCAAGCAGCTTTCTCCCCCTCCTTCCCTGTAATACGAATTCTGGCAAAAGAAATAAAATCCAAAAATCCAACTGGCTGGAGGGCAGATTAGCCATGTGAGAAGTGAGAAATAGCATCATACTTTTGCTTTTACCCTAGTACTGCGTACTACGTAGCAAGTCTGCAGGGGACCAGGATTGGAACTGCGATAGGGCAATTATTTTCCTAGCCCGTAATCCATGCTTGATTGGCGCCATGATGGACAGGACAGCCTTAAGGGGGTGGGAATCAAGACGTCTGAGTCCAGTGGATCTACGTTGTCCGTGTCCGTGTTTAGGTACAATACGGAATACGTATATCACATTTCGGAAGGAGGCTGGGAGTTGGAAATGGGCGGGAGTGCGTTGCAGCCACTGCCACAGGATGGGCTCAGAGAGGGGGACACTGTAACTACGGTATTCATTTCCCGTACCAATACACCAGTGGCCACACCTTTTGGTTTAGTGTTTACGCCCCCCCTTTCCCTCCGCCGGTCTTACGGCTAGTAAGAGACGGGCCTACTCCTAAACAGGCCTGACAGGAAGACGCTAGGTTTAGTGCATCGGCTTTGGTGCCAAACTCGGGAAGGCCCGAACGATGCTGCAGGCGGAGCCGACGTCTGCCACGTGAATTAGCAAGGGTCCAGACTCCAGTTTAGACACTAGGCGGAGGTCTAGTGCCCGATGCGGTTTAGATCGTCTGACGCCCGCTCCAGCAGTTCCCCTTCGCCTAAAACAAAAAGGGGGGCTTTTTCTTTTTCTTTTTTTTCCACCTCCCCCCGTCTGCGACCGCATCACCCTCTCCAAGGCTAGGTTTCCCAGTCTAAACCGAATACGGTACCGCCCTTTTCTCAAGTTTCACCACCAGTCCAAACCCCGGAGGTTAAAGGAAGACAGACACTTGATGAGCGGCTATCTCAGCCCGGCAAAAACAAAAAATAAAAGATTTAATTTCACCCGACGGAGTAAAGGCGTCACAGTCCAAACACATCCCGTCCTCACTAGCGGGTTTAACCCCTGGCTGCCTGGCTGCCTCGACTGATGTTCGTTCCCCACGAACCCACCCCGAAGTTCCTGATGATGATCTGCGCCGACGCTTAACCAACGTGGCGGTCGCCTTGCTCTAGACAAATCGTCTGTCGTTTCAAGTTTTGTTTTATTTCCTCGGTTGGCCTCTGCTCCTTTGCTCGTCCGGAGATATCTCATTCCCAGGACCATGGCGTCAATGATTAGTCTCGCGGAGGAACTACTTACTCCGGACACTCATCCACGGGGCAAACCGAAGCTAAAGTCTAAGATATATTATATTGACTCTAGAGTATAGGCGTAATGCGATCCAGAACCCGACATGATGTCCCTCCCTCCCAATCACAGCGCCCCAATATCTAAGTCCAAGTCCGTCAGGTCCTGACTGCGTCCTGACCTGACTGCGTCCTGACCTGACTGACACCTGTCAAAGAGGCAATTCTGACCCGATCGGCTTTTTTCGCCGCCATTCCGAATTTTTGATCGTCTAGATGTTTTTCTCCCCCCACCCCTTCGCTTCCTTGTTAGAAAGAGAGAGGGAGGGAGGGAAACCCGTAGTTCTCCGGTACTTGATCTGGATTGTCGCACAGAGATGCTCCCGAGGCTTTTTCTGAGTTACATTGTGACATGGGCGGTGACGCCTCCTAGGCCTAGAGGAAGGCACCCAATCTGCAGACGCTGGCGATCCCGCCAGCCAACCGCTCCCATGTGTTTGTCACGCTTCGCTTTGTGCGACGTCGGTTAGTGATACGCAAACGAGTATAGAGGAAAGTAAAACGCGGGCCTGATTTTCTTTTTCTACACTTTTATTTCGTTGAAATGAAAGGAAGTATCTGAGGGGTAGTAAGGGGGAGGAGGAGAAAAAGAAAATCCATCTCAAAAGAAGTAATTCACACGGGAGCTACGAATGACAACCGAACGAACGAATCGATTTGGCGAAATGAATCCTACGGGCAGAAAAAAAAGCAAAGAAAAGTCAAATCCGTAGGGGGAAGGCGGAAAGGCGCTACGATGATCGACTCTTCCCTTCCCCCCTTGTCCGTATTCCCACACCGCGTGGCTGACCCAATCCCAATCCCTTCCAGTCATCCACACCCTCGCATGAATGGGATGGAAGGCAAGAGGCACGGGCGGCAGAAGTTGGTGGCGCCAAGCTGAAACTTGAGGATTTGTTGATCGACGACCGTCAAGCTGACCCAAGAAGCCTAGAGGAAAACCTAAGCTACGCAGAGTCCAGCAACGGGGTAGCGTAACCATTTCTGGGGCTTGGAGGCTGAGCCTGTGACTTTCGTCGTTGGAGATGTTCGAATTCAATACAGGCTGAGTTGCGCTCTCTCCAAAGTCACTTTTAGGCAAAATCCACGATGCCCAGAAACTCAAAATGTGATGTCAGGGTCCCTTTCCCCGTGTTGATCGGTTGCTCTACGTGGTAGTTAGTAGTACCCTGGACTTCAGAAAGTTATCCAATGGAGATAAGGTCGACTTAACCCCGATCGGCAGGCCGAAAAGATGGGCAAAATGCCGGAATAGGCAGGCTGGGTGCTTACACAAGGTTATGGGGGGAGACGGAGAACCATTCCTTGACAGGGTTTATAGGCAATAGTTTTGAAACATTGTCTCTTTTGACACGACCTATCTTTGGTCGGTCGGGGGTCGGGACAATCATCGCTGAGCCGAGGAATATCACCTCGCATTGCGTACGAGGATAGATAGATTGACCTAGAGACCGAGCCTAGCTACGGAGTCGATAATAGTACCGTCGACAAGTCCGCCGACTAGTCAGAGATGCGCCGCTCAGCGTGTCAGTGCTCAGCTGCGCATCCACTTTCTGTGCCCTCGCCTGTTGTTATTTTTAATTACTGCCAGGGGGGAAGGAGGGGAAAAAGGAGCTGAATAATGGTTCCCGGCGCTAAGCGGGTTGCAGTAGTTCACCCGGGACTATTTGGCGGTCAAAGCTGGGACGTTGGAAAGCGTTGGACGATCAGCGCACATCATTGTCAATCTTGATCAAGTTTATCTCGGAATCTTGCCGTAAAGCCCTCAAACACGGAACACACCTTTTCCGCCCGCTCGCCGCTTTGCCCCTTGGTGCTTTGTCATAAATCCCAATCCACGGAATGACCTGTTCATAACATCATTGTGAATTATGAACGATCCCACTCCTCTTGCCGGTCCCCACCTCGCGACCGTGAAAGGCGGCCTTCAAGGACGTAATCCCGTGGAGCTGGAACAGGTTATCCTCCCTTTTAATCGAAAGTCTAGAATTCTGACTTGCCTCGAGTAGAGTAGGTAAGCATCCACGTACGGAGTCCTGCGGATGAGATTATTTGCTTGTTTGGGTGCCTTGACTCGCCAAGCTGGAGGCAAATCGGCACGACAGACAAAGAACGAAGAAAAAAAATTTAAAAATAAAAATAAATGAAATAAACCTGTAAATCGCTGCTGCGAATAATCACCGACCAGCAAGGCAGTGACCTGCTTCGGTGTGACAGTGAAGATGATGCGCTGTAGATCAACATGCTTACCCCTTTTTTGCCGCCAGAGAACAGGAGTTTGTGTCGTATTCGCCGTGCGTGGGTGAGCACCGACCGACCAGAACGTCTATCTGCTTGTCTTTCCCTTTCCAGATACACCTGAGACCACGCAGCAGAATTGACTTTCTCTTCTTTTTCCCTTTTCAGACGGAAAGTTAAGGTACGCCGGGGAGATCCATCTGCCAGGCCCTTTCCTGCGTACTTCTGCCGACTATTATTGACCGAACTAAGCGAGCTGAAAGTTTATCGCCTCGATTACAGTTGATACTATCGCGAAGTCTAAAGGCGGGATTTTCGGTCGCCGCGGACGGACTCGGACTCGAAAAAGAGTCCAGAGTAAGTCACTACCACGTAAAGTCCGTACGCAGTAGGTCAGCAAAGGGGACGACTGGAGACCTCGACAAGACTAGTGGTGTCGTTCCGGAACATAGATTCGTATGCGCCCCATTATTATTCGATAGACGACGACGGACGCCGGAGGTTCCTGGGACTTGCCTCGGAGGCAACCAAGCCATCGTGGGACGGCGACAGGCACAGAGTACGTAAGGGTCGGAGAGAGCCCGTATGGGCTGCCACTTCTGGCGGTGCTCGTCGCCTGTCGGCTCCGTGCGGTTCTGGAATCTCAGTCCTTCCAAGGTCTTTGATCGGTGATCACCCTGCGATCCGAGGATCAGCAAGGCCGAGATAGCGGAACCATCGTGGATCATGCTGACTGGATTCTTCAGGCAACCTGCCGCATTGTTTTATTTTTGTTTCGCCTTTTTGACTTTTCGTCGTTAATGTTATCTGTTTTGATGCGCATTTCTACGGAGTAACCTACGGAGTAGATCTTCTCCTGAGATCCTACGGAGTACTCCGTCTGATCGAGTTTTGCTTTTTTTCGACTGTTTTACCTGATCTGGCCTTTCTGTCGTTTCGGAGGGAATGGTTCTTCCTTCTCGACTCCGTACCGCCTGGGAATGTCTCATTTCCGACCTTTTTTCCACCCCCTTCTCTTTGTAACACTGGCGTCGGTTCCATGGGTCTTGGAGTCTGCCAACCATGCGGTGTCCCACACGTAAAACACGGAGTATAGCGAGTTCGTTCTAGGGTCGAATCCCGATACCGACGGTGCAAAGGGAACGGCCGGAGAAAGAGCACGATGGGGGGGAGGGGACCTCACTATGCCCAAAACTAACGGGACGGAGTCACAACGTGGCCTATGGGCCATGATCCATCATCCTGATCCATCCCATGAACGGCTTCCCGGAATCCAGTTGCCTGGAATATATGAGGCCCAGATTAAAGATCCCGTGGTTGACAATCTACTTTAATATGCGCGAGTCGTGAAGGAAGGAGATGCCCTTCCCGATCCGGTCGGAACCGATGGGGCTCCTGGCCAGAGGGCCGATCTGATTGGCGCCCCGGCAAGCTTCGCTTCCACGAGACACCCGTGGACCGTCGCGGCCGACTTCTCTTGTGTCGTTGTCGTTTATTAAAGTTTGGTACGGCTGGGTCGCTGGCGGCGTGGTTTGATTATTTGACCGTGACTCGCCTTGACGGGGATGGATTCCTGCGTGTCTCTGTTCGGTCTGTGCTTGTTCGAGAATCCTACTCCGTCCGTACCTCCTACCGACTGCGTATACGAGGACTCGAGGGATTGATGGAATGCTCGGCGGCTAACCCGATCGGATGTACCTCGGCAAAAATCTGCGTCCGTTGTATCTCCGTAAGGGGTTCGCAGATTGTCCTCCCACGCTCGACACTATTGCCTGATGCACGCTATATATGGAAGCAGCTAGATGTGATGGCGCTGCTGTTCACAACGGGAGCATTGCCGTATTCGATCGCCAGCTGCTGCGGTGTTGCACAGGACTTGAGGACCATGTGGTAATCAGCTTTGCGGCGGAGGGGCCCGTCGCTAGTGAACATCGCGATGATCATGCGGGATCGAAAAATCATTTTCTTTTTTAATTTTCTTTTTCTTTTATTTATTTTTTACTACTCGTAAATATTTTCTACCTCGGAATCGTCAAAACGTCTAGGATGAGTTAGACACCGCAAAGCCATCCAACAACCTCCACCGCAATCTATTGACGTTTTACGACTCATGGGTTTTGATTAACGAAGCTGTTTCCAGAACCTATTGATGTTCTGATGATCACCCAGGACAGTCCCACCTTCGTCTCCATAACCCTTTCGGACTCTTAGCGAGCCATTCCCGGCCGAGGTATCTCGTGGCTTTTCAAGGAACCCGCCCAAAAAGCCAAGCCAATCAACCCAGGGGATCCCGGAGTCTAGAGCCTACGCGGTTAGAACGCTGTCTTCTTCCCCCTTCGTCCATTCGCAGCTGTCTCGGACACGGACTCTGACGGTCGATCCCAATGGAAGGGAAATTGGGAGCGAATCCCCCGTTAGTTATTGGGACGAGTACCTGTCTGTGGGGATTGACATCCTTGGTTATGGGATTTTTTAGCCATCGGCTACGTACCGTGTGCCTGGGCGGTTTTCGTTTTTGTGGATTAATTCGAACAGATCAGTTCTAGACGTCTGGAATGGAGTACGAGTACGGAAGTGAAGGGGGTGATTTTTTGAGGGAGTAGATGCCACAGAAAAGAAAAGAAAAAAAAAAAGGCGGATCGACGTCATCATGATGACCCGTCAAGTCCAGGTACGGGCATCGTCCGATCAAACAAGGCGGATCGTCGAGTCTGTGTGTGATGAGTAATCCACCCAAGCGCCCAAGAGCTGCAGTATGCACGGAGAAAGCGCATCCTTCCAGCGAATCTCCGTCATCTCGTTGGACAGTGTGAGAGTCCGAATCTCCGGCCCTGGAAAAGAATAGAACGCAAAGACCAAGCAAGGACAAGACACAACGGACAAATAACCTTGGCGAGAATAGCAGCTTACTACGGAGTCCTCTAAGAGCAAAAAAAAAGAAAAAAGAAAAAGAAAAGTGGACTTCCAGTTCCACCCCATCTTTAGCGCCGTCGTTTTTTAAAGTTTCTCCCATCCTCTGGTTGGCTGTCAACGCCACGATAATCTCCGGTTCCTTCATGCCACTAAATCCCTTGGCCCCCAAGCGAAGGATGCAAAGGAAGGAAATCGTTCACAGATGCCCTTTCTTGGTCTCGGAGCCTAGACCGATTCGGGTTGGCGCCAGCCACGGCAGGAGGTGCCATTCCACGCATCGTACCGCTCCTCCGTCATCCGGCCCCAAGGGCTTGGTTGACGATGGAAATGCACGGAGTCATTTCCCATCCCAGAAGGGAGCTGCCGACTATTGCCTCTGCCATGGCGTGAGCAGCTAAGCATCATCTCTCTCTCTCTCTCTCTCTCTCTCACTGGCCCCCCCTTATTATACTGATCGGTGATAATCCTCCAGAGGGCCAGAAGGGCGAAAGGAATGTTCCATCTTGGCCTTCCTTTTATTTATTTTCGCTGAAGGATTTTTTTCTTGCAGTGAAGTTGAACTAACGGCCGTACCGAGGTAAATAACCCCCAACCAACCAACTACGAAGGAAGCACATTCAAACAAAGAATAAGGGGGAATGCCTGGAGGGGAAAAGGGGAGGAGGAGGAGGTTGGTGACGGATATGCAAATGAACTGGGCCTTTGAACAGGGAAGACAACGCATGAAAGCCAAACAAGTGATCTGAGCAATCCCGACAATATGGAAAGAGGTTGCCTCCCAGGTAAAGCACAGTGCAACGGTACCACCGTACCACCCCAGTTGCAGTACGACGCCGAGGCCCTCTTTCTTTTTCTTTTTCCTTCTTTTTTTTGGTCCGCCTCTCCCTGTTCACCGAGGATCTACGAGGGAATACTTGTTCAGAAAGGTTAGACCATGCGATCAGGCTCTCAGCAAAACAGCGTGATCGTGCGGCAACGATCAGCCGTTTATGGGGCATGGGATCGTTGTGACAGGTAAAACCTGAGGGATGGAGCCTGATCCACCCGAGACGATCGGCTGGCGAGAGAAAAGGGCCATTTCGGTCAGAGTCCAGGATGGGGGAATCATAATGATGATGGTTATTTTAAATTAATTAATGTGATATACGACGGAGTAGGACCATATTCGACGGGAATCATCTAATATACTCCGGACCCTAGTCTGAGAAGGGAAGGGGGGAGAGAATAAAATAAAAAAGAAACAGGTCGGTGGTAACGTAAGAACCCACTTCAATACAGATAGGTGGGAAACGCTGCCATGGAATGGGAGGAGACAGGAGGGGGAGGAGGCACAGTCATGCCCCCATGATTAATGATGATCGATGATTGACTGTCTCCCGGCGCATGATGGAGGAGGAAAGGTGTCCGTGGATCTGCACTAGCGCCAGACTTGCTGTAGCCGAGCCCCGAAAGTACCGTTGTCCACCGGCCGATCTGTGTACGACGCGGTTACGTACACTTACCGCGTGGTGTATCATGTATCTCCCAGGGAGGGCTGGGCACGGATTCCTGATCCTCAGAACGCCCGTTTGGAGGAATTTGGGGAATTGCCTGTTCGGGGAAATAGTTGCCCTTGGCTGGCATCTGAGGGGCCGGATGTATTCCTCCAGGAGTTTCAGACAATCCTGAGACTTCCATAGTTGTTCGTGGGCCAAACCCTAAATCATCCAAAAATTCAAGAGCGAGCAAACGAGGCAGAGAGGGAGGAGGGGGGAGACGGAGAAAGGAATGATCCTGACTAACCGGCTCCAGTCGAACCATTCGCCAGGGTGCGGCGGTCTCTGGGGCGGGCGGAGAGACACGTTTTTTTAGCTCTCGTCGAAGCTACCAAAAACAATACCAACTAATGGCAAATCATCCTAGCTCCGTTCCAAACGGAGAGATACCGTACCATACCCGAAGGGCTCAAAAATCGTCGACAATAATCAATCCTTAACCACAATTTCGTAATTCTGTTCAAATAATATTTCTGGATAAATTATTCTACTAGTATAATTTTTTATTTTTATTTTTTTAAAAAAAGGGAAGTCATCGCGTGTACCAGGCCGCTGGTCATTAATTAAGCTTTGGAACGGAGGTATCAGCCCTTTGTCGAAGCGAATCGACGAAGTGGCCACTGCGGGTTCGGGATAATTCATTATTCATTACACGTATCGTACGGCCATGGATTCTTTTGCCGGGATCTCTGGGATCAATCGACAACGTCCCTGGATTTTGATGCCGCCTCCTCTGGACGGTGTCGAGCATGCAGTATGGATTAAATCATCGTGAGGGAGGGTGGAGGACGTTCCAAAAAATCAAGCGGAGTATAAAGATCTCCGGTCGGTCTGGTTCAAGGGGCAAAGAGGAGAGATCGGGAGACTCCCGTCGTTCTGCTGTGTCGGCTCTATACCTATCAGGTTAACCTCCGCGCATCTCCTCGTTTACGACGACGGAGTATACCCGCCAGGCTATAATTAACATTAGGATCGATCCTCCTTTTTTTTTTTTTTTTTTTTTTTTTTTTTTTTTTTTTTTTTAATTAGTCCTCCCATCACTAGTAAAAAAAAAAAAAAAGAATTAAAAAAAAAAGAAAAAAGAAAAAAGAAATCCCCCCATCACCTCAGGATTATTATTTTTTTTAATTATTTCTTTTTTATTTCTTTTGATTTTCTTTTCTTTTATTTTCGAAAATAATTATCATTATTCCCTGCTCCCCACCTGGCCCAGCAAATCCTCCCTCTTCGTTCTTTGTCTATAAACCCCGTTCTTTCCTTCCCCCCTGTTCCCATTCTCATACCCCCACTTGTACCTTAACGTGAGTGTGGATTCGGATTGGGTCTCGAAATTGCCTGTTCGCCGTCTGCCCTACCTAATCTCATATATGGTTCGCCTGTAGCCACTTAATATATCTATCTCTGGCCTCACCTCTTCTACTCTCTTTCTTTTCTTACCTCCAATTCTTCTACACATCCAACCTTCTCCAAACACCTGACCTACCTCACCTTACTTACGTCTCCCACTCCGACACCTGACATCATGGATCTCGCCAGTCTCATTACTCCGGGTCCCGATCCCCTCTACAAGCCCAGGGCTTCGTACAGCCCTTCTGCTGCGGGCTCATACTTCCAGTCGGTCCCGACGTCGTACTCGCGCACGCCGCAACCGCCTCTCTCTCCACCCGTGGACGATGTCCCCAAGTGTTCTCTCCCTTCCATCTCCTCTCTCTTGGAAGGCGCCGACGGTGCCGCCATGCACGCAGCCAGTATGTTAGCTCCAAGCTTGCATTGCGCAAGTGACAGTGCAACGCGATTCTTCCCATTGAATGTCTGCTAACGACATCTCCCCTGTTTAGAGCGCCAAAGAACTACCCCGCCATTGCACGGCGAGGCAGAAATCCGCTCTCAAGCCAAGGTCCGCGAGACGTTCGCTCCCAGCGGACCTCAGACCAACATGCCACCCACTCCGCCATTGCGACCTGGCTCCGGCTTCCACAGCAATGGCCACTCTCCATCCGCTTCTTCGGTCTCGGCCATCAGCAGCACCGCGATCAAGACGGAATCCTACCCCCAAACGCAGATGACCCTGCCTAGCCCCACGGACCGGTCTTCGATCTCGAGCCAGGGCTCCGTTCAGCATGTTCCCAGTGCTCCTTACGTCTCTCCCGCTCCCAGCGTGGCTTCCTACTCGTCTCCCATCGACCCGCCTGCCTCGTCCGCTGTATACTACCAAAGACCCGGATCCTCGGGTACCTACCAGAGCGCGCCCGCGCAAGCCGCTCCTCTGCCGCCTGCCTCCACCCAGCAAATGATCCCTCAGGTCGCCAACGCCTGGCAACATCACCACTACTTCCCTCCCTCCAGTGCCGGGGCATTCCAGCAGAACCACGATCGATACATCTGTCGCACCTGCCACAAGGCCTTCTCCCGGCCTTCCAGCCTCCGCATCCACTCCCACAGCCACACCGGCGAGAAGCCCTTCCGCTGCACCCACGCCGGCTGTGGCAAGGCCTTCAGCGTACGGAGTAACATGAAGCGTCACGAGCGGGGTTGCCACACTGGTCGACCAGTGGCTACTGCCATTGTATAAATTATCTGGCAGGTTGAACTTGCCGACAGAAAAACAGCAAAAAAGAAAAAAAAAATCCGAGAAAAAAGAAGGGAAAAAACCACACATTGAAAGTCCTGCAAATCCATCCAGCGACTTCCTGCTCTGCTCTGATTTGTTTTGATGATACCCTCTTGTTCATATTGTTTTCATTTCCTGGTTTTGTTTCTTGTTTCATGTCCCCTGCAACTTTTTATCACAGGTGGATAAGGTGTCTCGGGGAACTAAACATGGATTGATTTCATCTTCTCTTCGTGTGTACATTTGTTTAAACATTTTTTTATTATTTCTTTTTTCATATGGAAAAAGGGAGCAGAGGCGTCGCTGGAAAGAAAAGGAGGCTGATCTGGGAAAGAATTATAAAGAGGGAACGCAAAAGAAGACAAGGCCATGCATTTCGGAGTCCTGTGCTTTTTTTCATTCACCTCTGCTCTGTCCCATATGAGCTTTCTTATTTTTGTTTTTTTATTTTTATTTCTTTTCCTTTGTCATCTCCTTTGTCTTACATTGATGATGTGATATGACTATTGAACAACATTATTAGAAGAAACCAAATTTCTTGACGATTTAAATCTGTGCTTGTAGACTTATCCTAGTAGAATTCTATACACCTTGCTAGCTGATACATTCTGTCTGGAAGAGCAGAAGTCACATGTTTCAGTCTTTTCTGAGGATTACTCTAGAGAATGTATACAGTACCTAACTCTAAACACTCTGCCTCTACTTTTCTTCCAATCCAATCCATTCGATGCATCCATCACCCCATAACACAATTGAGAAAGCAAACCCCTCTCCCCGCCTCGTTCCACAAAATCACGAAACACCTTCAATCCCTACCGTACCTCCCTAAGTACTTAAAAGTACCAACCAGCACCCAGCTATACAAACCCACCCATACAAGCAAGCAGAACAATCCAAACAAACCCCTCACCCATTGTATTCCTTAGATCTACGAATCCAACTTTTCAGATCCCAGCTCACTAATCACACCCACGCACATCTTCCCCGCTAGGGAAACTCCATCCCGCGACATGAATGGCTGACAGCACCACTGACAGACTTTTGACGTCCAGGTACATCCATACGTCTGCTAAGCAACTGAATAAAGTTAAGTTGAGGTGAGGTGAGTTGCGATGAGCGCGTTCCATTGCCTTTCCATGTTTCATGCTCCCCTGCTCCCCCCGCGCGGATCGAACCGGATTGGTCCGTAAATTGACTCCCTCGAGGTGATCCGTGGTTTGCATTTTTGGGAATTGATAAGCACCCCACTATGTCGGCTGTCTCTGTCTCTGTCTATCTGTTTTTTCTGGGTTGGGGTAGGTTGGAGATGGGGGCTGTGAATTAAGGTTGCGTTGTCGTCTGGGTTGCCAGGTCTGGGGTGGCTGTCCGGGGGAGGTAGGTGGTCGTGTGAGCTCTACTTTTGGGGGGTTTGTTTTTGGGGTTCGCATCTAAGGCTACTTTGTACATGTGGGTGTATGCTTGTATAAACTGGGAATAAATGGATAAAGCAGAGCATCTACCATTCTATGTTATATGCTGTATATGCAGGATTTTGTGTATATACCTCTGCGTGAATCGTCAATCGTCAACTTGGCCGGAGGGCCCGCATTCCGAAAAGCGCATGTGGTCGGGATAATAGTATACCCCCCATCTAAGCGTCCAGGTCCAGGTCCTCTAGGATCTTGTCGAGCTTCGCCATCAGGATTTCGTAGTTGATCGCGTCCTTGGTGAACTCGTCACCTGCCACCTCGCCGTCCAAGGTCCTGATGACAGGTGCATGGTCCGGTTTGGCCGGGGTGAGTTGTTCGGGCGCAGCGTCCGAGGATTCCACACCATTGCTGGCATGTTCCTTGGACAGCTCAAGAGCTTCGACTCCGTTGGTGACTTTGTCAACATTCTCGTCGGCAGCGTGCAACTGCTGCCGGGTCTCTTCCTCCATCATCTCTTCCAGACCGGCATCATCGAACCGGAGGCGGAAGCGCTCCCCTAGATAGAAACGGATATCATCGAGCAGTTCGATGGAGTCGGTTTCCTGTCTTCCCTTAATACGAGCAGCGGATTCTTGGATCAAATCCGCGAACTCCGGAGAGTCAATGTGACCCTCTAGCCTGTATGCGAGGTACCGAGCAGCGAATTCTTCCAGTCGCTGCACCCGGGTCAACCATGCAGCACGGATGATGGCATAGATATCCAAGTCGTCTTCCTCCTCGGTGCCGCGAGTCTTTGCGGCTTCTGCCTGCGACATGTCGCCGCTGCCAAGTGTACTAATCACCACGGCAGCCTTGGTCTTGAGTTTCTCAATAAACAGCATGTCAGCAGCAAACAAGACATCGACAGCAATGTCAAGTGGGAAATCAGCCCTTTCGGTGTAAAGGAAAGTAAGCACGATTTCCAAAACTTCCGGAGAGCAGTCCACGGAGATAATGTTCAGGTTCTCTTTCAGATGGGTCTCGCGGAACGACGACGAAAACATGGTAAGGAAAAACTCAGACCGCAGAAGCATCGCTCGATGACACGGGAATATGACCGACTTCTGGACTGATTTCTTAGAAGAGTCGACCGGCCCAACGGGGATGGTACTTGAATTAGTTCCTTCATCGTTGGGCAAGACATCATCACTGTCTTCATCCTCATCTTCAGGCAGTTCATCCGCCTGCAGCAGAACATCTGCAAAGATGGCGTTATCATGGTTCCATTTGACCTCATCAACCTTGGAAGTCTCAACTTCCACCTTGTTCTGAAGAACATTCGTTCGGAACCATTCTTCCAATTGGTCTCTGCCTTTGGCAACTTCCAAGGTTCGTCTCTGTCTAGCCCGCCTGCGGTCTCCGCTATCCAAAATGCTGTCCAGAAGGCTATTGAATTCCAGGCATTTGGCAATTTTACCAATTCCCACAAAAACCTCCGACTCCGTAAATCCGGTGCCAGGACCCGTCCTCAGATCACGCGGGGCCTCTCCAAAGTATAGATACCTGATCGCTGCCCCAAAGGCTTGGGGCGGGATTGCGCTTGGAAGTTCCCAGGTTACGGTTTCGGGGGCACTTTCCAGTTTGTTGCGGAAATAAGGCGAGCGTGCTGCCAATATGAACTTATGCAAATATACATCCTCGTCGGCCGCCGTGACCACGATGTCCGAGGTCCCGGGGCTATCGCGCGTGAGCAGCGATGAAATATGGGCGGCCAATGGCTGAAGAGGGTCGGTGGATTTCGAGTAGTCATATTCAAGTAGCAGGTTCCGGATGCGATCATTCAATGCGTTATATAGACATCTGCACGCAGATTTGGGCATCAGCTGGACATGCAATTTTACCTCGTGCATAGCGAGGAACGGAACCTGATTACCTTTCTCCTTGGAACGTGTCTCGCTCGCACAATGCGCCCGATTCGAGAAGCAGCTGGACAACTTCATAATGGCCACACAGACTTGCCTTTTCCACAATTCTTGGTCACTAACTAGCCCAAAACCAACGGCTCTGCAGGACGGAATGCATTGCTGGGGGGTCTGCCAGGCGACTTCGAGCCACTCACCAGAATCAAGGGGGTGTAGTCATAGGGATCGCGAGCATTGATGTTGACACCTTCCGTGATCTTTTCCTGGCAAACTTTCAGATCCCCCTTACGACAAGCATTGCAGAGTTCCCGAAACGGCTCACTGAGATCCAGAGGATTGTCATCCTTGATGGTCCCCTCCTTGATCAGTTTCTTCTCATTATGTAAGCTGATCTCCAATTGATCCTTGCGAAGCACGGTCGGTTCTGAATCCGCCATCATGAGACTTTGGGAGGGGTCGTGATGGATGATGATTATGAATTATGATGAAAGCCGCGGAGGTGCGGGACCAAACGGTTATCGATAAGCGGCTGATCACGTGGGGCAGCCATTGCCACAGGGCGCCAAGGGGTCGTTGCAACAAGCGCGTCCTTGCAGCATCTCACGCCAGGATTCACACTGGGGATGCAATACATTGGGCTATAGCTTATTCCTGGCGACCCTCTGGAAGCCAGACAGATCTGCCACTGCATGCACTGGCAAGCTAAACCCAGCATCCAATGTATGACGAGACCGGTGACGCTGCACCCCGGGCCACACCGCCCGCACTGCGCGGCAGCGACCGCCTGCTTCATGCAGCATAGAGTCATGGCAGCGGCCGTTGCTCAGCAACAGCCTCCAACTAAACATCCAGGACCTTCCAACCCCGTGGCATACAGTCTTCTTTAAATCTACAACGCTGCTACATGTCTCGATTTTGAACCCGGAAAATACTAACCATCCAGGCTTTTCTCTTCCCAACCCACTCATAAATGAGCTAGAACACACCTTCACTCCTCTGCTCCCTCGCTTTCTCTCCTCTTCGCCTTTCATCTTTGTCCTCGACCTCTTGCCAGTGGCTAAATTTTCCCTCCCCAACAGCCACGATGGCAATTGCACTCGCGGAGGCCGACAAGTACGAGATACTTGAGAAGATTGGTATGACAGCCTTGTCATGAACATTGTCTGCTTGCGTCGGTGGTCTGTGAGACTGATTACTCTAGGTTGCGGTTCTTTCGGCATCATTCGCAAAGTCAAACGGAAGCAAGATGGCTTCGTAAGAATTTCGAAATTTACTGCTATGGATCCGGAAGCTGACTATATATTTCTCAATAGATTCTGTGCCGCAAAGAGATCAACTACATCAAAATGTCCCAGAAGGAGCGTGAACAGCTGACCGCCGAATTCAATATCCTGAGCTCGCTCAGACACCCGAACATCGTCGCCTACTACCACCGCGAGCACCTCAAGGCAAGCCAGGACCTGTACCTCTACATGGAATACTGCGGAGGTGGTGATCTGAGCATGGTCATAAAAAACCTGAAGAAGACCAATAAATATGCAGACGAGGAGTTTGTCTGGCGGATCCTGTCCCAATTGGTTACGGCACTCTACCGTTGCCATTATGGTGTCGATCCGGCTGATGTTGGGTCCAACGTCCTCGGACCAGCTCCTAAGCCTTCGGGCCTCAAGGGAAAGCAGGCACAGATGACTATCCTGCATCGTGACCTCAAACCCGAGAATATTTTCCTGGGCAGCGACAACTCCGTAAAACTGGGCGACTTTGGTCTCTCGAAAGTGATGGCTTCCCACGACTTCGCCTCCACCTACGTTGGTACCCCGTTCTACATGTCTCCTGAGATATGTGCAGCCGAGAAATACACCCTCCGCTCCGACATTTGGGCCGTTGGCTGTATCATGTACGAGCTGTGTCAGAAGGAGCCTCCGTTCAACGCCAGAACCCATATCCAATTGATTCAAAAGATTCGCGATGGCAAATTTGCTTCTTTGCCAGACTTTTACTCTCCTGAGCTGAAGAGTGTTATTGCGAGCTGCTTGCGCGTGAACCCCGATCACCGCCCCGACACTGCCTCTTTGATCAACCTCCCCATCATCCGTTTGATGCGAAAGGAAAAAGAGGTCGTCGACCTGAGCCGGGCCCTTCGAAAGCGAGAAGAGTCCAGCCTCCAAAAGAACCGAGAAGTGGAACAAGCTTTCGCCAAGATGGAAAAGGAGAAGCAGCAGATCAAGGCTGAGCTTGAAAATACCCTGCGCCGAGAGTGGGAGGTGAAGGCTCGCCTAGAGATTGACCGCCAGGTACAGAGCGAGCTGGAAAGACTTCGCAAGAGGTTCGAGTCGGAAGTGCAAGATCGGGTTGCCTTGGAGGTGGAAAAGCTCAAAAAGAATGGCAACTTCAGGGACGAGTCTGCCTTCCGCTCCAGTCGCTCCAGTCGCTCCAGCCGTTCCAGCCGTTCCAGCCGACGAGGCTCACAGTCATCCAACAGCAATAATGATGACACGGAGCTTCCCTCGAGTACGGACATCACCCAGCTGTCTATGGAATCGCCCGTGGCTAGTAAGCCACCCAAGAAGGAGACCCGGACGCCATTCAACCGCTCCAAAACGGTGGTCGAGTCGCCCGTTGATGTGCAAATGGCCGAGCCATCTCCAATTTCGATTGCCTCTCTCTCGCTGTCGCCCCGTCGTACTTCAGCGACACATTCGGGTAAAAACATCTTTGCGGAGGCCGAACGGCACCGGGCCAAGTGGGAGCCCACGCTTGCGTACTCTGACGACGAAGATGACACGCCCGATCTTCCCTCGCCAACTCGACCTAAGGTCAAGCCCGATCCTTTCAAGGCCCCATCTCGCCCTCTTCTCCGTCAGAACACCGCCGCACTGATGCAGAAGCTGAGCACGCAGCCCCCTCTTTTCCCTACGAATGGCTCTAGACTGCCTCAGGCGTCTGGCCAATCCGAGAGCCGCCACGGCGAAGCGAAGTCCAGGTCACCCCATCGACGTTTGTCAAAGATCGCATCCTCGGCGAACCTTGCTGCTGATGCCGGATCCCCGACCCGCAAGACGGGCACGAAACAACCCCCTTCCAAAGTCAACGGCGGTGGCGAGGATATGTTCAAAGCCGTGATGCAACGGAATATGGGCGGCCGAACCTTGGTCGAGCTTGCTCAAGCACGGGCTGGTGGCCGACCAATTGACGAAGTCAAGCGATCTGCGAGCGACACCCGGACTACGACCAGCATGAAGTCTTCGGTGGAGCGTGATCCTCCTGCTGTATGGGACCCCGAGAGAGACGAAATGCCCAGTCCCTTCCTGGCTCGTGGTCGAAAGGTCATCCGCAACTTGAGGTAATCCAAAACAGAGCTCACCTCACCCATTTCCAACTGTTACGATATTTTTCACTGGTTGATCCGTGAAAGTCACTTCTCACAACCCGAAGAGACGGATGCGCACGCCCCGTGGTTTCGCATTCTAATCTTCCTTATCCCCTCATACGTCTTAATAATTACACATTTCTGGCGTTCAAAGGCCCTGGGTGAATGCATTTTCCAGAGCGAGTTTACCATGCGAGCCATGGATTCTCGATGCATTGATCTCGCGCCGCTTTCTTCTTCTGCGTCTTTATTCACACTTCTTCTCGAAGTGCTCCTACTGAGACCCCCAACACTCCCTATTTCCTTTGTCCTTGATGCTGTGATGTCCCTGTTTCTTTTTGTTTACCCCTTATTCCTTGGAATACTGTACAGCTATTTTTGCATATGACAGCCGGCTTTTTGTGTGGTTATGTTGATTTTGGGTGGTTTTCCTTCCTCCAGTCCAGGACATTCTTTGACCTTTCTTCTCGCATTGGAGAGTTTTGATTCTGAATCATTCATCATCTGGTGTGGTCTTCCACTCGTTTCTAGTCCTGGACGGACTTATTTTCCTTGTTTCGGTGTGGAGTTCTTTCTTCGTCTGTTGCTTGTCATCCCACGGACGGGCGCTCTATCTGGTGGTTTTCTCTTGGCTTAGGCGTTATTGGTCTTGCCCTTTTTCCTTTTTCTTCCTTACGTATGGAAGTACATACTGATTTTGTGTTTCTTATCTTGTTCTTTTCTGGTGACGTTCTGCTATAGAATTGCGGAATATCGATTGGAATACATATATTCGTCGATGATGTCGATTGCTTGCTTCTTTCGCTTGGAATAAGATTCAGCGTAGAAAAGTATTGGGAAAGGAGACATGGACGTAATGTCTTCATATGTTTGTATATTGTACATGGATTTTCTTTGCGGCTTTGCTTTCCCAGAATAGGGCAGCCGGCTGAGACTAGCTAGCTAGATAGCTATAGCTTCATCGAGGTATTTATCTCAATCATGCCTCTTCGTCTTCGACCTCTTCGATCTGCACAGATCTTAGTTCCTGGTTGAACCGCCGTTCTTCTTCCTGGAGTCTTCGCTGGGTATCATCGTCGTCTTCGTCTTCGCCACCTGGTTGATTCGTGCCGTCGTCTCCCCCAGTTTGTGCCGGGCCAGCATTATATCCAGCTTTTTCGAGTCGGTCCATCTCTTCCGGTTCGAGTAGTTTCCCTTGCCCCCGGATCGACTCCTGCTTTGCTCGTACAGCCGCCGGGATGAACTTGTTGATGGCCTCCTGTCGCAGGTCCTTGATCTCCGGCTGGGCCTCGTACACCGTCTTGGATTCCGTGACGGGCGGTTTGGCCGGCAGCGCATGCGGACCACGGGGACCACCGGGGCCAGAGTCCCCATCTCTTCGCCTCTGTTGGTATTGTCGGGGGATAGGCGGCGGCGTGTCCCGGGGCATCGGAATCCGTCGGACTTCCTCGTCCGTCTCGCTGCCGTCGCTGTCCTGTCCAAAGCCTCCTCCGTGGCCGTGGCCGTGTCCATCTCGCCTTCTCTTTCCCAGCACATTAGCCCCGTCTCCTCGTCCGTCGCGTCTCGGTCCTGAATGCTCGAATTTCGGCGCCTTGTCGCCCAGCGCTTCGCGCGCCTTCTGCACGGCTCGTAGATCCCGCTCTAGCGCCCCCAGGAGCTCCTTGTCGCGCGGCCGTAGCTGCTGGCCCGTCTCTTCTACTGATTTTAGGTCGTTGATCTGTCGTTGGATACGCTCGGGGTTGCGGCGCGCGAGCTTCTCGTTCCGCCGGGCCAGCGCATCGGCTTTGCTTTTCTTGAGGTTCTTTTGCTTGTCGAGTTTGCGCTGCGCCGCGGCGGGGTTCATCGAGCGCTCTTTATCTTTGGGCATTTTGGAGGTGGACGGTCTTTGTTTGGGTTGATGAGGGGGGTTTTATGGGAGTTGGAGTCGGAGTGCGGTTGTTTTAGTTGCGCCGCCGGCGTTGTCGATGTCGATTATCGAATAGAATAATAATTATACCTGAAACAAGAAAAGCGCAAGGATTAGCTCGTCAATCCAGTTCTCTACCCTTGAGATCCCCGTCACATCCTGTTGGCATGTCCTCTGAGCAATACGACCTGGGCACAGCTCTACTCGGAGCTTTCTCAGCGCGAGAAACCCGGCGCAAACGCCACCAGTGCATCCCCGCGACAAGAAAGAAAAGGAGAAAAAGAAAAACAGAAAAAACACCAATCAGGATCTTACAGGGTAAGGTGGAAAGCCCGAAGGCATGGAGCCGGCAAAAAAGACGGCTGCGCGCGCGATTTTGCAGCGAGTCAGCGCGGACGTCTCCGAATTTTTGCCCAGGCGCAGGGAAAGAAAAAAAGAAATCGAGGACAGAGGACCAATCAATAATCGGATGGATCGGTCACTGCAGGGTTTAGCCTCACGGGTTGGGCAGCGGGATTTTAGGTCTAGGTTTCCTTGTTTCGCCAGGAGAAAATGAGGAACGGGCGATAGGATGGACGGGATGGAGGGCGTTTGCAGAAGCGCTAAGATGCGGCGGATCTGGGGGCGGTGTGATGGCCGATCGGCGGGGAGAGGAACGGATTGATTGGATTTAGGAGGGTGATAGATGTTGAATGGATGTGGAATGGATGGACCGAGAGACGGAGAGATGGAAAGGAAGAGGGAAAAGGAAGAACGACGAGGCGGAAGAAGTGCCGGGAGAGGAAGAGAGCCCGTGATGCCGGTCCCGTGAGTTCTTCCTGATGTAGATTCTCTGTACCTACTTGGAGTTATACTCCCTTCTCTAGATACTTGCGACCGAGTCCATGAGTAAGGAATTAGCAAGACTCGCTCTTCAGGAACCCTCGAGTCTCTGCATGGCATCACCGCGCATCGGAATATCACCATCGCAAGTATATCCATCGGCAAGGCTGATCCAGGGCGCCCGTCCTCCGCATCCATTCATTCGCTCTCCTCTGGCCTCTTCCTATCCCGAGGCATCCCTGAGGATCTTCTGGATCGAATCGCATGCTCGTCAGTGTAACCCCGACCCATTCACGACCGCTGACCTTCCACCCAAATGTCTCGCCAAGTATCGCTTCTTACAGGCCTTTTCTTTTGCTGACATCGATCCCTTCGCCAGAAGACGAGACGATCCAACACGATAATCCAGAAAACCAAAAAAGGACGGAGACGGACGAAGAAAACCTGGATTAATCCAATCCACTCGCGAGAAAACTAAAATTGAACGAGAAAAAAGAAACCCAGAAGAAAAAAAGAAAAAAAGAACATCGTGCCAAGTCGACTTCAAGTCCCCCTCTCTTTTCCTCTTCTTCCTTCATTTCCTCCCCTGATCGGATTTCCACTTCCTGCACTGGTGTCGGCCATCATCATGAACTTCGGTCCGTCCCATCTCCACACATCGAGATCGACCGGCGCTTCCTAGACACCTGTCGCGGTTGGAGCATGTCTCTGCCGGGACCAAATGTCCGTATCAGCCTCGATCCCCGACACTTCGCTTGGCCTTACTTCCTCCGAGATCCAGATCCTCCGGCAACAACAGCAGATTGCGCTGCAGGGTGGCCATGCCGGCAATGGGATTTCCAGGGGCAGAGGGACCGGTCGAACCAGCAACTCCAGTTCGCGTGCCGCCAGCGCCGCCAGCAGTCACGGTCGATTGTTGTTGGATCCGATGAGCCTCCGAGCGCTCTCTCATCAGTTGGACGCCTTGCAGGAACAGATCCGGAGTCGCATCGATTATGTACGTGCCTTGCCATCATCCCGCTTTTCTCTACTATTGTTCGCAATCCATTCGCCTCTTGCCCTTCCTTCGCGCGTTCTTTGGATTCATTTGCTCTCTTGGTGCTGTTTTGGTTCTCTCCACATTCACCGAGACTTTCCCATGTCGTTGCGGAAATATGTCAGACGACCGATGTTTCACAGAAGCTGTCCCACTTGCATATCCTCATCCTGCCTACCCAGAACCCAGTAAACCTGATTCTAACGCAACAATGTATCGCAGCTCGAGGAACAAATGCAACTTTCGCTTCAAAACAGTTACGACCGCGCCGGAAACGTCATCTGCAACGCCGACGCCGAGATTGCCCGCACTCGCTCGATCCTAGCCTCAATCGATGAATTGGAGAATGAGATGGCGAAAATTGGACACATCAGAGAAATTGTGAAGGCCTACCGTGGCCGAATAGAAGGCCTCGACCAACGTCTGGATCAGGCCGCCCGTCGCAGACGATAATGCGCGCCATTGGTTCTATCCGATCGGCCATACTCGCCGAACCGCACTCTCTTGGATCATGTCCCTGCCATTTCCCTTCTACGTTCATTCCGTCTCTTCTATTCTCGTCCCACCTTGACCCGATGTCTTTGCCCTGGAGGCACTTGCTCAATTCCCTGACGCTCTCTATTTCCGACTACCCACACAATCCCTTGACGCCGACCGATTCCCTTACGTTCCTGGATGATTACGACCATGACTTCACAACACGATACTACCAACACGACCAAGTACACCCATTATCAACCCCCGAAAACCGAGAGGAAACATGCATGAAAACAAACTGCCCTGAAAGGGCAAAAAGGAGACCCACGTGTTTATATACTGCCCTTGTCCTCACGGACCCTGTGTTATTACGACTTATGCCGCCGTTGCAAGCGTTTGATGACTGCTTTAATGCCCGTATGCAGTATGTGTGCTGCGCCGAAGGAGATTTCTCGTTCTTTTTCTTTTCTTTGTCCGTCTAGCTTGGTGCTTTGGAGAGGATCGTTGTCTAAAGACTGAGATACCTGCCTCGCGGCACATTTGGATTTATGTTGAATCAAAAAATCGACAGGAATAAGCATGGTGTTCTCCCCGGAGTTCCTTTTTGTTTGTCACTACCCCTTCATTTTTCGATTTCTTTTTTGTCCTTCTTTGGCGACTTATTTTGTTTTACGAACTTGGATATGCTGCCTCTTGTATGACGTTGCGATTCCCCGATCTGCATTCCCATCCATGTGTTTTATTGAGCGGCTGTCACCCTTCTAGTTACAATGCGTTTGTTCACCGGGATATTTGTCATGACCATAAATGAGAGGGCCCCAGCATGACTGTCGGGCTTTTAATGTTTTTCATTTGATATTGTTTCATAGGGGTTCTCCGTAGCTTTTTCCATGGCCCTGTTGATATTTCCCTGCTGGATCGTACTACTTGAACGAATGTCCCATCAGAAGGATCCCATTAGCCTCAGCGACGACATTGCGAGATAACTCGAAGAACCTGGCCATTTCATGCTGTGTGCCCGTGATTTGATGGTGGTCATCCAATTGTGGTGCTCGAACCTGCACTCCCGCAATACCTGTGCCAAGTGCGGTGTAACACCATGCCAAAGGGGCGAATGTGTTTGTGCAATCACCTTCAAGGACTCATCATGGATGCCATCTCCATGACGACATCCGAGGTAAGACATGTGAATAGTCAGGGCGCTAGAGGACGCCTGATCGAGGTCGACTTCCGCAGCCTAGACAGGCAAAAGTTTGTCGTTTGTGGTCGATTACGCCACTGGCCATGGGAGCTCAAGATGCTGTCGCTGGTTTCTCTGTTGGCTCCTGCATTTTCCGACGCTCTGCCAGCTTCTTGCTTCGTTTCTCTGCTTGAGGGAAACGCTTTTCCGTCCCGCACGTGGTGCATCGTACGACCAAGACATCCGCCCATGGCTTGCTTCGGCCACGGCTGTCATTCCTGATTTCTTGGACATAATTGACACCAGGAACCAAGAGTGTCTCGCAGCGTTTACAGAATGACCGCTTGACCTCGACCGGCAGTCGAAGCTGGGACTTCAAAGACACTCCGCGCATATGAGAAATCAGCACTCGTGAAAGGTTCGGGTTCAGACTAGTCGGTGTTGGAGCGGTAGTTGATTCTTCTTTGATCGCCTCATCGTCATTCACAACTTGCGGCACAATGCGAGCTGAAACAGGCTCCGACTCTTTGTCCTCCGCTTGGGCGCCTTCGACAGGATCTGGGCCTGTAGATCGTCGGGAGGGAATTTCGCCCGTTTGTAGATATGTCGCAGCGGCATGCAAATAATTCAATCGGGCGCGGATGTGGCTGTTCACGCCTCCGGCCACGCCCTTCTTGCCCTTGACCTTCGCCATGTCGAGGCTTTGGAAATCGTGCCGGCGCAAACACGACCGCAAACAGGCCGGGCGGGTAGAAGCTTCGAGTGGCAAAAGACGGCGCTAGGCCCGACAAAGCAATGCTGACAATGAGACCATGACTAATTGACACACGTGACCCGGGCGCCTTTGAACTCTCTCGCCTTTCATCCCTCCCGCGACTTCGCCCTTCTCCCCCAACTCCATCGCCTCCGTCTCTCCTCTGTCTTCACCCCGTTCTTCAATCCATCTCATAGAATTCAAGGAGGGCATTTTTCGATTTTCACGGCCTTCTTGCTTTTCTTATCTCAACTTCAGACCCAGTTTTTCTTTCCTTTTGATCCGCTACCGTAAACTCCAAGCTCTCGCTGCTGCAAAGAAAAGCGCGCGCCGCGACTCTTAGAGTTTTCTTTCTTTCGTCCGTTCGACACAGCTTTAATCTCACAACCAGCAATCACCATGTCTCACGAGGAAGATCTCATTGACTACTCCGACGAGGAGCTTCAGACCACCGACGCGGCTGCCGCTGCCACCGCCGCCGCTCCCGCTGCGAATGGAGATGCCGCCAAGAAGGGCGACTCGGCGGCTGTTGACAAGAAGGGAAGCTATGTCGGTGTTCATTCGACCGGTTTCCGCGACTTTCTGCTCAAGGGAGAACTTCTACGTGCCATCACCGATTGCGGTTTCGAACATCCTTCGGAGGGTTAGTTCCATCACATAATTCTTTTCCACAAGTCTCCCTCCATAGCTCCGTTGTTCCTACGTCCGTCCGTCCATCTCCGCGAGATATATTATATGAAGTCGCATTGGGATCACCTGTTTCTCCGGTTTCGAGCTTTGTGGACGGCATGAGGATATCTTCTTTGGATTCCTTTCCAATCAGACAAAAACGAAAGCATTGCGCCGGTGATAAGAGCTCCTCTGCGAGCCTGCCGGTTTTTGTCTCTTGCTCTTCTCTCTGTTTTCAACAAGTTTACGGTGAGATCAAAGATTTGCAAAGAATCAGTACCGGAGATTTGCGTGAAGCAATTCCGGTTGAAACCGTGGTGTCTTCTTGACTCTTTGTTTCCATCATGAAAACAAAGAAGACACGGTACTCTCTTTTGGGCACCATTCTGTTTCATGGACTGTGGATGTCCTCTTGCCGTCTGCATGAAAGCTCTTGGTAGAGATTATCATTGGCTGCAGCTGAATCAACCTGTCGACCTGTGTGCTTTCATTCTACGGGTTTTTTCTTGGTGTCGAAAACAGTCCCAAAACGAGAAAGGATTGAACCACTTGTTTGAAATTCGACGACTTCGGAGGGATGGACGGACTCTGCGACGCGGATATTGCTTTTCTTTTTACACAACGTTATGAATCGAACACAAGTCTAACATACCGTGTCGCCTTATTACAGTCCAGCAAAGCTGCATCCCCCAGGCTATCTTGAACGTCGATGTTCTGTGCCAGGCCAAGTCTGGTCTCGGAAAGACCGCCGTCTTCGTTTTGACCACTCTTCACCAGCTGGAACCTGTTCCTGGAGAGTGCTCTATCCTTGTCATGTGCCACACTCGTGAACTTGCCTACCAAATCAAGAACGAATACGCTCGTTTCAGCAAGTACCTTCCCGATGTGAAGACCGCCGTTTTCTACGGAGGTACTCCCATTCAGAAGGACATCGAACTCTTGTCGAACAAGGAGACCTACCCCAACATTGTCGTCGCCACTCCCGGTCGTCTCAACGCTTTGGTCCGCGACAAGAAGATCTCCCTCCGCAACGTCAAGGCCTTCGTTCTCGACGAGTGTGACAAGATGCTTGACCAGATCGGTATGTTTGCAGTCGGTTTTGTTCCGTTGCCAATGCTAATTCGAATACAGACATGCGCCGTGACGTCCAGGAGATCTTCCGCGCCACCCCTGCCGACAAGCAGGTCATGATGTTCAGCGCCACTCTCTCTCAAGAAATGCGCCCGATCTGCCGGAAGTTCATGAAGAACCCTCTCGAGCTCTTCGTGGACAACGACGAGAAGCTTACCCTTCACGGTTTGCAACAATACTACATCAAGCTCAGCGAGGCGGAGAAGAACCGGAAACTCAACGAGCTGCTGGATAGCCTCGAGTTCAACCAGGTCATCATTTTCGTCAAGAGCACTGTCCGCGCCAATGAGCTGGATAAGCTGCTGCGCGAGTGCAACTTCCCCAGTATCGCCGTCCACTCTGGTGTCAGCCAGGAGGAGCGGTAAGTTCTTTTTCTCTGGACATTTCGAAATCCTGCTGACAGAAGCCACAGTATCAAACGCTACAAGGAGTTCAAGGACTTCAACAAGCGTATCTGCGTTGCCACTGACGTGTTCGGCCGTGGTATCGATATTGAGCGTATCAACCTTGCCATCAACTACGATCTTCCCGCCGATGCCGACTCGTATCTGCACCGTGTCGGTCGTGCGGGTCGTTTCGGTACCAAGGGTCTGTCGATCTCCTTCATCAGCAGCGAAGATGATGAGAACGTTCTTAAGGAGATTGAGAAGCGATTCGTTGTTGCTCTTGAGTATGTCTTCCATTCCGATCCGATTCGATCAGAAACTAACATCATGCCCAGTGAATACCCCGAGGGTGGTGTCGACTCCTCTACTTACATGGCTTAAATGGTGAAAAGCAAACTTGATTAGATGCCATGTCATGTCGAGTCAATTCTGTATCTGTTGAAAATTGCGTTTTTTGTCTTTTCTATGGCTTACCAATCTTCGATTTTCTTTCTTCGATTTCTTTTACATGTTTCTTTGTTTCTTTTCTTTTGGCGTGATGGTTCGGATGTGATTTGTCTCCGCCAAGTGTCTCTTGTCGCGTCTGAGGCACTGGCTGGAATTGATGGGAAAGGGATCGGGGACAACCGGAAGGAAAACATACTCGGTCTTCAGCTTTTAATCAACGGGGTGCCTTCGATGACAACTTTGTACCAATGTCTCTGATAGCCTTGTATTATCAATCTACTTGCTTTCGGGTTCGAGTGCGTAGTATATTTGTACGCGATATGCATTGCCATGTTCCACGTAGCAGTCTGCAAAATATACGAGCTCGCGTTCACCATCCCCAACTCGTAACCTCATTCACTCGCAGAACACGTTGGATTCAACAGACAGACAGGTTTCCAGCAGCAAACATCAAACGCCCAGACAAGTCCAGCCTCAACCCAGCCCCAAACCAAAACCCGAAACAATCTAACTGCAGCCCCCCGAAACAACCAAACACTCGTTCGTGTCATCCTCGGCCTCATCGCCTGAAACCACACGGAGTCCAGACTGCACGGATAACTACCGGCGTACCAAACTACGTAGACAAGAGAGTGGTTCGTCATCGGCCCCGTTCGGCGGTCCCACTCATTAGCTGGGTAGGTAGGTTAGGGTAGGTAGGTGGTTACGGCGTGGAATGGTTCAGTTAAGCTAGGGCCAGACAAAGTTTTACGACCTACTACGGAGTAGGTGGTTTCAGGATGGGGGGGAAGACTGAAGACGCGGCGTCGTTTCAGCACAGCGGTGTTCTTTCTTTCGCCATTTCTGGAAGGGGAAGTCGTCTGGAATATTACGGGGTTTGGATAATGGGATTGTACTTACTGACTCCGTATGTAACGTTGATTATGGAGTAGGTGGTTAATGGCTATTGTTGGGACTTGAGGGGATGGATTGGGTGGGTTTGGGTAGGTAGCATTGAGTGTGGATAGGGCTGTTTTCGAACATTTGCTTGTGATTCACATTATAATCACATGTCATGGGATTCGTCCATAGTGGACATTACTCGTGAGGTGTGAGGCATAGGGTTGACTATCGTATGATGTGCACCTCAGCTGGAATGCTTGGGTTCGGTGGTGGCTGTTTTCGGTACTTTATTTTTGGCTGGTGGTTGTTTTCACATAGAGTTTGGACTTTTAGAGATTGTACCGTTACTAGGGCTATGAGAATGATGGTTGGTATGGGAGTCTTTCTTTTGATTGCTCTTCTTGTGTTTTATCTGGTCGCTTGGGTTGGTTAAATGAACTGTACGTAGTATATGTATGTTCGAATTCGATGAGGCGACGCACCACTATTATATTTGAATAGTCTTCTTGGGCCGAATGGAGGGAGAAAACAAAGAATAACAATGCCAAAAGAGTTTCAGAAGACTTTCTCATTGTAAGTCCATAAGACAGTTGATTTCCTTGATCTACTTTGCGCATGCCTTAACGCAGGATCTAGGTAAGTACAACGATCCACTCGGTGAATTTACCAGTTGCTTATTATTAGGCAGTAATTGAGCAATCTACTAGAAAAGTGACGGACTTACATTGTGGACTCCTAGGGATATATAGTTTTCCTCATCATATACTCTGCGAACACATCTTAGGTAACTCAAGATAGATTACTTATCTGGACAAGATTTAGAATCGAGCTACCTAAGCATAAGCCCAGTTCCTCCTAGGTACTTAATTAAATCCAGGACTAACCTCTAGCTCCATTCAAAACCAAGCAAACAGATAAGCTAAAGAATCGCTTATGCATGAAAAAGGAGAACCCTACTAGAAGAGGCTGACGGCGCAGCGCATCCGTGCAGCCATGCATGCACATCGCCCACGAAAACACACTCCTAAGTCCTCCGTGGGTTAGAAGGATCAAAAGACAGAACCACAATCCAGACCAACACAGACCAAAGCATATCCATCCATCGCATACATACCCACTGTTAATTGGCATTGGCATTGGCATTGGCAATCCTACCCCGCAAGACCAGACCAAGCGACACGAGTCCCGTTTCTCGACGGAGTCTGGGCTATACTCGATGGAGTATCTACATTACATACCTCTTTCTACCTGGGCATGTACGTTGGTTTGGAGATGCTATAGCGACGTGCGTACCCAGACAGCCGCGTAGATCACCGGTCGGTCGCGAGGATTCGACTCCGCGCCCACCACCGGTTACCACCAAGGAGCCCGTTGAGCTTGTTCAGCGTCTGGACCAGCTAAGTGTGGAAGAACCCACGCCGTAGCTAAGGGCTGGTCCAGAAAGCTTCGGCTCGGAGAAGGAGGAGTGCGTAATGATAGTCGTTTCGTGGACGGAGATGTGGCGAAGCAACGACGGTTGGGTCCACTTGCTGGCGTTGACGAATATCCGTACTTCCTCCTCCGTAGTTTACTCCGTGCAGACCGGGACTCAGTCCAACGTATCTGCTATCTGCGGAGTACCGCGTACGGACTACGTAGTCGGCGTGTCTGGGTGCGCGTGGTGGCTTGCCTCTAATTCCCTAAGGGGGTGCTTTTATGCTAGATGGCGGCGGAGTGGGATAGGCTACGGATGGATTGGGGATCGGTCCGTTTTCGATGGATATTTTAATTTGGGTAGGTTTTTGGGCTTGGGGGTATGGAGTATTGCGTAATAGTAGATATTATGATTGGTGATGGTGCTGCGTTCGAACATCCACGGAGTATGAACGAAGTCATGGCTATCGAGCTGGGAAAGATCGTTGCTTGCGACGGGCCACGAGGAAAAGGGACTGTTAGTCAACTTTGTAGATCGTCTCGGTTTGGGGATGTTAAGTGGCCAATTATCGTTAGACGTTGATGCTTATATGTCAACCTGACGAAATGGATCCGAAGATCAAGATGATGCTAGGTATTTCGACTTTTTAAGCCATAGGGGATGTGTGCTGCTAGAGCCAAGTGGTAGGTCAATACCTTACAGTCTGTCTGTTATATAGAATATATATAGTTCCGGTCACGCGAGGAAGATGCTGACAGACATGTACATAACCATGCTCGCTTGAGATATTCATTATCCTCCGAGTATTGCCTTGTGACAGGTCATTCAATTATTTATGAAGCTATACTACCCCGTCGAACCCCCCAAACAACCCAACAACCCCCTCCAGGACATGAAAACAGTCGAAGCATTCCACCGCAAGCGGAGTATGTTCTCGGGGAAATATCTCAAATGATCCATCATCCACCAGGCCATGCGGGTCTTTATTGGGAGAATCGACCCGTTCCTGGCCCACTGCCATCCATAGATAGAAACCGCGACTAAACCGAAGCCAGCGCCAGGGCCCACCGATGTTTTGGTCAATCGGACTGATCGTCGTCCCCCAGGGCCTGGACCTTGGTTTGGCGAGAAGTTGGAAATTAGTGCCGGTCGCTTTCTTGTTTTTTCGCAGCGTTTAATTTGCGAGGGCTTGACAAGGTGAAAGGTGACAGATATGTATGGGCACCAGGGAATCCCACGGTCGGCATCCTGCGCAGTATCGACTCGAGCATTCCTCGTCTGCAATCAATCCCAAACATTGGCAGCAAGCCACGCCCATTGTTTCGAAACGGGATATTTATTATGATGCCCTTCATTTAATTTACCCCATTCCCGAGTCGACACCGAATGCCGCAGCATCCGGGAGGACTGTAGCCTCAGGAGACTGACTGCGAGAAGGCTGGCTGACTGCTGGACAGGATCAGGCCAAGACTTTCCCCTCTCTTTCTCTCACCGTCTAGACTCTACGCCGTGCGAAGGACCGGCAGGGTGCATCGAGACGGTACCTGGCATGGACCATAACGTGTCCTGCATCGTCCCTCGTACTGATTCGCTGCAAACGGCCTCAGCCCGGATACCTGCCCAGTGCAATCCGATTCCCTCCCGGAACGGACATCCTGGTATGAGTTCTTGTCGATCCCTACCTGTGGCATGCCGGAAACAACCAACACCGCCTCTCCCCCCTTCCCGATGTCTCCGTGGTCCGATCTGAGAATCCTCCATTACCATTATTGAGTTTCGGTCGCAGAGGGAAGGAATATCGAGATGCGCTGCCGAATAGGGTGCTTCGTGAGTGTCATGTCATGCCATCCATGCGCAGGGTCAGGGAGTCGAGAGACCGGCAGCTGGTTGTGGGGGAGAGGACCAGGCAAGATGAAGGGGAATCCTTATTATAGGAACAATTATTAGTTGACCATGCCGAACTACCCCGGGGGGCTTGTTTGTTTGTGCAACCCATTCCTCTCCTGTTGCGAGGGCGTTGGGAAGGAAATATTCCGGCCTTCAGAGAGTCACACCTTCCCGGGCGGACGGTTGTGTTAAGAATCCTCGCAGGTGAGCGAGTCTAACGTGGATTGGAGATACTAGATGGAAATGCACTCCATCTATAGAGTATAGACCGTCAGAATCTGCGCTCAACCCGGGAAATCTGGGATCGTTCCAAGATTCAACAGAGTTCATCGCATTTAAATCCATCGATTGTTCCCACTCTTTTCGGTGGCCGGGCTCTTCTAGCCTGCTACTAGAAGGAGCTACGACGGACGGCGTTTCAGCTTCGACGGAGTGGACTATACTATACGCAGGACTCCCGGAAGAAAGAGTTTGTTCTCTCGATTCGGCTTTCGTTTCCTCCCCCGAGAGGAGACGGAGGGGCGCACTAAACCGACCCAAACCTGAAGCAGGCGCAGCCCAAGTCCCAACTGATAGCCTCAAGCTGATTGCGGCGGGCGAAACCCGGTTTTGACCTCGACCAACCGACCCCAAGTGGGCTTTTGGGCGACGGGAGGATGTGCTTTGGCTGGACTAACGGGCGGTGGGTTTTTTTCTTTCGCTGTCGTGTCTCATTTTTTTTTTTTTTTTTTTTTCTTTACTCTTCTCTTTCATCCACCTCCATTATCCTCCGTAGTAATTAATGGGGATTTGGATGATTCTGATTAGTTCCACGCCGTAGGATTGGGCGATTAATTGCCCCTTCCCTCGATGCTTTCCCCAGCAGCTATTTGGAGCCGGTGGGAGTTCGTCGGATGCATGATGAGACATGGAGCTGGAGATCAAAGACATCAATCTATATCCAGTAAACATTATTAATCTGTAATCCGTCTGCCACCCGATCGCCGACGAGGTGTGCGCCTTGTGCTGGAATCCCTGCATTACAGACGAGATTATATGCCAGAAGTATACGATTACGGAGCCAATGCTGCTACCTAATCGCGACTTTCGCAGCGATAATCCGCCAGGCTAATGTGAAAAAGAGACTCCCCGGCATTAGTCTCTCCTATCGGTTCGACTGCATAGACTGAATATTGCTTCCAGTTTCAGGGCCACCAAATAGTCACTTCATGCTCTGGCCTCATCGGATTCACCAGATTCCAACGACTGTTTTCGCATCATCGCAGTCAATCCGGCCGGGTTATCGCCTCCTTGGCTCCGTTTCCGGTTCGAGCGCTGGCGGGGGATCCACGACCGTTGAGAGAGTAGTGACTATTGGTCTGTAGCAGAAGATCAGAAAAAGAAATAAAAAAAAGGAAGAGAAAAAAAGGGAACGGAAAAAATAAAAATAAAAAAAAAGGAAACCGAAAAGAAAAAAGAAAAGGAAAAGATAACTGGCAGGCCATAAGCTGCTCTCCTTCTGGGCTGTTTTTCCGCCTAAAAGTGACCCATTCCATCGTGCTTTCAACTGCAACCTCTCTTGACTCCCTTCCCCCCATCAGGCTCTATCGGACTGATTGATTGATTGAACTGACTGCACTGTCTGCTCTCCTCCTCCCTTTTCTCTAATCCCTCCGCTCCCCCCCCTCTCCATCCCATCCCATCCTCTCCCATCCTCTCCCTATCTCTCCCCCTACAACCTTTTTTCACCGTTCTCTCCTTTCGTTTTTTTTTTATCCCTTTTCGATTCTCAATTCGTCCGTAGTGTTTTTTTTTTAGTGATTCCCCTTACCTTCGTTTTTCTTGAATCGTCTCTTTCCCTTCCCTCCCGTCGCCTGGACCCGGCTTCTCTTTTTTCGATTCTTTTAATTTTCTCGTCCTTGACCAGCCTTCGGAATCGCCCTGGCTTCGGTCGCCATTTTGCCTTCGTTGATCTCGTGGAACTTCTCGCCAATCGCGCCGTTCTAGTGCCATCGAGGAGGTTCCTGGCTCCAGCCCAAACGGTCCATCGATTCTGTCGACTTTTTGGCTGGCGGGAAAGCTTCCTTCCATTTCGGTTCGATCATCATGGCTCCTCCGCCGCGCTTGCGCATTTTATCAGGTGTGTACTCTGGCCCCGTCAAAGATCTGCACTTCTTGGTTTCCTTCATTGTCCCGACCTGCTTTCCGTCAAGAACTTTCCCTGCACTTCCGACAATGTATCCACTGGACCGGTATCTAACGCGAGTCTGTGTAGTCGGGAGCAATGCTATTTCGGCCTTCCTGTCCTGGAGACTCCAGGCGACCACCTCATGCGACGTGACGCTGGTCTGGAAATCGGGCTTCGACGCGGTGGCCCAATACGGCGTTTCTTTCAAGTATGGCACTACTTTCTTCGGGACCCCCTTTCCCCTCGGACGATTTTACTCACCGGCGATTTCGTGTCTAGGTCGAAAGCTTTCGGGAACGAACGGTTTAAGCCCCGACACGGTATGTTTTCTTGAGCCCTTGCCTTAGAAAGAAGCCCGGAGACTAACGCGTGGTTTTGCAGTGGTCCGTACGCCGGAAGAAGCTTCGTCTCGAGAGAACACCTACGACTATGTCATCCTCTGCGTGAAGGCCTTGCCTGATATCTACGACCTGGCTTCCGTTATCGAATCCGTCGTTACCCCTCAACATACCTGCATTCTTGTGAACACAACAAACACCCTGGGAGTCGAGTCGCATCTGGAGCAGCGGTTTCCGACAAACGTCGTCCTTTCGCTGGTTTCGGGGGTGGAGATTTCGCAGATTGGAGCGAGCGAGTTCGAACACTTGAACTCGTCGGACATTTGGATTGGCTCCACCAACAAGCAGACCAACATTCCGAGCTCCATTCAAGGCGATATGGCGGCTGCGTTAGCGATGACGCTGGGATCGGGGCAGGTGAACTGCAAGGTATCGAATAATATCCGACAGGAACAGTTTGAGCGCATGATAGGGTGAGTCCCAAAAAAAAAGCTCCTATCGGTGATTCCTCATTGGAAACAGGGCTAACCCCTCAACAGACCAATTGCATTTTACCCAGCTAGTGTAATGTTTGATACTGGCAACCACGGGCAGCTTCTTGAGAAGGTTGGTGTGCGTCAATTAGTCACGGACATCGTCCAGGAGCTTCTCGAGCTGGCCAAAGCAAACGGGTGTTCATTCCCAAGTGATTTCAGCGAAAAGACCATCGCGAGCATGACTGCCAGTGGATCGCCCAGCACAATGTATCAGGATTTCCAGGCCCGACGTCCGATGGAAATCGAAACCTACCTTGGATCTCCCATCAAACTGGCGACCGAATCAAACGTCCGTATCCCACGCGTCGAAACCCTTTACGCAGTGCTTCATCACCTCAACGCCACCAACCTCAGCAAGCCCCGCGACTCCCCGCCTCCTGTGGCGGCCCCGGCGGCTGCTGGTGCCCCCGTGCCTCCCGGTCCCCCCGGTCCTCCCCCTCGCATGTCTTCCGCTCCCCCTCCGAGAGCCATGATGAATGGTCCCATGCGTCCGGGTCCCGGCGGAAGAACGAGCACCGGAATGCCAATGCCCGGCAGACGGGGACCCCCGGGACCGCCGATGCCCGGGATGATGAGACCTGGCAGTGCCCAGCCTCCGTCGAGTAAAATGCCTCCCCGCGAGCCTTCTCTGGAGGGTCTCGAGGAGTTCAGCCACCTTGTCGTATATGACGACGGGGCCGGCGGCGGCGAAGGCGGGCTACCTCACCAGAACGGCGGCAGCAACGGCTTCCCCGACATGCCCCCCGGGCCCCCGGGATCGGCCGATCTGGCGTTGAGAGAACGGGAGCTGGCGATCCGACAGCGCGAGTTGCAGATCCGTGAACAAGAAATGATGAGCATGCGGCGAGGCCCCCCTCGCAGAGGGCCCCCGCCCAAGGCCGCCTTCGACGAGGAGGATGAAGATGACTATTTTGACCCCATGGATGCCCTTCCCATCCCCAACATCGACCCCGACAGTGTGGATATGATGAGCATCACCTCCCGAAAGGCCAAGAAGGTCCCGAGTGCCAGCCAAATACGCAAAAACCCCGAGTTGGGCACGATGCCCCCGCCTCCCAGCCGGCCGGGCTCTTCTTTCAGCCGGTACTTCGGCGGTGGAAGGAAGCGAGCGAGCGACCGAATCATGCAGGAAATCCCTGGGCTTCATGATTCGCTTATGGACAACCCCATGATGGCGTACTCATCCAACCGTTACGGTGCAGTCGACAGGAATCATATGGCCGCCGGATCGCGGGCCAATTCGCTCACGGCCAGCCGGATGGGTGACTACCCTCCGCACCCTTATCCCCAGAGCCGAAGGAACAGCCAGTCGCCCGCGACTCCCTACGGTCCTCCCGGCCCTCGGATGGGCCGCCCCGGGACCGCCCAAGACCAGCACCTAGGACCTCCCCACGGCCCTCCTCACGGCGGCCAACCGTCGCCGCCCGGACAGATGCGAGCGCCTGTTCCCAGGTACCCACCTGGGCAAGGTAATGCGGTAGGTCCGCAACAAGTTGAGCAACATTATGGGGTGAGCAAACCGTATTCCGCCAAGGGCACTCCCAAACATAGAAGTCTGACCGGAAGTGCGAGCGCCAGCGCGGAGAGTGGTGATAGCGGGGCCAGTGCCAACCTTGATTCCGAGAACTCGGCGCATAGCAGCCAAACCAGCCTCGGTGCTCAGCAACCAGCTGCGATGCCCGTTCGTTGAGAAGAAGAAGAAAAAACAAATGAAGAGATAGACCGAAGGACGATATTGCCCGTTGTCTTCCCCTCCTACCTCTCTCCATTTCCCATATCACACCATCTCCTTCTCTCATCCGATCTCACGACTGAGCTAGCTCGCTCTCTTTCCTTTCCCTCTTTTCCTTCAAGAAACCCAGTCTCAAACCCGCTCTATACTGCACTTGTCTGGTATTTCTTTTCCAAGAAAGCCCCCCCCCCTTCATCTGGTTTGTTTTCTTTCGTCCAAGAAGCATTTTTAATCCATTGTTTGGCAGAAGGAGGGCAGGCGAGGGCTCAAATTTTATAACTCTGTTGTTCAGTTCTTTGCATATACACAGGGGGACATACGGGGTCATCTTTCTCTCGATTCACGTTTTCCTTTCTCTACTTTGGAGTGGTCGGGCGCGTTGCGTGTGTGGGTTTCTTTTGCATGTGGTGTTTCGCTTGCCTTTTTCTCTTTCCCAGTCTCTTTCTCTTTCTCTTACCCTTAATGAGGGCGAGCAAGGAAGCTCGACCCGACAAATACGAATCGTCATCTTGCTCATGACCACCTCGAACGTCCATAATTGCCCACCGTGCATTACATGCTTTCCTTTTACTTTTTCCTTTTTACTTGCATAAAAAGATCGTTGTACACTATTTACCGAAGGCGCCGCATCTTTTCTCGAGCTTTCATTTTGTGTGGACGATTCATCCTGCAACTTGACCAGGTTTTGTGACATGCGCCTGCATTCATTTGTATCTCTCCTTGTGTCTACCCTATTTCTTGTTCTATTCCACGGTCTGGGGCCACTCAGCGGCTTTGATTTCGTGGCCTGGTTTCGGCGAAAAATAAAGAGAGAAGCAGTACCTGTTTGATTCAGTTGTGGTTTGAATTGGCTGGGTTCGTCTTGCAGTTTTAGAACCCTGGCCAGTAAATGGCATGTCATCCTGCTTATTTGATAGAAGTTGAGAATGAATGAGTCTTGAAATGAGTTTGATCGATAGAATTAAGAGTAATTTTACAGATTTAAGAGGGAGTAGCGATGCTCGACCCATGGATGCCGAGATTGCAATAGAGATAGCGGCACGTGACCTCTCCACTGAAAGTAAACAAACATCTTAACTTTCCCTCGACCCAATCCACCTCAACTTCATCCAACCTCGCCCATCCCTACAAACAAACCACCCCAGCAGAACCGAAATCCAACACCATGCCTCCATACCACCAATACACCCACAGCGCCGGCACCGGCATCCCCAACCCTTACAGCAACACCCGCCCCTCTTCCACCAACTTCCCCGCCACCGCAACCCCCTCCATGCACATGAACATGAACATGCACGGCACCACAAACCCAGCCTACTCCGGCTCCGGCTCCGGCTCCGCAGCAGGGACAGGGTCCAGCATGTCCGCCACCAAAACGCGCCAGTATGCGCAACTCCACGCCTCGCTGGCGCAGTTGAACGCGAACCTCTCGGACACGCAGAATCTAGTGCGCATGACGGCCGTGCAGGCGCAGGATATGCGGTTCTTGGGCGGGTATGTCGGGGCGCTGTTTATGGGGTCGGCGAAGGTGTTGGGCGAGGAGGGGGTTAAGGTTGGTTCTGGTGCTGGGGCTGGCACTGCTGCGAAAAGTGAGGAGGATGCGGATGCCGATGGGGATGTTTATATGGATGGGGAGGGGGTGGTGAGGGTTAAGAGGGAGAGTTAAGTTTAGGGTTCTGCGTGATTATGGATATTTTGATGATTGGGTTTTGGATCGGGTAGGTTTTGTTATGTTGTGGTCTATTGGTTGGGTTTATGAGGGTCTAGGCTAACTATCGACTAACTGATTATTAGATGTCTGGCGGATTCAACCATCGTTATGTTCGCTCGCTCGCTGTGACCATCGCATCGCTCGGAGAAGGAGTTGCGATTTCGATTTCGATTCGAAACTCAGCTGTCGACGACGAATCCTCCGCCCAGAATCACTGCCGGTTCTTCGATGTTATGATGCTCGTAACTGATCGGTTCGAGTAGGGTTAGCAAGATCCTCTTGTGGAAATCCTCAAGGCAAACGCTGCTCACCTCAACGTTCCCACACCTCCCGCTTCCAGAATCAGCGCCGTCTCCGTCAACGGCTTCCCCGTCCACCGCATCGCGAACGCACGCAGGATGTGCCCGTGCGCGACGATCAGCACATCGCCCTGCTCGCTCGGCGAGGACCCGTCGAAGCACGGACCGTGGTGCTTCTGTCTAATGTCGGCGATCACGGCGTCCAGGCGCCGGACGACATCTTCAGGGGATCTAGGTAGCATGCCATGTTAGCCGGAGAATGAACCCATATAGAACATCCACAATGAAACCAAAAGGAAAGAAAAAGACAAGACATACTCTCCCCCAGGACACCCATCTCTCCAAATATCCCACGCCCCTTCTCCCTTCTGCGCCCGCATCTCGCGAATCTGCTTACTCGTCAACCCCTCGTAGTCGCCGTAGTCCCATTCGCGCACCGCCTCCGTCACCTCCACCTTGGCCTCCGTGCGAATCGGCTCCTCGTCCTCTGGCGCCCTTCTCTCCGTCCACGGCAGACGCTCGCGGCAGCCGAGATCGAGGAGCTCGAGTGTCCGCTGGGCGCGCGCACGGGGGGAGACGTATCTATCCACAGCATCAATCACCCGGTTAGCCTTTAGCCCTTACGGAATATTCGGGAGGGTTGGGCAGGTTGGCCGGGGTGGGGGGATAGTTGAGGGTGAGAGAGAAGGGAAACAAACACATGGACCAATTTCCTCGGCGCAATGAGCCGGTCATTCCCGACGAGCGCCTTCCCCGTTGATTTTATTCGCTTCTCGCCGTTGGCTGTGAGCGGGAGGTCTGTGATGCCGGTGTGGCGGCCGTTCAGGGACCATTCGGTCTCGCCGTGGCGGATGATGAAGCAGCGGGGGGCCATGGTTTATTTTCTGCTGTTTGGGCCTTGGCTTAAGCTTGAGGTTGGGGTTTTGGGTAGAGGGTAAAGGGGCTTTGGATTGGATTGGATTGAAGTGGGAAGAGGAGGGAGAAAAGAAGACGATGGAGTGAGATTTACTGTTACTTCCATGCCTTGGAGGTGGGGGTCCTTGCGTCATAGCTTTGGGTTTGGCTGCTTATCTTTTCGGGGTTGGGGATCGTCGGATTGTTCAGGGTGGATTTGGAGTGTGGAGTATCTACGTATGCTATATAGTGGAACTTGATAGGTATTGGGTTAATAGAGATTATAGCATCCATATGTATTAATTTTGAGCATTAGCAAGGCAATTGATCTACCTACTGCCCTGGTAGTAAGTAACATTGAGAAAGGGGGTTGTTGATCCTTGATTTGGAGGTCAACTCAACCAACTCTCAGGATTAATGTGAAGAATGATATTTGCACGGAAAAACAGAGTCTTTAAATAAGATTGTTCCAAAATATTTCTAGACGATAATGACTGCAATGTCTACCTACCTATGGAGATATCCTGGCCTACTGTATACTACATCGAGATCTGATTGGACGATAGATCCACGTCTGCTTATGTCATGCGGATACACGAATCAATTTCGTCGGGCATGCAAAGTACTTCTTCATTGTTCTTGCATTGCATCTTTGGCGTATGCCATATTGAATACTATTCAACCGTTTCGCATTCAGTTCGAGAATCGGAATATGATCTGAGCAGTCACCAGGGTTGAATCCAAAGAACCACCAAACCAACCCATACGGTCCATACCCCGCTAGAACCAGAGGGCAACCCAAAGACCATTGAAAGATGCCCGTCAGGAACAAAATCCTAAGAGACACCTCTCTGCTCTCGGGGAAGCCTCTTGCGGAGACTCTCACTCCCTCAAAGGTCCTCGCCACTCCTTCAGAAGAATGGGTAACCTCCCCAGACCTGGCAGAGCCCCGTCTGCCCTACATCCCGGAGATCATGGAAGATGTAACGGTCTACCTTCTGAGCAACATCAATGTCAACTCGAGCCATCTGTTCCGGGCTGACATCCTGCACGACAGCCTGGGGCTGCTGAAGACGCCGTGGCAGAAGGAAAGAGACCATGCTCCTGGTTCTGGTGCCCAGCCTGAGCCTGAGGCCGCAGAGGAAACAGTGGACCCGCTCCCTGCCAGGGACGTTCCTGGGTTCGAATTGACCAGGACCGTGGTGAGACGGTTTATTCCTCGGAACCCGCAGCTGGATCGGGAGCTGGACCAGACGTGTCATTTGTATGATAGGATGCAGGGCAGGGATGGGGAGGAAGACTTGCCAGCTTCGCGGGACGTGCTGGTCGTGTATACGCCTCATGCAACCTCCAAGGAAGATACGCCTTACTATCATCCTCAGATCCGGGCGTTGGCCATCCTATACCAGTTCGAGTATAAGAATACTGAGACAACGGAAGCAGAGGAGACGCCGCCTGGCTCGGGTACCCTCTCTCTACACTTCCTCCCCTTCGCCGACGAGGAAATCTCCAACCGTCTGGAACGCACCTTCAGTGCCCTCATCAACACCCAGATCCGCCTTGCGCGCGGAACCCGTCTCTCCAACACCCCTGGGAAATCCAACGGGGAGGGCCAAAGCCGAGGAGGCGGAGAGGGTCGTGGTGGCGGCGACAAGCCCAATAAAGACAACATCATCCCGCAGCATCTGGTGCAGAACACCTACTCGCGACTGAAGATGAAATACGGCCCCTCCCTCTGCCGCGACTGGGTCGAGTCCACGGAGCCCAGCAAGCACGTCTTCGAGGATCTCAGCATCACTGCGTTTCTGATCGAGCTGTGGCGAAGCATGTATGGCGTTTGTCCTGCCGACGAGCGCTCCCAGGAGAATGGCAGCTCAAGCAACGCAGGTGCAAACCCACGGCCGAGCTTCCCAGGCTTCGTGGACATCGCCTGCGGCAACGGCGTGCTCGTCTACGTCCTCCTCATGGAGGGATACGAGGGCTGGGGCTTCGACGCCCGCCGGCGCAAAACGTGGAGCATATTCCCTCCCATGGTGCAATCTCAACTCAGAGAGGGGCTTTACATCCCGAAGCCGTTCTCCGAATCGATTCGTGGCGGTTCATCCGCAGACTGCGAACCCGCCGACGCGTACCTCAACGTGGAGCTCAATCTCGACGTCGATTCCGATTCCGAATCCGCCTCTGAAGACAACGAAGACCACACCCACGAAGAAGAAGAAGAAGAAGAAGAAGAAGAAGAAGAAGAAGAAGAAGAAGAAGAAGAAGAAGAAGAAGACCCCTACTTCGTCAGCGACCTCGACCTCGACCTCAACATCGGCTTGAAATCCCACACCGGTATCTACCGCCCCAACACCTTCATCATCTCCAACCACGCCGACGAACTCACCGTCTGGACGCCTCTCATGGGCGCCCTCTCCAGCCCCGCGTCCCCGCTCCCCTTCCTCGCAATCCCCTGCTGCTCGCATGCCCTATCCGGCTCGAAACACCGCTATCCACCACCCAAGCCGAACCCTCAAACCCAGACCCAGACGCAACAAGACGACCCCAACCCCAACGCAGAAGAAGGCGAAGACCCCAACACCGACGCCCACGGCTCCCTCGCCTCCCTGCGCAAAGCCAAACTATCCTCCCAACCCGGCGCCACCGGCTTCTACAAATCCACCTACGGCGCCCTCACCGCCAAAACAATGTCCATGGCCCAGGAGATCGGCTACGGCGTCGAAAGCACGATGCTCCGCATCCCGAGCACCAGGAACATGGGCGTGATTGGCGGCCGAGAGGCCGTGACGAGGGAATGGCGCGTGAGGAGGGAGCGCTTGAGATTGGGATCGAAGGCGAATGCGGATTCGAAGGCGGATTCGAACGGGGCTGAGACTGTTGCGAAGGTCATGGATGTGGTGAACCGCGAGTGTCTACGTGATGGGGGCGTGCGAGCTGCGGCGGATATCTGGGTGGAGCGCGCGAGAGGCATTGTTGCTGGGCCGGGGAGGGGGAAGGAGGTTGGGTTTAGTGAAGGGCATTGATTTATCTACGTATCTAGCTAGGGGTCATGTATATATGAAAGAGGGAGGTAGAAAGAACTTATATTGGTCGGTTTACGTACATACTGTATATAGACTATAGAGCGATACTAGGTGCCTATAACTCTGGACTCTATTCTTTTCCAGTTAAATCACAGTATTCATGAGCGGCGACTAAATACCTACCTACCTATGTACCTATATAAACCAGTCTATAGATCGAATCGAAGGAGAATGAAGACCACCCATCCATCTCACGAAGACAAGACTGAAAATCTAATTTACATTGACATAACCCCAAAACGAAAAGAGAAAGCAAACCAAATCCAAATGAAGGAAGGTAAAAAGGTCCATACTCCTGCTAACTATGCGAGTGATTAAGATAAGATGCGATTTAGTTCCAGAGAAGAGAGCCCATTCCATCCATCCATCGTTTCTATCTGTACACGGCGATGGCCCCGAATTGCCACCTACCTGGCTGACTCTAACACAGAGCTGGCCATGACCACGGGTATTATGATTTACGACTTATGGCAGCTTAGTGCTTGGGTCCATCTTGAGCCGAATGAGCCTGCTTTAAAACGTTAGCCCTCTGGGCCGTGGCGTCCGCCGCGACAGAGCGAGCCGCCGCCGACGCGGCCGCGTTATCCTTCAGACGCTTCATTCTTTCCGAGCGGCCTTCACCCGGAAGACTGCCCCAGACGGGCTCGATGGAGTCGGCGCGCCAGTTGGAGCGGTGGCCGGCGAGGCCGCCGCCGCGGGTTGGGAAATGGACCATGGGCGAGCTGCCGGCGCCAGCTTCGCCCCACATGCGGACGCGCTGGAGCTTGCGCAGCTTGGCGAGGCCGTAGACGCAGACGACGGCGGTGATGGCGAAGCAGGTGACGGAGACGCCGCCGAAGCCGAAGTCGGACTCTTCGATGAAGTTCTTCAGGTTCATGCCGTAGAGCGCGGAGAAGAGGGTCCCTGCGGCGAGGGCGAGGGTGCCGATGCTGAATTTGAGGTCCAGGAGCATGAGGGAGTTGCGGTTGGCGTCGAGGATGGCTTTAACTCTGTGGTATCAGGTTAGTGGGTGTTGGTGGGTGGGTGGGTGGTTGGGAGATAAGGGTATGGGGACGTACACTTCCTCCGTGTTACGGATCCCAGTGACCAAGTTGCCGCTGGCCTGGACAATCTCATCGCATACTTTATGATACGACTCCAGGAGCATCTCGACCTCCTGATGGTCGTCCTCCTCTCGTTGAATGCCCTTCGCACTCTCGGTCAAATACATCGCGGCCAGATCGTCATCCGCCTCCAAGAGGTCGTCGATGGCGTCTCGCACCAGTCGCGCTTTCTGCTCAAACGTACCCAGTCGCTTGGAGTAGATGAGTAAATGCCGCAACTTGTCGCGATCGATGTCCTCCTCCAGCGCCCGCAGGACCCGCACCACCGGCTCCCGCACGCCGTTAAACTCCTCCTCCAGCCCGGTCGTCACGCTGATCAAGACCGCCTCGAGAGCACGGAACTCGTACGGCAGAGCTCCGGCACCAGGCGACTGCCCCTGTCTCTGCCGCAGTTTGCCCTCCAGGTCGTAGACGAACATCGACTGCATGTAGGAATCCGTCGAGCCGTACGCATCGAAGACGAGAACCCGGTCCGCCTTGATCAGCACCCGCAGGTGCAGCAGGTTGATGAGGATAGCGCTCGGTCGCACCAGGATGTGCGGCAAAGTCGAGGAGTCGATTTTGCGGAGATCGCGCGGAAGAAGCCCATACTGCGAAGTCACTCAATGTCAGCGTCCTGCCCGACCATCAATGCCGTCTGTCCAATCACCAACTATCAACCCACCTTCGCGATCAATTCACTCTTCCTGAAATCCCCATTGACCAGAGTCACGTTCCCGCTGCTGTCGAACTCCGTACATCGCAATCGTGGCTCATTCGACGCCTTCGCCGCGAGTAGACGGCCTCCGAAATTCAAGCTTCCCTCGGTGCCTTCGTCGATCAGCGCCGGCCCGGGGGCGCGGTGCTTCGCTTCGGCGGCGGTCTTGCTGCGTCGGAGGTCGAAGAGTCTGCGGAGGAGGGGCCGGGCATGCGAAGACGAGGCGCGACACGAGAGCGGGTTTATCGGCGGAAGAACGGCGCAGGGACGATGGCGTGACGACGACGGGCCCGGACTCTTACGCGGTGACAAGGACGGCAGCAACCCTGCTTGCACGGTCGCGTGGCATCGCGCCGGGGTGAGATGCGTCCAGTTCGACGAGGAGTCGAGCTGCGGCACGCAGGACGGTCGGCTGCGCGATGCTTTCCGCGCGGTAGAGTCGCGGGTCGATGGATTCGCGGTGAAGTAGAGGAGCGAGTCGGTCTGGGAACGCAAGAATCGGAGGAGCGACGTCGAGGGAACGGTCGATTTCAAAGGCGACGCGGACAGCATATCGGTCTTGCCGGGGTGAACAAGCCGCCGTCAGGAATGATGAGGAGACCTGATGTCTCTCTGCTTGGGTGATTCTTGTATATAATTTTTTCTCGTTCGGAATTGCGCTGCGGACGGAAGACCTCGGGCTAATGATGATCCGACGGTATACTTTGGCCCAACACTTTCGTTGGATTTAGTTGCCTAGAGACTACGGAGTATACGACAGTAGGATTCTCTACGATGCAGACAAATGATCGGTCTTAATGATTGTATTCCTAGCTACTGGCTTGCCATAGATCCACCCGGAATCTACACACGCCACTTCCCATATCGACTCAACTTTTCCCCACAAAGGGTTCAGGACAGTGTTCAAGCACCTCGCGGAGTATGATGGTAATGAAGATGCGTATAGGACATGGAATCACGATGAAAGAAAGAACGAGAAACGCTGACCAATGCAGGTATCAAGTAAAGCGCAACAAGTCTAACCCACAATGACGGTAAAGGATATTTGAAAAAGAAAGCAAGGATAATAAAAAGAATATACCGTCCGACATTTACCAATCATCGTCGTCTTCCTTCTCGTCATCTGTAGTCACTCACGTTAGAACCAGACACAACGCTAAAGGGGTGAGAATCAACTTACCGCTTCCTCGAACCTTCCCCTTTCTCTTGTCCAGAGCCTCTTGTAGAGCGCCTGCCAGGCCTCCCTGGGGAGGACGTGCGCCACGGGCAGCCCCTCCAGAAGGTTCGTTCGCACCTCCTGGAACTGAGGCTGCACTCCGGTCATTCTTCTCCGAGTCCTTGACCTTGCGCAAGCCTCCGCCTCCTTTGCCTCCGGACGCCCTGATCGCAGACAGGAGATCATCTCTACCGCCAGAAGGCTTGGGCAAGGGGGGCGCAGCTCCTCCAGGGGGTGGCGGTGGGGGTGCCCCAGCGCCAGGAGGAGGCGGCGGCGGTGGTGCTCCAGCCCCAGGAGGAGGAGGGGGTGGTGGTGCTCCGGCTGCCGGGGGAGGTGGCGGTGGCGGCGCTCCGAAGCCAGGAGGCGGCGGGGGAGGGGGAGGAGCTCCTGCACCTGGTGGGGGTGGAGGTGGAGGCGGAGCTGCAGCGCCCGGGGGAGGGGGCGGAGGGGGAGCTGCCGATCGAGGGGGAGCGGGTCCGGCTCCCGGAGGAGGGGGCGGAGGGGGAGGAGGAGCTCCTCCGGCAGGCGGCGGCGGAAGCGGCGGGGAGCTGACCGCGGGAGGGGGTGGTGGTGGTCGCGTTGAAACGGCTGGTGCCGGGGGAGGCGGCGGGGGAACTGGGGAGCCGCGCTGGCAGACGGAGGGGGTGGAGTAGGCCGGGAAAGAGCCGGCACAGGTGGCGGCTGAGCCGGACTTCTCGGAGGCGGCGGCGGAGGAGCTGGCGCCGATGATTGAGCATGGGGAACCTTGGGGGGGAGCTGTGGTGGTGACGCCGGGCTCATCGTCCGGGGAGGCGGCGGCGGGGGTCCTCCGGGCCCGGAGTTGCGACTCGGGGGTGCAGGAGGAGCAGAGACCTTCCGTTCCCCTGCGAAAGGCGGCGGAACTCCGAAGCGGCCTTGCGATTGGTCTTCCATAGGAGTCTTTGGGGGCCGGGGAGGCGGCGGTGGCCCCGGGTTGGTACCCGACATGGCACGTTGGCGACTGGGGGGTGCAGGGCCAACGGTATGGGCGAATTTGCCGGCATCCGCAATTGGGGGCGGCGCGCGGAATCTGGGTCGGGGAGGAGATGGCTCCCGATTCGGTGCAGGCGATTCGTCGCCCGCATCTGCGCGCGCCTTGCGCGACGGCGGCGGAGGAGGAGGAGCGCCTCGTCGACTGCCCGTGCTGTTTCCAGTGTTCTGCGGGCTGATGGTGGTTGACTTGGGGGCAGGAGGGGCAACCGGTGGAGGCGGCGGAGGTGCCTTTCCCCTTCTCTGCTCATCACCAGAGGGCGAGGGCGAGGTGTCTGCTCCATTGGCTTGCTTCTGCTCAATATATGACTTGATGAAATCGGAGTTGTCTGCGATCTGGTCCTCCGTGATTCCCATCTGCACCAGCTCGTCCAACAGGCCTTTCATGGACGGGTCACTGGTGTCGAAAGGCATTGACTTGTGAGGTGGGCTCTTGCTCGGTGGAGGCGGAGCAACCTGGATCGAGGGTGCCGGGGGAGTTCCGCGGGTGTGATCGCTGGTGCATTGGAAGCCGTGCTTGACCGATGACCCAACAGACTGCCGAATAGCGAACGTCCCACGCCAGACTTTCCATTCACCACCGGAGCAGGGCCCTGGCCTCGTGTAGATGCGAACGGTGTCTTCAGGGTCTCCTTGTTTGCGCTCTTCTCCCGCTCGTGCACCTTCTTGATGAAAGTTCTGGCTTCCTTGTCATCCGCGAAAGAAAACCCCGCGAGGCAATCCTCCAGCTCGAAGGTATGAAAGAATAAGCGATCCTGGTTGTACTGGAAGTTCTCATAGATCTCTTGATCCCAAAGAACACCTCTGTTGGCGGGCTATGACTCGGTGAGGCAGAGATACGTCAGCGATCCATTGACCGGGGCTGCGAAAGGCAAGGAGGGTCTACTCACCGATACATCCACCAGCTTCAGCCAAAAGGTGCGCCCGACCAAGTCGTTCGCCAGCACTGCAGCCCCCTGTAGGCCGGTGTAAGTCCAACTCTGGGGATCTGGGTACGCCACGTAAAGTCGCGCAACGGCTACTGCGATGATTTTGTTCGCCGACTTGGGGACCATCCGCTTGACGGTCTCTCGGTCGGTGTCATTGAGGATGGACGGCATGACGGCGGTGGAAACGACCGGTCCAAGGCCCGTAGACTAAGTCGGAGTAGCGCGGAGGGGTGTGAATGTGTTTTAAGTGATTTCCCGGGAACACATTGCAGGTGAGGGGTGGGCGCTGCAGGCAGAAAGATCACGGTGCGCTCGTCTCCTCAGGCACGGATGGCTGCTGATGCGGGAGACGCAGGCCGAACGACGGGAAATCACGAGGCGATGGCGAGATTTCCCGGAAAGGAGGACAAATCCAGTCGAAGGTATAAATAAATATACCGAAGGAGAAGAGGGAATTGAGGGGGCGGGAGGCGAGAAAGACAAGGGAGTTGGCGGGCGGAAGTCGGGTTGGGGCAGGAGAGAGAAGAGGTCAAGTAGCAGGAAGAGTCACTCCTCAGTCCTCACTACTAACCAGTCCTAGTAGCCGCCCGAGCCAGCCTCAGGCCCCCAGGTTCTCCGCGGCGTCCTGAGGCACCAGGCAGTCTTATTCTTCTACACATAACTAACTATACGCGGTATATCTGCCCTATTCGCAAAGTCCATCTCTCTCAGTAATCCACCCTGACCCTTCTGGTCAACCTGCATACGGTGCCACCAAACGGCCGCCCGACATGCCCGCCATGATTCGACCGAGGCCTGCCAGATCCAATAAATCGACGGAGACAGTCTTCTCATTTGGCCAACCCTGCTGAATGTTTTGTGCGCCCACCGCCAAGTCTGTCCCACTGTGGGCGACCGACGTCATCCCGTCTGCCTACAGATTTATATACTTCGTAGAGCCATTTCTGACTTCTTTCCTCCTAACCACTGCATCCAACTAGCATTCATCCTTCCACAGGTTCTCTATCTGAAACTAGCCTTGTTGTCATCTACCAAGCCTCACACTTTCTCACGCCATACCTCTTCGCTAACAAAATGCCTACCATCCCCTCCGATCCTACCAACTTCCCATCGCTGGAAAGCCAAAAGGAAGGCCAGAAGGGAGCAGAGGACAAGCCCAAGGCAACTGCACAGGACTTTCAGTCGAAGGGCCCGCAGATTCCAGACAGTATGTGCTCCTTGCCGTGTCCAACCATGATATAGATATCCCCGCTGGGTGACAAGGTACTAATCCCTTATCTCTTCAGGCATGCCACCCAAAGCCTCCCGAGAGGAGATCGAGGCGCGGATGAAGGAGCTGAACAAATAAACTATATCTATATGCCTGGACCTAGATATTTGTCTTCTTTCTGAGGACAGGAGTCTAGCGGGGCGATGCTTGTAGTTTGCTAGTGATGATGTATGATATGTGATGAATGATATGTTTCCTACAAGTCTCCTTGAATAAACCGACCGTATTCTGTGGAGATCGTACAGGCAAGCTTGTTAGTCTGTTAGTTCCCTCGGTGTTGACGGTTGATGGCCGGTTGACGGTCGTTTGTCGGCCGTTTGCCTGTACGCCGTTCCGTCACCTGTGACAGATTACCTTTCTTGTTTATATAAATCCAAATGCCCCTCCTCATAGTTCAATAAAATCCACTCGCAAATTTCCTGAATCAGGCTTCTTCGTTCTAGTTACATTCAACGGTAGCGCCTTACGTCATAATCCACGTGACCCCGTGTCTAGATCCTCGATTCGCGACGACGACCAGTTCTACTCGCGTCCAGAGGCCCCTCATGCCGCCGGAACGCCCCAATGTCCCGGTGAAGCTGTCCCTGCCGTTGGTATGTCTCTGTATGATCTCTAGACACTATACACGATAACCGATCTGACTGATGACCGCACCAGCAATACCAGCAGGACATCTTTACCGAACTGCGCTCGGAGGATGAGTTGGTCATCCTCGCTCGTGGCCTCGGGCTTTTGCGCCTGATTACGAACCTACTTCATTTTTACGATGCCGCCGGAAACAATCTGGTTCTGGTGGTGGGAGCAGATGATAGAGAGAACGAATGGATTGGGGAAGGTTTGTCTTCGTTATCGCGGTCCGCAGACTTGTCGGTTCTAACCTCCACAGCCTTGGCGGAACACTATGCCATTAGCAAGACTCCCCTCGCTAGGGGTCTCAAGGTGATCAATACCGAAAGAGCTTCTGTCACTATGCGGTATGTACTCCCGTGGATGGGTGCATGAAAATGACTGATGGAAACCCAGAGAGAAGATTTATGCCGGGGGCGGTATTCTGAGTGTGACATCCAGAATACTGGTTGTAGATCTCTTATCGAGTAGGCTGATACCCCCAAACCCTTGTAATCTAGGCATTCTAACACGATTCAGACCTCCTCGATCCCGAGAAAATTACTGGAATGATTGTGCTTCATGCCGACAAGTACATCGACCCTTCTCAAGAACCTATGAATGCATGTATACTGACTCTAGCAGGATCGTGGCAACTTCCACCGAGGCCTTTATCATCCGGATTTTCCGACAGCTCAACAAGCAAGGGTTTCTCAAGGCCTTCTCGGACTCTCCCGAACCGTTCACAACAGGGTTCGCGCCGTTGGCAAACTCCATGCGCAATCTGTTCCTTCGCAAAGCCTCCCTATGGCCCCGCTTCCACGTTACAGTGGCAGAGTCCCTCGAAGGACACAGGAAGGCCGAAGTGATTGAACTTGAAGTTCCGATGAGCGACAAGATGCGCGAAATTCAAAATGCAGTCCTCGAGTGTGTGGAAATCTGCATTGGGGAGTTGAAGAAGGCGAACTCGGGTCTCGACATGGCCGATTGGACCCTCGACAGCGCTCTGCACAGGAGCTTTGATGTTTCGATCAGGCGACAGCTCGATCCTATCTGGCATCGTGTGAGCTTCAGGACTAGGCAAATTGTCAGCGATTTGTCGGATCTTCGAGCAATCCTACAGTAAGTTTTCTGCTCTAATGCCGGCAATTTCGGATGAATTGAATCACCCTAACCGGATCCCAGCGCCTTGCTTACCTACGATGCTGTTTCTTTCATGAAATACCTTGACACCATTGTCACGGCACACTCTCCCCCGCCCGGTTCATCACGGCACAACTATTCGCCATGGCTATTCCTCGATGCAGCCCACGTCTTGTTTCAGACGGCGAAGTCCCGAGTGTATCAAGGCAAAATAAGCAACGACACTCCCTCAACCTTGCAGCCTGTCCTGGAGGCGCAACCCAAATGGGATGTTCTGGCAGAGGTGCTAGAAGAGATTGACACCGATGCATACCTCAACCCAGTCAACGTCGATGAATCAAATAGTACTGTGCTAATTATGTGTTCCGATCAACGAACATGTCGACAGATTCGCGAATACCTCGGAACCATGCATGCTGGCGTGGACGCCGCGAAAGCCGAGGACGACGAGGATGCCGAAGAAGGGAATAAGGACAGGAAAGGATTCGGAAATGTCATCATGCGCAGAAGACTACGGGAGTACCTGAATTGGAAGAACTCTCTGTCAAATGTCAACAAAAACTTGTCGGCTCGACCTGACAATGACGAATCACAAGCCGGCAAGGCCTCCGATTCACCGGCGCCCTCCAATCAGCAACAAGGCAGAGCACCTCCCAACAAGCGACGTCGTGTACGCGGTGGAGGTGCAGTCTCGTCAGCAGCCGCACGAGTGCCGAATAGCAGTGTGCAGACCGACGTTGAGCCGTCAGGTCAAGTGTCGGAACTACTGGACGAAATCCAGCCTACAGAGGTCGAGGAGGCTCAAAAGGAGGAGATTGTGATTGACGACCTCGAAGACATGGAAGACTTTTATGAACTATACGACATGGACAACCTGACCGTGGTGCATCCATACGATGGCGACATGGACGAGCATATACTCGAAGAGATCCGGCCCCGTTACATTATCATGTATGAGCCCGACTCCGCCTTCATCCGGCGAGTAGAAGTATACCGCAGCTCCCATGTGGGACGAAACGTGCGAGTATACTTCATGTACTACGGCGGCTCCGTCGAAGAACAACGATACCTGAGTGCTGTCCGACGCGAGAAAGACTCCTTCACAAAACTGATCAAAGAGAAAAGCGTACGCAAACCCCCTCCCAACTCCCTCCCCCAGACCAACCCACTAACCCTCCCAGAACATGGCCGTCACCATCACCCACGACAAGAGCCTCGAAGACCCCCAGGAGCAATTCCTTCGAACCGTCAACACCCGCATCGCCGGAGGCGGCCGCCTCGCCGCCACAGCCACGCCTCCACGCGTGGTCGTCGACGTGCGCGAATTCCGCAGCGCCCTCCCCTCCCTCCTCCACGGCAACAACATGATCATCGTGCCCTGCCAACTCACCGTCGGCGACTACATCCTGACGCCCGATATCTGCGTCGAGCGCAAATCCATCCGCGACCTGATCACCTCCCTCAAGAACGGCCGTCTCTACAACCAAGCCGAGACCATGCTCCAGCACTACAAGAACCCGCTCCTGCTCATCGAATTCGACCAAAACAAATCCTTCACCTTCGACGCCTTCGCCTCCGCCTCCAACCCCGGCACCTCCTTCCTCACAGACTTCGGCTTCTCCTCATCCGGCACCGCAACCACCTCCCTCTCAGCCAGCAGCTCGCTCGTGAACCCCTCGGGCCCCAAATCCGCCCAACACCTCCTCGTCCTCCTGACGCTGGCGTTCCCCCGACTGAAAATCATCTGGTCCTCGTCGCCCTACCAAACCGCCGAGATCTTCGCCGAGCTGAAGAAAAACAACCCGGAGCCGGATCCGCTCCGCGCCGTCCAGATCGGTCTGGACATGGAGGTTGGGGCCGCGCCTGAAGGCTCCGGTGACATCATGGCGGCGGCGGGTATCGAGCATCGTACGTTTAATCTGCTGCCGCAGGACATGCTGCGTGCTGTGCCGGGCGTGTCGCCGGCGGTGCTGGAGCGGTTGATTCTGGAGACGGGGAATATTACCGAGATTGCGAATATGGAGGTTGAGCAGCTGGATCCGTTGGTGGGGATTGAGGCGGCGAGGAAGATTGTGGGATTCTTTCGGAAGAGTGTGTTTGATGAGAAATGACAACATGCTCCCGTATAGATACAAATACTTCTTACTTGCCACTAATAGAATGATGACTACGACGTAGGACTAGTGAGTTAGGAAATATTTTCATTTTCGTGACCTTTCTCGTGAATCTATCGAAGGAAAAAGCAACGAAATAAAAAGAATTCGTAAGACAAAAAAAAGTGGCATTGCCAGCAAGAAATACCACTGCAGTAGCAGCCAGTTCCGTAAAGCTTGGCAATAAATTCCTCTGCGAACTCTCGAGATCATCCTGCACGACGAAAAATAGCTGATGTCGAATCGATTCGCATCGTGGAGGGGAGAAGGTCGAGAGCTCCCCAATGATTCATGCCCTGGAATAATGATTTGGGAGCAGCACTGGGTACCGTAAGGGAACCCCTGTCAAGCGGGGGAAAGCGCTGCAACCCTGGTCCCTTTTCTCTCGTTTGTTGTCCTCCTCAGGGGTAAAAGGATAGTTTGCCCGAGTAATGGTGGATCAAGATACTCGGCCGGTCCGGGCAAGGTTCATCCTGACGTGCGGAAAGTCTGCCCGGAAGAAGTCCCCAAGGAGGTAAAAACAAACGGATCTTGACAATCTCAAGTACAGAGACAATGGTGGAAAAAAAGGGAAACGGAGGGTCGGCGAGAGGAGGTTCACAAATAAAACCCAGTGACTCTTTCTGGCAGGGCGGAAATGCATCGGGGACGCAAGAGAAGGAGGGGAGGGGGAGGGCAGATTAGAGCTCGTCGACATCGATCTCCTTCTCGTCTTCGCTCTCGCGGTCCTCGTCGAACTCGACGTTGTCCTCGAAGCCCTCGTGGCCGTAGGTGTCGGTCTCGTTGATCTTGGCGTGTTCGGGCAGCTCGCCGTAGGCCTTGAGACTGCGGGCCTCGTCGGCGGTGTACTTCATGATCACGTCGCCCTTCTCGTCCTGGTAATCACGCAGCGAGAGGAGGATGATGTCACCCTGGTTGATCCAGACCTTCTTCCTCAACTTGCCACGGATGTGGGCGAGTCGCTTTTCGCCGTCGAAGCAGAGAGCCTCCAGACGGCCGTTGCCGAGCATCTTCACGACCTGCGCATACTCCTGGCCCTCCTCCTTAAACACGAGTTCACGCTTCTCGTTGTCGTTCTCGTTCTTTCCACGACGACGGTTCTTACCGCCCTGTTTGGTTGAGGAAGAGAGATGGTTAGCTTATGGTTCTAGTACGAAAATTGTGATCTGTCCCGTTTCGTGCCCTAAGAGTCAATCCGCCACAATAGCGTAATCTCCATATATTCCCACGGGGAACGGGAAAAAGACAGAGAGAAGTCACTGGGGTCTTCTATTCTCCATGTTTTCTCGTTCGTCCATGGGAGGGAGACGTGGCCAAAGCGCAGCCTCAGATCGCGACTCAAAAAACTCTTATGCACAAAGCGGGGTATTTCGTCCGAAACAATACACAAACAATGCAAGGAAAAGAGGCAGAGGCAAGGAGTGATAGAGCTTACTTTTCCCTTGTTCTTGGGCATGGCGGATAGTCGCTATCTGTTGTTTGAACTCGATAACGATACCAGACCGGAGTGCTGATAGAAAAGAAAGTGGGGGGAAGCGAGAAGTTGGCGAGGGCGAGCGAAGGCTTTTTCAACGTGACTTCCGTATTATTCATTCGGTGGGGACTGGCGGCCTGAATGGCGCCTAAGGCTCGCCACAAGGGGCGCCCCAATCACATCGTGCCATGTCCACCGCCCGGGACGCCGCGTATTTCTGGCGGCAGAAAAAGACGCATCTTTATTCTTCAGGTAGACAGTTGTGGTTCTAGACAGTAATCTTCTCTCCATTTGAGACCCTCTCAAACAGCTTGCTTTCCCGTCAACCTGGACAAGAGCGCATCTTCCTCTTGCCTGGCCATGAAGACGTCGATTCTGTCCTAACACCCATCCAGCCTAGGGCTCCCCCAGTGCCAAACACTCCTCCATTACCTTCTCTTCCTCAGGGCATCGACAAAACAAGTCTTCCTTTGAACCGATCCCTTCATCATGGTCTTGCGAACTAGGTTGTTCACGATCAAATACAATCCGCGGACTCAGATTCCGCCCGTCGCAGCCCGATACTTGGGCTCCCCGGCCAACCCTATCCATCCGAAGATTGCCCACATGTACGCCACGCGGGATCGAACTGAACTGTGGTGGAGGGTATCGGCGCAGCATCTGATGGCATACAAGCGGGTGGTGCGGAATTTGTGCCTGCGACATATCCGCTTCGCATTCCGGCAGGCGTTGAAAGACCGCGGCTTCGACGCTAATGGAAAGAGGATTGCACCGGCGACTCCATCTCCTGAGGGCCAGAAATTGCCAGGCGATGCTCCTTTGACGGGCACCGTGGAAATAGTAATTAATCCGCGGATGCCCCGGGAGGATTTCTCGAATCTGCAAAGTGATATGAATCAGACGGTGGATAATTTACTGAGACAGACGCAGGAGAAAAAGGCGCAGATTCCCCAGCGGGGAGCCGGCGGGAAAAGGTCGAAATGGGTGGAACTCGCTGCTTCTGTGTAGAAGGGAGTTCTTTGGAGTCTTTTCGATTGTACAATAATGTTTCTTTCGGGGTTCACTGTATATTATGGGTTACGCGGCGATCTGGGATTGGGCATATAGACTGCATTGCATTGGATAGATGGATAATGACACACTCTCGACTTCATCGGAGAAATGATGAAACACACCAGACCCTTTCATACGTACAGAGTAGTCAATCCCTTGCAATGATCCGCAGGGCTGTCGTACGTGTGGTTTCCAATTAAAGCGCCGGGGAGAATCCACGCGGCACTGCCTCCTTGGCGTCTTCGCTAACTGCCGATCCTCTCTTGAGACGACAGTCAACTTCAGCGCCCCGAACTACGACTTCCTGTCTCTCTCCTCCTCCTCCACCTGCCCTGCCTCTCCCTCGCTCTTTTATGCCCCCTTAATCCCCGCCTCGCTGCTCCTCTCTTCGTCACGATGTTGGTCTCCTTGACTGTTGGCAAGGTAGACGCTGGCGTCGCCGTGCTCTTGACCCAGGACAACCGCCTCGTAAGTCGTCTCTCGCTGTCTCTTCTTGCATCAATGGACACATGCGACGAGAAGCTTTGGTCCATATCTAAACAATCTCCTCGCTGTCTATTCGCTGCTCATTCCGAGCATATCTTCGCCAACCCAGGCAACCAATCCATCATCGCAAGTCCGCTAACACTCGCTTTGTTTACAGATCGAATTCCCCTCCGTTCTCCTCCCAAACAACATCACCTCCGGTAGCATCGTCGACATCACCGTGGCGCGCAACCACAATGCCGAAGCTGCCAGCGCCGCCGGATTCCAATCCCTCCAGAAACGCATCCTGAACACCTACGGCGTCAAGACACCCTCGCCGCCCATCCTGCGCCTCCGCAACGCAACCCAGACCTCCCTGGTCCTGGAATGGGAACCCATCGACCTGGCCACCGCCTCTCTCAAATCCCTCTCCCTCTACCGCAACGGCTCCAAGGCCGGCTCGATACCCCGTCCCCTCGAGACTCGCAGCACCAAGATCAGCGGTCTCGCCGTCCACGCCGAATACACCTTCCACCTGGTCCTGCGCACCACCGCCGGCACCTACCAGTCCGAGAAGCTCACCTGTCGCACGCACAAGATGACCGACCTGTCCGGCATCACCGTGACATCGGGTGTGTTGCCCCCGCCACAGAAGGACGCCCTCGCGGCCGCGCTGGACCGCATCGGCGGGAAACTCATCGACACCGTCCGCATCGACACGACCCACTTTGTCTGCACGGAGGGCCGCGGCCCGCTGTGGGAGAAGGCCGTCGAGATGAACATCCCCGTCGTCGTGCCCGAGTGGGTGGATGCCTGCGAGGCCGAGGGCACCATCGTCAGCGTCCGCGGCTACTACCTCAACGCCGACCCTAAGGCCAGACAGCTGGGTCCCATCCACGGCTCCACGCAGCACCAGCGCACCACCTCCTCGGCCACCTCCATCCAGCAGCCGCAGACCCCGACTCACCGGCCGCAGTCGCAGTCGCGATTGAGCCTTGCGCCTCGCGCCTCGCGCGAGCGTGAATCGCACACCGTCGGCGAGCCTCCGATCACGCCTTTCCCCGGCGCAAACATGAGCGGACAGCCCACGGCCGCGGAGGATGAAATCGACTCGGACGACGACCAGTCGCCGCCCCCTGCGCCGCCGCCTAAGGACGAAGCCGAAGAATCGGAAGAGCCGTCGTCGAATGGCCCTCCCGCGCAGATTGTAATCACCGAGCCCACCTCCCCATCGAAAGACCAACCGTCCAAGAACGAAGAAGACCACGACACCGAAAAGGACCAAGACCAGGAGTCCGACAAGGGCAAGGAAACTGCCGCCGCAGACGCCGGCAATGATAAAGACGCGCAAGAAGAAGAAGATTCATCAAGTAACGAACAAACCAAGGGAAAGGGTAAAGAAGGCGAGGGGGACTTTAACGAAGTCCCGCTTTAACGGAGCCATGTGAGCGATTTCTAATTTTTTTTTTTTTTTTTTTTTTTCCTTTTCTTTTCTTATTCTCTTAACTGTTGTTTTTATTCTATTCTACTCTATTCTATTCTATCATAACCCTTTTTTTCTTTATTATTATTTTTTTCTACCATGATTGAGTGAGGATTTCCAACGTATTGATCCGCCGTTTGTGGTGTGTTGTCTGTTGTCTGTTGTGTGTGATGTGTCTGATGTGATTTGTATATTTTGTATAAGGGCAGACTTGGATTCGGTTTAGCCGCTGGTCCAGTTTGGTGTTGACAACGATCGGTGGGGATCCGGTTTTCAGAGGCTTTATCCATCTGCGCCCTCGTTTTGTTCTTTTTTGAGACATTACCCCCAATTACGTGTACTTCATGGTACATTGTTGTTTTATTGATGTTGTCCCTGCATGCGTCTGTGCGTGCAACACCGATTCCCTGCTGTGTTTGGGCCCTGTTTTTTCTTGTGTCACTATCCGTGTGTACAGTAGATAGTATAATGTTATGGGATCTGGGTAAAGAGTTATTGAGTAGATGATGTATTGCTCTAGTCCAGCCTGTTCATAAATCCAATAACTTGGTCTGATATTCATGCGTCTATCTATAGTAAACATTTACTGATGTCTCATGCTGTGTATAATGAATCATAGCAACTTGCTAAGCTCCTGCTCATGTCCGTCATTAGTTAGTCCTCTTTTTTCTCCTATTTCGTTTTCTTTTCTCTCTTATTGTCTTTGTTTAGTTGACGTTGCGGACAACATCGTTGATGGCGCGCGCAACGTAGGCGACGTTCTTCTCGCTCACTGGAAAGTAATGTCAGTATTTTGGCTTACGAGGGAGAGAAAAAGGGGATCTTACAGCCGCTGATGGAGGCTCGGCCGGACTTGAGCAGGTAGATGTGGTACTTGTCCTTCAGGGCGTAGACTTGCGAAGGAGTCAGGCCGGTGTAGGAGAACATTCCGTTCTTTAGATGAGATAGTTAGCCAATGTGTTGTTCTTGAGGGAGATGGGGTGATCGTACCTGCTCAACGATGTGCTTCCAGGTTCCCGGCGTCTCGAGACGAACCAGTTCGTCGTAGAGCGCCTTGCGCATGGACTTGATCCGCGAGCTCATGACGGTGAGATCTTGGTGCCATTGAGCGGTGAGCTCATCGTTCGTCAGGACCTTCTTGACGATGCTGCAGCCGGCGGTGGGGCCCATCGAGTATTCACCTCGGATGAGGTGGCAAAGGTTGTTGACGACGATGTCGCGGAGCTCCTGGGAGCCGTTGGGCAGAACGTAGTGGAAGGCACCGACACGCTGGCCGTAGAGACCGAAGTTCTTGGAGAAACTCTGCGCCACGCACATCTCCATCGAGGGCTTCTCGTTGAGGAAGTAGCGGACAGCCCAGGCGTCTTCGTCGGCGGATCCGGAGGCAAACCCTTGATAGGCGGAGTCGAAGAAGGGGAAGAGCTTCTTACGCTCGCACAGGTCGGCGATAGCCTTCCACTGCTCCTTGTTGGGGTCGAGACCGGTGGGGTTGTGCGCACAGGCGTGCAGGAGGATGATTTCTCCTTCTTGGGCTTCCTCTTCGAGAGTGGACATCATGCCGTCGAAGTCAAAAGAGCGAGTCGCGGCGTTGTAGTAGGGGTAGGTCTTGCGAGGGACACCGGCCAGTTCCCAAATGGTGAGGTGGTTGGCCCAGGAGGGGTTGGAAAGCCAGACATTCTTGGGCTTCATTTGGTGCGACAGGAAGAGAGCACCCAGGTGGTTGGCACCCGTACCGGCGACGGCCTGGACAGAGCCAATGCGGCCCTTGGTGGTCTTCAGCTGCTCGGAGGTGTCCTTCGCATCGAAGCCGAACATCAGATCCCGAGCCAGCTCGAGAAAAGGGATGTCGCCCTCAATGGCGGTGTATTCGTGGCGGAAAAGGTTGTCGTCGGCGAGCAGGCGCTTTTCAGCGTCGCGAACGACTGGCAGAGGCCATGGCTTGCCATCGTCGGTGCGGTAGACACCAACACCCAGGCTGACCTTTTGGGGGTAGTCATCGTTGGCATATGCACGGTTCAAGGCGAAGATCTCGTCGGCCGGCACCGGCGCCAGGGTGCTAAGGACAGTCATTGTGATAGAACAGTATTAGAATGAGTCACTGCAATTGATCTGGTTCCTGACCGGGGTAGACACAGAGCGTCTGGTAAGGCTTTAAAGTTAAAGGGAAAGACGAGGTGGAGGAACAGGTGGGCTTGAATTAAATAAGAACCGTGCAGGGGCGGACGTGGGTACCAAAGGCCACCGAAGAATGACTATGTTGCCCAATTTAGTAAGTGAGTGACGCGGTGGATCTGCATGAATCGATAATTCGGCTTTGGAGATTTTAGCATTGGCCCGATATCGCCGCTGCGGGCGAGTATTAAATACTCGTTAGTCAACCCGCTGCAATTTTTTTCTCTTGTTTGCCATCGGGCCATCGCCTCTGGATCGAAGTTAACCGCAGCGGAAAAGATCGCTTAGTGAAGGGTTCCTGAAACTGTGGGTCAATCAATGGGGACCGAGGAAAGCATCCTCACTGGTGGAGAAGGGAGCCAGCATCATAAGGCCCAGGATAACGTGAACAATGTGACCACTGTTACATCCGCTTCCCATGGTCTGCCTCTAACCAAGTCCGGGGAATAGTATTTTGAGGGCTTAGACGGTAGACCGCGTCCTGTTTTGAGTTGGCGTTTCCTTGGAGATCCTTTGTTCAATACGGAGTAGTCTCGCAGGATATGTCATGAGATGTCATCTGCATAACCAGATGCAAGGGATTCGGTTGACGTATCTCGTACTAGATTATGTATTCTGAGTTGTCTTTCTGTCTTACTCTCTATGGTTATTTCTTTCGTTTTCTCGTGGTGTGGCAGTTGTTGCCCTCTGATTTGCCACCGGAGATCCGTCTTCTCATTCATTCTGTAGCCGACCATGTTGAGTTCTGATGCATTTTTCAAGTACTCAGAGAGGATTTCAGTAGTCTTTTTTCTTTTTCTTTCTTTTTTCTTTTTGTCGGCACTCTTCCGAAAGCAAATATAGCGCTGAGATACCGTTTTTCAATATATCTATTGTGGGGTCAGTAATGCAATGACAATAGAATATATAGATGCGGTACACTGATTGCCATGTCCCCAACCTATCATCGTTAATCTCTTCTATAGTACTAAACATAATTAGTCTCCTATAAAATCGAGATATGATATCATCCAGTTGAAGTTTATTTGCCCGCTAACTTGCCCATGGAGGATGGATACTAGATAACGAATGAACGCCGCTACTAGGAGCGACAAGGCTCTTTCTAGCCTGAACCGAGGATGCTGATGATGTGTAAGGATTGGCGACGGATTGCAAGCGACCAGGCAGTCATCCACGCATTGGCAGAAGGATGGCGTCGGGTTGGAAGGATGATTGATAAGGGAAGAGAAGAGGGGTTGTGAGGGGAAAAGTCAGGCTTTCTGGCGGAAAGTCACCTGCCCGCGCTTTAAGAAGGCTCGTTCGGATTGTTCAGTTGGAAAACCTCATGATCATGCAACTTCTTGTTCTGATTTGCTACACCGAATAATTTCTATCTGACCATGACTATGACCCAGACAGCTCAAAGCTCAGCCGAGGACCTGCACTCGTTTCGTCCGAGAACCCTTATCCAACCACTTCACAATAGTATCCCCCCGGAACTACTTCCAAGATTCGACCCAGTTTATGTGGAGCACCACAATAAATACAATGCAGGACGTCTACATACGCATGAGGTGCCAATCGAGGAATTTCGAAAGAACCCAGCTAAATTCCTCACTGCATACGGCCGCGCCGTTGGCCCGGATGTTTTTCGGATTACCCAGCAGAAAATACCCGTTGAGGGAGGAGAAATAGCCGTGCGGATCTTTGAGCCCCCGACAATCAATGATGAGCAAGGCAAGCCCAAGAAGAGGGCGGCATACGTCAACTTTCACGGTGGTGGGTGGGTATTTGGAGATCTCGGGGTCGACCATGATTTTTGCAAGCAACTGGTCCATGGTCTAGACGGCCATTTAGTGGCCTTTGATATCGACTATCGCCTAGCACCGGAGAACAGATTCCCTATTCCGCTGGAGGATTGCTGGACGGCTTTCAACTGGGTGAGTCGGGCACCCAGAAGAGTCCTACTTGCTATCGACTGACTCGACCCAGGTCCGGTCACAAAAAGCCGAAGAATTCAACATCGATCCGGACCGGATGTCGGTTGGCGGTGCTTCGGCCGGAGGTCATCTCTCAGCCGTCATCGGCCATCTTTGCCGCGATGCCAACATCCCTCTCCGCTTGCAGGTGTTAGCAGTGCCGGTGTGTGATCTGCACAATGTATTCACACCGGATGGCGAATTCGACCGAGAGAACTGTCCATACGAGTCTTATCGAGAGATGGAGTTCACGACCGCCCTTCCATTGGCGCGAATGAAGTTCTTCCATAAGCACTTCTTGGGACTCCCACGGCCTGCCAGATCTAAGGAGGTAAGTGTCTTTGATGGTAACTAAACAAGCATATATACCCTGTACGCTGAAACAAGCCACAGGACTGGAAGATCTCGCCACTTCTCGCGCCCAACTTTTCCAACCTAGCGCCGGCTCTTGTGTTCACGGCAGAGATGGACCCTCTCCGGGACGAAGGGGAGATCTACGCTGCGAAACTCAAGGAAGCAGGGTGTCGGGTGGAGTTGACGCGCATGGCAGGGGCACCGCATACGTTCATCCATTTGGACGGCATTCTGGATGCGGGAAAGAAGTACAATGCGATGGTGATCGAGGCGATGAAGAAAGAGCTTGTAGTGTAGGGAGACGGACAGTCTGACGAAGGGGAAGAAGGGTATAGAGAGGCGGGATCAAGGTTTATCCGGACGCAATACTGACCGTACCGTACCCAGCATGGGGCTATTCCGGCCGGGCGGGCGGCGTAATCTTTGTAATACGAAGACCGGGCCGGGTGTTTTCGGCAGTCCGCGTCGGAAACGAGGGTCGACGGCCTCAACGGAATAATTCGTTCATTGCGCGCGTTTTTGCTTCTTTCCCTTCTTTCTCTCCATTCGCGGCCATCTGCCATTGCCATTGATCCTTGTTTCGCCTGTGCCTTCTTGTGTGATAGACTCTGTCAATTCTAGAGTCTTAGCGTCCCATCGAGTTCTAATAGAGTTAGACCAGCGTCGGCATTTGAATCGTCATGTTGTCATCCACCAACTCCTCCCGGGCGGTGCGCTCGATGGCCTCCTTCGCATCGCGAGCCACCGCCAGCTCTCCCGCAATCTCCCGCAGTGCTTTGCGCTCCCCCGCATCGTTCGGTTGCCGCTCCTTGAGCTCCAATAGCCGACCTCTTCAACAATTCCCCCGCCTTCAGTCCCTCAACACCATCGCCAACAAGAGAGCTTTTGGCACAACCCTCAGAATGGTACCCAAACCCGGACATGGACCGCGCTGCACCCAGAGACGCTGACGATTGCTGTCTATCCCTCATAGGCTTCCGCTCCTCGTACCGAAAGTGATGCCTTTGGCGAAATCCAGGTATGTTCATTCCGTTTCTACGATATTGTTACAGGATCTAATCGCAGTTGTGTTGTCTTTAGGTCCCCGGTGACAAGTACTGGGGTGCGCAGACTCAGCGGTAAGAGACCACCGTCATCCCGCCCCCAAAACAAGCTTGCACAAATCCCATACGATATCTTGCGGAGGATGCTGATTTGAGGCGACGACAGCTCCCTGGGCAACTTCGACATCAACCAGCCCCAGGACCGCATGCCCGCCGCCGTGGTCAAGGCTTTCGGTATCCTGAAGGGTGCTGCTGCCACCGTGAACATGAAATATGGCCTTGGTGCGTGATACTCTATTTTCTGACGACAGTTATTACGGCGGTGCTAATGCACATACCTTAGACCCTAAGATCGGTGCGGCCATCCAGCAGGCTGCTGCCGAGGTTGCGGAGGGCAAGCTTTTGGACCACTTCCCCCTCGTCGTTTGGCAGACCGGCTCCGGCACCCAATCCAACATGAACTCCAACGAGGTCATCTCCAACCGTGCCATCGAGATTCTGGGAGGTCAGATGGGCTCGAAGAAGCCCGTTCACCCCAACGACCACGTTAACATGTCCGCCTCCTCCAACGACTCTTTCCCCACCGCCATGCACATCGCCGCCGTTATGGAGCTGGAGAACACCCTGCTTCCTTCCCTGAAGAGCCTCCGCGATGCCCTTCAGGTCAAGGTGGAGAAGTTTGAGAAGATCATCAAGATTGGCCGTACTCACTTGCAGGACGCCACTCCCCTGACTCTTGGCCAGGAGTTCTCCGGCTACGTCGCCCAGCTCGACCGCAACATCGAGCGTGTGCAGGCCTCGCTCCCCCACCTTCGGTTCCTGGCCCAGGGTGGAACCGCCGTCGGCACCGGTCTCAACACCTTCAAGGGATTCGATGAGGCCATCGCTGCCGAGGTCTCCAAGCTGGCCGGTACTGAATTCAAGACCGCCCCCAACAAGTTCGAGGTCCTGGCCGCCCATGACGCCATCGTCGAGGCCTCCGGCTCTCTGAACACCCTTGCCTGCTCTCTCTTCAAGATTGCCCAGGATATCCGTTACCTTGGATCCGGCCCTCGCTGTGGTCTGGGCGAGCTGGTTCTCCCCGAGAACGAGCCCGGCTCCTCGATCATGCCCGGAAAGGTTAACCCCACCCAGTGCGAGTCCCTCACCATGGTCTGCTCTCAGGTTATGGGTAACCACGTCGCTGCCACCGTTGGTGGTATGAACGGCCAGTTCGAACTGAACGTCTTCAAGCCCGTCATGATCCACAACCTGCTGCACAGCGTGCGCATCCTCTCCGATGGCATGACCAGCTTCAAGAAGAACCTCGTTCACGGTCTTGAGGCCAACGAGCCCAGAATCAACAGTCTCCTTCACGAGAGGTATGTTCCTATCCCTTCCCCGATAGACTTTTTTTTTTTTTTCATTGTTCGTTCTAACTTCTATACTAGTCTGATGCTTGTTACCTGCCTCAACCCCGTCATTGGCTACGACATGGCCTCCAAGGTTGCCAAGAACGCTCACAAGAAGGGTCTCACCCTGAAGCAGAGTGCTATGGAGCTCCAGGCTCTGAGCGAGGAGGACTTCGACAAGCACGTTCGCCCGGAGCTGATGTTGAGCCCCAAGGAGAAGAAATAAATGTCTTCAGCCAATATCGGCCGACCGAAGCGGAGTAAAGTTGCTTTGGTTTCGTTTTAAATATAGCGATGATTAGCATCTTTTATGTATTCTGAAGAAAATATTACTGTACAATTTTTGCCTCATTATATTTAGTACCTGATTAATTGTGGTTTTATCGATTTTCAAATTATGAGTCGGGTTGTCCGTCAGGCCGACTGGGATGCCGGAGGCTATTTTTGGAAGCCATCGATCGGGAGCTGCGCCGACCAAAAAAAATTAGTGTGCCGGACTGCATGGAAAAAGCAATAATCTAGACTAAAAAAAATAATGCTTACTGATTGGGCCAATTCGATATCATTTAATTTTTTTTAATTTTCCAGGCACAATTTTCCTCCGCTAAAGCCAATGAGCCAGGGGTTAACGAGGGTTGGACAGCGTAAAATACCGGTGTATCGATTGTGTCTCACCCTTGGACCATGGGACCGGGCAGTGTTGGTATTTTTCGGGCTTGTTTATCAGTTGCCTCCTCCTTCAAGGAAACCGTCAACTTGTCTTCCTTCACTTTCTTTCTCCCCATCCATTGCCCTCTACATTGATCCTGCTCATATCACTGTCCTTCGTTAAACCCATCAAGAAAGCTTATTGGAACGCTTCTTTTTGTTCCTGATTTTTTCTTCCTATCACTCTACACTTATTTTAATCAAAGACCCCGCGGTCTTACCCTGGCAACGGACTACAAGACTGGACAGTACATCAGTTGTTAATATTCAGCAAATCCAACGACTCACATATTAATACACCGCACATTCTCAAGTCAAAATGACCAACATCACCACTACTACTACCACCCCCTCTCCTATCCCTGCGACCAAGGCGGCCGCAAACTCTCACCCCGCCGAAGATGCCCCCCTTTTCCCGACCTCTTTGATCTCCGCTGAAGTGGCCGTTCAGCTGCCAGAGAACTACACCATCCGTCCCATGCGCCGCTCCGATTACAAGCGAGGCTACCTCGACGTCCTGCGTGTGTTGACCACCGTTGGAGAGATCAGCGAGGAGCAGTGGGACAAGCGATTCGACTGGATCGCGTCCCGTAACGACGAATACTACATGCTTGTGATTGTGGACGGACAGGATCGTGTGGTCGGCACTGGTAGCTTGATCGTGGAGCGCAAGTTCATCCACTCTCTGGGTCTGGTCGGTCACATTGAAGACATTGCCGTGGAGAAGGACCAGCAGGGAAAGAAGCTGGGCCTGAGAATCATCCAGGCTCTGGACCACGTTGCTGAGAGCGTTGGTGCTTACAAGGTAAGGCTCAAGTTCCGCCCCAAAGATAACCGTCGTGTTTTCGTCGACTGACAACTTTTCTATAATAGACGATCCTTGACTGCTCGGAAGTCAACGAGGGTTTCTACCAGAAGTGCGGCTTCAAGCGTGCCGGTCTCGAGATGGCTCACTACTACAACTGAGTGTGAAGCCTTTCTGGGTCGTTGATTTTATACTGGCGTTATCGTTATCAGACTCGGGCTCGGGGTTGTTTATTGCTGGGGGCATTCATCATTACGTCTGTGACGGGCCCCTTTGAGCAACCCCGCATCCCGGAGTCTTTGGCTGGCGGCTGGTGAGCGAATATGCTCGGCGTTATGTATAGACTGCTTGCGTGTTGGAGATTTCGTTGGATATGCTTTGCATGAGAACTGCGACTGAAGCATGCATTCTTGACGTTTGGGCCAGGGCAATTCTTGCCAAAGAGGAGTTTTGTTGATATTTGGATTGCTCCTGTATGGTTTGTTTCTCCATGGCTGCAAGCATGGAGCCGTTTTGATAGAGTTGGGACGCCGTACATGGGTTCCGTGTGGTCTACTAGGCCGTAGTAATTATGAAACATCGTCAATACTTTCGATTTTTCACTATAATAGCAGTTTGTCTTAGGACATTTTGTTTAGATTGTAGGCCATTTTCAATTACTAACTACTGCAATGGTATGGTGCTAATTAGCTGGATCTGGTGGCAGTAATAAGCGAAGATAGTTCTTTGTCAACCACATCTGACTTTGCTTTCATTATTAAACCCTCCGAGAGACAATTTGCTTTTAAAGGCTTTAAGTTTGGCCATACATAGCAGACCAGGACGCATACTTGGTTGTTTTAACATGCATGCTTTCTCAAAACGGCCTAGCGCAGGGCTAAGACCCTACGGTTGCCAGGATCGAGTATGTCATACATTCAAGCTAGATAGATCTACATCTACCATGGGAAGGAATGTATGTCATGGTCTTTCGGGTCGATCGGCGTCAGTGGTCAACTACGAGATCTGGCGAAGGGCCACCGGAGATCAAAGAACAAACTTATAGTCATGACACAAGGCCCAGGAAATCTACAGCCCAGACAGAGCGAAACAGAACGGCCGATCATATCACATCCATTTTTCCATTTCCTGGCAAAATAGTAAAGTTCATGGCGCGCAATGAATCAATCAAGCCTTATCTGAAAGCCCATTGCGGGGGAGGGAGGGGAACAAATCTCAATGCATCGGAACAACGAGAGAGGAACCCCATGAAGACTCAATACGCCGAATTTGGTTGTCTTGAAGAAACAAGTTAAAGGTTTTGTGTCAAGGAGTAACGTAAAAAACCACACACAAAATTTCATTTCCGGCTCCGGTTATAAACCTCCCAAGTTTCCCAGCGTCAAATAAAAAAAGAACATTTTTTCCTCTTTTTTAATTTCCCCAGCCCAATGTGCCTAAACCGCCTCGATTTCGTTTATTTAACGCGACTTGGCGGCGACCTTGGGAGCAGAGCCCTTGGCGCCCTGCTTGCTCTGGATGCGCTGAGCACCACCCTTGCTGGCGGCGTTCTTGGCCTTCTCGGCCTTCTTCTTGCTCTCGGAGGCGGCCTTCTTGTCCTTGGCGTCCTTGATGGCCTGCTGGCGAGCGGCGGCACGGGCCTCGGGGCGCTGGTTGCGGCGCTCCTTGATCACGTCGAGGGAGGCACCGACGATGGCACGCTGGTGCTTGACAGCACGGCGGGTACGCTTCTTGGCAACTTCCTGTTCACGTTGAAAAGAGACCCCGTCAGCATTTTCTGTATCCTTTCTCCATCATGTCTTGAAAGTTTGCTGTTATTCCATTGTCGCACGTTGTCGAATCTTTCATTCATCCCCAGGCTCTTTCGCCCACACTGTGTATCCTCTCCACCCTCATCAAACGGAAATAACGAAACATTTCAACCGAAGGGGGAATTGAATTGGCGGTACTGACTTCAGAGATACCCTTCTTGTGCTGGCGACGGTAGAGGACAGTCCAAGCTATCCGGCGAGGGTTCTTGCGCTGGAGGAAGAGGGACTCGGACTTTCCATTCTGGAAGCGGAAGATCTTGCTGTCGCCGCGAACGTACAGCTTACCCTAAAGATTGAGAGATTCCACGTCAATAATCTGTTCCTTCGTTTTCCATAGTAAAAATTATCGGCCCTGTGCGTACAGGGTTTCCCTTTTCTCGAGATAGGGAGGGGAATCGGGGTTGGCGGGCTTGGTGGCGACGGATTTGATCGAGTTCTGTCTGTCCGCCCCAATATAAAAAAAGGGGATGGAACGCACCTTTCCGGGGTAGATCTTCTGACCGCTGAAAGAATCGTCGTAGGTACGCATCTTGAACGTCGGAGATGCGCAGCCGGGCGAGACGAGATGTTGTCGGTTGGCGTTGGGTGGTTGAGTCGAATCGGTCTCTGCGGCGTAGCGGATCGCGAAGTCTGGCACAATTGTGGTGCGGGTGCGCTCGCTAAACGGGCCCACGTGACCTCGGCTGCCCTTGGCCGGCCGCGCTGCTTCTGACCACCTACATCCATGTTCGCCGGATGCAAGAGGAGTTGGCCATGTCGACCACTTATTTATGATGGATTTATTTATGTCTAGAGAGTAGTTTATGATATGGAAAATGGCATCTTGACTTGGACTTTCATTGTTCCTCCGTGATTTATTCCTCCCGGTCCTTTCGTCGACTTCGGGTATTCTAGATGCGGTACACTTCCGAGAAGACTATCTAGACAACTCATGTCCAACATCGCCCATTTCATTGAATATCTCTCCGTTCCATTTGATTCGTATCTCATTATTCGTTCCTCATGTCTTCACTTGTCTCGTGGGCCTTTATTCCCTCTTAGTCGTGCCAGTCGCAGGGCCCCCAGGGGTCGTCCTTGCACTCCTATGTAAAACGCACGGTTAACATTGCCCATAGAAACCACATGAAGTCGACGAATGAACAGAAAACAAGGAAAGGCTGAGCTATGTACCTTACACTGGACGTCGCGACATATCTCATTCGGACACACGCCGCAGCAGTTAGGGCAGACGTAGCGACCACAACCACCCGGCTGGCTGCACAGCTGGTAAGTGCCGACATCCATGACCTGGGGGCTGAGGTCTTCGACGACTTTGACAATGCGCTTTGCCTTCTCAACCTTCTCGGTGTCCGCGCTCTCGCTAGCGATGGCTTTGCTGGCGTTCGCGTAGAGGCAGCATGCGCCGGCGCAAACCGGACACTCACCGCGGCAGCTGATGCATCTAAGATTCACGGTGTCCCAGACACGGACGTCATCCTTTCTCTGCTTCGCATTCGGGTCGTTGAGGTCGCGGAACTTGACTTCGGTGCCAGTCACGCTGCGCGCGTACTCGATCTGTTTCTGAGTTAGGCGAGCAGAGGCAAGATTTCGCTGGCTACTTGCCAGCTCCTGGAGGTTTTTTCTGGCCTCGGGGGTCTTGTCGTCCAAGTTCTTGATGTGCAAGGCAGATCTGTTGTACTTCCTGGATGGCTTGACGTCGCCAGACTTCTTCTTGCTCAGTGCTTGCTGTGCAGCGTCTTTCATCTTGGGCAGAAGACCGGGCTCTGGCGCCTTCGGGGCAGTTCGAGGCTCAGGAAGATCCATGTCGACGAGCATGTAGTCTGTGCAGAGAATCTGATCAGTTTCTTTCAAGCACTGCATGCAAATGGATCAGGAGAGCAACCAGAACAGGCCAAACATACCAGTGGGTGAGATGTATTTTAACTTCAACGGCACAGAGGGAGAAGTAAAGGAACGCTTTCCTTCGATAGCGGGACGTCTCTGAGCAGTTGGGATAGTACCAGCAGCCCCTCCTGCTGCACTGGAACTACCCGCCAAGTTGGCATCGCGGACAGTCAGTGAATCGGATCCAGCTGAAAGAGAAAGAGAAGATGCGCCGAGGCTCGCGGACGATTTAGATTGCCAGCTGCGTCTGCGATCAGATCCCAGGCCAGAGGGAGGCGACTTCGGCGAACTTCCAGTCAACGCTCTCAGTCTTCTCTTGAAAGAACTTCCTCTAGGCGAGGCCTGCTGCTGCACAGTGTTCTCATCCTTCATCTTACCCTTGCCCTTACCAGCCACGTCCTCCTTGCCTCCATCCGCAACCGACTCCGCTTCCTCAGGAACCGCTGGCATAGTCAACTGAGTCTCCGCCTCACCTTTGATATGGAAGGCTGATTCGATCTGGCTGGCCAGTTCCTCGGTGAAGCTTTCGTCCATCTTGGGCCCTGCGGTAGCACTGGAGCTGGGGCTGGAGCCAGAGCCAGAGCCAGAGGTGGACTTCCGTGAAGATCGCCGTTTCCCAGACCGTGATTGGGGATTATTTTGCGCAGCCGCGTTGCTGGGGCCCGGAGCAGGTCCATGACTCTGATCATGGTCTTGACCCGCGGGTCCAGCACTGGAGCTAGCGAGCTTTCAGCACCTGTGGCAGAAGATGTGTGGAGGAATCACCTTACCTCACGCGGGTCCGTGAAACATGCTTCTTGGGCTTTCTTTTGCCCTTGGTTGGTGGTGGCATTGCTTACTGCGCGGATATGTTGATTGCTTTGGAGGGAATCTAGATGAAGACAAATGGGGGTAGGTAGGTCTGGTTTGTTAAGGAAAGACAATCACTACTACAGAATAAGTGGTATAAGAAAACTGAACAAGTTTGTGATGCACTAGATACTAGGTCATATTTGAGCTCAACTTGTTTAATTTGCTGTTTGCAGTGAATGCCAGCAAGGAGTAGTAGCGTGCTCTAGATGCTACCTTTCCTAAGTTTTCGTATTCACTGAGTGCAATTCTTCATGGGGCTGTATCTAGAGTGCCCTTCACTAAATTATAGGCAGTAGGGTTGTGTAGGTTGGTTAGATACAGTAAATGAATGCCTATGTTTGAGCTTGAAACTGCATTAAGTCTTGATACTCGAAGTCCTGAAACTTCTTATTCTCTAGTAGACTGTGGTATGTTTGCAAAAGCCTTAGCTTGCCGCTATATATTTCCTTGCTTAAGACTATATCTTCGAATTAAAACTTAAAAGCCAGAGGATTTTACCTCATTTTTACATATACCGTTAAACAGAAGAACGAATGCAAATAGGTAATAAAAGTTCTATCCCAACTTAATCGCTCTATCATAAGTAATCGGCATCGCTATTCCACATGACAAAAGAGACCGGTTTCAAAACCTAAAGCACGCCTTCGCAAGCACAAGTATCAATGACACGCAGAACGTCAAGTAGAAAAACGACCAAAGTCGAGTCTTGATATAGTTCGATGGAGAAGACACAAGTAACAGGAAGGAAAGGGTGCCCTGTTTCTCGGCTATGAAAACAATGAGGATCTCAAAATAAAATGGATTGATCCAAGTAAAGAAGCCGGAAAGGCCAGCCAAAGGGTCGCAGTAATTGTGCTCTTTCTTGTTTCTGATATCCCGCTCGCTTCATGGTCACATCATAAACGCGGTCGCTCAATTTTCCGTCAATATAAAGGATGGTTTGGCAATTTCGCTAGTCCCAGATCTAAGTCATCGCGTGTGTCCTGGTCCACTCCTTCGCCGTCTGGATCGCAGCCGGCTCGTCCTCCTTCCAGCGCTGAGCAACGTCATTGGCAAGCGGGTCGTCGGGGTTGGGAGCACCCAGCAGGGCCTGGATGGAGAGGAGGATTGTGCGGATTTGGAGAGCGGGGGACCAGTTGTCTAGTTGATATGAGTAAACCAAAGTCATCACGGGGAGAATGACGGATATGCGGATGGACAGGGAACATACTCTTCAGGACATCCAGGCAAATTCGTCCAAGACGGTCGATGTTGGGGTGGTAGATCTTGGTCAAGAATCGGATCTTGGGGGGAGTCATGGGGTAGTCTTCGGGCAAGAACAGTTCAAGACGGAAGATGCCACCTAGTCAAAGTCAATATTTGACGGTCTAGAAGCTTGCAGTATGGTGTATCATACCCTCATACGGAGATTGCGCCGGTCCATGGATCGAGACATCGAAATATCGCAAGTTTTCTTCATGAGGCACTGCGTTGATCCCGGGGACGCTGGAAGAAATAGATCAGTAACAAAACCCTCTCTCCAACTATCAATCATAGCGTACGGTTCGGCCATCAGACGCTCGGTCTCCTTCACGATTCTCTTGGGCAACGCCATAGTGGTTCACTCTAACCCCGCGTTGGTGATTGCTCAAGGTGGGGTAGTTATGCTGTGCAGCTTCGAAGCTGGTAGTGGCCGGCACGTGCGATTCGGCAGGGATCTCGCAGAGGATTTGAAAGGAATCAAGGAAATTGCTCACGAGCAGATGGCGCGAGTCTGAGGGTTAGTTCATTTGTCATGCCAGTCTCGAAATCGGAACGACGTAACCGACCGAGGGGCACCGCGTCGACGGTGTCTCTCGGCAGCCGTACCGACGTGTTACGGCAGGGCAGATGTGCCAGACATGCCGCCAGCTACGCTAGACCCTATCGGGCGACGTTCATGTCCAGGGAATCCCCACAGCGAAGTTGCGGAGCTGCCCTGTCCACCTCATAGCTCATTCCTCTGGTCGGAGATGTTGGGTAAGCCGCATGTCCCTGAATACTGCTACATTCTCTGACACTCAAGTCGTCTAGAAACTCATCGCGATCCTCGTTCAACCTCCGTACAATTGCGTCGCAATCAAATCCACCTGGCCGATCGATTTTACGATGCGCATGCATGAGCCCTCGATCCCCTTCACAGTTAACGGTTGACCGCTCGCCTCCCCCAAACCACCGAAATGAGATTAGCCTGTAGTACCACGCATACTGTTGTACCAATGCATTGGATGGTATCTGGATACCAAGCCCCCATATAAGCAATCCCTGCGCAGCAGTCGGCAGACAGGAAGACACGGAGCACTCATCAGGGCGAGGTCCGCGACAGCACAATGTCCGATTTCATGGAGCCCAGGCCTCTGACATCGGCCTTCGAAAGCCCGACTTTCGGGGAGGATAGTTCCTTTCACGTGGAGCAGCCCGTGGGATCCATGTCAATATCGCCATGTGGACGGGACGTGGTTCTAGCTTCCAAGGAGGGGTTGCATGTCATTGACCTGGATTCGCCATACTCACCACCTCGGTATCTCCCGCATCATACGCCATGGGAGGTCGCGGACGTTCAATGGTCTCCATTTGCCGCTCGAGACTATTGGGTTGTGAGCACGTCAAACCAGAAAGCGTTGGTATGGAACTTGGCGATGAAGACCTGGCAAAACTCCATCGAGCTTGTCCTCCATGCTCACACGCGAGCCATTACGGATATCAACTTCTCCGCCCATCACCCGGACACCATAGCGACATGTGCGGTGGATAGTTTTGTACACTGTTGGGATTTGCGGTCACCCGCGCGCCCGGCCATTACGTTCTCCGATTGGTTCGCGGGTGCGACGCAGGTGAAATGGAATCGACAAGACCCCAATGTCATCGCCAGCTCTCATGACAGGTTTCTGCGGATATGGGACAAAAGAAAGGGCGCATCCCCAATCAAGTCCATCGAAGCTCACAACACCAAAATCTACGGCGTTGACTGGAATAGAGTTCGCCCGGGAGCTCTTGTGACCTGTTCTCTGGACAAGACCATCAAATTCTGGGACTATACGGTCGAAGGTGAACAGCCCGAGAAAATCATCCGGGCCCCTTTCCCGGTGTGGAGAGCGAGAAACACTCCCTTTGGATGGGGTGTTCTGGCTATGCCCCAGAGAGGCAATAGTGACCTCCATCTGTATAGTCGCAGGGCTGGCGAGGGCGCCAATCCGGCCGAAGATCTCCCGCTGGTGCATAGCTTCCCCGGGCACAAGGGTCAGGTGAAGGAATTCCTCTGGAGAGCTCGCGGAGGGGAGTCGGACGGGATCGACCATCGGGAATTCCAACTCGTATCATGGGGGACAGACCGGGAACTTCGCCTACACAGAGTCGATCCCGATATTCTACAAGGAGTTGGCTACCGGAAGGGGGATTCGTTCCTAACCAACTTGAACCTCACCCGCAGGGGCGCCGTTTATCGAAGTTTCCGTGATGAAAGCGCTAGCCAAGAATATGAAGATTCGGATTCTCTATCCGGTTTTCAGGAAGCCGGCTCACAACCTACTCGTGCTCCCGGAATGGGCACCACGAATGTTTCATCTGCTCGTGCTTGGAATGGGGGAAATCCAGATTCGCGGATCGGCATGCAGGGCAGGTCAAACGTCCGCACCGATACCAACCCAATCTCATGGATGCGAGGTGTCAAAATATCAGGGTGGGAAATTGAGACCTTGGGGGATGAAATCACGCATGTTGGGGAAAAGTTCACCAAGGTCTCCTTTGAGTCTGTTGATGTCCGCCAGCGCAAAGCAACGATATCTCTCCATGGGCCATGGGGGACGGACGGGGCGTCTTTGTTCTTGAAAGTGGACATCAAATTCCCAGTCGACTACCCCAAGACCGCAATGCCGACGTTCAGCGTGCAGAAGACTTCGGCTGTTACCGACCAGCTCTCCGACAAGATAATTGCTGAATTGCGTACAATAGCAGAGACTTATCTTTCCCACAACCGGGGTTGTCTCGAAGGTGTCGTCCGTTACCTTCTCGGCGAGAGCAGCCTGGAAGAAAGCATTGCATGGATACTGGGCGAAACTGCTGAGACGGTCAAATCCCCGGTCAACGGACAGCTGGGTGGCGAAGAGTCTAGCGATGAAGATGAGGTTGGTTTGTCTCAAAGTCAGGAGCTAGGAATGAGCTCTGAGTTGCTTCGACCCGTCAATGCCAATGTCATGGTTCCCGTGGCCAAGGTTTGTGGTGCGCTCTGGGCCAATGATGGCCGTTTGGTGTGCTTTTTCCCTTCAAAGAAGGACGATTCCGCCTCATTTCTAGAAAATCTTGGATTCAAAGAAATGTCTAGGGCGGACAAGGTCTTCGAAGGATTTGGCCGGCTTCAGACAAGCTCGCCTGGACCCCGCATGGGCAGTGGGATTGCGAGTACGGATGACGGAGCCTCTGAGTATTCGGATGACTCGGAGGCTGAAACTTCGAGTTCTTCTGGGTCTTCTGGTATCTTGTCGAGTCTGCAACATCGATTTCCGACGCCCCAAACCTGGCGCAGTGCTGGTAGTCTTGGTTTATACCGACCACGCTCAACAGACAACTCTCAAAGGTCGACAGCTGGTGCGATGACCGCCAAGTCATCCGGGCAAGCTCAAAATGTGATATCGATCTATGACTTCAGTGACATGCTACCAGCAAAACGTGACCTGGCAAGTGATTATCGCATCTACGGCAAAGGAGCAGACGTATGTGCTCATAACGCTTCTGTGGCCCTCCGTCAAGGTTATCATGAGTTAGCACGGATATGGGGACTTGTGAAACTTATTTTACACAACGACCAACGTTCTGTTCCTTCCCTAGGGCTGAATTCTACCGAGAGAACACGCTATATGCGGAGAAAGGATAGTGCCGTGGACCTGAGTTTCGACACAGGCGCTCAGGATCCCCGAGCAAAGGATGCCCTGAGCAGCGTAATCCATTGGGGAGACCATCCTTTTGGTAGCCACTGGTTTATTCCTGCGTTGTTTGATCACTTTGAGCGCATCGGTGACGTACAAATGGTTGCGATGTTGTCCTGCGTGCTTGAACAGTCTAACCATCAGAACCGATCGTTGAACCAAGAGCGTCGGGGCAGGGCAACCTTGAAGAAGACGGACAAGCAGTCTTTCTCATTGGACTTTTATTCGCACCATCCCTCGCAGAGCAAGACTCAAATGACTACACCCTTGATCTCTACGCCTAAAGACAGCCATACCACCCCGGTCACACAGAGCTCGGGGCGGTCCTCTTCTGAGATATGGCGTGCTGATTCCACACCTCCGTACTCGACAGGCACCACTCCCCCGTTGGCGTCTCGTGGGCTGGTTACAGAAAGGAGGACGATGGGGCACAACACACCAGTAGCCGCCTCCCCTGACCAACAATCCCACCCGCGCAGTGGATCAGGCATTGGCTCTGTTCTCGCTTCTTCCTTATCCCGATCATTTACGTTTGGACCTTCGTCGGCATCGCCTCCTACCAGTGCTCTTAGCAAAAGAAAACCAAGTCCGAATGGCAGCCCAAACCTTACAGGCGGCTCGGGTATATGGTCTACAAACCCGTTCACCTCAAAACCCCCGTCAACGGTCCCGGATTATCTTACCACTACCTCCACCGCTGTCACCTCCCAAACTCATTCCGACACCGAGAGTGAAAGGCCGGAACGAGGGGCAACATCCAAGCCGCAGCTCAAACTCCACGCAACTTTGAAAAACACAGGCGCCTTCGATACCGATGGGATCGCACAACCTTCATCTTTTATCGATCCCAATAAAGACTGGCTCTACCGGTCATATCGCACTGCGTATGCTCACCTCCTTTCAATCTGGGGCCTACCAGTCCAGCGCACCGAAGTGCTCAAGATCGGCGGAGGCACCGACCGAACCGGAGACGCCAATCTTCGCCAATGGGCCTACGACAACTTCCAAGGCTCTCTTTCCCTCCCAACCCTACCCCGGAAGGACTCTTCCGCTGCAGCTAGTGAGAAAGGCAACGACGGTCTCGAAATTCAACGTCACTGCATGCGATGCGGGCGTCCTCTTCATCTCTCTATATTCTCGAACGAATCCACAACCGAGGCAACAACCAAGCCCGGTGTGAAGATCTACCCTTCTGCATCTTCTCCATCTACCACCTGCTCCAGCTGCAAACCGAAGCAGCGTCTGCCCCTCAAACTTCCCTGCGTCGTCTGCGGAGAAGTCGTCGAAGGAATGCTCACTCCCTGCTTTGGCTGCGGGCATGTGAGCTGCTTCGACTGCCATCGTGGCTGGTTCGCCATATCCTCTGACGCCACCGACACCCTGGACCCCGAACAGTTGGCAGAGTCCCAATTCTGCCCAACAGGCTGTGGCTGCAAATGCTCCGAACACATCGCCACCGATATCCTTCCTCCCCCATCGAATCCCGTCTCCCCTTTGACGCGGCCCAGCCGCGAGAACTCGCCCCTGAACACTCGAGCGCGTAACCGCCACTCCGATGGATCCGGTAAATATGCCGCCGCAAGTGCTCATCACGAGACTCCCTCGAACGCCGGCCAACCCGAAGACGACCTCGACCACTGGCAAACATCTCCGTTTGCTTCGCTGGCAAGAGGTCTCGGCGGTGGTCTGAGCAGGGGCTTGCGTCCGAAGGAAGCAGACAAGCGGAAGTCGAAGCCGGGGACGATGTTTGTGCCGAAGAAGTCGGCTATGAATCAGGTGGAGAATCGGTGGCAGTAGCAGAGCAGTGAATGTGTGGATATGTAGCATGCGTCCATGTCATCCCCTTCTTCCTCTTTCGTGTTTGTTGTTTTTATCAGCCTGTGGCTTCTTGTTTTCGACGCCCTGTATACCCCATACCCCAGATCTTGTATTTGTGTTGCTTTTTGCATTGTACTCATGTCTTGGAGTAGAGCGAGTATAGTATAGCATGAATGATGTCTTGGTTTGATCGGCTACCTGAATACCATATATCTTGCTGAATACATAATCGTGATACCCCAAAAGTAATTGACCTAAGTAAAACACATACTACTATTCATGAATCATAAACACAGCCCCTACTAGTTCCTCCAACCCAACAATACCATTTATATACCAGCAACCAACCCCCTCCCCCCCAACAAACCCTAACCCAATCAACCAAACAAAACCTCAATGGATAACAACCGCCACATGATCATCCATATAATCGCCAATATTCCCCAAAAAGCAAGCCGCGAGGATGGACACGCCCCCGAACCCAATACTAGCATAATAAACCCACTTATAGCTCTCTGCGTAGGCGATCTGCCCCGCCACCACGACCGCCTCGTACGCCGCCTCGCTGCCGTTGATGCCCGGGAGGTGGTGGAGCTGGTCGAGAAGCGACGCGCCGGTGAGTTCGATGGCGTGTTTGATGAGTACGGGGTCCGTGATGTTGAGCTTTGTGACCATCACGCCGCCGATGTAGTGCGTTGCGTTGGGGATGAATTTCGAGATGAATACGTTGTAGTAGATTGTGTAGCCGATGCTGCCGCCGACGACGCGGATGGAGAGCGTGAGGGCGGAGATCGTGGCGATTAGGTCCTAAGGGGGTTAGTTTGGTTTGGAAGATGAAGGGGGGTTGGCTGAAAGGATAGGAGCAGGAGGGAGGGAGACTTACGTCTGGACATATGATGGTGGTCATGATGGATGCTGGGACTACGATGCCTCCGATTCCGAGACCGGCGACGGTGAGGATGCCCCAGAGTTGGTAGAGGTTGTCGATTCGTCCGACGGCCATTGCGCCGCAGCCTAGGGGTGGTTAGTTAGGTCTGACGTCGAGGTTGAGAATGTCAGGAGGGATGGATGGGGTGTCTATGTATGTACCTGCTGTCATGAGGATGCTGCTGATGATCAACAGCTCCTTGTTGTGTCCACGAAGAACACTGAGTAGCCAGAGGACTATGCAGGCACCGCCCATGATACCGAACCCGATGGGAAGGCTTCGAACACCGACGTCCACGGGATCATGGCCATACACGTTGAATGACTGCGTAGGCCAAAACATAATAACTGAGAAGAAGTTGGCGCCGGAGATGAAGGTGATGACCAGCGTTAGGCCCAGAGTGCGAGGTTCCTGCTTCAAACGGCTCGGGAAAATAGGGTATTTCGCTCCGTAGATTTCCCAAAAGCCAAATGCGACTAGAATAACGAATCCAAGGATAAGTGGGACAAGAACATGGGCTGATGTCCACTCATACTGCATATAGTTAGCAGCTTAGATTCAATGGGCGTTCACGACGAAGGAGAATACGCACCTGGTAACCGCCCCATTGCATGCCGGCCATGAATAGAATCAAACCAACTATGCTGAGGAATCCACCAACATAGTCTACTCGGGAGAGAATATCCCGTCTGGCCAGTCCTTCCGAGTTGACTCTAGGAGGGGGAAAGTAGAACAGTGTTGTGATGAGCAAGCCGAAGCCGCTCCAAGCACCGCAGAAGGCACCAACGTAACGCCACCCACTATGGGACGAAATAAGCTGAGCCCATAGCACGGATGGACAGAATGGCACAATGGTAAAGATGAGCACGGCGACATATTTGCCTCGCTGGCTGGTGGGCGCCATTTCCGAGGTAGCAGCCAGCGCTGTTAATTCGTTGACTCCTGCTCCTGCTCCTGCGATCGCCATTCCGCCTGCTCGTAGTTAGTAACTGTCTACAGTGCACCCTTTTTAGGGGTTTTCGAAAGGATTGAGTGCCTCAGATATACATACCAATAAACACATTCATGGTGTTGGCGGTACTGCACACAATCATGCCAATGCAAACCAGAGTAGCTCCAATGATAGCAACATAGCGACGACCGATAAGATCGGACAATGACCCGACGAAAGGGCAAACTCCCGACAGTGCTAGCAGATTTGCAAGAACCTGAACACGAGCAAGATCAATTAGTTTCGTCGCATCCAATGGACGAAGCTATCGATTCAACTCACAAACCAAACCCATCGATCCGACCCACCAATATCACCATAAATATGCGGTGGAATGCCTCCTGTGAAGAGCCATCAGTCTGAATATGCGCCACGGTCGTGATGTCAACCCTCGGTCGAGGACGCACCGAAGAGGTATACTGGAATCTGACTGCCCGTCCACAGAAAGGCCATGGCGGTAAACCCCATGAATCGACGAAAGGTCATCTAATTGAAGAAAGGGTCACCATCAATAATCAATTTCTCCAGGAATGAAATCAATGTCAACCTGTACTCACGGGATGTGCGTTTTCAGACTCCCCGGCCTCATCCGCGTAGGAATTCAGCGCAACGTCTTCATGGTGACTATACTTCTGACCCTCGTTTTCCTCGACTCTCCTTCCTGTCGCCTTCTCGTCTACCTGAGGCGAGCTGGAGAGACCGGGAGTCTCCATGATTGCGACAACAAATAGTCCAAAATAAAAGCGAGCCGAGAAATGCCAGACTACAAGGACGAAAAATTATCAACGCTAGCAGCCGACAAGCGCGCAAGAGAAAGCTAAGGAAAAAGAGAAGGCGACAAGCTTCAATCCAAGCCGTGGCATCTTATATACCCCGCGAAATCGACGAACGTAGACCGGAGGGTGTCACTGGGCGCGTGGGTCAGCAATGCTTGTCCATACTCCATGCATGCCAGTGAGGGGCACCGAATGGGTCACAAAGGCGATCGAAGACGTAGACTTTCGGCGCTGGTGCCATTCTGAGACACAGCCGAGGCAAGTTTCCATGTTTCTAGTGCGCAAAGCGTAACACTGCCGACGCGGAGGAGCCATGGTTGATGGATCGAGACGGGGGATTCTCATACGCCGGGGAAATTGCGGGGAGGGAAAAACGTGGAGAGGCACTCAAGCCTGTCGGGGGCCAGAAAACGCCGCTGCTCGTGGTGGTTATTTTGGTCGCTGGCGGAGTTCTATTTGCTCATTCGATATTCGAATTATTCCGAGTGAATTCGGGATTGCCGGTCGAGGCCGGATTCTAGATAGTATCGACTTTGGGTCTCTGTAGATAGGTCTATTTATGTACATACAGTGATATATGGTACTCTCAACGACACTTTGCCCCCCCTTTATTATTGTCGCATTTTTCCTGGATCTAGAGCACATGCCTGCCTGTGGAATTTCGTGGCGTCCATGGCGCCTGAGCCAACGCAGAGTCCAGAACTGACCCCTCGGCCCCGTTCAAAGCCCTTGGAATGTTCGTATAGCGGGCCTCAATATTCAGTGCCAACCTTCTGCAGCTTGTACTTCTTGGGAACGACAAACAGCCCAGTGGCTTGAGCGCACAGTCTTCCAACGGGGTCACGCACTTCGCCAGTCACGTAGGCCTTGCGGTCACTGCTGCGTTCCTGGTCGACAGTGGCGTGGAACGAGTAGAAATTGCCCGAGTACACCGGAGCACGATAGTTGATTTCGAGGTTGGCAGTAACGCCAGTCCGTTCGGGGAGATGGCGGATTGCGACTCGTCCTAAACTCTCATCCAGCACGGTGCCAAGAGCTCCGCCATGAACGACTGTTGGCCATCCTTCCAGCCCAGTCCCCAAGAAGACCACGCTAACCGCCTTTTTCTCCTTCTCGTTCCAAAACACTTTCTGTAGAGCCAATCAGTTAGCGAGGAACAGACGAACATCCGAGGTTGATCTGATCTGAGCCTGGCACAGGCCGCCGGCAGTTGAGAGGTTCGGCAGATTGCAGTAGCTCGGTTGTGCGAGCGTCGCATTGGCTAAGACTCTCTCCTTGAACTGGCAAGATGCCTGTGCGGAGCAGATACAGATACCGTTCACGGCATCAAACTCAAAACAAGGGAAGCAAGCAAACCTGAAGCGCCAGTCCCCGGCTCCCGCTCAAGGGCCCAGACGTCAGCCTCCCGATCTTGTCCTCCTCCGAATAGTTTCCATACACGTTTGCTTCCACGAAATCCGGGTCCTTGCGGAGATCTCGCACAAGAGGCAGGCCGTTCTCGTAGGCGTAGTAAATCTCCTCCAGCTTGGCAAGGTCTTCGACTGATCCCGGCACTGGAGGCGCGGACACTTGCTGGTCCATCCATTTCCCAGCGGCCAGTCCCAGACCACCAAAGATTCCAGTATATATCAGGCGTCGCGGCCACCTCGATGATTGGGGCGCGGGCTCATGGGCAACGGTGCTGCTGTTTCGTGGTACCTGGGATCGGAGCCGAGACCATGGTTGCGCTTGGGTCGCGAGAACGCGCAGTCGGGATTGTAAGACTCTGCGAGGGCCAAACATGGCGGGTCACATCGCAATCCTGCGCGGAAAATACGATGTGGTGAGGGCGGCGCGAGGAACGGTTTATTGAATGGCTCCGACGAACGACGCTAAAGACTGGAGACCGAACGGCAATGCCGAGGTCCATTGCGATCACGTGATTTTATACGGTCTACGAAGTGGATGGTAGCTACTCAGTGGAAATGATGTCGAAAGAAACCATACATCGCGATTGGCATTGCATTATGAAATAAAATACTTGACAGTGGATCACGGAGACAATCGCTAAGCTCAAGTCATTGATCGACAAAATAATGTGCTATAACGGTCTATCTGACAATAAGAACAGCCGAAGTATCAGATTTTCGCGTCCAAGGTCTAGTAAGAATTTTGTCTTAAGCCATGAGCCATAAGTACATGATCGACGTTAAGTTATGATGACTTTTCAATCGTAAAGCATCGGAAGTATCGCGCCAATAAGGATTCTTAGTTGGCAGTCGGCAGATCAATTGCGCGGTAGAGGCAGATGAGTGCAGAATGAGATTCACCTAATGAAAGCAATATAGATTAGCAAGAGAACCACATGAGACGAGACGAAACGGGGCTACTCACCACCACCGGAAAGTGTTTCGATCTTCTCTGCTTCCACCTCGGTCACCTTGTCGTCGTTGAACCACCACCATTTTCCATTCTCCCCTGCGGTGCTTCCATTGTCCTGCTTCTTCACGTATGCCGTGTAGTGACCACTGTCGGCGCTGGCACCTTGGTGCGTGATGACTCCTCTAAGCTCATAGAGACCCGAGCTGTTGGTACCCGCCTCCGAGGCAGGCTTAGGGCCCAGAAGCTCAGCCAGCTCCTTCTTCGCCGCGAGAATGGATGCATTCTTCTCCGCCTCGTAGTCAGCGTCAGTCTTGTAGATATCAGTCATCGTGGAGTCTCCATCCTTCTCAGATTTCCCTGCCTCCACGCGTTCCTCGGTTGCCTTCTTCTTCTGCATGGGTTCCATGGAGGCACCCGATTCTTCTTCAACCTTCTTTTCTTCATCTCTCTGATGAGCGAGCTTCTGGCGCTTGCGGGCACGATCAACATCAACTTCTTCCTTCCGGATCTCCCGCACCTTATCCCTGATGGGGATGAGTTGCTTTTTAAGCTCTTCGGTGCAGAAGTCAACAGCATCCAGCTCCGCAGGAAACGTCACTTTCCTCATGATCTTGGCTTTCTTCTGGGTCTCACGCTTCCAGAAGAAACGGACGAAGTGCACCGTCAAGTACTTGGGCAGTCGTGCTATGCGAGAGCGCTTTGTGTAGATGGCGTCACGGTCCAGAGTGGGAGAACGCTTTTCGATCTTCTCCTCCAGACCCGCCATGATGCCGTCGGACAGATGATTTGTTTCCTTGCCAATGTGGCAGTCAAGTTTGTAGAAGACGTCCGAGCTTTCGTTGGGCTGCTCGCCAACATCCTTCGCAGCTTTCTCGTCGCACTCGGTAATCGATTCGAATCGTCCAGCCATGAACTTGTCCACGAAGGAGATATCACTCGGCGAGTCACTCGCTTCATCCTTGATGACCAGTTTGTTTCGCAGCTGAGTAACGATCTGTGAATAAGCTTCCTCGGCGTCTTGTTGAGCATATCCATGTCCGTTTCGGTCCTTCTGGGCAAATTGAGGGTATGCGTTTCTCAGAGCGTTGAGGAACATCAACGGGGGAAAGCCTTCTTGGGTCTCGGACATCTGCTTGAACAAGTCCCGCAGAGAGGCCGTGAGGTCCATGGAAGAGCCGAGACCACCCAGACCAAAGCTGCTGAGATCGGAGACACTCGATCCACCTCCAGACGCAGAAGGACGATACCTCTGGAGCTCCTGCTGGAGCTCTGGCACACTTCGCAGAGTCTGCAGCGTCGAGTTCAGATAGCAGGTGTTTCCAAGGTTCTGCAGACCAGCGGGAGTAGCTCCCTCCGCCCTTGCAGCCTCGGCTTCGGTCATATCCTCCAGAAACTTGACTGCTTCCTTTGGACGTCCCAAATCCCCAGCGCCTTGTCCCTCCCCGGGAGTACCCATCATCATGAATGTCTGGCCAGGTTTGGCCTTGAGCGAGGAGAGCGGGGTGTCATTTTTAAGCTGGCCTCCTTTCACCAGGATCTTCTGCCTCTCGGGTTCGACGCCGGTAAGAGAGTAGAGCTGATATTTGAGGGTTTCGCCGTTCGAAGATGGGTCGAGCTCGACCTCATGACGTTTACCTTGGTGCTTAACGATGACTATTGCCCGGATGAAAGAAGCGTTAGATTGGAGGCGAACAATGTCTTCAGTGCGACTTCAACGAGCATACCTGGTATCGAAGCCATCCTGATGGATTCTGGAAGTAATCTTGTGATATGAGAACAAGGCTGTTGACCGGTTCGATGATGAAATGGGTGCATAAACAACGGCGTTGGCAGCCATCGCCTTCGGAGAGGCGTGGGGCGGGCAGTGCAAACAGAACAAACAGCCACCACCAGGCGACGACATCACGGGCCCAGCGGGACATCATCGCCGTCTCCTGAACGTTGGACCGAGTCGGAGCTGACAGCATCACCAATTCCCGGAGTTTCAGCACCAGTTCGCGGCTGACGTTGCATCTTCACCATGGTAAGCTATGTTCCCTGCCAAATGCACACGATTTGCAGCTGACAACCTACAGTCTCAATCATTGCGCCCTTATCTTCAATGTGTCCGGTCCTCCCTTACCGCCGCACTTACTGTCTCGAACTTCGCTTCCCAGACCTCCGAACGGCATAACGTCCCCGAGATCGAGGCCCAGACCTCCCCCGAACTCATCCTCAACCCCCTTACAGTCTCGCGAAACGAGAACGAGAAGGTGTTCATCGAGCCCAGTGTGAACAGTGTCCGCGTCAGCGTTCGGATTAAGCAAGCAGACGAGATCGAGCATATCTTGGTCCACAAGTTTACTCGGTTCTTGACACAACGTGCCGAGTCATTTTTCATTCTGCGAAGGAAGCCAGTGAAGGTAGAGGCTCTATGGATAACTGGAGAGTGCGTTGCGGATGCTAATCAAGCATTAGGGATACGACATCTCGTTCCTGATCACGAACTTCCATACGGAACAACTGTTGAAGCACCAATTAGTGGAGTTCATAATCCAGTTCTTGGAGGAGGTGGATAAGGAGATCTCGGAGATGAAGCTATTCGTACGTATGACACGGCGACATGTTGTTCAGATATTGACCATCTTGCAGTTGAATGCCCGTGCTCGATTCGTCGCTGAATCGTTCTTGACACCCGTATGATACCCAATCCCCTCTTGATGGAAGAGCCACAAATTAACCCAGTGTCACAGTTTGATTAAGCCGTTTTGCTATGTTACCCGTTCAGTCTACAAATATTACATGAACTCTATCATCTTGTCATCCAATAGCCACTGTTGTATAGGCGATCTAGGCTGGTTCCAGAATTAGTTCACGCTATTGACTTGACACTGCCTTCCTTAGAGTCTCAAGACTATATCGAACTCGGCTCTAGTGAGATTGTCCATTGCACCTTTTCAATCAATACCAGCTTCCAGCAGCGACAGTCTGTGTCGACTTATCGGATGACGTCTTAAACACATGTAGAAGTTTACTCCTATCGCAGACATCCATAATTCTCACCTGCCAGGCCAGTTCCATCGCCATTATAGCTTCTGTCAACTGGGAATGGACAACGCCCTCGGTCACGGAATATCAGCAGTGGAAGATTTGTAATGGATCAAAGCTTCTGTCTTTTCCTACCCCAAGATTAAGGTGAAGGTCCGCCCTACATGCACCAGCCTAGCCATTGTATTGTATAACAATTGTTGCAACAAACGATTGTTCGACTGGAACTAAGATGAGCTTTGCCAGCTTCCATTGGCTACCAAAGCACGCCTAGCGCCTTTCTACAATAGCCCACTTGATAAGCATTGATTGAATGGTCACTACGTGCTCTCTTTTATGCATTGTCATCACTGTTAATTCACTTCTCTGCGGCAAATTTCCCAGCTGATTGCGGTAATCCAAACCTTTACTCTACAACTGCTGTCACACTCCAGTAGTGGAGTGAATTGCCCCTCACATACAATGGCTTGTTCAATGAAGGACAAGTGAATATAAGAATGATCAAGACACCCCCATCTTATGCCTGGGAGAAGTTTGCGGCCTAATGAATTTTTCACTTTAAAAACGCTTCCCCCTGAGAAAAGACTCCATCCTCTTCTCTCCCTGCAGCCACTCTGCTTCTCCTTCCACCTGACAAGAAACGCGAGGCAACACCAGCTCCAATGGCCTATAGGGGGCATGATATCCCACTCATGGGGTATGAGTCCCCAAGTCCATACCCAGATATTGAACGGCTTAGATTGAACACGTTCAATAATCCTATTGCTCCTGTTTTCAACCCAATGCAGTCCCAATTTCCCCGAGAACACCATTCGATTCGTCCTCCTATGGCCAGGTCTGCGTTCAATGGCTCCGTACACTTTCCGGTTGGAACTCCAACTCCTACACCTCCTACTCTGAATAGCCAGTCTCGCTTTTTCACGGATCCTTTTTCCTCAGCGCCTTATGAGCAAACCAGACCGAGTATCCCCCAGGCTGCCTCTCCTGAGTCCTCTCGTACCAAAAATGTCTCAATGCATCGTTTGCTGGATGAGGGAATTGAGGCGCTTCCGCAGGGACCTCAGCGTCTCTCAGACATAACGAGAAGCTCAGAAACTGTTGCATTGCCCAGCGAAATGCCACTTGGAAGCTACGTGCATCTGAGAGAGCCGCCTCAGTGGGGCGTGATCAAGATCTCAAACGTGAGTTGCCATTCTTCTAGTCTAAGATACGCTTTATTAACAACAGCGAAGATTCCATATTCCATTACCAAGCAGGAGATCGTGCAATTCGTTGGCCGACAGGCGCGGCTTATCGCGTCTAATCAGGGATGTCCGATCCATATCATCATGGAGCGTTCTACTGCTAAGACTATGGACTGCTACGTTGAACTTGAAACTACGGCCAATGCCGAGGAGACAGTCAACCGGATCAATCGTATCTATGAGACTGGTCGCCCTCCCCGTCTAGGCAATAGACATGTTGATGTTGAGTTCAGCAGCCAGGATGCTCTGCTAAAGGATCTCTTTCCGCGGGCCAAGTGTGTCGTGTGGGAAAACGGCATTCCTTTTGCCCTTGCCAACACTGATCCCTATTCCACTGGATTTGCTGGTTTTCTCACCAGCGAGGAAGTTGTTGGCGCTATCAGACACGCAGAAATTCCGCATCGTGTAAGTCTTCCGTGTCTGTTCTGTTAGGTGTTGCAGGACGCAAACTGATGTCCTGGTCTGCACCAGTCACCATTCTGTGCCAAGTGTCCCCAGCGTACTTACGAGTCCACTGTCAGTACTCTCTACAAGGTTAGTGACAAACTCCTATTCTGCTTGGTCTTGCAGTGAATTGTTCTCACATGGCCTCTAGTTCCCATGGTACGCGACAAAGCTGTACACGGTTCATGAGCGCAACCAGCTGTTTGAACTAGTCAACCGTCATATCCTGTCGCTTGTTTCTAGAATGAAGAAGACCAACACCATCGGCCTTGATCATAGATTGCTGCGAGAACTTCTCTATGCCGGTCTGAATTGTCCAGCCTTCAACGAACGCCAGAAATACACTCTTTGTGTCAACTCTGAGGATATGTCGGAGATTATCCGGTTTCCTGAAGCGGGAAAATGGCATCCGTTTGACTCTCTAGTCAGAATGCCATTGTTCAACAATATTACGAACATGGTATGTTCTCCTCCGGCTTCCTTTCCGAGCTTTGCTTACTTTATTTCCATTTAGTATTATACGCAGTTGATCTCGAAGGGCACTATTCCCGACGTCGAAGTGGCAGGATTGCCAAACAAATTCCCTCTTGATAACATGGATCTATGCGCCCAAGCTCCATACGGTCCTATCTGGTTTGAGTGGGATACGGATGTCGCAACTGAGATGATATGGGAAGATGCCGTACGACTTGAGATGATCATCCTACGCAACCTTGTCCTTAGTGGCTGGTTGGTTCATGAGAAAGAGCAAAACTCTGCGATAGTTGAACAGCCATCTTCCTCCGACAGCCGTGCCGTTCACAGCAACGAGTCCCTCTATTCTGCCAGCACCTTCAATACTTCTCAGCCTCGGTCTCGCACCGATTCTATGTCAAGGGTTTCAAGGGTTGGTACCTTCGTTACTCCGACACGCCGCGCCAGCATGGCCGCGAACAACGACAGTCCTTTTGCCAACACCGCCTCTTGGGATCAGAGATTCCTTCTGCATCCTGCGAAAGCTAGGGGTGGTGTTTACGCCCACCGTATCACTCAGTCGACACCCACTCGCTTCCCTTCTTCCGAGAAGTAGCCTTTTGGATTTTACGAATTTCCTTTGTGCTCTTTATTTGGATGCGTTTGTTTTCCCATGCGTACAGAATCTCGTGCAGGAAATACTATGAGCTTGTTCATTGGGTCGAAGTTTACGCTGCACAGATTACACTGGACCTGATTATAATATCACGGCTTGATGATCTTGGATGAATTTAGGAAAGTCATTTGGAGAAGGACCTTGGGTTCCTAACTATCTCTATCGTTCTTTACCTTATCCCCTTCTATCACAGCCATGTCAGGTCGACGAACAGCCATTGCGTTCGAACATGCAATCCGCATGCATCCTGTTATTTTCTTTTACAGAAGCTTTTATCTTCTTTATGGTCTTTTTTTCCTGCTTTCCTTCTCTCTTTCTTTTTCTGTGCATATTTACTTTCCAGTCTAGCAATTAGCTTAATGCAGTTCATTCCACTCATAACTAGATAACTTCCTCGTTAGCTCATATCTACATCTCCTTGAGCACCTTCTTGCTCTTCCTTCTTTTTCTGCTCCTCAAGCTGCTTCTTCCTCCACAAACCTTCTGCCTTCTTTCTCTCCCTCCGCTTTTCCGGATCCTCCCAATCCGCAGAACCCTTCGCCTTGCCTTTCGTCTTCGCACCGCGCGAATGAGCCGCCGCACACAGATCCAGCATACTTGAGCGGAATCGCTCTTTCCGCTCCGTGTTGACCGAGAATCGCTCATTCGACATCGCCACTAACATCTGCAGATACTCCTCCGTCACGAGACTTCGAATAACGGGTTCGCTATCCGCGAGGTCTTCATTGTCATCATCACCCTCTTCGCAGTACCCGATCACCGACTCCAGCGAGAGACCTGCCGAGCGCACAGCGACAATCGGACTCGGACCATCTTCGGCATCCAGGCAGCGGAGACTTTGCAGGCCACTCTCGCGGAAGCCAGAGGCCGAGGCGGCAGATAAGACAGGGTGGGCGTGATGGAGCGTAGCCGTCATAATATGCAAAATCTAGGTATAAGGGTTAGGACGTTAGCGTATATGGAAACACAAGTAGTATCTATCAATAAGGACCACCAATGATTCACAACGCAAAGATAAGCAACGAGGCTGGCGGAAAGCAACAGACAAAGAGCAAGCGAGCAGAAACTCAAGAACAAAGAAGCAAGAGGTCCAGGCCCCTCCAGCACCCACAAGGAACGAACGAAGGAAAAAGCAAAGTCAGGTGGCACGTACCATCGGCTCGAAATGGAAGCGCACCAGACGCGGGGCTCGGCCTTGTTGGTTCATCCCCGGAGGCTTCCCATCGCCTGGCTCCAAGCCAAACCGTTCACACAACGACCTAGTCGGCTTCGTCTCTTCCGGTCGACCAGATTCAGATCCAGATACAGATCCAAGGGGGACGGCATCCTCCTTCAAAGGCTCGTGGGACACAAACAGCCATTTTCCTGCCCCTTTGCCCCCCGAGGGCACGAACTGTCTTTGTGGTTCGTTGAACGACTCGTTCTGTCCAAGTGGTGCTTGTTGAGGTTGGGGTTTGCTCTTCCTCCCCTCCAGGAAGACGCTGATTCGTCCAGCGCAGCTGCTCGTTGTGACCAGGCCTGGGAGTGCGTTAATGTCGCGGATGAGATCGCGGATGCCTTCGTCGACCGAGCCCTTGGGTGAAAGGTCTGTGTACTCGGCATCTGGGATGGAGAGCTCTGCGAGGATTTTGCTCTTGCGAGACACAAAGGTTTCTGGTATCGTGTCTTTTTCACTTTCACTCATTTTTCTCTTATGGGTGGCTTCTATTTTAGGGGAGGGCTTTATTATAGGAGTCCAAAGAAACCCGATACTATCAAAGAGGAAGAGGATCCGATCTTCCCTCTTCGCTTCAGAAAGGAACTGGTCGGTGCAGAGACTGACGATTATTCTTTAGGTAGATGACCGACGCGAACCAAGAAAATTATTGTTTCGAACGAAGCGACACTCGAGACGACAAAGAACCAATAAAAATAAGCCCAACGATCCAGGGGAAAGCAGACCATCTGTCACTATACAAAGAGAAAAAAAGAAAGGCCCGCATCGATCGTGTGCCGCAAATCCTTCTCGAACACGACGTTCTTCTGCCGAGCGGACGCACTAAGTTTAGCGGTGCGGAAGCAAAGAACTCGCCCGCTTTTCCCACGCGAAAACGCCCCAGAAGTTACCAGCCTCCTGGTCGCTTCCCGGTCCCTTTGTCCGTTTGAAAGTCTATCAGGCCGCTAACGACCCGTAAGCCGGTCAAGGAGCTTTACCACCAAGCCACGCCAACGCCTCTTATATGACCTACGTTCTCCAACCTTTTCTTGCATACAGCCGGCGTAGCTCTCCGTATCTGCTCCAACCGCCTCTTAGCTATTTGAACCTTTAACCCCCTTTTCTGCTAGACTGCCAGAGGAGCACTTAAGGGTCTTCCAAGTCTCTTTTGCCATGCCTCGTCGATCGTCTCGGGCCGCTCCCGCGTCGGCGCCAGCTCCAGCGCCGGCTCCAAAAAGGCGCGCGTCTGAAAGACTATCCACATCCACGGACTCCAAAAATGATCCCAAAAGGCGAAAGTCCGAAGGCACCACCGGTCAAAATCTCGTGAAAACCACCACCAAAACGAGCAAATTTTTCCAGGAAGATGACCCGGAGGAGTCCGCGCCTAAGACCGTGAGTCTTTCTCTCCCCAAATTCCACCGGCTTACGCCCCCCACCCCTCGATTCGGAATGGGAAGCACCCGCAACTAACAAGGCGACGGTGTCGGCAACTCAACAGGGGAGTCGGAAGGCATTCAAGAGCGCAAAGAGCAGAAAAGGAGGCGCCAAATCGCAGGATGACTCGGGCGAAGAAAGCGCAGGCGACACGGTGCCGAAAGACAAGCAGCTGTGGCGAGAAGGCGTCACGACCGGCCTGGGGCCCGGGAAGGAAGTCTTCATCAAGAAGCCTAAGGCCAAGGATGCAGGAAACATTCCATATGAGGATCACACGTTGCATCCCAACACCCTCGAGTTTCTGGAGGGTTTATCGGAGAACAATGAGAGGAGCTGGCTCAAAGGTACCGACAAGCCGCGACCGCCATGGTGTCTTTTATTTGGCTTCAATTTATGGCTAACCATCAACCCTTTTGACAGCACATGATGCGGACTATCAGGCTGCAAGAAAGGATTGGGAAAGCTTCGTTGTATCTCTCTCAGAGAAAATCTCAGACGTCGATAGCACAATTCCCGAATTGCCAGCTAAGGACATGGTAAGTGCTATCAAATTCCAAGTGAATGAATGGAGAGCACGAGAAAAGAGACGAGCACACAAAAAAAGAAAAATAATGGTATGGACGGAAAAAGGAGGGATATTTATTGACAATCAAATGTGCTCTAGATATTTCGCATTCATAGGGACGTCAGGTTCACCAAAGATCCTACACCGTATAAGGTACGTACGTTCGAGATCCCCACGACTTGGTGGGAATCCCGTTGTACCCGTCCGATTCTAGCTATTGTGATATTGGATCGAATGAGCTGACCACGTCATCGAACAGCCTTACTTTTCTGCTGCTTGGTAGGTATAGGCCTGGCACTGAGCAATTGTAACTGTCAGCTAATTTGCTTTCTCGGAAGGTCTCGCACGGGTAAAAAAGGCCCTTATGCCTCTTACTATGTCCATTGCCAGCCCGGATCTTGCATCATCGGTATGTCGCTTCTCTTCAGAACAATGCGATTGTTTCTAGACCATGGAGTTCTAAGCGAGAACTTCATCGGAATTTGTCCCGTGCTACCACTGCGTCGTGCTTTCGACCCCTTTTCCACAAATCGACTGGTGTGCATGCCCGAGATTGGTCTAGAGCAGAAAGCAACGACCGTGGCGTCCACGCTCTCTATCCACCGATCTGTAATGATCAATAGACGGCATGCTAACGAGGGGTTGGGAATATTCTAGGCGCGGGATTGTGGCAACCAGATGCCGACCAATTGGCGCTTCTTCGAGAGGATATCGACCGCAATTCGCATGGGCTGAAGGCCGTGTTGAACGAGGCAAATATGCGCCGCGAAATCTTGAACGGGGTACCTGACGACGAAGAGAAAGCCGTGAAGGAGTTTCTCGATCAGAACAAAGAGACTGCTCTCAAGATCAAACCTAAGGTATGTGTCATTGCCCCATCGCCTGCATGCCGTATGCCTCGCGGCCATCGAGCATCGTTATCATCTCCATTTCCGTGCATTCCAATTTGGTTTCGGTTCCATGTGTTCGAGACGACTGTTTGAATTCTGCGAGGCCAAAAATGACGGCTTTCGACGGACGAGGGAGGCTGCCGGGCGCGTGCCATCGCCGTTGACAACGGATTATCTGCGTTAGCATCACGTTCAAGTCACCAAAGACCGAATTGTTTTCATTCTTTGGGTAAATATGAAGAGCAAAAGGGACCGAAACGACTCTCAGGTTGATGGAAACAGAGGGTTGGTGATGGCTTTGGCATGATGATGCCTGGACAACAGCCGGTCGTGGTGTTGTGGCCCAAGCTGTGGCTTGTGACCCTGCGATGATCAACCGCCATGGCTTTGAGCATCACCACTCCGCCGAAAGAATCCCATGGTCACTTAGAGCCATCGTCATTGATGGTCCTAGACGGGGATGCAGTCCGGAGGATGTCAACAAAGGCGCTCTTGATAGCAGCGGTGGTGCTGGAGCGCGGGTGGCTCCGACAGGTTACCCGTGTCTGGGTCTGGGTCGCACCCTTTTCGACCCAAGCCCAACCCCCTGGTATCTGGTTGTTCTGGGGCCCAGCTAGCACGGGAAGCCATGCCTGTCGTCCCACCGGGGGCTTTGGTCTCGAAGAGTTTTCGACACCGTCTCATCTGTTTCCATGGTTCAGTTGATGGGCTTTCCCCGGCGGACCACATCTCTCGTCCAATTACATTGCTGACAAGCCTTTTTGCCTGCCCAGGGATACGATGTGGACAACGAAAACATCAAATTGCTTCGCCTACGGAATTTCACCATTAGCAAGCCTCTTGCCGATGAGGACTTTAGAAGCCCCGACGCACAGGATAAAATCGCGGCGCTCATTGGTGTCATTGAACCTTTTGTAAGGCCCCCATCCTGCCCATCCTTGCTGTCCCGTCATTTGGCTTTCCCCCCTCCGCTTGTCCGCGCCTGCGTCTATTGGATCCTAGTGCCCGTATCAGTTACAAGGCCCTTTTTTCCCCTCTCATTCTTTCCCTTTCTGGCCACTCCAGCGGTGTGGCTTCGGGCACAACGATACCCACCGCTAAATCCATCCTCCTCAGAGGGTGGCAGGGGTGTCTCGGAAGGCGAGATGAGGGGGAACGCGATGAGGATGTGTTTCACTGACTAGACTTCAATTATCGCTCAACAGGTTACGTATCTCAACAGCGTCGTCATGCCCGATGCGGTGGATCCGGTCAACCACTCTGGATCCGAGTCTTCGGACGACTCTGCCAGCTAGAATCACTGGAATTTCCGCGATGTTGGGTGCTTAGTCCCCTCAATGGCGACCGTCTTGTTTTATCTCGCGGTGTAGGTGTGTCGAACTTTTTTTTTCTGTAGTGCTGCCACTGTTTTTGCTCGTCATGTTTCTGTTATCTTCCTCTGAAGGTGAGCTGTCTGTGTTCTTGTTAAACTATCCTCCGTGTATTATGAGTTGGGCATCACTTGGCTGTGTATGTTTCGCGTCTTTTTTGCGGCTTCGATGTGAATCCGTAACCATTTCCTACAAACTAAAAAAGATAACTTATGGGTCCTTGTTGGGTAATAGGCTCTCTCGATTTCCATCTCTTTGGACTCCAGAGGAATGTGCCGCCTCAAGGGACTGGCCTTTTCTGTTTCCAGTGGCTTGGGGCTTTCTGTAGTCATGACAGCAGACATCCTTCCCCCCTCTCTCTCTCACTCATTTTTTGCTTGAGCATGCTGAGCTAAGGACATCGATACCTAGCCCCGGGATTTCCGTTCCCCTTACCGCCATTTCTTGTCCCCCAATAATGGCAGTGATCGTGTCTCATTCCCGGACAACCTTGTCAGGTTTCCTGATCTCAGACCTTCACAATAGTGACGTGCATGTTATGGACTGCTGTCCGCGCGCCGCAGTCGGCCCGTCGGGCGTGCCGTTAGCTCCACGGCCGCTTGCCTATCCCTCCAGCAGAAAGAGATATCCACATCTGCACCTGGGCGAATTCGTCCATGGCCCATGAGGATCCTTACCCTCTTCTCTTTTCCCATTGAACGGGGAAAGTCCCTCTCCAGCCTGCATCCCTGCCCAAACAATTCCCCGATACATGAATTCCTGTCAGACGGGGTGGAGCAATGCAGAAAGAGGAGACGACAGAGAGAGGGGAAGGGAAAGAGGAGGGGGGACGGGGGGAGAAAAGAGAAGCCATCGTATCAATCACAATCCACAAACCATGCTGTCGTCGACATGGCCAGACTAGTGTCTCCCAGCCATCCAACCATCCATTCATCCTCGTCCTGTACCTTTCCTCCTGCTTCTTCACGGTGCTCCCTCCTGCCACCCAAAGCCCCTCCTCCCCCTCCCCTTCCCCCTCCCTCTTGGAAGCAGGGCAAACAAATCCCCAAGAGGAGAAAAGACCGGCAGATGGACCATTGGCAAACCGTAAACTCCGTAAAACACGGCCCCCTTCACCCCAAAATAAAAATACCAGAAACAAAAAAAAAAAAAAAAAAAAGAAAAAAGAAAGAAAAACGCACAGCCATCCCTCTCCGGCTAGAATCCATGCAAGCCATGAAACTCAGTCTTAGTCTTTTTCAGTCCTACTCAATGACCACCGATGATTTGACTTGGTAAGATCCTAGCGGAAACTCTTTTTCGCCTTTTGCTTTTTTTTCCCTTGCGAGCCCGAACTTGGTGGGTGGTTGTCCATGAACGGACGGACAATCACCGTTTTGTCTCTCCTGGCCCCGATCCCATTATTCAGAATCGAATCAGCAGTAGATGGGATGGGATGGGCCGATGCTTGCATCTCCATATTCCCTTAATTTAGTTCCGTATCTGTCATCTGTCGGAGTGTCAGTTTTCCCTTTCTGTCCTGTTTTACTTTGGATTAGTCTGAATTAGGAAGATGAGACGTCAGGTTTCGTTCGTTCGTTCGTTCGTTCGCTCATGGATTCAAACCTACCCGGGTAGGGAGGCAGTTAACTACCTTACCTACCTCTGCGTATGACCCGTGTGCTACACACGTATGTAAGCAGTATTTAGTTTACATAGAAAAGGTTAATTAAGAAGGTTGAAGAACGGATGAATGGACGAACTAGGTTTGAGTTATGGTTATGAAAGATGAAAGGAGAAAGAAAAACACCTTGGATCTCATGGTTTGATGGGTAACAAGGATATTACCTGTTATATTCCGGTTTTATTATATTATTGTATATACTATGGGTTTTGTATGTTCATTGTGATTATTCGGGATGGGATGCAAATCTGACTGATAAACTTACTAGTCAACTATACAATATATATACTGCCGAAGGCGTACTGGCAACAACTGCACAGTACCAAACCACTTAATATAAGAAATCATATCCGTAGATTTACATATGATAGATGAGTTCATAACATCGACCATCGATCAACTAATGATAAGATAATAAGATCAACACCGGTTGGTTGGCTCTTTCAACCCAACAAGAAACCACAGCGTATGACGATGAGATCACCAGGACGATCACATCACATCAGTACGCTGTACGCCAGTCCATACCTGGGAAAAAATAAAAAAAAAAATGAAGAAAATAAAAAAAAAAAAACGTCGCAGATCTCCCCGTAACTAGCCCAAGATAGGGTTCCAATAGTCACGCACATCGCAATTCCTCTCGATTCCCAGCCGTAACGGTATCCGGGCTAGTGGTCTAGTCTAAGGACTCGGGGATGAACTGCCGGGGAGGGCAGGGCGATATACTCTGGATCTAGTTGAATAATAATTCTCGTACTTTGTAGTATCCGCAATAAGTAGAGAATACATGGGTAGATAATAAATAGGTAATTAGTGACATTTCATACATCTAGCCCTCATACTCCACTCCACTTTCCGCACAAAGTGACATCGCGTTTATTTATTTGCTAATAAGCCGCATCTTCATGCGAGGAGAGAAAAGGTGACATGTACACCGCAGCAGGCAGGGATCGACGAGGGATGTTTCAGCGCCCTGATGATGAGATGAATGATGTGACCAGCCGCTAGGACACCGTACAGCACCAGGCTTTTGATTGTTTTGAAACCTACCTGGCCAGGCCAGGCCCAGCCCAACCCCCGCTCAATTGCCCCCCTTACAGATGGGGCAGGTGAGGCCATCGATCCATGATATCTGGAGGAATCCGCCCGACGAGATGCGGGGATGCAATTGATACGTCGATCGGGATGCGTCCGCCGTACAGTACGTTACGAGCACAAGAGGGCGAGCAAATCGGAGAAATCAAGGGGGACAATCAATCAATCACGAGGGAAAATGGCCGGGAAGGTTAGCATCGTTAAAGGATTCGAGTTCGGGGAGGTCTTGCGCGTGATGGTTTTCTCTCTCTCGCTCTCTTTCTGGTTTGTCCCCGAGGCAGAGAAAAGAAAGAAACCAAAAGAACCATCGTGATCACGGGCGGAAATTAAAGCCCATCTCGGCGGTCGATTCTCCCCGAATTTCTTTGTCCTTCTTCCCGTGTGAACGAGCCGAAGCGAGGGTCAATTAGAGTTGCTCAGGCCCCAAGTCCTCCAGTAATGATACCGTAAGTGTGGGGGGAGAGTTCGGACTGACAGGGAGAGAAAGAAAGACAGAAACCTGCAGCAAGGACGGGAGCCAGCCCATTCAACCCAACGGTTCGCCCTGCAAGCCTCATTTTCGTCCCGGATAGTTACCCAGGATCGCCGCAGACCTCTCGCGCTGTCTCTCCCTCGGTCGCCACTTACTTTCGTCTGAAGGAGGAGCCGAAACCACCGCCGCGAGTGATGGAACCCGTTCCTCCCCTTCGTTTCCCCTTAGCAAAGTCAGACATCCATTCACCATTTTCTCACCTCCGAGCCTAACCACTTCGATCGTCACGCGACGGGCGAACATGACGGCAGCAAGGTACATGTACAACCCGGGTACCTCGTACAGCATGTCACACTCATATGCTGGGTCATCACACGGTGGTTCCATGCACCACGTCAGGATCATGACTCGAAGGGGAAGAAACAAAGCCGGCGAGAGCTTTACCCCGGCGTGTAGTCGGTGCCGATTCTGCGCGAGGTGGGAACTCGACCGGTCTGAACAAGGAAGTCCGCAAGGTGATCTGGCAAATGTTTGTCTCTCGTTCCGCCACGTCAGTTGAGGATGATCGCGCTTGCGCGCACACACCTGTACCCGAGCGAGCCACAGACAGGAGAACGAGGTTGGTTTGGCTGAGTAGGTTAGCTCGGTCTGTTTGGCTCGGTTTTTTTTTTTTTTTTTTTTTTTTTTTCTAATCTCCCCTGGTCATTGCGGCCATAACGTGAGGGGAACGGAATTGCCAACCAACATCCAACATCCCCATCATCCAATCCGAAGGACAGCCGCCGATTAAACTATTGGAGCAGGGCGCGTAAGGCAGCCCTAAGCAAATGATAAAGTAAGGTAGAGATAGTCTTCCGAATGGCTTCGCGCTCATAGGCCGGGATGGCCTCACGTGACCGAACCGGTATGCGGGCGGATCGATGATCACAGGCAGCATGTTTCCTTTTTCTGTCTTCTCCATCCCGGTCAGCGCTACGCCGCTGGCTGCCAACCGCTGTGGCTTGGGTTAGCGACGGTGATAACGGGCTGGGGCGCCTTGCTTACTGTGGACGGAGAGGGACCCGGCCGGGCAACGCGCATACAAGAAGTGACGCACGTTGGCCCGGCGCCTCAGGTTGGGCTGCGGCCGGCACCGTGGACAATTCCCTCTGCGCCCCGAACCCTGCGCATAAAGTCCCATCACGGAAACCATGGAACGGGCGCGATCCCACCGGTCCAAAGGGCGGCGACTCGACGTTTGGCTGGCGAGTGGAGCACGGGATTCTGGAGACCCGGAGAGACGGAGCTGAGGAAGGGGAATGAAAAATAAAACAAATAAAATGGAAACGAAAATGAAAATAAAAAGACACACCCCGTCAGGAAAAAAGAACAAAAAAAAGAACCAGTCCACAATCACCTGCGTTGTGGGTTCTGGCGGCAACGGAAAGACGCGGACGGCAATGCATCGAGCCGATTAGTAGGATCGAAAAAAACGTGGCAAAGAAAGGGGGCGAGAAAAAAAAATAAAATCAATTAGAATAAAATCAAATCAAACAAAAGGGTAATCACAAGGAAAGCCTAAAAAAAAACCCAAGAAAGGACAAGAGCTGAGTGGTGTAATGTACCAATTGGTAATACCTGGTATTTACCGTTCGTCCCGTTTCTTACCGTACGGTCTCGAAAGATTCCTCCAGGATGCTAAGGTATGCTCGGCCGGTAACCAGCCCAGACCACCCCCTTCGCCTTAAGTCGTTCATGATATAAGTGAGGCTGGCTGTGATTGTCAATCCTGTGAGACGCCATATGTGAAAGCGCCAGAGTGCTTGCAGCAGGTATCCCGGCCTCTGCTGTATGTCGCACCGAGAGTCAGGGGGAGTTGTCTCGATTGTGTTGCTCCTACCATCGAGGATATCCCCTTGCGTGGATTGTAGCAGAAAGGAGGGGGCGCCCGTTGACGCAACTCAGCATTCCGAACGATCAACGTGACAGCTGAGGAGAAAGGGAAAAGAGGGGAAAGGGCATAAGCGTGGATGGTGAAGACAGCTTGGCATGAGGCTCCCCGGTCACGAGTGCGCAGCTGAGCGATGATCATGGGGATGGACGAGACAAGAATAAGCGAGACCACATATGAATAACGGCGAAAGGATGCGCTAGGGCGATGAGGCCGGCCACAGCAAGAGGCGAACAGGCCTCCGAGCCTGG